AATGTCCCTTCCTCTCATCCCTCTTACTGAGCTTGGGTCGAAACGCCAAGCCAGACTCCCGGCAGGGTCGACTTCCAATCTGACACCCTTGCCGCAAATGACTTCTCGGCCTCCGGGGACTTGGCCGTGATATTCTTGGAGTGCCACATCAGCAAGCGTGGAAGAGCTACTGACGAAGAGCGGTAGCCGAGAATAGGGCGTCCGTGCGACGCAGAGTTTATCAATCTCTGGCCCGACATTGATTGTAATTCTGCTGATAGACTCCGCGACTAGAACCAACATATTCCTGTAGCCCCCTTTCTTGCAGGAATGTTCAAATGCTTCAATTGTATTTGGAAGGTTGCCGACGGTAGTGAATTGGACAGGGGCAAAGTTGTCTAAGAAACATGTGAGCTTGCTTCTATCTAGTCGGTCCAATTGTTTTGCGAATACTAACCTGCGCGTTTCCAAAACGCCAGTCTTTCATGCCAGGCTGGTTTAAAAACAACCGGGCCATGCCTCTTGCCAATGATCTGTAGGGCTTTCCGACTACCAACGGCGATGATCGCCGTGTGTTTGGCAAGCCGGCGAAACTTCTTCACCTCAGAAAATAAATCGCTGGCTTCGGAATTATGTTTCATTGTGCTTCAGGTAGACTTTTGGAAGCCTTGTCAAAACAGCCTAGCAAGCTAGATAAGACACAAAGGGTATTATTGAAAGGGTATTACTGAAAGGGTATTATTGAAAGGGTATTATTGAAAGGGTGTTATTGAAAGGAACTTGTGGAAGATGGATGAGAGCAGAGGTTAGGTCCTCTTCTCCCACTTTTGTACGTTCGAAGCGCCAGAAACTCCTTTGGCCCAATGAATTTGCCTGTTCGCGTTTGGTGACATTGGGTCCAACACGTACCATATGCACTAATACCCGAACGCTTCTCTACCTTGTTGTCCACTTGACGGCAGATGTCTGGCCAATTGGAGGCCCACACGTTACACCGTAGCAACTGCAGTCCTTCTTTCAGTATATCTGTCATTTATACAGGCAACTTTTAGTGCTCATTCAGTGGGTGATTTCGGGTGCGCGCTTTCTCTTGCAACTGATATATTACCTTTGGGAGCGGGTGTTGGGTGGCAAGCGTACTGCACCATGAATCCTACCTTACCTAGGATGAGAACCAGCCCATGAGCATTAGAGTGCAGATATACACCATGACTCCGAGGGAAGCCAAAAATCGGTATCAGCTGATTTAGTTATCCACAAGCCATCAAACGAGGCGAGTTTGCACTGTTGCTGTGAGCCCTGTGACATAGTGGTTGCGGAGCTCAACGTGCTATCTCGGTCAAAAATTAGCTCACTAGAAGCGGTTGAACGACTTTTTGGGGGGGTTCGATTTGAAACTCTTATGAATGGAGATAATAGCGAGTTTTAAATGAGCATTGCGATGGTATCCCCTCAGTTTCAAGCACACTGGTTTGTGTTAGACAACCCAGAGACCTTTGTCTGGAGAGTCCCCGAAGGAACTCTCATACCCATGAGAGCCCTTTGTGCACTTAAATCCATTTACAATAAAAGTAAAAATGGGTGGTTAGATCCATCACGGCAGGACAAGGGATGGAAATGGTGTATGGTGGTCTGAGGGGTGCATCAAACCTCAATTCTGAGACAAAACAGATCCGGAGTGCTCACGAGAATGTACCGCATAGAGTCGGTAATTCACAAAGTTGGGTGCCATGGGATTGCACTTCAGCCCATATTCGGGATTTTCGAATACTCACACATTTGCGACATGATCCAAAGCTAAGCCACTAGATAAAATCGCCTCACCCGATTTGCGACCATGAAATGAAGCATATTCTCAAGTCGATAGCGCTTACATTTGCACAATTATAGGGTAGGCAAGCCTCATTTTTGCTGAGCCAAGGCGGGATGTTGAAGGATCCACGCTAATGTGTTGGGTCATGACGCAGAGGGCTCCGGGGTCTCCACAAATCTTTGCAGCATGCAATTAGGGTTCAATCAGGAGCTTCTGGTTAGTTATCAATCGACCCCCCAGCAACGGGAGAATGCCTAATCATCTGCTCGGCTGATGGCTGCGCTGATTCGCTGCCCCAAGTTGGCGCTCGGTAAAAGGACCTTGATCTGCAGGTTCACGCGGGCGTTATCTCGCAATCAAAGGTTCTCACAAGACGAAACAGCTGTCACGAGACACTAGGGGGCCTGGGAAGGGGGGTAGTGGGGAGCTGTTGGTTGGCTTATTCTCTGGACGCGGTGGTGCAATGGTCGGTCTGTGGGAGGCCCTTGCGGTTGGGCGTCAAGGACGGGGCTGTCGCCGAAGAGATGGCCGAGCCGGAGAGACGGATGAGGCTTGGAGAGGGAGCAGTGAATGGGAGATTGAGTGATGGAACGGATGCAAGGTACGGGCCGTCTCGTCGCTCGATGGGATGCCGTGATTGGGATGCGCGGAGTTCCAGCGTGTCTGAGGCTTGCAGCTCATCAACAAGGCACGACATGCGGCGGGGATCCCGCTCGGATATCTCTCCCTAGGCCAGGTTCCGAGCTGCTTCTGGAGCGAGCATTCTTTGGCTCTGGCCCAGGTGGTGGCACGCAGTTCGCTGTCCAGACTGAATCCGTCGCATTTGTCGTTGCACAGCCTCATTCAAGCGCAGGGGTTGCCGATGACTAACCGGCCCTGGCAGTGGGCGGCTTTTTTTCACACCACCCCCACCATGGTCGATTTTGTGGTGGTGGCCTGACAAACCAGGCCTTGGCCGGACCGTCCGCCTGTGCGTGGCTGAGAAGTGACGGGCGAGTGACCTGGCCAAACACGAGCAGCTGCCAGGGGCTAGCCTGGTACAGGGCCAAAGCCTGGGCTGGGCACCGCCGGAGGCCAGTGGTGCGTGTGCCGGTGCTGGGGCTAGGGCCTGAGGTACACCGCAGGTACAGGCCCACTGCGAGCGGTGTTGCGTGCAGCAGGTCACAGTTGGTGGTCCAGTGCCGCTGCACTTCCGTCTCACCTGCTGCCCGCCTCAGTGACTCTGACTGGCTGCCCCGCCCCCCTTCAGAGTTCTGACTCCTGCCCTTGCCTTCTCCTTCTTTCGACCCCTCTACCCTCCACTCCTCGCACTCACAATCCTGACCTAACAAGCAAATTCCCGCCACCTCTCGCCCCAGCTTTCCTCCAGCTTGCCTCCTAATATATATATATATAAGGGTCCCCGTCTCTTCCCCCCAACCGAACTCTCTATCGCATCCATCCAGGAACCACTATCGTCGCCAAGCCGTCGATCCAAACTTTGCTTTTTCTTCCCAGGCCGTCGTCAGCTGCCACATCCCCGTCCCCATCAACAAAACCCATTTCCCAAGGACACCCCGCGCACTCCGAGTTTATGTCCATCGAAAATCTCAAGACCTACGGTATGTCTCCCCTCCCCGCCTGCCCTTGGCTGCTGGCGACGCGACGTTGCGCCTGGATCCCTTGCTCTGCTGGAAGGATTTGGTGATGTCACCGCGCTTGTCACAGCTGTTGTCCCGCGTGACCCCCTGATGAGTCAAGGTTTTCGCATTCAGCTTGGGATCGGTTTGCCACGCGCGCCGCAGCCAGAGATCACGCCCTGGTACCATTGCTAACACATTGCCTTCAAGATCCCTTCGCCGAGGCCGACGAAGACACGGGCGAAACCAAACAGACTCAGAATTACATCCATATTCGTATTCAACGTATGTACACTCCCCCAGAGCCCTCACGAGACGACTGTTTTGACGAAGGCGCCCCGTACCGCATCCTCCGCGAGCCACGACTGACTTTTCACCTCTAGAGCGCAATGGACGTAAGACCTTGACCACGGTCCAGGGCCTCCCCAAGAAGTTTGACCAGAAAAAGATCCTCAAAGTCATCAAGAAGAAGTTCGGTGAGTTCTCTACCCTTGCCTTCTCAGCACCACCGCACGCGCCAAATAAAACAAACAAGCGCTAACCTGATGCGTCCTCCCTTAGCTTGCAATGGCACCATTGTGACCGACTCTGAGATGGGTGAGGTCATCCAGCTTCAGGGGGATCAGCGAAAGGACGTTCAAGAATTCCTCGAGAACAAGAAGGAGGGCTTGGGCCTTGATGGCAAGACCATCAAGATCCACGGTTTCTAAACCAGCCATGTCCTGCCGGGCGGCCAGCAGCCTCCTCTAGGTAGTGTGCCCCTTCTCGTCGGGCACGGACCCCGACGGGAAAATCCACACAGAGAGAGCGAGAGCATTGCGCTTGGCCCACAGCCCCCAGGTGTTCTCCTTCCGCACGGCAGGGAGGACAACGCAGCCAGGACATGATCGGGATCTACACTTGGGAATTGAGCGGTCCCTGTCCTCTTGCAAAGAGGCGGACTCCGAAGCCATTCGAGACTTCCTTGATAGATGCCTCCCGTACCCCCTTCAGGTATTGTGTTGACCACCTTGCAGCGGGATCAAGTACATGGGTTGCCTGTCTGCTCGGCCCTTTTACGCATCTTAGCGGTTTGATCGCGCTGGGAGTCGTGGGCAAGGCCTCGTGACTATGGCTTGCTGGGACACAATGATAACACTTTTTTTTTCTTTGCAATACTGGGCATGTTTCACAGGTAGTCTAGGAAATATGCAACAAAGCGTTCGCGTTGAAAAAAAAAAAAACAGACCTCCGTACACCAGGCGCCTTGCCTACGTAGAGTTATACTGACGTGATTCAAGAAGACACGAGAATGAAAGACAACCCCAAGTGATACAAAGTAAAAGACAGCCCCAAGCCCCTATGTGGCAGAGGCCATGCTATGCCCCGAACATAACTCAACAAAACAGTCTTGAAGCAAAAAAGGATGTAACGGCCGCCCAAGAACTAATACTACCAAAGGTATATATATATATCCTGATGGAAAAAAACCCCAACAACACCGTGGCTTTCGAAAGTGCAAATGCGAGGAAACGCCAAGACGCCCAAAATTTGCATTATGTCGCTCCGTCGCTCTCGCAAGAAAAAAAGAAAAAAGGGAAATCAGGCAATCATAACTCGCTGCTGCTGCTGGTACCGGATCCCGCCAGGTTGGACAGGACGCCGCTGTCCTGGACGCGCTGCCAGGCGGCCTGGCCCCACGTCACGATGGGCATGGGTGGGTAGTCGGGCTTGTACAGGTGCATGTGGAGGAGGAGGGTGACCATGGTGATGTAGCTGGCGATGGAGAAGACGTTGATGGAGGTGGACGTTTCTTTGCGGATGTTGATCTTCTGGTGCGTGATGTGGTAGCAGACGGTGAGGGTCTGTGCCGCATTGAGGCTTGGTGGTTAGCTGTCTTGGTTCATGTAAAAGGGCGGAGAATGGAGGGGGGGGATGTGAGACATACAGTCGCGATGCCGATCCAGCCTGGGAGGAGGAGGCGCAGGTCCTGGAACCCCCCCGCGAGGGAGAGGACGGTCATTGTGACGTAGGCGTTGACGGCGGCGATGGTGAGCAGGCGGACCATTGTGGCCTGCGGCGTGTAGTTGATGAGCCTATGGCAGAATACATGAGTTAGCTCCAAAGAAACGGAAACGCTGCATCCCATCTGCAGCTTGTAGATCCTCGGTCCCCCCCCACGAACCAAAACAAGAAACCGTGGGGGGACAGTAGCAAACGTAGGGAGAAAACGTACCATCTCGACATGAGACAGTCGGTGAAGAAGAAGGAGAGGTACCCGCACGCGAAGCACCAGATGGAGGCCAGCACCATCTCCGTCACGGGCAGCAGCACCTCCCCCTCGGCGTCATCGTAGGCCAGGGCGACGCCGCCGGCCAGGTAGGGCGGGCCGAGGACCAGCTCGAGCGCCAGGAGGAGCAGCCGCAGGGCGACGGGGGTGCCCCAGAACACGGCGGGCAGTATGGAGGCGAGGCGGAGGGTGAAGAGCCACGGGTGCCATGGCTGCGGGACGTTGAGGGCGACGGCGACGCGGGGCTGGAGGAGCGAGGCCGAGTTGGCGGTCGCGGAGCGGGACTTTTCGCCGTTACCGTCGTCGTCGGGGGAGGGGGTTTGGATTTTTGGCTCGGCGGCAAAGAAGGCGGCGGCGGGGGTGAGGGACGCGACGGGCGGTGGAGGGCAGGGCGATCTCGACGACGGCACTGAGGATGCGCGCTGGTGGGCGTGAGGCGGGTTGCTGGTGTTGCTTCGGTTGTGGCCGCGAAGAGACATGGCGCGGGGGCGGCGGTGCGCCCGGGCGACCAGGAGGAGGAGAGGAGAGGAGAGAGAGGGGAGGATTGTATTTCTTCGTGGGCACGGCGATTTACGGCATTCGAAGGTACGGCAATTGATTTGGCTGGTCGTCGATGTAGACACCTGGGTTAGGGTTTTGTTGGCTTGGGGAATAACCCCCCTTCTCTGCCGGGAGCACGCGAGCAAGCCTGGTGGATGAGCAAGAGAGGCCGGGAGAGAGCAGCAGTGGAGATGTGGTCGTTGGCGGTGGCTGCAATGGGCGGTCGAGCAGCAGCACGGCCAAGAGACCAACAGGCACAGGCACAGGCAAGCACAAGCCAGAATGCCTGCAGCTCCGTGTCGAGACGAGGATGACGACGATGGTGGGGCGTGTCCTCGTCGGCGGTGATTGCGGCAGTTTGTGCAACGCTGCAAGGTGGCGGCGAGCTCGGCGGGCGCAGGGCCGTTTATGGGGGTCTGGAACGGGACAGCCAGCGCAGCTCGTGCTTGTCTTATCACGACATTCATCAGTTTGCTGTCATTTCCGTCACCGCTCTGCAGTCTGGACATCATTCAGGGTGCCAATCAAAGGGCCTGCAATTGTCATTCGCTCTGTAATTCAATTGACCCCATTATAGCAGCCAGGTTCCTCCTCCCTCCCCTGCGCGCGCGGCGTAGTAATTCCATTAGCTGATGCAGCGTATTCATTCCCCTCGTCAACCCCAAGCCCTCGCGAGCCGCACCCGAAATACAAAGTGGTATCGTATTAAAGCCAAAATCAATGTCAATGCACAGATAGCAAAAACCGGGAGGCAGCCCGTGGCGGTGAAAGAGAAGGAGAAACATGTGTTCATAAATGAGGTATCAAGTCCGTCACCACCATCAATCATTCCGATAGCATAATATTCCCTCCAACTGGTATTGGTCCACTCTGATAAAGCTGGGTCGAGTCTGTTGATCCTCGCTCGCGTCCTCGCGTATAAAAATAAAAGAAGCCATGGAATTGAAACCATCCCAAATATGTCCTGCGAAATCAATTGCCCGGGGAGCAGTGAGAGCCCCAAATGCCGCTTGCTATAAACAGTCATCCCAATCCATCCTCTATAGAGTACCGGGAAAGCTCTCCCTTACTCCTCGTCCCCTTCCTCGATAGGAGCAGGAGTTCTTCTCTCCGTCCTTCTCTTGGGTCGTCGGTGTCGCGAGCTGCTGATGTTGCTCGCCGAGTCGTCGGGCATGATTTCAAAGTCGTCAATTCCACACTCGCTGTCGCTCACGTCGAACTCACTGCCAGCAGTGGCCCAACCGGGTCGCTCGTACCCCGAGGCATTCGAGTTGCCAGACCCAGGAGGAAGGACGTCGATGCGTTTCCTCATCTGGAGGTTCTGCATCAGGCCGGCGCCTCGTTGGCGGAGCGCAGTCCTCACCATTTCCGCCCGTCGGTGGAGCTTTTCAAAGGCATCCTCTAGAGACTCCATCCCGCTGTAGATCTCCCGCTCAATCTCGGCAATCGCAGCCATCTCCATCTCCTCGTCATTGGACACTGGCTGTCGTCCACCCATCGTCCCGGCCGAGGACAGGCTCACGAACGATGCAGGTGTGGCGCCGCGCGAGTATGGCGAGAAGGACCTGAGCCCTGTTGACGATGGCACACGCGAGGCTGGCCTTGAGAATGGTGTCGTGTTTCTCGAGTCAAATGCGGGGCTGCTGGTGTCCTCGGCATCAGCGCCGGACCACAAGAATCCGTCAAATCGTCCTGAAGTAAGAATCTCCCACTCTGAATTGTTGATGTTTGCCATCGTGACCAGTAGGTCGTGGGTTTGGGGGTTCTTGATCAGATAACAGGCGCACTCGGCATCACGCGGGGCCTGTGGAAGTCTGTAGAGCCGCTGCAGTGAGAGCCCAGTCTTGACCAAGAAGTCGTTGCGGGTCTTGGGAGCTGGCGTGGGGGCCCGCGTGGCTGGACGAAGCTCCCTTGACCCGGAAAGCAGTGCATTGAAGAATGGACGGTTATCAGCGTCCAAATTTGTGAGGATTGCAAACGTCAACGTCTCATCGTCCACGTCCTGTGATGGAGGAACGGGCGTCTCTCCCGTGTTGGTCAGCCATTTGTCCACTGCCGACCGCACTTTCTTCGTTTGGCGCAGGTAATGCTCCCTGAACTGTTCATCAATATCAGGGTCCATCTTCACGGGCGACCGTGGACGCAGTGGCTCTTCGGCTGAGATCTCGGCGGCCTTGGTGCCAATCTCGGCCAAGTCAAATGGAGGCCACTGGGGGAGCTCGATTCGTCCACTGACCCATTCCAGGACATCACCCCAGGCAAGTCCGCGGTGAATCTCGTGGCCCTGTTTATCACACATGACGCACGAGCAACCATGGGGAGGAAGGTCTCGAGAGAAGACATTCTCGAGTCGGTCTAGCAGACGTCGCGCCACTGATCGATGACCAGTGGCTACGGCAATGGACCCTTGCTTTCCGAGGACGGTCTGGTACTGATCGAGGAGGTTGAAAAATGGGGCAAAGAGAGTGTCGGCACCAGCGAGTGGTGGGTTTGAAGGGCGGGTACCATTTTGTCGAGGGAGGACTTGCAGGAAATTCTTTGGTGCTGGGTATGGGAGTCCTCCATTCTGCAAAAGGTAGTCTACGCGTGGCAGGTCTTGGATATCAATAGCAGGAGGAGGCGGTGGAGGCGGCGGGGGAGGAGCACTGGGTACGACCGACGCGGGCGTGGCGGTTTTGGATGGGATTTCGGACGTCTCTTCATCGTTTACAAGCGTAGCAGAAGCTTCGCCATGGATTGTGCCGTACACATGAGGGGTATATGGTACCGATTGGGTCGGTGTTCTTGGAGACGAGTCTCGCGGGCTAGATGGGGATGAGCCTCTCTCGCGTACGCTTCGTGTAGACGGCGATCCCTTTGATCCCTTGGACGAGCGGCGGGACAGACTCGATGCTCGGGAGTCTGTGCGAATTTTCTCGTATGCTTTGTGCTTGACGTAGGTTGCCTGGCTCGATGACCGGGACTTGTGGCTGAGCTTCGACCTCTCGTCTCGCAACGAGGCCGATCGTGACAGCGTCGACGCCCTTGATTTAGGTCGAGAGTTGGGAGAGGTTTCGAGTTTCGATGGAGAGCGTTCCGGCGTTGGTTCGGGAGGGCAAAGTACCGATGGCTCAGGGCCTAATTCTGACCTTGGTTCAGGGTGTTTTCCTGCTTCCGGTTCTGATTCGGGTTTCGGGTCTGGTTCAGCAGCTTCGGCCCCGGGTAAGACCTCCTCTTCAACGATGGGTTCATATTCTTCCTTTATTTCATACACTTCCTTTGGGGTTTCTTCGTCATGTTTCTTGTCGGCAGACAGATCGGTATCGGGAGGTGTTGGGGGTCGGGGGGATTTCTTGGAGACTGTCGACGATCGCCGAGGGAGCTCTGAGGATTTAGATCGCCTGGCTTCTTCGTCGCCAACATCTGTCGGCTCTGGAGTAAAAGGATTGGTGTGGCGGCTCAGCGTCGAAACATCCTCGCGACTGACGGCCTCCTTGCTGTGTGCCTTGCTAAACGAGGGGTAGGGGAACGAGAGGCGAGATGTGGATACGCCAGAGAACAAATCGCTCCCGGAGGTTGACCGGATCCTCACTTCATCTTTGTCCTTGTCTCGTTTGCGGTGGTGATGGTGTCGTCTCGACGACGCGTGCGAATGTGTCTCGCTGCCCTCGATGGGCTTGGGCCGGCTCGACTTGGAGGGGCGGTGAGAGCGCTCCTTGTCATCCCTGTGTTCCTTGTGCTTGGAGCGACGATGCTTCTCACGAGGGCGTTCCTCAGCGTCGGCTTCGGTTTCCCGCTCTTTGGAGGGCATTTTTAAACCATGGGGGACGGCGGTGCTGAGTTGTGCTCCGTCTCTGCGATGGGCTTATTCTTTTTTTCTCTCTCGACGGTCGGGGTAACGTCCGGGCGGCTCGATGAGCGTTGGGAATGAGGGTGGAGATTGCTGGGTCAGTGAATGTGCGCACGCTGCCTAAGGATAGGTGGAGATAATTCCGTCGAGCTGTTCCGGAGGGGTGAGTGGATATGGACGCAGGGACGGACGGGTTAATGCGAGCAATGCTGTCAAACGAAGCACAGCCCGGAGCTTGGAAGGGCGAAGACGCTGTGGTGAATGGGAAATGCTAGAATCAATGGAGGAGGATGGATGATTTGTTGGATGAAGGGAGGAGGAAGAAGGGCCGTTCGGGGTTGCGATCGCTTCTGCCGCTAGCCTCCCAGCCACAGCGAAGGGCAGCGCAAATTGAACAGCCGCCCCAGCCCAGCAGATGGCCGCCGTGAGTTGGCGTCCGTGTGGGGTGATTGATGTGTTGTAGGGGAGCCTGGGGAGCCAGTCGCAGGGGCCAAGGTGGTGGAGGTGGGAGTCGCGGTGGATCTTCAGGCTCCCAGACCACTAAAGTTAGGGGCTGCGCCAGAGCTGATTGATCATGAGGTGCCTGCTGAGGCAGGGCGGTCAACATTTTTAGCAGCAGCAGCCTAATCTGCTACCGAGGAGCGCTAGGCCTCAGGCGCGGTCCGGCAGACTACGGTGGGACCGGCTCTGAGCTTAGGCCATTGTGCACGTCTCATTGGCCAGCCGCTGGTCGCTGCCACGACGGCCACCTCGAAAATGCTCTGACTCAGCCAAGCGACTGGCTCGCAATGGGTGCATCACGGCCCCCTCACTACGCGAGGCAAGTCCATGCCCAACGGACGGACCTGTTCCCGCTGTCTAGGGTGACATTTCCTGCTGTAGAACCGCATTGACCTGCATATTGGGCCACTGAGATAAGATCAGGATTTCGTGCATCGATGCCCGAGCCTGCTGGATTAAATGCAGACCTCCTCCATGATCTTCTCTCGTCGTCCATCCGAAGCGAACTGGGAGAGTGACCCGAAAATTTGCGCATTGAACGTGATACATCGCCTGTCCGATTCTTGATCTAGCGCTGCACACAGTCGTACCGATTGCCTACAATCAATGCAGCATCCGGTTGACGCAACCTGAACCCGCCACATCAGATGACGTCTGGCATGACGAGCGCTGGCCAACCGAACACTCAGAATTCGCATGTGGCATGTGGCTGAGCACCATAAAGCCACATTTGTGTTTGCGAACGCCACACCACCACATTTGGGGTTCCGCCATCATCGCGAAATCCCAGGTATCTCCCTAGCCTCTCTCCCTATGCTAACTGTAGTGACCACCGCGCGTATGAATACTCGTACATTTCTGGGGCGAGGATGATGCCACATTCTAGGGTGGTTTTTTTTTATTTCTTCTTTAGCTGTGCCTTCTTGCCGGCTATAGAGTCATGGTAATGATTACTAAACATGTCATACCCGATATCAAGTTGTCTTGAATTCAGTCCTTTACACTGGATAATTCAATCGTCACGAGAGAAATTTTATAAGAAGGTTTGTGCATAGAGGTGTATGAAAGTCCTTTGTGTTAGAAAAGTCATTATGTAACCCTAAAATAGAATTCTTTCCTTTACAAAGTCAGTTTATGAGTCACAAACATACCTGGGTATCTTATGACTTCTCCCAATCACACAATATGACTCCCAGATCTTTCAAAACACCAGTATTCGCATTTCTCTTATCTTTGTAGCCATAGATATCACATCAAAGATCTTAGTTCCCATGGCTGCTGCGCCAATCATATGGATTAATGCCTTCCCAGGCACCGGCAAGTTTACAGTGGCCAAAGTTTTGGGAACGCTCATTCCGAAGTCAGTCGTTATCGACAACCATCAGCTCATCGACCCGGTAACATTAAGCCGGGACCATCCATGCTACCAAACTGAGCGCAAGAAGGAGCGTGAGAAAGCCTTCAACGAATATGTATTTAACCCCCGTTGGGCAGAACACACGATAATATTCACAGGTGAGAGGGAAGCTAGTTATTATTCCGCAATACTTGACCAGTACTTATACACCTTAGATTCTCAAACCACCGACCTGCTGGGTGAAGCTGTAGCGAGAGAGTATCAAGCTGCCGCCGAAGCCGCTAAGAGGCCTTTCACACCGGTGTATTTGACCTGTGACTGTGAGGTCAATATCACGCGAGCCACTAGCCATGAGCGGTTGCAAGGGGGCACGACCAAATTGACGGACGCAAAGATCATCAGGGATATTAGAAGCAGATGCAAAATCTTCCGGTTTGAAGCGGGAGATCGCCAGCCATGTTCGATTGATACAACAACCCTAACACCCGCTGATGCGGCGTCAAAAATCATAGAGTATTGCCAAGGTCTGGGACTCCTAAAGTCATAGATAATTACACTCATCCGTGAAACATCCAAGGATGCCAGCAAGTCCTACTACTAGAGAAAGAACAAGTGATATAGTAATAGTTTCTCATCTTCCACGTTGTTATGGTTGAGTATTGAACCTAGCAACATTATAGTGATATGGTGAAATAGCAGTCTGGCCTACCATCATGTATTTTGCTACTGATTAATGCTCTGTTCAAGTCTAACAACCAAATAATTCGTGAGACTGTTGGAGCCTCATTCTGACCCTGAGAGACAATTGCCACCCCAAGGATCTACCCCAGTCAAGGGTGCTATGGATATGGTTATACTATGGCCAGGTCTTAATGACATGTTTCTGGCTAGATATGCAATGAGACAGGGAATAGGAAATCTGAAGAAAGGAGACAGAGCAGCAGCTAGCGTTTCTACTCTTCAAAGGTTGGGATAAGCCTAAAAGCTGTGGTCAATAGTGTCACTGGAGATAACAATCGATTTACGAACTTGCTATTCATCCCAAGAGCCAACGCCTATGGTTGGATTGATGTAGATGGCGGCATCTACCTGCGCGGACCTCGGGCTCACCAAGAAAGAATCGAATGTAAAGATCTACGTAAGGTTCCATGAACATGGGATGCCAGCTGTAAGCCTGCTATTAACCATCTGACATCAACACCCTACCATATCGACAGAGATGAGGCGGTTGAATTGACGACTTTCACCTATTTCTACGGCGAACGCCAAATTGTCAAGTATGTTGACGTTTTGATCAAATCCAATGACGCTTCAGATTCTTCATTCAAATGGGATAGGATGAGTCAGGTATACGTCTCAAGTTCCCATTTCGCAGAGTCTAGTCTATCGTACAATTCTCTTTAATGTCCTTCTTTCAGGAATAATTTGATGGTCCTCCCGATTTGAGTTGGTTGATTATTACAAAGGTACACATGCTGATGTTAACGTAGAGGAGGGCACTCTACCCTCCATCATTATAGATTGAAAGTCTTGGATAGGTAGGAGCGGTATAAATCCTCAAACAGCCTCGCTCACTTTAGACTGAGCATCTCATTGAAATCAAACGCGTGAACCACCCCTATCATATCAGTTCGCTTAAGCGCCAAAATGTGTCTAACGATCTAAACACCCGTCAAGCGGCAAGAGTCAAGGCAACACTATCCGAGAGACAACGATGTATATTTGAGTTGAGAACACTGCACCTGTGGCAACAAATAAGGCGAGACACCACTATGGAAAAACCGTGGAGAATTGATTGTACACACCGCATTCAAGTTGCACAGCCTCTGTGGCCCGGCATATAGAGGCCAATTTGTCCGTTACATGGTCGACCAGTTTAGAGAAGTGACACAATTTATTGGCGAAAGCGGAGGGATTATTTCCTTGGAATCGTTCACATTCAATGACCATAGCCATATTCTCCCAAAAGTCCTCTCGGCCCGTAGAAACAGGTAAACCACCATGTGAAAAATAATAATCCTAAGCCTACTTAGCCAATGCTGGAGAACTCCTGCTTGCATATTGCATGCAGATGAGTATTCAACAGCGTCGTCCTTTAGCCTAGGCCACCCAGCACGGCATATATTGAATTGGTTCCCCTTGTAATTGATGCTAGAATGGTATTCATTGTGTTGATATGTCGAGTCTGGCATCTTCATTGCTGTTTTTTACTTTGTACTCGAACTCTCTCACCCCGAATCTGAGCCTCAAGTTCTCATGGCTTCTGGGCTTGGCGTTAGCGGTTTCTGTCAATCATCTATGATGGGGGCTGGCGGCTTGGTCTTCCCCAACATACCTGGTCTTAAAATGATGCAGCCTTGACATGCAAGCTCCTTTACGGTGTGCGACATCAGGAGATTTGCCCAAGGGATCAGTTTGAACATATGGGATCGACATGAACGTCGCAGACGTGACCGTATTTCAATCGTTATCAACATCCCATCGGAGCAGGGTGCCAGGCTTCAGATACCAGGTTTTGTTGTTTTTCTCAAGCTTCAGGTTTCTTCTACTGACTGGAGGACCGTCTCGGGGGTTCGGCACGATACGTATTGACGAGATGCTGATCATAGCATCGACTGGGTCGATTTCTTGGTGTTTGAGTAATTCCTCCTTTCTTTTCAGCAGCGTATTCATTGTGTTGAGATTGAGGTCGGGTCTGGCATCTTTGATTACTGTTTTTAACTTTATACTCGAACTCTCATCCGTTTTCCAGCAGCTACAGCTGTTGTTAGCCTATTTCAGTAAGTGATGTGACGAAATATACGTACGATTGTTAATGATAAGCTACCGAGTTCCTGAGGATTCCCTGTTCTCGATCGCCACTGCACTGTTGAGTAACGTGCGGTTACGTGCCAGTAGATTACTGCTTGCGCGAGAATGAAGAAGTCGTCGTTTCGCCTCCTCCTCCTCCTCGATAGACGCGAGGAGCACGTTGCGCTCCTTGTCGGGCTCTGGCAGCTTCCATTGCTGTTGAACTTTATTCTCTTTCTCTTACGTACGTTGCGCTCCTCCTTGATCATCCAATTCTTGCCAAGCCAAAGAATTTCGTTTGAGACTGATTGTTGTAGTTCCTAGCGAGATGCTGCATAACCTGCATAGCTCTCTCAACCACTATTGCGTATCGAAATGATTAGAGGCACTGTGCTTGAAGCCTGGAGGAGAAGAGTTTGGCTCAAGAGCGGGATCAGATTCTCCATCGACGTCGATTGCAGGCCGACGAGGAGTAGAAACTTTCATGCTTTGGAGTTGACTTACCTCTGATGAGATCCAAAAGGCCAATGTTCTTGGCCTTGATGTCGCGCCGTGTAGCTGCAATAGCTATGTGGTTTATCAGGCAAAAAAAAGCCAGGACAACCCAAGCGGCTAGAAGGAAGCTTTTTTTGGCCCACAGGCGACTTGGCCATCTAACTCCTGCAATGGTTATTGTTGAATCTTTGTCGCGGAGACGAATTTGGATCACCTGGAGAATTCCTGGCGCTTCAGGTAGGCGGCATACCAACGGAGTGGTGAGAGAAGGAGAAGGAGTTCGTTGTGAGAAAGGGAAGGAGCTTGTTCAGATTGAGAGAAGGAACTAGCCCAGGTTGTGAGAAGGGGAAGGAGTTGGTGGGGGGCATTTGAAAGAGCTTCCTGGCTGTGGCGCGGAGCTTCAAGTCAATGGATCGGAATGACACCTTAAGTTAAGGGGCGTGGCTGTGTGGCTGAGAAAGTGAGGGTGCCTTGGCATACGTCCCCCGTGCATTTGGGCATTCACGCACCAATATCAGCTTGTCAGCAACCGTATTCTTCGAGCATCAGATCTTAGAAACCTCCGTGGTACACCACCAACGCTCCCAATCATTCAATACTACTTTGATCCACCATGCATCTGAGGTACAATGTCGCGCAGTCTCTCGATGGGTTCATCGCCCCGCGAGACGAATCTACCTCTTGGATTGTCGAGGACGAATCCATCGATTTCGACGCACTTCACGAAAGCTTCGACTACTATATCATGGGCCGCCGGACGTGGGACATTATGTGCACCCTCGAGCCAAATCCGTGCCTCAAGAAACTGCCAGGCGCGGTCATTGTGATCAGTCGCACTCTCAGGCAGCAAGACCACCCAAACATCACGATCTTGAGGGATGGGTATATCGATGTAATCCGACAGCTGAAGAAGAGGCACGGGAAAGGGATATGGCTCATGGGAGGGGGCTGGCTTGCTGCGGAATGTCTAGAGGCTAAGCTTTTGGACGCAGTTGACGTGGCCGTAATGCCCGTGTTGTTGGGGGATGGGTTCAAGATGGTAGAAGGGGGTCTGAGCGGATCCTGCTACAAATTGGAGCTGCAGAGCTTGGACAGGCTGTATAGCTCAGGGATCCTGATGACCAAGTATCAAGTAGTCTATGAGTAGATACAAGTCTCTCGAACTGGGCCCTGGTCCATCTTTTCGCTAACGGCACGATGAATCATAAGATCCGGTGCCCAGGGGCTAGGTAAACTGGGTTACTTGTTAATTGCACCCGCCCAAGAATCAATGTGTTTGCTCTAAGGTCTGGAAATATTACATGGCAATCAGGTAGGGCCAGCTGTACTATTTCCATCCAGCAAAATATGCTTCTCCATCCAAGGGTACAGTGTTGATTTTGCCCACTCGGCAAGATGTCGAAGCATGGCAAGCACCTTGTAACAGCCCAGGATTGAGTTGGTGTTGCCAACTGAGATCGTCTCAATCAAGTCAATTCCATCCCCAGTGTCCCTCGCGAACCAGAGGGACCATTCGCCGCCCCGGACGATGAGGAGAGGTAGCGTCACACCGACTGCAATAGCATCATTGGAAGTTCTAGACAACGAGCGTAGTCGGGCAAAATGGCCAGTTACCCAGACGGATAATTGCGTCTTGGCTACTTCGTCCGAACCATTGGGGGTTTTGCTCTCAATACTAACGGCAATGGGTCGGTACAAGAGCGGCTGGTAGTTGGTATGATTGATAAATGGGGTCTCGGGTGCCAACTTCAATCGCTTCTGTACAGCTCTAGTAGTTTCACGGCCACCAAGACAGATGCAAAAATCGACCATTTTGCCCTCAAGGGCGAGACCGGAAGAGTGCCGCGGCAAGCAGGATTTGGTGATTGGAGCACGAGTCACATCCCAGTGGGAAACGATCCCGTCGAAAGGTTCTAGGGCCGTGTCAAGAATATACTCGTGCACTCGCGAGTTCCACGAAGCCTCAGACACATTCTCTGCTGCGCACTCGATCGTATTGCGAACAATCTTTTGAACACACTTGAGCTCCAGGTGAGCATCTAGAGAAGGGATGTACGACCAGGGAATCTGATCAAATGCCGCATCAGTGGCGGGAGAGGGGTCCAAGATAGTTAGAGCTTCCAAAACTGTCGGCAAGGCCTCGCGGGGAATGGTGGCTCTTCCCTCTCTGGCATCACGGATGCTGAAGAACAAATCGGCGACATCATCAGGCAGGTCTTCTTTGCGTGCGGCACGGACTCGGCGAACAGGTCGATCCGCGAGCTCGAGACTACCCATGTTCTTAGTTGGGCTGCGAGAGAGTCTAGACCGACTGTCGGACGTGGCTGTTGATGCCGACTGCCTGGACTTCGACCTTGCTGAGCTTGCATCATCATCACGGTCCAGGTTGTCGAAAGTAATAGGACGGGCGCTCAAATCAAATCGCCGCCGTTTAGATGCTTGGTGTGATACTCTGGGTGTAGTATCAGGGTCTACAAGGGCAGAGTCGCCAGGATTGCTCGGAGGAGGGGACGATACTCCCATGTTTATCGTCGCGGTCCCATACGACCGCTTGCGCTTCGGTGGTGGTGATGGCGGCGATGGCGGCGATGTAGTCAACTGCTGAATCCACGTCTCGACGAGGGCTGGCTTCATTGCCGGCGCCGTCCCCGATCACAAAGTGGTTGTCTCTCGTAGGGTGGTGATGCTGACGATGATGATGTCGAAGTTGGTAGATGCAAAGGAAATGCGGGGCCCTTTGTTGATACAAACTTGCGTTGGCCAGACAACTAGGACCCACTCCTTTTTCCTACCATGTAGCCATTCACAACTCCACCTCAGGTTTGGCATAATGCATAACTGGATTTATTACACAAACAAAAGGTATTGATTGATAATACTAATTCATTTTCATGTGGTGATAAAAGTAGGCATTTGGCTGTAGACAGGCGTTGATAGTATCAGCTTATTGACAAAACTAGCTAAGCGACAGCTGAAATGCGTCGACTTCTGATGCAAAAGGCAGAAATTTTAGAACAAGTAACTCGACGAAAAGTCCCGTGGCTACCTTCTGAGTATGGCTAAAATGAAATTGTAATGTCATGTGTGCGACTGCACTTAGCATCGATATGCAGTCGGTACGACCCTACTGGTTGTAGTGTCGCATGATTGTAACAGATCTCCAGCATTCGGGAGCGGCAATTCTACCTTCAGCCGATCTAGCCATTAGTGGCGCACCAATCAATCCTGGCTCGTGCAATATGGGAAGGTGAGTCGAAGCTGGTCCGGATTATCGGCAGTGGAAACGCAAGCTAAGCAGCTGACGATCCATTGTTCAGCTTACACCCGGCTATGCCCTGGCCAAGTGATGAAACGTGAAGATCCCACGTGCCTGAGCGTCACCCCGATTCGAGCAGAAAGAGATATTTCCCCGCAAGCCGTCTTTCCAGAAATGTTCTGCATTGCGTGATCAGCGTCTTAGTTCCTTGCAGACGATGCCGTTAGAGCCGGCAATTGTTCCACTAACTACACGCTTTCGGACTATATATCGCACACTCTTCCTCGCCCTTGGCCTACATTACCAAAGCGCCAATAGAATTGTAACATCCGAAACTATCTGTCCGCTTTCACAGTAGCCCGGCACAATGAAGTCTTTCGCAGTTCTCCTCCTAGCCACGCTTGCGGTCTGCAAGCCCACGGTGTACATGATCCGTCACGGTGAGAAGCCTGACGATGTTGGCACAGGCTTGAGCACACAGGGACAGCAGAGAGCACAATGCCTTCGCAGCGTATTCGGTGCGAGCTCTCAGTACAACATTGGATCCATCTTGGCCCAGGAGTACAAGTCCAGTGAGTCAAAGCATCTCGTAGCTAAGGTCTGCCATGACAACTAATTCACATCGTGTTCCAGATGGCAAGAGAGAGCGGCCATACGACACCGTACTGCCCGTGGCCACTGATCTTGGGCTGACCGTCGATACCTCATGTGACCGAGACGACAGCAAGTGCGTCAAGAAGGCTGTGAAGAACTACAGCGGCAGTGGCAATATCCTCATCTGGTACGTCCTGAACCGAACATCGGTCAGCAGAATAGGGCTAACTAACTCTCATCAGCTGGGAGCACAACGAACTCACTAGCATCGCTGAGGAACTTGGTGTTGATGACGCCGGGGACTACCCCGATGATCGGTTCGACCTGATCTGGACACTCCCTTCCCCTTATGACACCATCACATCCGAGACTTCTGAGCAGTGCCCTGGCCTCGATTCATAAGCTCAAGATAGACCGATTCGGATCAATTGTACATAGAGAGTAAATAGAATTTAAAAAAACCATAACAGTATGGTGCTGGCAGTTTTCTCTCGTCGCAAGTGATCCATATTTATGATAATATGCAGCTTTCAGCGGCTGGCCACGTGCTGGCAAAGCCTAGTCGGACGCACTTCGCAATTCTCGTCTAATGATAACTTCCTTCGTGAACTTAGGCATAGAGAAGAGTTCCGCCGAACGTATGGTTGAGATAGGCTAGTGGAGATACTCAATATGTAAGTGAGATACACTACCCCATCCCCTGGGAGTGGCTGTTGAAGAGTTACAGTGAAGTTCGCAGGTAAGTCTGGTCTGGTGTGGCAGCTCCCTTTTGATCAATAATCCGCCCCTTGAATTTTTATCACCTTGTCAGACAGCTAGAGGTCAAGCTACACCGCTTTGCCCTGGGTGGCAGGTATCGAATGGCAACGCCGCACCATTGGCGACGACTCTGTGATGTGGTGGGAGAAGCGTGGTTCAATACCCTGTTCTCACTTGTCCATGACTGATGAGTTCAGGAGCAACTATTGCACATGATTTATCTGACGTACCATTTCACTACCCAGATAATGCAAAGTGCAATCCGTGTATCAATATGAGGCAACCGAAGGGACGACTTGTGACTCCAGAAAGGAAGTGATTTTCGGTTCGAAGGCTGTGGCCTGCACACAACTGAAACCTGAATGCCGGATTGCCGGTGAGGACGGAACCAGGAGCATCTAGACCGCCATCCTGGTTGTATTTAATGATTGTCTCGCTAAAAGCCGGCCACAAGCAGGCCCGAGCAAAAGCGTACAAGGTGGTACGCCAGTCTAATGCGCACTCCTAGCTAGGAAATTCAGGGCTCGCACGGCAGGAATATCATATTCATATCGGCCAAATCTAAGCGATGGGTGCGAATGTAAAGAGAGAAAAAATCATCTGCCCATGAATGGAGCTTGGCGGTGCTCGTGTTCTAAAACATGTGGGTGTGTGGCGCTTAGTTCATCCCGTCGAGTGTATTTGATTGTGAGACAGTTCGGGCCTTCTGAGCAGCTCGATCCAGAATGACTCAAATGCTCTCACTGAGAAACAAATTAGTCATGCAACTTATCCAGGATCAAAGGCTCAGACTTCTGGATCTATAAGAGGGTCGCTTTCCCCCGTTCTCGTAACGTCTAGATAGGCTTCAACGAGTCTTCAAGATAGTCAATATGAAAGCTCACGCTTTCTTTATCGGTGCCTCTGCGGCCCTCGCTATTGCTGGAACAGCTCCCGCAAAGGATAATGAGAATGACGCCCAGAAACGAACGCCCGAATCCGGCAACAAGTACTGCGGCGGCAAAGATGAACATTGTTCCGCCAATAACCAGTGCTGCAGCGTAAGTGAAGTGTGTTATATCCGAATAGCAGTTCGATTGTGCTAATGAGATTTATGGCAGAAACAATGCACTTGGGTATGTGACATACCTTAGGTTTACTACCAGCGCGAACAATTACTGACCATCTTGATAGCGCCCTGGCGACCCTCACAGGCGTTGTGTAAGTATCTCATGGATCGAAACCCCCATATACACGTTACTAGGGTAAGCTAACATGGAGCTCTGATACAGGAGGGAAATTGAGCTCGTATCGAGTCGTGAACAGGCTGGATAGACTCCATCCTTGTTGGGCGAATGAGTAGGATCACTCTACTTGATGGCACCACCAAGCTAGATTCAGCTAGGGGGGATACTTTCAATTAGATTTGGCCTGAACCTTGATGTGTGGTCTTAGTTTCGTACGATAATCAAGCTAGCCACTTAACATGAAATTTCCCCACGAACACTGATGATGATTGTTGTGATTTCTGCCTTAGGATTCAGATTTTGGCGGTAAAAAGATGGTGCGGGGTATCTTACAAGACTTTAGACTTACGCGTTATTTTCATGTCCGTCTAGGCACTGAATACCGTTCAAAATCTCTCATCATGGTTGATTTAGCCGGCAAGCCTTCCGTTGCATCTGGCCAAGAATCCTTCAGTTGCCATGTGTGCCGTGCTATCGTCGACAGTTTCGAAGGACTCAATGACAACGATCTTGAGCCGTGCCTTGGGGATGTCAAATCTATTCGTGCAGCACCTTGCCCCCACCATGCAGGCTTGCTCAAGGATGAGCTATGGAGGCTTGGTCCAGTTGAAGACTGCGACTCTGGATTACTCGGCTTGATCCGAGGGCGCCGATCAAAAACAATATTCTTGACCTTGGACGGTGAAGAGCACCAAGATAGCCAGGATGAGTCTGGTGAAGACGATGGAGACGGTGGTTCGGATGATGAAGAGTCAAGTGGCGACGATGATGATTCCGATACTTATAATTCTACAGACCAACTTGCCTTGGTTCATCGACAGGATATCCCGGATCATCAAGGCAAGGCGAAGCTTGTTGACAGCGAATGGTTAGATGTGAATACCGTCCGTGGTTGGATTGAGACGTGTGAAAGAGATCACCCGAACTGTAGAGACTCAGGGCTTTGGCCTAGTGAGGACTCTATACGACCTAATTATCTCATTGATGTCATTGATCGTCGGCTCGTTCTCGGAGATCACGCAACGGGTGACTACGTCGCGTTGAGCTATATCTGGGGCCAGGCAAAGACGCTCCGCACAATGGCTGGCACTCTTGGCCAGCTCTTGGAGTCAGGAGCTTTTCGAAATGAGGAATTTGGAAAGCAGATACCAAAGACTGTGAAGGATGCAATGGGTATCGTGAGTTGTCTTGGTATGAGATACCTCTGGGTTGATGCACTGTGCATTGTTCAGGACGACCGCGAGCAGCTTGGTCTGGAGCTTGGCCGGATGCCAGGCATTTATGCCTCTGCGTCCTTCACTATCGTCGCCGCAAATGGCGCGGACGCCAGTCACGGTCTCCCGGGATTCAAGGGTACATCTTCCCCACGAAGCCTTCACCAAGTGACTGTGAAGCTGGCCGGGTCAGAAATGCTCGTCGTCACACCACCAATCCCTCGATCGAGCGGATCAGCGGCATATCGCAAATTGCAGATTCCCTACCACCAACGAGCTTGGACGTTTCAAGAGTATCAGTTCGCCTCGCGGAAACTCACCTTCCAAGGAAACACTGCCTTTTGGCGATGCTCTCAGGCAGAGTGGTGGGAAGATCTTCACCAGGCGCCCGGGATGGATACACCAGAAGTCCAAGAATCTGAGGGCATATTGAAGATCAGAGCCCCGGTGCTTTCCTTCTTGTCCCATATGATTCTGGAGTTCAATCAGAAATCACTGTCATTCCCTGAAGATGCCGCCTCTGCTTTCACTGGGCTACAGAATGTCCTCGGCAGTCGGGTGTTCCCAGGTGGACTTTTATACGGGCTTCCAATCTGCTTCCTTGAGATAGCTCTTCTGTGGTGTCCTAGGAGTGATATACATCGACGTGTTCCTACAAAGAAGCAAGAGTCAGATGAAGCAATCCCAAAGAGTCTCCCGTCGTGGTCTTGGCTTGGCTGGCATGGCAATGTGGCATTCCCGGACGACTGCGAGTTTGCTGCATACAGCGGTGGTAGTTTTGAAGAGAGAGAGGGATTCGTATCTCCAGTTACAGAGTGGTGCACAGTTACATCACCATCGTCTGGATGTTCAGACAAGCAGGCACTTGTACCAGGATGGTCTGTATGGAGAAAGGAGGCGCAAAAGGGGGATAGCCTCGCGCCTGAAGGATGGGAACGACAAGATTTCGAGGAGGGTCAATTGGAGCCAGGGGACAAAGGAGGTCTTCCTAGATATACTCCCCAGTTCTCCTTCGAAATTGAATCTTTTGCAGCGGCGTCTCGACAAAGCAGCCTTGTCCCTAGGTTGCTTCATTGGTATCCCATCCCCGTCTCCAGTGGCAAGTCGGGCGAAGCTACCGTCCACCAGTCAGCATATATTTCTTGCCGTACCGAGCGAGCGTTCCTGTATGGTGGCTCTAGGATGGGTGCTCTGGAGCCTCCTAGATTGCAGTTACTGGATGAAAAGGGGGGACTTGCCGGATACCTGCAACTGCACAACGAGGGTGAGCTTGAGCAATTCCAGACTACAGAAACACCTGGAAAGCGTGTTGAGCTGGTATCCATCGCCAAAGGCTACACAGGGAGACTGAGCGGTGGTCACAAGGTGCCGGAGGTAGAGGGAGATGGAAGTTTACGGTTTCGAGACTGCCTGTTCGTGCTTTGGGTCGAATGGAATGATGGCGTCGCATTTCGAAGAGGATCTGGTGTCGTCACTCTTGAAGGCTGGAACGAGACATGTGGAAAGGATTTTTGTGACTTGGTGCTTGGCTAAATACTCTTGCCGATGCGTTGAATAGGTAGAACGTTGTATGCGATGTCACACACAAAAGCATCGCTGCAGCAGTCACTATCAACGGCGCCACAGTTGGCGCATAAACGTGGCTGGCGTTGCGGGAGCCTCAGGCACGACATTGATCATACCACCGGTTACCTTCTTTGCGGGACCCTTGCCCCCTATTGTCTTTCTGGGACTCTTGCCTCCCATTGTCCGTCTGGGAGGTTCGCTTCCCGGGTCCATCAACTCTTCTTCCATGTCCGACGACTCGTCGCCTGACCCGTTTGACTCATTTTCGGTCAGTTTGACAAGTTTGTCTTTGAGTTGTGCGTTGCGTTTGGTCAACCTCAGAATCTCACATGTCAGACGTTGGTTTTCCCGGTCCAGGCGTCCGTTCTCTGTCTTGTCGTGGTCCGTCAGTTTGACTTGGACCGGCTCGGAGTGTCCCGTCAGTTTGGCCTGGACTGGCTTGGAGTGTTCCGTCAGTCTGGCAGGTAGGTACGTTACTTTCTCTTACCTTACCTCGGAATTTTTAACGAGTTTCAGTGACAGGAATCTCATACAGCCGACGTTCAGCACTAAGAACTTTCCGCAACTCCAGCCTTCAGAACCCTGTACAACTTTGACCTTCAAACTTCGCCCAAGTTTGTCCTCCAATGCCCACAACTACCAAATTATAATGCGCATGTTTCTACCTCCACACGACGATCCAACACAGAGCGACGTGTGGCACCTCGACGGGCTCCGGACGACCCTACACCACATACTGCTCTACCGCCTAGAGGGCAAGGACATTCAGAGGAAGGGTGGGCTCCACGCCGAAGTCTACAAGCGAGTCAGGGCCATAATCGGGGACCCTAAGGCGTTCAAGAAACCTCCTTCTCTAGAGAAACGCCTCACGGAGTGTGCGAAGGTTAACTTTGAGTGGTTCGAAATGCTATATTTTTTACTTTTAGGCTTATCACTAATGCATTTGCTCATCAAGCTATACTTTTATCGAATTCTGGCTGATGTCCGGAGTTGCCTGGACGTGTACAAGACTATCGAAGGGGTCCCCATTCTACAAGTGTCTGCCGGCTTCTTCGTTATCTCTTCCTCCCTCCGCCCTCCGCGAACAGACGTAAATGTATCGCCTCCCGTTTCTAAGTGGACTTCACCGAAGGTTATGAAACCATAGCAGGTTCATACCTCGCGTTCTGACTAGAAGAAAAGAACCGAGCAGAGGCTATCGAACCGCACGCCCTTCTCACACGCAAGTGCCGACAACCGTAACCGTTCCTCCAACACTACACGTGATCTATTTCGATGTTGATCCACACAGCGAGTGCTCACTTTGCAAAGATCCAGAAATCTCAAAGCACCCCATGGTCAGATTCACGGAAGGGATCCACATTACCCGAGAAGAAGCGATGAAAAAGCATCAGATTCTCACGAAGATCGGAGATGTGAAATACCGCGACGAACAGACTGTCCTGGGTATCGAAATCGACTCTACGAGCAAGGAGGAGATGGAAGTCCTGTCAGAGGATGTGGAAAACAACTCGTCAATGTGGGCGGGGTTTGGGGCAAACAAAGAGGGAGATGGATAGATATAACATACGTTTCCAGGATCCAGTAGTGCTTGGTCACGCACTGAGCGGCTTCCGTCGTCTCTTCCTTAACGCCAATGAAGATTTCACTCTGCTGTTGACCGATGACTCCCATCTGCTAATCGAGATAATCAATGAGGCTGGACAGCATATGAATATCAAGGAGCTGGGGCGTATGCGTATGAGGTTGGACTAGGTCAGCGATTTGGGTTACCCCTTGCTGCCGTCTAGGACAAGCTGTTAGGGAACATAAGCACAGGTGCGCTGAGGATTGTTTCCACTTCGTAGACAGTCATGTTAACTATTCAATTGTTCTCCGCCCTCAATAAGTAATATCATTGCAGCTAGAAAGATCATTGGCGTGAGATCATTGAGCGATGCCACCCCAACCAACAGACTGCGCCTATCTATAGTTGATATAACCATGCGCACCGACCTCCTTTTGTTCCAGGGCTCAATATTGTTGAAGTTGTGTCATGATGGAATCCCAGGCCTTTGCATTGAACATGCCCATGATCCACACGTTTCCATCGTGATCTTTGCCCAGATTAATACCGGCATTTGCCCCACGCGTGATGTTCAGAGGCAGAGCATAATAGAACCGAGGACTTCCCAAAGGGTTCGACCTCGTACTATCGCCCTCCCCCTGCTTCACAACAGCGGGTTCAAACTGGGCTACGTGGAAGAAGGTGCCCCTGGCCCAGTTCGTCGACACCAGCAGCTCGCCATTCGGAGGCCCGGAAAGAATCATGGGATCCTGACCAGAATCCCAGCACTTCCGCATGATGCGCATAAGAGCGGCCAATTGGCCTGGGGTGGATTGCTGTTGCAGTGACTTACGACAGGCCAAAGCAATTTCACCCATCGAGGAGTGAGCCAAGGTAGGCGAGATGGTTGTAAAACACTCCGCCAGCATGTTTTGGATATAGGAGAGCCCCTCTGTCTTACTTACGCCAGGAAACCGTCCTCGCAAATCCATATAGTTCATGAGGATGATTGACCGGGGCTTCGGTTGAGATTCGCTGACGGCTTTGGTGTACACTGACAAGAGAGCGTCACTTTCGCTGACCCATGGCGTCTCGCCCTCGTTGGCGGAACCTGATGCTATATCCCGAATGACATGAGTGTGCAGATTCTCGAGCGTCTCTTTGGGTAGGAAGAGCAGCCTCTGCTCCAGCCTACTGCCCCATACCTGGTCCCAGAAATAATGAAAAACGAATAGGAGGAGGCGGAAACCACTCAAGCGTGTGGGTTCGAGTGAAGACTCCTGTCGCTCCTCTTGGGGCTCTTTCTCTGGGCCCTCGTACAAGACATCAGAATGAATTCCGTTGAGAGCCGGAACCTCTGGCTCCCTCCCAGCCAGCACGAGCGACCAGGCATTTACAACAGCCCTCACGCCCATCGCGTCAAAAAGATGGTGCGACCAGGTCAAAGAAACCATCGTGCCGTCTTCAAAGGATACAATGTGCAAAGACAGGGCAGGGTCGTCGCTGGCGAAGTAATCTTCCATTGTAGCCTGCACGTCTTTCCGGTACATGAGCGGACGGGCAGTCTCCAGTGTGTCGACAAACGAGTGGAGGCGTGGACCTTTGGTTGGCTGAGGGATCTTGGACGCCAGAGGATGCTCTCCCATCTTGACGCTGAAGACATCGTGCGAGTAATTGACTGCCGGTCGCTCAGGGGTGAACTGGGGAGGAGCATGCAGCTCCAACTTGCGTCCGGAGCCTCGTCTCAAGCGGCCACCCAGCTTCCTCCAATCACCAATCTCCAGCAGGCGGCACAGTGAGCCGTGCAGCTTATCGGCATCGAGCACGTCGTTGAATTGCCAGGTGGTGGTCCAAATGATGTCGTCAGAGCCCCTGTTGTCCATGAAATGCGTCGAGTAGATTAGGTCGCCATCGACGAGCGGCAGAGGCGGTCGACCGCCGCGGAACCAGCGCAGTGGGTTCATCGTGCCGCGTCTGAACCTTTACTAAACGCAAATTAATGCTGGAATGGAACTTTGGGAATGTGATTTAATTATCGGTGTCGGGGCAGGTCTTCGATATATGTAAGTGGCAGAACTGAGCATTTAGAGGCGGTAAGCTCGGCTTCAATTTGGGCCGCTGATAACGAGGCGTAAAAAAACTGGGACGCTGCTTGCTGACATTGCCCTATTCAGGTGATTTTCCGCGCAGGTGCAGGGAACAGATCCAGGGTGAGCCTTACCAGATGACCCCGGAAAGAACAAGGTCCCTTTTTCTCCGTTGACAGCATGTCATTCCATCTGTCCAGGAAAATTCATGCACAATATTGTTCTCCAAAGGAATTCTTTTACAAACTGGGCGGCGATGGGAGCTAATATTTGCACTGTAATGTCATTCGCTTCTGTAGTCCTTACCTGATATCTGTGACGGTAGGTCCTACACCATTGAGCATTGTAACCCACACCTTGATAAGAGAATCGGCGCAAACTTGTCATGGGAATTTTCCCTGGATAATGACGCAGATAGGACGGCTGTTCCAGAGAGTAAGACCGATAGTAGTAAGCAGTAAGTACCTAGTAAGTAATACGGGTGAGAGCTCTGCAGGTTATGTAGCAGCTTTTGCGGGGGGAGAACAATAAGAAATCGACAAATTGATGCTATTCCCAGCATCATAGCACCGTCAGGACATCAAAATTCGGCCTTTTTACCCGGCTACGAGACTTGCACTGGACCGTAAATCAGGGAGTTTGGGTAGGAAACCTAAGAACATAGGTAGGCACACGAATGAGATGGCTCTCGAGCTCGGCAGCATCGCTACCTTTATACGAGTTAGAGGCTCGCGATGCTCAAGTTTGGGGTTCACCCATTACCAGGTATTTACCTGCTATTTGACAACACAGCGTACCGGGGCAAGTCGTACTCAAGGTTCGGGGAAGGACATAAGGCACGCGAGACACTATGTCCTTTCGAACTGGCAGTCTCAGTCTGTTCAAGTGAGTGCCTTGCGGCAGGCGCGGCCTCCTGCTCCTGCCGCGCTTGCCCCCTCTCCTGCTGTGCTTGTCCCCTCCGCTCCTGCCGTGCTTGTTAGAACTTGCGTTGGCCCTGCCCTACTTAATGAATTCACCCACATCCTCTATGTGCACTCTTCCCTCCTCCAACATCGATATTCGAAGATGTCCGATCCAAATCCCCCGCCCCCGCCAACACAGGTTGGCCCGATATCATGGGACATCTTGAGAGCGGTCAACACTGAGGTGGGGGAGAGTCACAGAGCGAGGATTTCCAGGCTGGTCGATCAAAGAATGAGAGCCGAACAGCAACCTACCGCAGCCAGTCGTTTTCCCATTGACAAGCCCATGCCCTCGGACCGGTTCTTTGATCCTTTCGGGGATTCACTATCCTCGCTGTCAAACCACGTGGAATTTGGCACTCACCTCGACCAAAGTGAGAACGGGTTGATATATTTTACTCCTCGATTGATCCTCCACTACAAACTCGCGCTCCAGCGCCACGGTCGCACGCCGCTATATTTCCTCACGGTACTATATGAGGCACTCAAGGAAGTAGGGGAGAGGTCTCAACCTGACCGCGGTGGACCCTATGCTGTCCTAGTTAGGCCCAAAATCTTTCCATCGAAGCTGACAGCAAAGGTTCTCGACGTTCACTTAAGCCTCGAGGAGACAATGGAGTTCTGGAATCACATTAACCGCATGGATACTCAACCTCTAACTACACTTGCTTGTGGCATATGTAACAAAGAAAAACTCAGTGTCACAGGCCCGGAAGCTTCACATCCCGAGTTGGACGAGTTCTGCTTCCAAAACCTGGCCTGCTGCGGAGCAGCGATATGTTCGGGCTGTGTTCTTGACTGGGTCGTTTCATCCCTTAATAAGAATTGGTGGAATCAATCGTCTCGACTTCAGCTGCGATGCCCAAAAGAGTGCCTTGAGCGGGGATGCACGATCACAGACCGTAGGGGTTTGAAGGATTTACTACTCGGTCAAGTTGACTGTGAAACCATGAAAATAATCCTAGCTGTGTGAGTATCAATGTTTCAGCCCCGTTTGTCGGATGCGTTTGCTAATGTCTTTCTTCAGTTACGACTGGTCCAGAGTTGTCCGTTCAGCTTTCAGTCAAAGAAGTCCTCGCTTTGAAACGGAAGCACTACAGAAAGCGGCCATTCTCCATGCCAGATTGGTTGTCCGGGGCTCGATGGACTCATTTTGTCCCCCAGAACTGGATGCAACCAAGTCCAGAGAAGAACAGAGGTATTCAGGGTTCCGGCTTGCAACTCTCAGAACATTTAAGATTGACCAAGACGGTCGCACACTCACCATACCCATGATAACGAATTTTTTACGACGACATGATATCCCCAAGGAATGCTCTATCTGTACTGAATCTTTTCACGAGGTCGTGTATGATTCATTACCCCAATGGCAGGATCTAGTGAAGGAGTTCCCTGGTAACTGGCTGTGGAAGGTTCTGGATTTCCCGCAGAAGCTCCAAAGTTCCTGCCAGCACGAGATTGATTTCTGTACACCCTGTCTTGAACAGCATCTGCGTACGCAAGTGATAGACTTTGGCGCTACTCGCTGTACTCGGATTGCCTGCCCCTCCGCTGAATGTCAGCGGCAACTCAAATATGATGAGGTGCGCCTTTACGCAGGCAGAGACGTGTTCAAGAAGTTTGTTCCATTTCCCAATCTGGTTTCTCTATGACATGGAATGCTGACACAATTAACAGGTATGACGACTACTTAACATTGAATGTCATAAGTCAATATCCAGATTTCAGATGGTGTCTCAACCCAGAGTGCGAAATGGGCCAAATATACGTGCATGGAGACAAGGATGGTCTTATCGCCTGTGAAGAATGCGGTTTCGAGATGTGTTTCAACCATCAAATGCCATGGCACGAGGGCTATACCTGCGAACAGTACAATGGCGACCCCGAGCTGCAAGAAACCCAAGCATGGATCTCGAAGAACTGCAAGGCTTGCCCCAGTTGCGGGGTCGATGTTTTAAAGGGGGAGGGCTGTTTCCACATGACTTGTGAGTATCAACTTGATTTCTTATGGCTTCGCTCGCTCGCTCATTGACTCGATCTACTAGGTTCACTGTGCCATTACGAGTTCTGCTGGGAATGCCTGGAAGACTGGTACCGAGTGCTAGAAGACAAGAATAACCACAAGGAAGGCTGTGTCTTTCGAGACAATGATATTGAACCTGTTGAAATTTTTGGCCAGAATCTCCAGGAAGCATTGCAGACATTGTAAGCATGTGTAATGAAGTGATAGATTAATACTAATAGATGGTTCTGTGGACAATGTCATTAATACCAACACCGCGCACCAAACATCATAATTGGTGATTGTTGGGAGAAGGAATGCTGTTGGTAGCAAAGCGCCTTAATCGAACCCGCGGGATTCAGTCAAGGCGAGAATCAATTCCTCGGGATTCAGCCAAGTCCAGAATCAATTCCTCGGGATGGACACATGCTGTGTACATAGGCACGAGTACGGTATCGAATTTGCAGCTCGCCCCGCGCCCGAGTCCGAGTCCGAAGCACTCACGTCCACTTGGGGTGCTCTTCTCAGACCTCGGTGCCGATGATCGACACCGAGCAGCAACAAGCCAGACAGGTAGCAAGATTGGAGCGTTGGGCCCCATGTTTAAACCGGACTCGACTCGCTAGCGACGGGTGCTCACGTCATCGTAGCGGTCAGCTCTGGGTCGAAAAAACTTGCCGTCGTCTCTGCTCGCGCCGATGCTTGGACTGTCGGAACTCCGACTCTGACAACGGAGTATGTGGAGTTTCAACTCACAATGCCCTCAGTTCATGTTGGAAGAGTCTACATTCAGCGCTCTCCTCCCCAAGGCGGCAGACAACAATGGACACACAATTACCGGATTATTATTGCGCTTGCAATAGATCGTTTAATTCCCGTACGGCTCCCCTATCCCGAGGAATCTTTCTCCCACCGCTCCACTCAACACAACCAAGGCTAACGTTGTCGTCCAGGAACGGCCTTTAGCCGTCATTATCTGAGATGCCACATGCGCCCTCGCAGCCGGAAGAAGGCCTGTTCGGCGTGTGCTCGGGCAAAGTCCCGATGCGACCGCAGCATGCCGAGCTGTGGCAGGTGTGTGATAAAATCACTGCCTTGCGAGTACTCGCAGGAAACGTGGTCGATTGCATCGAGTGAAGCGCCTCAGGTAACTGCTGAAAATCAAACTATCTTGGTCATCATTCACCCACCGCTAATCTGAGGAGAACTCGCAGTCCTTTCCGCCTACACTACCTTCCAGCGAACAGTCAACAAGTTCTGCAAACGGACTTGACGAGGTAGACCTGCAAGATATCCCACCTCTCCTCCCTGCTCTGGGTCTCGAGAATCCGACCGCGCCTGAAACCGTCTACGGCATAGAAAGCACGCCTTCCGGGATCCATTTCGAAGACGGAGTCGTCTCTAGCCATCTGTCATCTAGGGTTCGGCTCTGCAAAACACCGATAACTACTGAGCAGGAACTAAATACTATTGATGACATATTCAAGGAGGTCTTTGAAGGAATGTCGTACGGCAAAGATCGAGTGTCCCTTGTCCACTCCGTACAAACACAAGCAGGGCAGAGAGCGGACGTTTTAAACACTGTCGCCAACATCTCCCAGTTCTATCTTACCAGGACGGTGGAGACGGAACAGGTCGTGCTAGATATGGTCAATCATGAAGTGCAACAACTCTACTCCAAGGTAAGTCAGAAGAACCTCCTTGTTAAAATTGAATGCTTATGAGTATGGTTCTACTATTCAGCGGGAGACATTGAGCCGTGCCGAGTTTCTCTCGGCTTTCCAGGCCGTGGTCATATATTCTGCGATGCGCATCTACAGTTTAAACCATTATGTCAATGATCTTGTGGACACCATCGCCATGACTTTCACTCAGGTAATGCATACATGACAGCTTCTGGGGCTAGCAACATCGCTAATTCAGACCTAGTATGTCCTACGGCACAGCATGCATTGTCTAGAGCCAGAGAAGAACGTGCAGCCTGAGGATTGGAGGAATTGGATACGGGACGAGAGCACGCGGAGGTTGGTAACAGCAGTCTCTGCGGTTTTCGAAACATCCTAGACCCTAACGAATTCCCCCTAGGAACTTCTTTGCTCTTCATGCTCTGAATGTCGTTTCAAATTCGCGCAAAAGCTTCTCGACAACCATGTGTCATGCTTTTCCCGAGGTGCCACTCCCTTACCCAAGTCATGTCTGGGAAGCCGTCTCTTCTGAGGCTTGGGCATTTCATCACCGGAACTGGGACACTTACTGCGGCAAGCCACTGCTGGGTATAGATCTCATTCACTGGGCAAACGGAAAACATACAGGCCGGGAGGATCACATTCGTGCATGGCTGACGACAACCGGGCCGTTCGGCGAGAGCATTCTGACGAGTGCGAGGGCGCAGCTATCCGCTTCCTTTGCCATCCGACCAGCCTGAAGCAATGACTCTGATCTCCCAAAGCTTTGTTACTCGTTGAATCGTGATTCTCAGACTAGTTATCCGATCTTACATTATCTCCCCTTTGAATTGCGACAACCGTGCCAGTCATATTCGCCAACATCTCCATCCAGTGGCCAAATGACTGCAACGTCACTCCTCCAAAATGAGCTGCCTAGATTAGCCAAGCATCAAACCATGCGATGGCTTGGTAAAACGCCTGCTCCTTGGCAAAGCGATCGATTTTCTTAGAGTGATCGGCACGCAGCCCAAAGCCATGTTCTACCTGACTGTAAAGGCTCATCTGGTACGGAAGCCCCTTTTTGGCCATAATCTGCTCACTCAGATGCCGCTTCTCGGCAGGGAAGATGTCGTCTTGCTCAGCTGCAGCGACGGAGAGGGGTCCCTGAAAACTTTGCAACTCTTGTTCTTCGACGAAAGATGGATGGGCGATGAATCCGACTTTGATATCTGGAGAGTGTCGAACGACGTACTGGTTGTGTGTTAGCCAAGTGATGACCACCTGACAGCAGTGCCGCTAAACAAGCTCAACTAACCTTGGCACCGAAGCAATATCCAGCGGCTCCAATTGCAGTGGCGCCTTTCACCTCTTTCAGATATCTGACTGCAGACTTGACGATGGGATCAATAGCATCGCTAGTATGCGGGTTGTCGCCGGCGGATCCTCCCCTGAGCCACGAAAAGAAGTCAAAGTTGTCCGCACGGTTGAGAGTCAAGGCATCTCCATTGAAGATGTCGATGATCAGAGTTGCGTAGCCGTAATTCGCATACTGGTCGGCCACCAGCTTGCTATTTTGCCAGATGCCGATGACATCGGTAAGAAGTATGAGGGCGACACCCTCGCGCGCTCTGGGTCCATGAGCTGATGCTAGATAGGCATCATAACCGTCGATCTTTAAGCTTTGTCCAGTCGGTTCGCCTCTAAATATCGGACAAGTAAGCCGGCAAAGGACTGGAAGAACGAAGTATGAAGAGGGCAGTCAGGGACATACTCATGTTTCATGCCCGTGACGCAGCATTGACCGGGAGGATTAGAAGCCATTTTGAAAGATGAGTTTGAAGCACTCTTGGGCTGATTTGATATGAATCAACATCTCTTTGTTTCAAACAAACGAGAAGAAGCCATTGCCCTAAATACCCAATGTGAAGGCAGTATTGCCCGGACTTGATGTGCCTGGAGGTCGCAGCACCCTTGTCAAAGCAGAGTTCGAGTGGGACCACCCGGCCGGACTTCCGTCACTTTTATGGGCCTCTTTCGGAATCAAGTCTGCGTCTTTCATGCTCCGAAGACCGAGCAGCGAGATGCAAAAGGCCGAGCACGATGACATCCTCTTCCACGGGATTCCGCCACCTTCATTCCCTACGAATCTTCCTAGTTACGGCATGTGTCGACATGTCAGAAGTGTCCCTGGTTTGTTACATTTCGATGGGTTTCCGGGATTAAGCTGAGGAACTCCGGCCGGAAACTAAAGAGAGAGCATGTGGCTTTGCGAAGAGTTTCACCATCACACACTTCTGACCATGTCACCACCTTTTCTCTGGCAAAGAGTTGTCAGCCGCCAGTTCCGAGGAGTCGAGCATATAAGGGAGGTTGAAGATAATGCTCTGGTATGAACGTACAGGATATCAACCGCTGCAAACAATTAGAAACTTGTCATACCCTCAAGTCGAAAACACGAGCATATCTAGTCAACACCCTTTGCCATGGCTCCTCAACTTTCATGGATCGGCCTCGGTAATATGGGTCGGGTAAGAACCAGCCTCAAGTTATCTCTGTGTACATACTCATACTAAGGCCTACTTCTAGGGCATGTGTCTAAATCTCGTTCAAAAGGGTTCACTCGACAAGCCTCTTCTCGTCTATAACCGCACAAAGAAGCGATCCGAAGATTTTATTGCCCGGTTTGGGCCAGAACAAGCAATAGCGTCAGACTCGCTCGAGGAAAGCGTCAGCTCCGCCGACATCATCTTCACTTGTCTGAGCAACGACGCTGCCGTGTTCGAAACATATGAATCGATTGTCAATGGCGGCAGCACCAAGGGCAAACTCTTCGTCGACTGCTCAACCGTGCATCCAGACTCGACTGACAAGGTCGGGAAGATGATGGTGGATTCAGGGGCTGAGTTCGTCAGCAGCCCGGGTACGTCGGTTCATTGAGGAAACGCGAAGCAGCAACTGACCTTTGGAAATAGTATTCGGGCCACCTCAAATGGCCGAGAAGGGCACGCTCATTTTCGTCACGGCGGGCCAAAGGTCTTCAATCGAGAGAGTCCGCCCATTCATCAAGGGCGTCATGGGCCAGGCTGAGATCACCTTTGAGGACAAGCCGTACAGCAGCGCCGCCAAGTTCAAGCTTATCGGCAACGGATTTGCGCTCAATATGGTCACGCAGCTTGCCGAGTCATTCACGCTGGCCGAGAAGGCCGGCGTCGATCCCGCGACTGTCAAGCAGCTCGTCGATATGATGTATGGGGGCATATACACAGTGTATTCGGGTCGCATGCTGGGCGGAGATTACTGGAAACTGGACGAGCCGTATTTCTCGGCTCGGAATGGCCTCAAGGACGCGAGTCACCTCATCGGGCTCTCTCACGCTGCTGGCGTAGAGCTGAAGAATGCGGCCAACGGTCGTGGATATCTGGAGGAGCTGACGAAAATCGCCGAGCCAGACAAGAGCGACATCACTGGGATCTATGGGACGGTCCGCAAGGCAAATGGGCTCAAGTATGAGAATGATTTGTAGAAATCTAGGTAGCGAGCTGCGCATGTTGTCTCCGCCACTCGTCTCTGATCACTGGGGACCACGGCGAGGGATTTCATCACTGCCACCGAACAATTACGCTGTCTACCTATGTGGCTTCTTCCCCTACGAACTACCTAGAACGCCTTGGAGTGAGAATAACATCAATGACCAGCGCCCGGCGTTGAAAAATTGAGTGCTCTGCCTGGGTGGAAACAGGGGTCAAAGTAGCACAGTGTGCAGGCTAAAACAGCCCATACTCAGCCGGCAATCTTCTCAAATGCTTCTCTTGCCAGTTCACTTGGAGACTTCCTCCCTTGATCCCAAAATCCCAAAGTCTGGACTCTTGAATGTGCTGTGCCCACTTGGCGCGGCGGTTGATCATGATTAGCACGGATCGAGGCTGCGGGAAGATGCGTACCGCACAAGCTTGCCTTCTTTGAGCAAGGAGAGGTCAATCATCGGAGATGGGGATTGCCAGGCAGCGGGGCGACGATGATCAGTTATGCAGACGGTGGAAATGTGAGCGATTGCTGCATAAATACGGGATGGACACGCGTGTCTCAGTCCAATGACGGTGCACCGCTCGCACTGTTCGCTCCTGAGGCGAGCTAGCACAACTCAAGGCGCACGATGGAAGCCAATTGCTTTGTTTTGGGCGAGCGGTGCACAAAGTTATGCTGGGGCTGATGGGATATTGGGCGGGATGTGACGTGGACAGATCATCAGCCAGGATGGCGGACAGGGGGGAGATGGGCCTGGGCGACGATCACGATCAGGCGTTCCCCTCCCCTACCAAGTGCAAATGTAATCCGTCTGCACAAGTGGTGCCTGCCGTTATGCAAGAGGTAGTGAACAATGAATGCTCAACGAGTGATGCCAATGTCCAGCCATGCGGGCGACAAAACAATATTTCGCCGCCCCAATCTCCAAAGAGGGCGTGAACGACTGAGACATTCCGGTATGCCTGAGTTCAGCTGATGCGGGCGAGTGCTAGAGGGCACTATTGTGCGGCGTGTCTCAAAGACGGGCCAGAGAGACTGGCTGCACGGCTGGGTCTTGTTCATTGCGCACATATAAACACAATACACATCCAGGGCTTTGGACATTCAATTCACCATCACTTGCAATCTCGATCCAAGATGAAGTTCAGCATTGTCGCCTGTCTTTCGGCCCTCGCAGCCCCCGGCCTCTCTGCCAACATTGGCGTCAGCAAGCTCCATAATTTCACCCCTGCCACCAGCTCATTGAAAGTCCCTGGCGAGTCGCCCGCCGAGTTCTGCAATGCGGATCGCGACGGAGATCTTGTCCAGGTCCAACTTCTCAGCACAGACCCCAATCCCGTGAAGCCGTATGTATTTCCCTTGATCCTGGAAGATGGCGCGCGTTTCAATGTTCTTTGCTGACGGACTGGATCAGTGGCAAGCAGGTGTCGATCACAGCTACCCTAGACGTCAAGCAGCCGGTCACGGATGGCTCCTACGTCAAGGTGGTCATCAAGTACGGCCTCATCCAGCTACTTTCTACGACGGCCGATCTCTGTGAACAGATTTCGACTGCGGGTATCAAGTGCCCCGTCGAGGCTGGCAAGCATCAGATATCTTTCCAAGCCGACATGCCTGGGACCATCCCACCGGTACGCAAACATGCCCCTCCCCCACTTGGCTCCTCCTCTGAATGACATATCTACAGGGTGCATACAACGTGCTGGCGGACGCCTATGCAGACGACGACGAGCACCTCACCTGCCTGAAGGCTACGGTTAATTTCCCTCGCCCGGGTGCACTTGGCCTCGAGCTGTGATTTTTATGGTTATAATAAAATGGAAATGATGCACCGTGAGCTTTGGGGTGTACTGCTGTGCCGGATGGATTGAATGTGTACACGATGCGTCTACCTGTTGCTTACCCTGTACCTTACTACCGTCCTCTTTGCTCCTCTTCATGAGATGAACGCCGGGTCAGATGATGATTGTGTAGCACCTTCTGCTCAACTATGATTCTACTCTAATGCCGCCTACCCACTCGATGGCCTGATCTTCCTGATGTAACGTGGCAATCGCTACTGTAGACAACCTCGTTACATGAGTATGTACATACATGCTGCATACCCGTTTGTGTGCAAGCCACCAAATACCAGCACCAATCCAGAACATGGTAGCTTTCGCATTGTTTTTTGCAATCAACACGTTGGCAGTGTTTTAGGCGGTGATTAATTTCATCGCTCTATGTTTTTCTCTCTTTCTTTCGGGTCCTTTCTCCCCACTTCACTAATTTGTACACAATGCCTCGATGTTGGCAATTTCATGTCAAGCTGTCTTGATGGGCAAAAGCTTACATAAGCAGGAGGTGTTCGCACTGAAGCCCCCCAACACTAGGTAGGAATTGGTCGCAGATCTAGATCTGTGGGAGCGCTAAGTCGTAGACACCCTGAGCGCAAGACAGTAACTAGCACCCATAGAATTGTCGGGGATTTGTGATGCTCTCTCATCCAGAATAAGCCCACCCTGATCACCAATCCAAAGTACCAGAGTCGGGACTGAGGTGTGTGGTCACTGCCTGCTTTCCAGTGGGAATGCCTGACTACCCCAATTGCTCATGTCCCCCGGTGACTCTGCTCCGAACGCTGCTCTGGGTCATTGTGACTGGCTACCTACCTAAACACAGGTGTGTAAGCGGGGCCTGGAGGCCGCTGGAGAGATGGAGGATGCCTGAGAGAGGGGAAGGTGCAAGGGAGGGTGGGAGGACGGAGGAAGGCACAGCTCAGAACAGGACCCAGTCGCACCGAAAATGCGTCACTGCTCGTGCATCGCCAAAGAGCAGGTCGCCTTGCAGATCGCCAAGCGCATCTCTGCCCAACACATCCCCCCCTGGTGCTACTGCGGCTGTGTGCACTGAGCGATCACGAGACTGGGCCAAGAGTCGCAGGACTGGCTACGACGGCCCCCCGCATCGCTTCATCCCTGCTAGAGTCCCTCCCTGATGCCGACGGTGCGCCCGTGCCCGCTGCCCACTCTCGATCCGCCGCTCCATCCATCGCTGACCAGCGCTTTCTTTCGACGACAAGTGGACCGCTCCGTTCTGCCGCCGCCGCTTGCAGCTACCAGACGTATAAGAGCCAGAGCGGCCTCGCTCCCCCCTCCGTCAAAGACGAGTCTCTCTCTCCAAGTCTGGCCTGGATTTCCGGCCGTGTATCGCCAGACGGACGGGAGGGTGCTTCAGGAGCGGCAGAAGCACCCACTCACACCTCGTCATGGATTTGCGGCCGCTTGACTTGTCTGCACTCGAGCGCCAGCAAGAACAACAAGAATACCCGCGTGCTTCACTCCGACACCCACCTTGTGCGACCATACGGGTTGCTGGCCGCTGGGGACTTTTTTCAATTCTGATGCTGTGTCACGGCTTGTTTAGCTGATGCCCCTCGTTGGCCACCAACGGGAGGCGTTCATTTTGGTCGCCTAACGCCAAATCTCACGGTCCGCATGCACCAACGGCCTTCCATCACGAGCATATCACCGAGCCCCCGCTTCCGTCGACCATTGTCTACATCATCAATGCAACCAAAAGAGTACTCTCGCCCGTCGGCCCCTCACGATATGGCTGCTCTTCAAGCCCCAGTCCATGTTGTCTCTGGCCATTGGTGTTGCCCGTCGCCTCCTTGCGCCACCCAACATCATCATATTCATGCACTTCCAATTTCGCCATGTTGCACACGACGCACTCAAATGGCGGTGGAAGTCATGGCATTTCCCTCACGTCCATCGGCGCACGGCATCGTTGCCAGTGCAGTGACCCAACGGTTCCCTTGGCTTCGGGTAGACAGTCGCAGCTTGGATGACTCCCACTGTGACCACGGACTCGCTTTCGTGGCGTAGTGAACCACAAGGTGCCAGCGACCGTAATTAAGCGGAGGGAAGAGGAGGACAGCAGCGGGGCTGTGACACGAAGGAGGATGGCTGTAAGCTCCCCAACCACTCTGCCAGTCTTGTGCCTCGCCTGCGCTTGCCCCCTTGCTTCAGTGCGCGACACAAGTCTGGCCACGTCAAAAGCAATAGCACTTGAGATCTGGCGTCTCACTCTTCAATCATGAACTGCACACACGACAGGAAGGCCGAACTAGCCCAGGCGCCTTTGGGGAGAAATGCACCGAAAGGTTGCACTTTACACATGTAGACGGCACAAGCCCGCGCGTTTGGTACGTTTTCCAGCCACCTCGCCGGAAAATTTACCTTGTGTGCTGTCGCTCAGGCCTTGTTCCTGATGCACGGTAGGGCTTGTCCATACGTTTCTCAACCAAGGGTCAAACAAACCGTTTGGACATTGGCTGCTGCGCAATACCTCACCCCGCACTGTCCCAGGCCGTACGCACAGCTGCGAGGTGGAAGATGTGGTCAGGTTTGCCGGCTTTGCAGGTGCCTGATGGCCTCGGCGCTGTTCTCATGTATGCGTGCCCGGCGACCTGCACGTAATCATGTTCTTGGCTGCCGAGCGTGCAGCAGCAACACACCTTCCGAGCCACTTCCAATCCCACTCGGTGGTGATCGGCCGCCATTACATGCATATCTCTTCATTTGCGATAGCACCCTCCCCCTTTTGCCCGCCTTTTGTGAGCTTGCCATTGGTTTGTGTTTCCTGGCAAGGATGGCTAGAGCCCAAGCCAGCATCTGCTGTGTTCGTGTCTCTCACACGAATGGCACTATACGGTCACACAACATGATATCCTCACGCCGATGGGCCCTCTCGTAATTCCCATTCGACAGCTGTCGGTCCCGCATGTTCCAGCTTGCTGGGGTCTGAGGTTATCGCTTGATACATTGGCTGGTTATTCGCGGTCCTTCCTAATTGTCCGCTCAGGTCATGTCGAGCGAAATTTGGGACCGCTTCTCTCAACAATCGATGCCCCGCCCTCTCCCCTCAACTTTCTTACTTTAAGATCATCAAAGATCCCTCGCATTCTTCTCTGGCTCTTTTTTAGAAGAGCTCAGATCGTCTTTCCCCCAAGGAATTATTTTGGTCGATCAGTTTGTTCCAGTGACTTGTGCACTGCAGCACCTCTTCTTTCATAAATCATACGATCTGTCCGGGTTTTCTTTACACTGCTACCACGATTACCTTGCTCCAGAATCACTGCTGCTGGATATTCTTCTTCTGGAGAACTTCCTGCTATTTTATTTTATTTTTTTCGAGGGAGTCTCCTGTTGTTTGATATTATTTCTGCCGGAGAACTTCCTCTGATCTGATATCATTCCTTCTAGAGAACCCCCTGCTATTCATTTATTTTCAGGGACATCCTATTCGACCCCTTCCCTTGGCAAATTTCCCGAGATATCGTTCTTCTACAGACGTCATACCCGGTGCTTGTTCCCCAGACACATTTCTTGAGCCGAATTTGAGCGGCATAGCACAATCAATCCCAGCACCTCAGAGGTTTCAATCTAGAGATCTCCGCCTCCAAGCTTAGCTCGCACCAGGGTCTATTCCGTCCTACTTCACATCATATCAAATCACCCAAGCCAAACATTGGGACAATGTCTGCCAGTGCTGGTGCATCCCAATCATCTCGCTCCACGGTTTCTGCAGGAGGTACTAGTGACACTGCTTCCGTGGGAGGCACGAATACCACTTCCTCCTCTACTTCGAGTAGTGATGCGAGTGGCACGTTGAGTGCATCCGAGCACTCATCGTCGCTCTCTCACCAAGGCTCAGCCTTACTTGCAGAGTATGTAATCTCACCTACTAGGCACTCTTCAGGTCTAGGCATCTAGCTAACTGTTCTCTTAGCACTGGATCTGCCGATAATACACAAACGACTCAACTGCCTGTCGGCCAAGAAGTGGTTGAGAACCCCATCGGCAGGTTCTTGTCCGATACAGACAGCCCATTCGCTATGTTTCGCGACGCCAACGGCGATCCTGTCACTGTTGGACGTGCTGGACCATCCATGGCACAGACCATAGACAGTATCCTCAACCCTCCCGAGTAGTTCCACAGTATTGAGGCTGTGCTGGATCTTTGTTTGTATGTTCTTGCACCTATCCAACTGTCCGGGGCTGGTGCGTCCAATTAACTGTCCAGATCCACGAACCTGATCTTGTTCTGGAGGACGGGGAGGTATCCATTGAGTGGTTTCCTGTTTTACTCTTTAACTGTTACGACGTAATGACTGGTGAGAGGTCGGAGTTGGTATGGAGGGTTGACTCTTCCTTTGCATCAAGAAGCTGAGTGTGCTCATGGGAGGTCTGTTGTCTTGTGATAAGTTGTTGTTTACTATCTCTAGTTGATATCTCTATTCTATTTTATCTCTGCTCTGAACAACCTGTAAACCCACCTAGGCTTGGGTTAGCTTCCTTGAGTCATCTTCAAGGGAGGTGACATCAATCATGGATTTCTCTACTCATCACTAATAGACGGGCTGGTTCTCCCGTGATGTAGCCATCTTTGACATGCTCTCTTCTTCGCTGCTTGTGCGTGTCGACTTTAACTCAAATATTGAGCGCCAACCACGGGGAGATGGAAGAGTATATGCGAGTCTCAACCTTTGCACATGCAAGGACTATCCAAAGCATATGCGAGTATCAACATTAGCATATACAAAGGCCGATCACAGCATATGCGAAGATGAGCGATGCTCCTGTCAACTTCAAGCCTAACTGGTCAGATTTGAGGATCCCAAGGCCTTTTGCATCATCTCAACACCACCTGCACTCTTTTTCTACTTCTTCTGCGTCTGGCGTGCCTATTCCTGATTTAAAAGTCCCGGACGACACTTGAGCGCAGAGTTTGAGCAACCCGGCATAATTATAACACTCCCCCTGCCTGAACCGCTGCTCCCTTTACGTTCAAGTGGCTCGGCTGTACATCTCTCCTTAGAGACCTGTCGGGACTCCCGCGTCGCGGAAAACGCCTTGGCTGTCGGGGAGGTCGGGCAGCATCGGCGAGAGGCCGAGAACGAACTGGCGAGCGTTATCTCGCGGTTGTGGTGTCTCATCCTTTCGTACGCTATTGTGTATACTAACAATGAGCAGAACAAATAGTAGCATAGCGTTAGAAGAGGCAAAGCAGTAATGGAAACCGGTTGCGTGGCGTTGCCCCTCGTGGAATTATGCTGCAAGATCGTTGCTACGTGAATGACCGAGGCCATGTACGACTCCTACGCTGACACATTGTTGAGCCCTTGCCCTCGCATCCTCTACCCCCCGAGCGAGTTTGGCTTCATTGTTATGGGCAAAGAGTACTGGAAATACACATAGAGACACCGCCAAGTAGGCTCGCGGCACTCTTGAAGCACTTGAGGCTCTCGCTCGATACTGGAAATGTATCTCATGCTCGGCCATGGACGCATCTTTTCATATTCAAAGTATGTATATTCCACTGACAAGCACTGGCCATCGACCCAGCCTAGCATCGACACTGCCCCTACAAACACTGAGAATACCACTGATTGGAATATGTACACGTCCCCGAAGTGCAGCACGTTGCTCCAGTCCACCCCGACCCGCCACACTGGGCATACAGCGCCGCACAGGTCGGGGTCGTGCCACCACCGCCGCCGCCGCTGCTCGCCGACAGCGAGGCCGAGTACCCCGTGGTCGAGAAGACGGCGTTGGTCCCCGTGAAGGGCTCGGTGCCGGCGCCGATGGAGTACAGGCACTGGGAGGAGGGGTACCCCTGGGACGAGGTGAGGTACTTGACGAAGTCGTTGAGGTCGCCGCTGTAGTTGGTCTGCGACGACGAGGCGACGAAGCTGAAGACGGTCATCTGGCCGTTGACGCCCTTGTACAGGCTCCACGAGATGCCGCCGACGGTGACGGTGGCGATGGGCGAGCCGGTCGAGCTGATGGGGCCGGCGCCGCCGAGGGCCCCGAGCCAGATCATGATCTCGTAGAGGGGCGTGCTGCCGCAGTCGTCGTTTGAGAAGAGGTCGTAGGCCACGTTGGCCACGAGGTTGGATCCCGTATAGCTAGTTCCCGATCGTTAGCATAGGCCTTCTCCCGCTAGGTTGGGATTGGCTTACCTCCACTGCCACTTCGAGGGGATGGACGAGATGGCTGAGACTCGGGCGGCTGAAGCCTGCAGGACGGCATTGGGGTACGACTTGACGTTGTACGGCCCGCCCGACCACGAGTACGAGGTCGACCACTTCAGCAGGCCGTTGGTGATGCCGTCGACGGTCAGGCACTGCGAGCCCGTGCCCGAGTCCTTGCCCCAGAGGTTGTTGTACACGATGTAGCTGCCGGTGGTCACCGAGTCCCAGTCGCCGCAGACGGTCGTCGCGCGCTTCTCGATGGTCCTGGTTGGCTCGAGCGGGGCGGCGATTGCGAGCGACGCCGCGAGAGAGGCGAGGAGGGAGAACTTCATCTTTGCAGTGCGTGTTATTTCGAACTCTCAATCCCCGGCTTGGGGTTTCCGCCTCCAGCCCATCTCAATTTATACCTTTTTTAGTCGTCTATATCGTGGTCGTTGGAGCAGCTCCTATGAAGAGTGTACGGATTGGGACACGGAGCACCAGAATGCTGCGTTGGGCAACTGGGAAACAACTCCCACCTATGAGCCGCATAACCACTCCCCCCATCCTTGTCGAGAATTACCTCGACGGCTTATAATTCCCCGGAAAGTCTGGGGTATTTGCGACTTGGACGTGGTCCTCACGGGGCGTGGTAGAGGTGTATTCTCGACGAACTCGTTCTGAAACGGATTGCGCCTCTGTTACTGTAGATCTCTTCGGTAGACGGGGTCTTATTTTAGCATGTCGGCAGCTATACCGGGGATCTTACGATGAGAGGACCGTGCTGGACTCCCAAGCCGCATAACGAGCGCTGCATGACTCGATTGGCCGCTTTATCCCAGGCCGAAGGCAATCCCGGAGGCTTGGTTCCGAATCACAGCACTGATTGGATCGCGTGTAGAAGAGACGATGGGTGGCAGGTTAAATCCGGGCTGGGCAGAAATCAGAGCAGAAGCAGGAACATGGACGGATCATCTGATGCGTGCCGCGGTGGGCAGCAGCATGACACGAACCGCAGCATCCCGAAGGCCGGAAGGCCAAATTGGAAAGAATCGCGCGACAAGCACAGGGCTATGTCTTGATCTTGCCGTCATTCGTGGACGAGCAGCTACACCCAGAGTCACAGAGCTAGGGATGCAGCACAGGCCGCCGACGGCCTTGCCTTGTTAGAGTCTTAGACACATGGCGGTATATTAGCCTCGAATGATATTACAGACAACTATGTATACACATGACATGGCGCCATGACATCCCGCGGGCCACGTCCGGACCCCTTAGCTGCTTCCGGCAGACTCGCCCCAGCCAGCACGACGTGTCTGCTCCTTCTCGATCGCGGCCTGCTCCTCGCGGAACGACTCCAGGGTGGTCGTCCTGGCGGTGCCCCAGAGCTTCCAGGGCCCCCGCTCGTACGTCTGCGTGTTCAGCATGCGCATGAGGACGACGTACTCGACCTTGTCCTGCACCTTGACGGACCCGGGGACCGTCTCGCCCGTCTTGGCGCTGTACTTGTACGTCTTCGCTGTCGACGCGATGGCGACGATGGCCTGCTCCTGGACGTTGATCCTGTCTTTCGGGTTGTACTGCGAGATCATGTACGACGAGAGCCGCGGGTAGAAGAGCGACTTGTTGTACTTGATCACCTCGAAATGGGTCCGCTCGTCGCGCGGGCGCCGGTCGATGGCCCCGGACAGCTTCTCGGCGAAGAAGGGCGTGCAGATCCTCTCGAGGGCGCGCTTGTCGCCGCTCGCAAACGCCTCGAGCATCTCCCTGTACATGGCCTTGGCCGTCGGCGGGATCTTGCCCCTCTGCGCCTTCCACCTGGGTCGGGTGGTCCAGCTGTCCATCGACTGGAGCTTGATGTTGAGGAGGGCGACGACGCCGGTGAAGTAGTGTCTCGTGCGGGCCCAGTGGTAGGAGAGGAACTGGCCGGGGGATTTCGGGTATTGGGAGAGGGGGAGCGACACAAAGGTAGCTATCAAAGGGTCAGTCCAGGATCATTCCGGAGACAGCAGTTGAGGGGCCGTGTTGCGTACAGGGAAAGAGAGGCACTCCACCGCTCTTGAAGAAGATGTCGTTGGCGTTGGACGAAGCTACAGACATTGTCTGCTCGTTCTTCATGCCCCGCATCATCATCGACCTGCTCTCGCGAGACATCTTGGCGTCCGAGGGCATTTTCAGCGTCCGGCGGGCGGTCGTTCTCGACTTTGCGGCGGCGCACGCTCTGGTGAATAGGACCGGCCGGCGGAGGGGCCCGGCGACCGTGGCGCCCATGCCGGGCTGTAGGAATGGCATGGGGAGGGAAATCGAAGTACGTGTGCGAAGGAGGAGGTCAATTGGTATCGTTAGGGGTGCTACCGGCGAGCAGCCGGCATTTTCTGTTCAGGAGCGAGACGAAGAAAAAAATGTGGTATGATATCCAATTGAGATCTCGACCGGGAATTTCTCGATGGCCACCATTCGGAGGACGGAAAATCGCTGTGCCGGATCCCGGGCGTTGGCCACACACGTTGTTTTCATTAGTCATCTGCTCTCCTACATGAGCGACAAACAGCAAACAATCACATCAAACAAAATAAAAAAAATTATATTACATCGTCTTTGTCAATTGCTGTAAATCTGCTATACCGGTGCTTATTTTCTTGATTTTAGTTTTTCTCTATTTAGAAAAGCTATGGTTTTCAGACACTCCAACCTCGGCTTGTGTCACATCAGATTTCAGTTCTGCGAGCAGGCGGCATGGTAGCTGCAGAGCTATCCTTGTTAGACTGAGATTGGTCAGTCGACTGGTCTCCTTTCAACTCCTCTAATCCAACCTTCGTGACCTCGTGGTCCGTGTTCAAGTGGTTGCCCCTGATCAGGAACCCCAAGAGCAGACCGGCGCCCGAAAAGGCAACATACTATGCGATGTTAGCAACTTAGAATGTGGGCCAGGTCTTCGAGAACGTCTCACCATTATCCATATAGATCTGATAGACTCGTAGAAGGCTGTCTGGGCGATGATTTGTTGGTCCGCCGGCAGGCTCTGAACAATCTCCACATTCGCAGCGGCCGACCCTCCGCCCAATAGCTCAGCAACATTCGGACCAAGCTGGCCCTCCAGGCTTTCCTTCTTTCGTGACATTTCGTTCTGAAAGACGACGCCGCCGATCACTATCGAGATGGAGGTCGAGATGGTTCGCGTGAAGCTCATCGCCGCCGTCGCAACCGCAACGTCTTGTGCCGGAACCGTCGTCTGAACAGCCAGCAATGGGCCCTCGATGTTCATTCCGAAGCCGGCCCCTCCTACAAGCTGATAAGCTATGAGCTTCCCCCAATGTGCCTCGACCCCGATGTCAATCATCAGCCCCACGCCCAACGTCGTGCAAACCAAGCCACAGAAGATCGGAGGGAGGTACCTCCCGGACCATTGGATGTACGCCCCTGTAAGAGCAGCTGCCACAGACGATGAGACGATGAAAGGAAGCAAATACACTCCTGACATCAAGGGGCTGGACAGGAGAACTGCCTGGAAATACAGGGGGAGATACCAGGCCACTCCCATGAAGGTGAACGAATGCAAGAAATTGACGGCGAAGGAAGCTGCGGCGGACCGGTCTCTGAACAGCCTCATTGGAATGACCGGGTACCTAGCGACCTTGGACTCATTCACGATGAACAGACCGCCGGCGACAAAGCTAAAAACGAGGAGACATATTATGGTAGGGGAGCCCCATGGGCTCACCTCACCACCGAGGTGCAGTCCCAGAAGTAACATGACTGCGCCACCCAATATTAGAAAGCTTCCTGTCCAGTCGATAGCCTTCAGGCCAGCTCGGATAGGGGTTTTCGGGTTGGGCAGCTTCAGCGTGAAGTAGAGGAGCGGGAAGACGGCGCCGGTTATGGGGACTAGGAGTGTAAGTCGATGATCAGATGTTAGCCGGGGGGGCGTGTACTCACGGTTGATCCAAAAACACCAACGCCAGCTACCCAGAGACTCATTAGCATTCTTGCTCCATCCTGCCGTTGCAAAACGTACCCTATCCTCGATGTGAACACTCCGCCGAGAACGGGCCCGATCCCACTCGCCAAGGCCCAAACGACTGATGTCAATCCGTAGTAAAAGCTGCGTTTCCTCTGTGAGAACACTTTGCAGCTGTGGATTAGCTACAACTTCTCTCTTCTTGAGCAGGGGAAGATTTACGGTCACTAATGCAAACATTAACGATGGTCGCCATCCCCCCTGCCCCGAGTCCCTGGATCGCTCGCGCCGCGATGAGGGCGTCGATGTGCTTGGACAAGGCGCAAGCGAGGCTGCCGGCAAAGAAGATTGCATTCGCCCACAACAAGATAGACTTGCGGCCCCAGATGTCGGAGATTTTGGCCCATACGGGCGTGGCCGCGCAGTGTGTGAGCGTGAAGGCGGCACCAATCCAGGTGTACCCAGTCCCGGAGCCGAGGTCGTGGGTGATTGCGGGAACGGCGGTCGCGACGATGGTTATGTCGAGGGCGGTCACGAAGACGCACGCGCATAGACATGACATGACTGTCGCGATCTGCAGTGGTGAGAGCGTCGTGGTTGGGGCTTCATTGTCGTCCGGGGGCGGCGATGGTTCGTCAGCATCAGCTGGTCGCTTGCTCGGGATCGCAACAGCGTGATCCTCAAGGACGGGGTTCTGTATTACTAAAGTCTCGGTCATTTTGGAAGTTGAGTGTAAGAGAAGGTATAGAGTAGCCTCGAATCAATTGGCGAGGGGTTTCTGCCTTTTATAACAGTCATTTGCGGCAACGTCATCTCTGATGGTTCGTCCAAAGCCACAAGTCGAATGCGATCGGATCCGTGTGGATGATGACAGGCTCTAGGATCGACTTGGCAAATAAGGCAGAGCGCACAATGCACCACCCTCAACGTTTGATGTACTGATCATAGGCAAATTATTACTCGGCTGGCAATAATAGCCGCAATGAAAGAGTCAGCATGGTTTTCAAAGATGATTGTAATGGCATTTTGTTGATTGAAAGGCAAGAATACCTTGAGGTTCTTGCTGTCCAGCGTTTTATGTCACCCGGCTGCAGGGATTCCTTCAGCCTCCTCCGATTGGATGGATGAGCGAGTTTGCCCCACCTTGCACCCACTGCCTTAGATGTGTGCATGTGGCTGTAATAATTAGGGGGTCAATACTTTGCACAGGGCATCCAATGATCCCCTGCCAGCCTACACCAAGACATGGACATCAGTTGACAGCCTGCAAGGAGGCACCTGGCTGTTGCTTCGCCCCCACCGAATCCCGTCTCCTTTCATCTGCCCATGTAACTCGATTTCGAAATCCCTCCTTCAAATGAGGCAAATCAACATTGACGGAAATGACCTGAATTGCGTTTCCATCTGAGGCGCGCGCATTCCCACGCTACGATGCACGCCCAAAGCCAATCCTCTTTCTTCGCCAAACTGCCCCTGGAGGTGCGGGCTCAAATCCAGATTGAATACCTCGCTGAATACCTGCGACAGACCGCAGTGGACCGAGAGCGCAACAGGCCATCCCACTACTACTGGATCTTCTCGGCGCCAATCTCCAACCTGTCCCTATCATGCAAGCAGATGTTCAAGGAGATGCGCCAGAGCCACGAGCCCGCGGGGGCAGGCAGGCGCTTCGCCCTCTTCCTCGTCATGAGCAGCGGGCAGAGGGCCCTGGCCTCCGAGGGGAAGTCCTTCGAATGGGACCTCATCCGCCACGTGCGCTTCGTCAACGAGATGGACTGCCTGTCCGACGACGTGCACCAGACCACCCACCTCAAGCAGGGCTTTCGTCGCATGCTGAAAGACGCGACGAGGCTGGTCGAGCTGGAGCTGGAGTGGAATCCTCGGATGAGCATCCTGCTTGGCGACGGCTACATTACGGACGCGCGGGTCATGGACGACATGATGGGAGGGATGAGATTGAGCTCTACGCTGCGCAGGCTGCGGCTAAGAGGCCCTTTCCCCAGAACCTGGACGGACCCTGAGCCGGATGCTCTGCCGGGCGTGGAGACGATAGTAGAGCCTGTCTTCATGTGGCCGAAACGAGGGGAAGAGGAGCAAGAGAAACAAGAGGCACGGAGGAAGAAGGTGCAATCTATGGCTGAACAAAAGGCAAGGCGGATCGCCCGTGATGAGGAGATGGCACGAACTTGGGAAGTCCGCGCAGATTCCAGATGGCAGAGGTTTCAACGAAAGCTCGGCTCTTGGAAAGGTAAGAAATAAATCATATATTTGTACTCCTATCACACAACTGTATATATCGGTCGCCGCATAAAGAAGATCATCTTGGCTGGCTTCCTCCATTTTCATATCAAAGCTGTTCGCCCTCAACCTAGAAGTAAGATCCTTCAACCAAAAAGCCAATTGTGAACTGGAGAGAGAAGTGTTAGCCGTGAAGTTGTAAAGGGTACAGCCATGGTCTCACCTTGGTATGTTCGAGGATATGGGGGAAGCTCAGCGTGGCAATGGTATCTTGCGACGAGTGAATGTAGGGACTGGAATCGGCCATGTTCTCGTCGCAGACATATGCGCTGGGGAAGCCAGCGGAGTTGGCAGATGCACTTCAACGATGTTAATAGATGCCCATCGCACTTCACGCGGAGAACTTACTGGTCACTGCAGCCGTAGCCGCACTTGTCGAGAGAGAGAGGCAGCGAGCTGTAAACAGGCACAAGAGTCTTGACAAAGTTCGTCAAAGCAGTGTTGACGTAGTCAGTGTACACGGCAATAACATTATTGGGCGAGTATCCGGTCATGTCCTGGTTCACCACAGCCAGAACGTCCACGCTGTTGGAAGCGTAGTTATTGAAGATGTCTCGGCTGCCGAGGAGACCACCTTCTTCTCCACTGTAGAAATGGAATTCGAGAGTATTTTTCGGGGCGTAACCGGCTTCGGCGAGGACTCTCAATGCTTCAAGCACGACCACGACACCCTTGGGTAGGAAGAATTAGCCACCTGCATTGCCCCTGATTCGAAGAAGTAAACGGTTTTGACTTACAGAGGCATTGTCATCAGCTCCCGGGGCACGGCCGCTTGTTGAAGAACCAACGCTATCATAGTGAGCACTAACAATCACCACACTGCTTGAAGTTCCCGGAAGCTTGGCGATCACACTGGGCTGGCTATAGCTGTGCGAGAACTGGCTGACTTTGATATTCGAGTTGGAAGATGCGGCGGACTGGACCGCGGACAGCATCCAAGCTGCCGATGTGGCCGCGTACGAGCCCCGGTAGTAGCGGTTGTAAATATTGGCCAACCCATTGGCCCAGGTCTCGAGGTTGGACTGCTTGGCATTCGCAATCAATGCATTCGCCTCCGTCTGATGAGAAGGGCCCGATGGATAGGTAACGGCGGCGATCTTGGCCGCACTGTCGAGACCGAAGCTTTCGAGCTCCTGAAGCACAGTGTTAGATATATAAGGATTAAGAGCGGAAGACGAACTGCCTTACAATGGTCTCGGTGATGTCCATGAATCCAATCTTCTTGGAAATCAGCTTCTCAAACTTCTCCTCCTCTGTCATCCAGGTACCAGCATCATCTTCGCTTGTCTTTACGAGACGTAGCCCTTCGTCCCTCAGGCGCATGTCCCGGCGGCTTGGGAGGGACCCTGGGCGAGGCTCGACAGCGGCGGACAGTGCTTGCCCGGCACCCGCGAGGAGAGCGACCGCAATTGCAGCAAACTGGACCATATTGTGTAGATTGGTGGGAACGGAGGCAGGATGATGATAACGTGCTCGAGGTACGGTCGTGGGGGGATTCGATCGCGGACGGGATGCGTTCTTTAAGCTTTATTTAAGCCCATGATCCTCCTTCTTGTTTTGGAAGCTTCCTAAAAGCGATATCCTCCCTCGCCCTTAGGTAGGGAGGTGGTAGTAATTGCGTCGCATCGCGGTCCATGGAAAGGTGGGCGGGGACGATAAGGCCTGCGTTAGCACCTACTGAAAGAGGCAGCAGCTCGGTACTGGAGTCTTACCACTGTCGATGAAGGAGCAATAAGTTTTGCCTGGTCAGCCCACGCGTTTACTCTGGTGCACCGCTTTAAAGAGTAAGCAGGCTTCATGCCATCGAAGGTAGAGCCTCTTCTGCAAAATATGGGCAAAGATCTGTTGAGCGAGCCTGCTAACGAGGCGATACAAGCATCGCCTACCATATTAGCAGAATTTCGGAATATGATCAGTCCATTAGATGTAAATACCTTACTTGAATTGAGAGGGAGCGATTGTTATCCGTGAAAGATAGTTAGAATCTGGAACTTCAGCTTCCGTAGGGCAGAGGTGACCAGCCGTCGTCGCCAACAGCCAGACGACTAGTAGCGGCCATTGCGGCCGTAAAGACCTCGTTGGGTGGTTATAACTTTCCAACCTCGCTGTAATGTATTCCATGGCTGAATTTCTTAGGGGCGTGCTTTGAGAGAATTCTAGATTGACCCAGCACATCCCGAGAGACAGTGCTGCCCAACTGCCTATCCCGCTAGCCGGGTACGGGCGTCTCAAGATGATGCAAGTTTCTGGGCAGTAGAACTGAGAGTTGGCCTGTACTCAAATGGTAATTAGATGTGTTCCAAATACTACCTAAATCTGTATGAACATATCTTTCCGTCTGGCAATAGCTCTGTGTGATGAAGTTGGCTCGCTCTCCTTGCACGAAGCATGCGTGCCCACGGGCTTTCGTTCACGTAACTTAGCGACACGCTCCAGTTCCTGCATAGTTTTCCTAAATTTTATAATAAGAAAAGGATCGGATCTGGTATTAATGGATGCTGCTGAGGCATGAAAAGGATCACCATGGGGCATCAAACTCCAGCCGAGTCTAGCACAGAGAGGCTATCAAAGCTCGTAGATACCTCGCCAAACAGCCCAATGGGAGCTTTTACTGCGTGAGGGTTGAACATGCGCTGCAGTCACGGCCCGAATATGTGCCTCAGTGACTCGGAGCAATAGATCCGTGGTCGAGTGTTTCGTTCCTGCCGCGCCATGGCCGGCCGTTGGCAGTTGCAAGGCAAGTGCGGGCAAAGGCAGCTGCAGGGCAAGTGCATGCAAACGCAGCTGCGGGTGCTGGTGGGTGTAAGTCCTCTTCTGAGCCTCTCCTCACCTCTGTTGTCTTCTTTTTCCCCCTCCCCCCATTTCTTGTTCTCATCCCACTCCTCACACTTCTGATTTTTGGAACCCAAATCTACCACTTTTGTCTTCCTGCTTTCTTTTTCTCGCGCGTATCAAACACATCAAACACATCAAACAGAAACTCCAGCACGCCCTTGGCATGCATCCCTACTGAGCCATGGATTCTATGCCCAACGAGATCCTCACCCAAATCTTCTCGAATCTCCAATGCGAGATTCCCTCCCACGACAGCTGGGAGAAGCCATACCTGCCACTGGCCAAATCTGGTCTACCCAACGATCTTCGATTAGTCTCACTTGTGTGCCGCAAGTTCCGCAATGTCGCGCGCCCCTTGATGTATAGGACGGTTTCTATGACCAGCGAGACGGCTACCAGAACCAGCCCCCAGACGGTTGTTAGAACCAACCAGACGCGAGACTATGGTGATCTGATGGACGCCTTCTTGAGAACTCTGTTTGCCGAACCTCAACTCGGCCTAAACATCCGCCATTTACGTATCGATTCCTGGGACACCTCCATGAATGTACCGGGAATGGTACGTGAGCTTCTTGAGTCCAAGAAAGACATCAGCGACGTACAGAAGAAGTTGCTCACTGGTTGGTTGGCCTTTCCTACTGATCACCTTGAGGATGGCGTTGTCCTGATCACGCTCATCCTTTCCCCCAAGCTCCGATCTGTGGACTTGCGTACCTACACCAATGATTCAACTTTCAGTGAATACCTTAGTGGCATCAGGAAGATCGAAAACTCCGTCTTCCGACCACGCGATCCGGATCCCTTTGCCGTTGAACTTGGTGAACTGGATATTAACGAGCCTGAACTTGCTTCTGGAGCAATTACCACCAACGATTACTCACTGGCCGCTTCCTCGGAATCGGACGAAGAGGATACCGAAAGCATCCTTCCTGACCTCAAAGAGATTCGACGCAGATTCCTTAGCCCCAGAGCTTGCGGAGCCATCTCCAAGTTTCAAAATGTCCTTTTCAATCCTAAGCTTGAAACCCTCCGCCTGCATGGATTCATGTGGACTAGGTTTGAAATCAATCAAAAGGCCAGATTCAGCGAGATATCTTGCTATCTCAAAAAGCTACAGCTAGAATGTTGTCTTGTTGATCACGAAGCCCTGGAGAACATTCTCTCCCGCTGCAAAGAACTTCGCTCTCTTTCGATGACCCTTCCCGATCTCCGTAGGGTAGGCTTTATGGGCCTCAACCCTAACGTGAACCTGAAGGAAATGGGAAATGTCCTCAGAACCTATGGAACAAACCTTGAAACCTTTGAGCTTGATACCTACGACTACAGCTACTTCTACCACGCCAAACGACCCTTCGGCTCACTTCATATGTTGGAATCGCTGCGCCACCTCAAGATCAGCGCAGGAGACATTTTAGAGCTCGGGGACGGCACCGTTAACGAGGAAGAGGAAGAAGTCAGAGACGTCTTCTCGGCGCCCTTGAAAAACAATCTACCTCTGTCCCTGGAGTCACTTTACATCGTACGCACTTCACGCAAAGTCGAACTGAGAGACAGCCAGCTCTTAGAGTCAGTTCGTGAAATTCTTCGATACGAACTCTTTACTAAACTACGAAAAGTCGAGGTGGAGATTTCTGGCGGATTGCTCAAGGAAGTCTCCGCGCCTGGATGGGAGGCTACCTCAAGGGTCAATCGAATTTATTCCGATTCGCACGGCCATTCAGAGTCTGAGGAGAGAGTCCCGCAGGAAGTGACCATCGTGGTCTTTGACCGGCGTGAGGGAGCCACCAAACACAGCTCCGGCAATTAGAGACTTGGCCAACGTGGAGCGACCCTCCCATGGTGCATTCAGGAATAGGTAGCCCATTTCTATGGACGAGAGACTGGTGAGTTAGGTTCGGTCACCGAGGAAGAATAACATCTGCATTGGAGTCATGTTTTATCAAGAGGAATGGGGGAGGTCCGTTTGGGATCCAAGATGTGAAACGTCTGCATGGATATCCTGCCCTATCAAGGGGGACTGTGGAAGTCCGTATGGGCACGAAGGAGGTCAAACATCTGCATGGAAATTCTGTTTTATCAAGAGAGACTGAAGAAGTCAGCATGGCTATTGAGGAAGTATAACGTCTGCGTGGAAATCTTTGGTCCGTCTTTTTCTAGCTTTTACATGCATCATCAATGTATGCACTTTTAGTCAACGTTCATTAGGTCGGCAATCAAATTATGATTAAGACATGATAAAAGTGCCCAATTTCCCGTCCCTGTCACCAGATGCCACGGAACTCACAGCACTGAGAAATCATGTAGACTTACAGTGTACCAGGCATTTAATTCGATTACCTGCATAAAGTTGCTCTCAAACACATGCCCTGTAGGTTGTGATCTTCGTCATACGATCGTTTGCCACAGCAACAAGAAAACAGCAAACATGTGTTCTATCCACTTGATCTAGCTCTTTCTGCTTTTCCGTAACACACTTTTCATCACGCCCTTCCCTGTGTCTACTTGGCCCATAGTCTCAAACATAGGGCGATGTCTGAGTAATTTACATTAGAGAGACAGAATGCCATACCATTTGTCTATAAATTACACCTTGGGGTCTTGACAATGATAGAAGTCGTATTGCGAGGTATACTCATGTAGCGTGCATCTTCAACCTACCCTATAGCCAAGCATCGAAAGGCACATCTTCAGTCTGCCCAGAGGCTGCCTCGAATGTGGTGATTCGGACGGTTCTTACTTTACGTCATCATGGTCTCTTATTAGTTTGTTTGTAATTCGTTAAAACTAGGGGACAAACTGATGTACCTGAGTAATTACAGGGTTTGTTTCGTGCAGTTCGAGGAAACAAAGGCCTTCCTAAAGAAGGATCTCGAAGACCTTTTTCTAGATCCATGCATAACCGGGTCTGCAAACATCTACCGTTTATTGGCCGTAGTCCGTTTATTGGCCGGGTTACAAAAATAACATCCAATTGTTAATTGATCAACGCACTCTCAACAGCCACCCCGCATCTTTAGCCTGCATCTTCCCGCATTGGTGATTGCTGGCATATGGGTGATGCCCACCACCTTCAGTTTCACTGGGGGCTGGAAGTGAAACAGGCAGGGGTTTAGGACAACCCAGCAGCATGTGAGGAGAGCAAACTTGATGCTGTCAAGATGTCAGATCAAAGGGCACGCCCAGCCCCAGGTTTCATTCATTGCCCAGGGCATGAATTCTCTGTTCCTCCCACCGCTTGATTCTGAGCGCTCTGCCTTGCATCAGCCTTCGTGGACAGGGTGGCCGCACTCGTTCTGTCGCGAATCCAAGCTCAGCTGCTCCTCAAGTCGAGTTTCAGGCACTCGTTGGCCCACATTTGTCCACAACAGAGCAGCGTTCCGCCTATTTTAGGAACCGGCGTTGATCTGTGCTGCATGGGGGAGGTGTCGAGGGACGCTCGTCGCAGGTCGGTACCGATGTACGCCGAAGTGGTGTGAGACCCAAGCCCCGAATCACTCAGACTGAGTAAGAGTAAGGCAGTGGGAGATTAATTAGTAATTAATTAGTTACTCGATGGATTGTTCGGGCAGATCGTGGCCGGCAGACTTATCCGACCACTTGCCGATCGTTACTGATTCGTTTCGCCCCTCAGCGTGAATAACCTGGCTTCAGGGCCAGAGGCTACAACTAGGTCGAGGTGTGTTCTATGTTTCCCTGGTAAAATCCCCTGGTGGAAATGATTTTCGATGATTCTCTCCTTTGATGTCAGTTTAAAATAGGGTTTCCAGTAGATACCTGAGACTGATCAGTCGTTGATTAGAAAGTTGTAGGGGTAGCAGCATGGATCAGGACAATGGCAGCCCTACACATATTACGGCCATCATCGGGTGCTAATCCTTTAGTCAATCATTACTGGAAATGGGTCTTGGTGCCCGGATTCCGTGATGGCGTAGTGGAGTTGGTGATTCCTGGTGCGAGTGGGTTGGCTGCCATGCAAAGCCATCTTCGATCCCCATTGGGATGCTTGGGACGGCGCAGTGTTTCGTCCTTTCGTTTTTCGGCAGAGGATCCAGATCCAGGTACCTGATGTGCGTTGCAGCTTGCAAGCATTCTCCGTCTGTGACAGGCCGCACCTTTTCGTATCTGCGAACTCACCAGAAGGGCATCTGGATGTCATTTGTGTGCCGTCCATTGGGAACTGTGTGTGCCGCTAATTTTAGACACTCCTCAACGTCACAGCCTCCCACCATCTCAGTATGTTGGTGAGAAATGTATATAAAATCCGACTCGCTCTCCATCAATGTGTACTTTTCTCATCAGCCAACCAACACAGCAAGCAATCCCTAGCAGCCGGCCTCCTAGCTTTCCTTGAGTATTTTCATTTAGCAGTCTGCTTTACTCTCTTCAACTTGTTATATTCCTCAATCTGACCTGTTGGTTTCTTTCTTTCGACTTTCTTTACTCCTTTTTACCTTTGTTCAACTTCATTTCCATTATAAATTCACAATGGTCGCCGCCAAGCAACTCAGCCTCGCCGCTCTCGTCTGGCTCGGCCTTGCCAGCCAGGGTCTCGCCCTCCAGGTCGACCAGGCATCCAACGATCTCACACTAGTGGAGAGAGCCGAAGCCCCCAGCGGCAAGATGGGCGTCGCCCTTGCGCCCAACCAGAAGCTCCCCAAGGTTGGAGCCGCCCACAAGGCTGGCAAGAGCGGCAAGCTCGGTGTTGCCCTAGCCCCCAACCAAAAGATTTCCAAGTCTGGAAAGAGCCACAAGGCCGGGAAGCACACCGCCGGTGCTGCTTCCGGCAAGAAGGCCCACAAGGCTGGTAAGCTGAGCGTTGCTCTCGCCCCCGAATCCAAGCCCGAGCACAAGGAGAGGGACCTCGAGGAGCGCAAGATCACCGCCAAGGGTGTTGCCAAAGGTGTTGGCAAGGTCGCCAAGGGTGCCCTGAAGCTCTTGTTCCGTGACCTCGAGGAGCGGGACGTTGATGAACTCGAGGAGCGAGACCTCGAGGAACTCATCGCTCGCTATTATGACGAGGAAGAGCTTGTTGCTCGCGACCTCGAGGAGCGCAAGATCAGCGCCAAGGGTGTCGCTAAAGGCATTGGTAGGGTTGCCAAGGGCGCCCTCAACATCCTCCTCCGCGACATCGAAGAGCGTGATATTGACGAACTTGAGGAGCGAGACCTCGAGGAGCTCGTTGAGCGCTACTTCGACGAGGAGGAGCTCACTGCCCGATACTATGATGAGACCGAGCTTGATGAGCGTGACCTTGAGGAGCGCAAGATCACTGCCAAGGGCGTTGCGAAGGGTGTTGGCAAGGTCGCTAAGGGCGCCTTGAAGCTGTTCTTCCGTGACCTTGAGGAGATCGAAGAACGCGACTTTGAGGAACTTGATGAGCGTGATCTCGAGGAGTTGGAGGAGCGCGACCTTGAAGAGCGCAAGATCACTGCTAAAGGTGTTGCCAAGGGTGTCGGCAAGGTCGCCAAGGGCGCCCTGAAGCTCTTCTTCCGTGACCTCGATCAGCTCGATGAGCGTGACCTGGAAGAGCTTGACGAGCGTGACATCGAGGAGCTCGCTGCCCGATACTTCGATGACTCTGATATTGAGGAGCGCGATCTTGAGGAGCGAAAGGTCACTGCCAAAGGCGTTGCCAAGGGCATCGGCAAGGTCGCAAAGGGAGCCCTGAAGCTCCTCTTCCGTGATCTGTCCGAGCGCGAAGTCGAGGATCTGGATCAGCGTGACATTGATGAGCTCGTCGCCCGTCACTTCGATGAGGAGGAGCTTGTTGCCCGATTCTTCGACGAGACTGAGCTCGAGGAGCGCGACCTTGAGGAGCGCAAGGTTAGCGCTAAGGGCGTTGCTAAGGGCATTGGCAAGGTCGCCAAGGGAGCTCTGAAGCTCCTCTTCCGCGATGTGGAGGAGCGCGATCTTGAGGATGAGCTTGCTGAGCGTGACATGGGTGATCTTGTAACTCGCTACTTTGACGAGAGTGAGCTTGGTCTCGAGACCCGTATGATCAGAGCCGGCTTCAACCGAGGCCCTGTCCACAAGCCAGGACGGATGTCTATTGCTTAGAGTGTCGAAGCGGGCGAATGAGTTGTTTAAAGGTGAATGGGATTGAATTTGAGCGTCTTTGTTTTCTCTTTTTTCTTTTCTTGATTCTTCATATATTTTTTCTGGTTAGTATATACATTTCAAAATCCAATACCCCAACGCAGCAAATGCAGAGTTGAATATGAGAGATACTGGTTCACTTGATGATATGTATTTTGATGCTTCTAGTTTGAGATCTAAGGGGGATAGTACGGCGAATTACGACGCAGGCTATGCCCCCTTTCGCCAGATACAGTAAGCAGTGGTCACATCAAGGCGAGAAGAAAAGGATATAGACTGACAAGTTTTACACGCAACATCAGCGTAAGGTTGTTAGTGGGCATCAGCGTAGCCACAGATGCCTCACATTAATAGACACGGAAAATGGTTCATTAAAACCGCTGCCTCCATTTCAAAACAGAGGAAATGATGCTCTTGCTCGAATTTATCTTGCAAGAAGGTGTGGTTCATTAGTTGATTGGATGAGGCTATAAAGCCGTATTGTATAGCCGGATCGATTTCGTTTTCGTCAAGGAGCCTCCGTCAAGTCGAATTTGAGCCGTTGCTGGAATTTCCAGAGCAGGGCATATTCCCATGTATGGCCTCTGCTGGATATGGCTGATCGGCTTCGGAGCCCGGCCGAAAGGAACGCCTTGAATCTCGGATTTCTTTGAAGGGCACCATTGATGGTTCTGTTATTGGTATGTCTGCTCAGTTTATGCTTCGTCCGGATTCGGTGGATAGCTGTCCGGAAGATAACCGGAGGCTGATTAAAATGACCTTTAATGACAGATCCTCACGGTGAAATCGCCGTGCCAGTGTCGTATTTGATAACTCCGCACTTGCCGTGAGATGAGAAACGCACAACAAAATCGCCGAGTATTATATCCTTCTTGTTGCTCGGCGCACCACCGCCGATGCCAACCATGAGTACTATCGGAATGCTTGGGAATGTACGCGGTATATCCTTCACAGCGCCGGAGGCGACACATGTGCCATACTCGTCATCTGGCAAGATGGGTGACGATTTTGTGCCCCCCCGTCTCTCCAAGGGTACAGGTGTAGTTGTCGTTCGGCGCCTGGCGGTAGTTGGAATTTCTGTACTTCCTGTCAAGTAAGCTGATCGCGGCTACATTCTCTGCGATGATGGAACAGATCTAACCCACGATGTACTGCTCGTTATGTCCTCTAACTTCCGGCTGCGTATCTCATGTGCGTTGTGATTTCAGTCGATATACCGCGAGAAAGGTGTTCGTAATTCTTGAGGAAGTCTATGCTTGTTGTTTAAGATGGATTAGGGTGCAAAGAGAGAGTAGGCGGAGAGCCAGTGAGATTGAAAAGCATCCCCATCCAGTCATCTTTAGGGAGTGGCCGGTTGGCTGACCGCTGACAGTTCTGAAAGCCGCAGAGGTTGGTTTCGATAAGCAGTCTGGTACTAAGTGATGCCATCTACATCCAATCACTCTACAGTGGCTGGGCCGAGGCTTGTAGGGCTGTGACTACCCGATGCCTCAGGCAACTCGGGTATTTGGCTACGACCGCCCGAACTGGACGTACCTTCCCTGAACATATTTGGTGGTCACGTGGTGGCAGTCTCGCCTGGCTACAGTTGCTAAGAGCTCTATTGAGCTCTGCTCCAAAATACATCATGCCAACAACAAACCTGTTCATGCATACCCCGCGGAATACATCAATATCATAAATGGGTAGCCCCCCCTCCTCCCCCCCTCCTCCCCCCCTTTTTTTTTAGTAGCTGCTGCATAACCTGCATAGCTCTTTCACTTAGTGAACTGATGTTGAGAGAGAAGGATCTCAGAAAAACGATATAGGAGGGGGGCAACGCCCAACAGCTCGGGGATGATGATGACGATGGAGAGTAACACTAGCAATAAGCTAGATTTCACGACGATAATCATGCAGAATAGCTCCAGTGTGGATTGTTCACGGCCCGAGTGCAAACAAGAAACCATCTACAACAGCTGAGGATACGCATTCGACCATTTGAGAAAAAAGCACTGTGCTTGTATGGGTTTTGGATGAAAGCATGCTGGGGAAAACCAAACAGCTAGAAGGAAACATTTTCTGGGCCACATGCGACTTGGATATCACTATTGATCTCGCTCCGTTTCCGATCCGATCGTTTACAGTGAGACGGGAAACCATAAGATACTTTCTTCGGCCGCTACTTATTCTGGATGACACACCGTCTACGGTACTTTCGCGGGAATCCTCCAAGTGTACCAACGACCCCAATTCAGCTTAGGGCCATGGACGAAGAAGTTCACGTCATATATATCCCGGTTAGATGATCTTATGGGCCAGTGAGTCGATCCGCTCTTCTTCTACGAGAACTCAGACATTACGCGGTAATGCCTAAAGCTGCGTGCCCAAGCTGAACCTGTCACAAGCTCGTCCGCCGATCCGAAGATCCCCGCCGTGTATCGGTTCCCGCCACGCTGGCTGTGATTTGAACGCCATTCAAGAGCTATCGATATCTCTCCAATGATGTACTGCGTCTATTAGTATGCAACAGAGGTGAGCTTTAGCACTGGCGACGATAACAAGGTATATGAGCTAATCAGCATTTGGGATATTTTATGGTTCTCCTATTAATCCTCGTTCCAATAATTTACGCCGTTCCATTGTCCATAGAAACGGTTGGAACCTATATCCCCCACGACTCACCCCGTGTCCACCGGGCGGAAGCGAGACTCCAGGACCCGGGGCAAAGCCCCAAACCTGGCAGATCAGCCAGCCCAAGAATAATACCTCGTCTTACGGGCCAACAGTGCTTAAAAATCCCGCCACTTGAAGAATTCTGTCGATGGGTTGGTCGTTCACGGTTGACGTGAAAGTCAGGCACTCCTTTCGTGCATTAATTAGTCTAGCCGAAGCTAGATACATGCGCCGATCCCCCGGTAGATTATCGTGGATCGAGTCGGCGACACCTCGACGTCTAAATCAGCCGGTCTGTGACATTACTAGTGCTTGAATATAGAATCGCCTAGGTTTTGGGCCCCCTTCTGCTGCTCGGTCTAGGCAAGACATGCCACATACCAAACCAAGCACCAGCGCGTTGAAACTGATTGGCACAACGACATATGGAATATAATCACAGGATTATCGGCATTTCCGCCTCACTGAGTTATTGTCAAAATGGGTTACTATTCATTGTGTTGAGATGTCGGGTCTGGAATCTTCCATTGTTGTTTAACTTTATACTCGAACTCTCTTCCGTCACAATGGGTTACATTTGCTTGTTAGTTGTGCGGGCATACACTCTCGGCCGTATTATCTTGTGGCTCCCAGTAGTTTTTGCGACGCCGTAGAGGAGCTTCGAAGGTTCTACCCGCCAAAGGTTTACTAGGGCGGGTTTGGACATGTTAAATCCTTCTGATACTATAAATGGGACTATATTCGCTCTCAGAGTCCTAACGAAGTAAGTGTTAATTGGGCTTACCGAATCACAAGAGCCTGCCCGTCAGAACTTAGAGATGGAAGTGCTGGGGAGAAAATAATTTGTGATCATAGAGTTCTTGGACTCTTGCCTCTATAGAGCTCATATTTGTGTTTCCTGTTCTTTCACTTCAAGTTTAATTCAAACCTCGAATGTCATCTATGTACATCTTCCATATTGATTTCGTTGCTGCTGATAATTTATTGTCACTTAATGTTAGGTACCTAGTGCTTGAAGGGATGAGCTTCGGAGCCTTTACTATAGTAACAACTTTAGACTGAGTAATGTTAAGGGGAAGAAGGAAAGCCATGTGGCTTGCTGTAATAGTTTCACACCCTGAACACGCATACACACCAACACACTCACCATCGCGAAAGACCTGTGAAACCATCATGCTCGGACGGCTTCTCACGTCAGCCCACACGGAACTGCCCGCACTCATCATCTGTTTCGTTGCCTGAGGGCCCACAAAATCCAGTCTTTTCCCACTCAAAGTCTCCCACTGTTCCTCGCCCACTCATCACTCGCTGCTCCATTCTACATTGGACCAAAACCCCATTCCCTAAAACCAGTCCTTCCTTGACCATATTTTCATTTCTTGAAAAAGACAAAATACCTTGACCAGTACGAAGCACTGATCTCAATATCGCCTCCCCAGGATTTCCAGCCCGGACATTCCTCGCCGTCCTAAGGCCACCCCTAACCGCGGAGTGAGACCGATAGCCCATCTGAACACTCTTGCATTAAGACATAGCTAATAGATCTTGCTAGGTGCTTCGTCCTTCCTACTGCATCTTACAAACACGGAGTAAGTCTTTCAACTAAAAGATCAGTCTTCCAAGCTGGCAGTGGAGTCATTGGTTAGGGATCGAGTCTTCCAAGCAGGAGTGAGTCTTCCAGTAGGAAGTGAGTCTTTCAAGCAGCGAGAGAGCCATCAAAGTAGGGGGTTAGTCTTCTAAGTCGAGCACGAATCGTTAGATTGGTTGGGTAGTGTGTAGACAGGTGCTACCCGTCAACAACGTTTCGCTCCAACTTGGAAGACTGGCTCAAAAATTTGATGGCTCTCTTGCTGCTTGGAGGGCTCACTCCCTACTGGAAGACTCACTGCTACTTGGAAGATTCACTTCCTACCTAATGACTTCCTTCTTACTTGGATGACTGGTCCTTAGTTGGAAGATTTATTCCCCATGACGGAACGCCCACCTCCTCAGCGCAATCATATGGAGCCTCTATTACAAGCTGATATCTACTCGACTATTACGAGTGTTCTCACCAACACCGCTGGAACTCGTAGCAAGAAGAGAACATTGCATTACTGCATAGGCCGAGAACTCTTCATGTATTTGCGACTCATTATAAGTCATCTTACGTGTTGGAGACTTGCTGACCTTTCACGCCTTTTGCTATCCAGATCCAATATCAAAACTCAACCACCCAAAAGGAGATCCAGAATGCAAATATGGATTCATCGAAAAGCATAGCCGGGAATATGACGCGTCGAAGTCTCACGCCGATTTTCCCCTTGCTTGTGGACTGCCATTGCGCGAAGGCGAGATCTCGAAGGGGGAACTGAGTTATCTGCTCTTGGTGGCCTTTGAGGTTGAATACCTACATCATGAAATTGTGCCGTTAGGTTTAGAATCCGATGGTTTGGTTCATGTGTACTGACAAGGCCTTTCAAGGGGACCATTTTAGTCGGACCGAGATTCACCGTGTGTGTCGTTCAGGGGTGTTTCAATGTCGGCAGGGCAGAGGTTGAGATTCGTGCGTTTAGGCTCGTGGAGGTTACCGATAGCCTTCTTCAGAATCTTCAATGGTTCTAAAAGATCAATGCCTGGATTTTGGATGTGGCTATGCGAGTATGGCTTGGTGTGAATGATGCGGGTTCGTTCATTATGCACAGTAGGGGATGGAGCAATTCGCTGAAGGGGTTAGCCGTCACCTTCAACTTGCACAGGGTCCTTTTATTAATGCAGTTTTAATGATGTGACAACCAAAAGAGAAATCACTTTCACTATCGTTCAACCCTCATCATCATCTAAACATTCGATCTGTGTTCATAATAGCTCAACTCTCGTCCTCCTCAGAGAGGTTCGAACATGAAGGGAGTGGATGACAGCTTGCAAAACGGAATCTGATCTCCTACATGTGTTGGAAGTTCCATCGATGACTAAGTCAGAAGGCGTCGTCTCAGACTTTACTTCTTTGGCAGCCCTTCTTCCAGAAGACAATGACGATAATGCCGAGATTGTTCTTCCTGATGGCTCTCTTGGTGTTAGAAAACCTGCCAGTAGTCCACCCCCGGATGGCCGTCCGAGAGGTGAGTTCCCTTAGCGGACTCGGGGCATCCAAATTGATTCGCGATGCCCTTTACTGCATCCGCCGCTTCCGGTATGACAGGTGCTCTCCACCGCGATTCTAATACAGGTTGCGAGACCAAGTCCTTTGATCCGTTTCCTCTGCCAGCAGTAGAAAATCTGGGGCCGGTTTCCTCAGCTTCGGTGAACTTAGTAGGCGTGAAATGGTCTCGATGGCTTCAAGGTCGGTCTTAGTGAGTGATGTGGCTTCTAACACAATAGTATTCGCTCGGCCTGGTCGAGTGATTAGTCCTGCGTTCGCTACTTGATTTTCCTAACTGGAAGTACCTACATGTTGTTTTCTTACTGTAAAGGCGCTGTGGAAGAAGGCCAAATTAGGCTGTGGATGTATGATTGGGCTATCGCATATCTCAGTGCCACACCCTCTGGTACTCCCAATGGCTGAATCCAGCTCTCGCAGATCCTTCTTGCGGCAAGAATTTCACCTTCCCCTTCCCCTTGCTTTGGCGGCCGTAGAAAGAGATCCATAAACTCCAGTCGTAGGGGACCTCTAGTAATGTTACATGACAAGGGAGTTCGTGGGTTTGTTGAGGGAAAGGTCTTCTGGATGTTGATGAGTTGTATTCTGGATGGCTCAAGACCAAGATAGGGGGCTTGTGTTGTAGTGGTACCAGCACGTCTTTGATCCTGAAGGGTTTCCAATTTTCAAAAAGAATCTTTCTGGGTACTGAAGTACACCTTATGTCGGCGAAACATCCTGGTGCTTTTATCTGATCAAATCTCGAATACGTTCCGAATGTCCGTCAAATGCGAGAACCATTCGCACAGCGTCGCGCATCTTAAATGAAAAATCTTCCTAGAAAGGGGATAAGCCTTGTTGAAGGTGCTATGGGTTTTGAATAAAATTATACCGAGTTTATTTAGAGGGGGTTTTCGCTCGCGACTGAGGTTGATGTCTCGGTTGAAGAACTTCGCACCATCGTAGCTGAACCTTCGAGGCTAGTATTCTGCTCTCAAATGGTCGAACGCGGCTCCTCGGCTGTTGTCGGTGGTTTTTTGTTTGCACTCGGTTGCTTCTGAGGTATCCAGATGACTTAATGTCCGGGCGCTGTCGAGAAAAGTAGTAGCGACTCCCACACGGAACTCTGATGAGTTGTAGATAACTTGCTACCGTCGCGCCTGTAGGAATGCTGCCGGGTGTTGTCTGGCAGAGCAATATTGAAATAATTCTCATCTGCGGCGTTGCCAGTAACTGTCATCTCGTGGACAGATCGGTGTGAGATGGGAACGATGTCTGGATGTGCTTCTGCAAAGTAGTGCCATTCCTTTGGCAGATATCCCATGTCGAGATCCTTCATGCCTACGGGGGCGCCAGCAAGGTGGACGGCTATCGGGCGGTTGCTAGGATCATCTATGCTTGTCTTGCAGGCGGCGATAAACAAGCGATCAAACCCATCATTCTTTGTAAAGAAGAACCTCGGGTCATCTTCCGGGGGGTTGGCTTCTCGGCCTACTACTGTGAAAGGGATCTGTTAGCCCACTGTCGATAAAGAAGGTGGTAAAAATGGCGCCGCCTGTGAAACACCTACCAGTAATGACGGGACCTCCGTCAAGGACAAGTAAGGTTTGGTTGCGGGCGGCGAGTTCTTTGGGTTTGGGGTTTTGGTGCGCGATGCAGGAATTGAGTTTAGGATTTCTAAAGCTGAAAAAACAGTAACAGTTAGAATGAACGGGTGGACAGGGAAATCGGGTAGTCGGCTATGTCTCGAGACATGTGTGGTACTGCTCACTCGCTTATGATGGACACAGAGGTTACTTAGCATTCATGGGATTAGATGAATGGGGCCAACATTCGGGATGAAATTGCTTGTTGGTTTTCGCGGTGCGGCAGTTGTTGCGGACAAAGTGGTTGGAGTGGTCTCGTTTGTGCCCGGTCAAGCCAAGGAAAGTGTGCGCGGTGTACGGAGAAGGTACCTGGCGAGGTAAGGTGTCAGGAGGTCGGCTGGGTTAGACCCCCAAGTAGGTTCGACCGATGTGCAAGGCAAGTACAAACCTTAGGTACCTAGGTCCTGGTAGGTCTTCATTGGCAATGGCACTTGGCGGGGCTTCTGCTGCCTGACTACATTATACTATGGCAGGTACGGACCTTGATGGCTGGCGCATTCGGCCCGCCAAAAGCCCCAGAGGAGATCGCTGGTTAAGGTGCTGCCGTGCATTATGCTTCTTTTAGGGCCTCGACCTTGCAACTTCTCCCCGCCCCCCTGATTTCCAGGCAGCAAGTATTCAGGAGACAGCCTCGAGTTGTCTTTCGTCGTGCCATGAAAATGGCCCATTCACAGGACATTTCGGCCCTGGGAATCCAGTTTAATGAAGATTTCTGTCCATGTTTGCCCTGGTGACTTGAGTCTCACGCGGCGGTCCACAGTTGTGCGTGAACCTTGATGGCTTCAAGTGCCGTGATGACTGAGCCCCGAGCGATCAGGCTACCGACCCAGCCCTCGATATAAGCCAGCTAGGAGCAGCCCAGAAACTCAATTCGCCGTACAGCATGTCGCCCTCGAACCCCCAACTTCCACCAACGTCGCAAGGCCCTTCGAACTCCCAACTTCCACCACCGTCGCAAGGGCCCGTGAACTGACAATTCTTGCCATCACCCAACACCACCATGTCGTCCTTCCCGCACCACGTCGATTTAGACAAGGTCGAGCTTCGGGATGTCGTCTGCTACCTCAACAAGCCCAAGGAGGAAGATGACCCAGGCTCCATTGTGGTCTCGCGGGTTGCCGCCATCTTCGTTCTCCTCGTCACTTCCACCGTCGCCACCATGTTCCCGGTCCTCGCCACGAATGCCCGCCGCCTCGGCATCCCCCCCAACCTGTACCTGATTGCTCGCCATTTTGGCTCGGGCGTTATCATCGCCACCGCCTTTATCCACCTGCTCGATCCAGCGTACGAAGAAATCGGACCCGCCAGCTGTGTTGGTCTGACCGCGGGGTGGGAGGGCTACAGCTGGCCTCCTGCGCTGGCAATGACATCAGCCATGTTGATCTTTCTCGTCGACTTCCTCGCCGACTACTACGTGACCAAAAGGTTCGGGACCCAGGAAACAGAGGAGGAGGAAAACTTTGATCTTGAAGGGGATAAGAACCCCCGACGATCGATAGAGCCTCTTCTCGAACGCAGCGAAGAACCTGAACGAGACCAAGCAGCATTTCCCAACACCCACAGCCTGGCAGAGATACCAATCCACCGCGAACAGATCCATGCCGCCGAAGAAGACCTGCCAGCTTTCTACTCTAAGCTGGCAGCGTTCCTCATTCTCGAATTCGGCGTGCTCTTCCACTCTGGCATCATCGGCGTAAATCTCGGAGTCGTCGGAAAGGAGTTCTCAACCTTGTATCCCGTCATTGCCTTCCACCAAGCGTTCGAGGGACTGGGTATCGGAGCCCGTCTCAGTTCAATACCTTTCCCAAGGAAATACCGATTTGCACCGTACGTGCTGGCTCTCGCCTATGGGCTGACAACACCAATCGCCCTCGCCATCGGCCTCGGTCTAAGAACCACATATGACAGCGATTCATTCCGGGCCCAAGTGGTTTCCGGTGTTCTTGATTCTATTTCAAGCGGCATCCTGCTGTACACTGGCTTTGTCGAGATGTTGGCACGGGACATTCTCTTGAACGCCCAATCATGGGATAAGCAGAGGCTTGTGGTTGCTTTTACCTCACTCTACTCTGGCATTGTAGCCATGGCTATTTTGGGAAAGTGGGCATGAAATTGTGATTCATCAGGATAGGAGGTGGTCAACACGAACAGACGCGTCACTCTTTTCCTCCACATTGGCTGAGACTTCTGGAACACGTAATAACATGAAAAGGGGCACCACCGGGTTACGATCGAGCTTTTGATTTGCATTGGATTTAAACCCGGATTTGATTTGATTCAACTTGGCTTTGTTCAGCTCCAAAATGGGGCATCCACTGATAGGTATACAGTCTAATTAGATGTCAACTGAGGCTGTCAAACGAAAAGATGTGTTTTGAAACAACTTGAGCCACACGGAGTAGCTGACTCTGGATAGTAGTAACAAGCTCGGCTTCCTCTTCAAGGTATCAGTTGCAAGACGACACAAACTCCTGAGAATCCGACGGAGAATACCCCCGAGACTTCAAACACTTTCATGTTCAACTCCTCGATACGTCCGCTGTGTTCTGTACTGTACCAGAGTTCCAGGACTGGCACCTCTCCTTTATAATCCACGACGCTAGCTCTTCCTCAACTTACTTCCGAAACAAAGAGAGAGTTCCCAGATGGTTCAAGATCCGCATTTTTACCTGCGTGGCCAATGATCCCACGACTGAAGCTGGGCTCGGACCACGATCTAGACTGTATACAAAAAAGGACCGTTATCCAATGCAAACAAAGGACCCTTATGAAGCGAACTAACTTTACCTCCAGGCACGTCGTATAAATACCACCCTCCCCTTCCTACTTCTCCCCCAGCTGGAGACAACAACCCACATCAATACAGCCTTACATCTAACTTTGATATCAAATAACTATAAATCCCCACACCCGTCGCCTCTCATCCAAGTTCCGCTTCTTGTTCTTCTTGGGCGTTCAAAAAGCATGGAGACTACCGACAACGCCAGCTTCCAGCACCATCACCACCACTAGTCTCCCCTGTGGATGGTTAAGGGCAAAGTCGAGAACGCTAAGAACATTGTGGAGTTTCTTGGCGAGGAATAGAGGCAAACATCCCAATCCCGCGCTCGAGAAAGACGACTATGACCTTTTCCAGGATATCGACAACCCCATCGTTGATCAGCCGACATCGCTTGGAGAAACCATATCTCCCCACGTATACCAGAACCAATCAACCTACATGGCCATTCCTTCCCATGCGATAACCAGATCCTCATTCGCTGGCGAACCACTCGACAACAATGGATCGGAAGGCGCAGAGAATCCAGTCTGAGCTAGGTTCCAGTAGCGCAGGCTCTCCCTACAGTAGAGATGCTCAGATAGCCAATGAGCAATCAAGACGTTTCTATCTCGTTGCCGCGACGATCTCTCAATCATCATGTTGAGCAATGACGCCAACGCGGTGAATTATAACTCCCAAGTTGAGCGCGGAGACAAGGGAGGACCACAACAAACACCACATCCCCGACACGCTCTGCTCAGCATACCATTGTTCCCTTCGCGAAACGGCCAGCCAGGTCCCGTCCAATATTATTGAGTCCTTCGGGTGGCTCGTCACAAGACCCATTTTATACATCGGATCGAAATAATTTTCTCATTAACAACATAATGCTTATCCTACTCGTGGAAGGATAGGATCAATGGAGACTTCAGGTCCTCCCAACAGCTTAAAGGAAGCCGGAGACTCACATCAGGCTGAACTCTTGTCTGGCCAATGCAAGAAGTTCACGGCTGTGTGACGAAGGTTTTATCGCTGTGGAAGTTTTGCCTCTAAACAGCCTATCAAGAACAATGAGTCTGGGAGACGAGTGGTGTCACAGCGACTGGCAAACAACCCCCGTCGCGAACTAGCCTCCAAGGCCGAAAATATCAAGAATAATACCGACGAAACATTTATCGTTGTGGAAGTTCTACCTCTGAGTAGGTTGAGAAAATCGTGCGTCTGGGAGGCGGGTGGTGTCACAGCGACTGGCAAACAACCCCCATCGCGAACAAGCATCCAAGGTCGAGAATAATAAGAATAATACCGACTAGACACTTATCGTTGTGGAAGTTCTACCCCTGAGCAGGCTAAGAGTATTGTGAGTCTGGGAGACGGGTGGTGTTACAACGAGTGGCAAACAACCCCCGTCGCGAACAAGCATCTAAGGTCGAGAATAAGAAGAATAATACCGACTAAACATTTATCGTTGTGGAAGTTCTACCTCCAAAGCGATAGTAAAACATCTTGGAGACGGGTGGCTGTATCGCATCGCGAACAGCCCCTGTGGCGAACAAGCAAGTAATTTCGACGAAACACTTATTGTTATAGAAGTTTTGCCTCTAGACGATGGTCAGGAATCATGGGACTGGGAGGCGGGTGGTTATATCGCATCGCTAATAACCCCCATGGTGAACAAGCCAGTAAAGTCGAGAACATGAAGAACAACTTGGAGAAGAAGTTCAACGGGCCTGAGATTCGGGCCGGGGCAACCAAGAGGGACCTCTCGGTCCATTTAGGGCTGGACGTCGGTTTCGAAGAGGAAACTGACTCCATCGAGGCTGAGATACCGCACCCGCATAACTTCATCCCACGGTATACTGCGTGGTATGCTTCGGCGCCGACAAAGATCCCGAAACGATGTCGTTGCTGCAACGAGCATGTCGGCGACTCGGCAGGGTGCACTACAATGGTACACCATGTCTACAAGGTGAACGATCCCAAGACCCTGGCATCCATTCTTAACTACGTGGAAACCCCGGATGACCAAGACATCGCCATTATTCAAGGTTCGCCAGAGGATTTCGATGACATTCTCTGCCCGCTGGCTTCGCAATCAGCACTGGGTCTCAGCCGGATTTGAACATAAGTCTACATATTTGGTCTCAGTCCTAACTCAATAATCTTCTTCATCGTTCATTGAGTTGATTCCATCATATTCTTCATCGTTCATCGAGTTGATTCCTTAATCTCAAAGACTATAGATATCTATTCTATCCAGAAAAAGAAAACAATATATATATAATAAATAAAGTAAACCCAAAATTCGCAAACGCCCGCTCTGTGATTCTAATCATTCCCTCATTGAAGCTTGCCCACGTCCTCCTGAAGGGCAATTCCTAACACCGGCCTGTCAGGCGTGCTTTGTGACGTGTGCCCGTATCTGAACCGTTTCAGCTTCATCAGCTGTGAGAAGTGATATCCATCAAGATGGCGGATCTCCCTCGGGATGTCGAGGAACCTTGAGTCCCTGAGCGACGATGAGACCAGGCCCAGCACCTCCGGCCCGACCGCCGAGTGCGCAAAGTAGATGCCAGCCACACCATTCAGGGCCAGGATGACGCAGGCGATTATGCAGGCAGACATCCACCCCCAGTTGATCCTGTATACGTATCGAACGGCGATCGTTTCGCCGGGCGAGGGCTTCCAAATGGTAAGCCTGTTCTTGGTGTTGGGGTCCTTGTCTTCCAGCTCCCACGCGGCGACGTTTAGATCTTTGTATATATCAAGGTTTGCTTGCACAACCAGTAGGTACGAGTTGAGGACTTGGCTGAGAGCCTTGCTGAAGTTGTTGAGATTCGCTAGCGTGAAATCAGGGGTCGGCGTAACCAGGCTGTCCTTGGCTGATACTGACTGGTTGTAGAGGTAGGGTAGGATCTGATCGTAGGACTCGATGAGTAGCGATGGGAGGTCGCTTGTCACCCTGGTGAAGATATTCGGGGTAGAGAGAACCGACAGGTTCTCGGGCATGAGATTGTGCAGGGAGGGTCGCTGGCGCACCACCTGACAAGACGGCCTTCTACTAAGAGTAGGCCTCGAGCACTCAACTTGCGACTCGACGTACTTCTGGAGGACTTGACACTCGGATTGGTGGGATTCGCCTTTGAGCGTCTGGGATCCGGTCTGGTTTCTCCTCGCCTGGAAGAGAAGCCTTGTCGGGCCCACCTCGATATCGGTTTCGTTTATGAAGCGAGAGAGAGCGTTCATGGTGTAGACGTTGGTCGTCATGCCTTGCCAGGACGAGCCCACGAACCTATTCAGGCCCAAGTTCCAAAATGAATCGGTTGCCGTTGTGTTGTGCTGTGTCCCGTACCAGGTGCCATTTGCTAACGATTTCGACGCAGCAGTCAAGGTCGTCAAAGGCACCTCCATCCGACTAATATTCTGTGTAGTACCGCTCGTTACTGCCTCTTTCTTGAAGGCCTCGCAGACCAGGTCGATATACGTGGATTCGATGCTGAAGGTGCTGTTGCCGATGGTCGTATTTCCGGTGGGGATCCCGACCAAAGCCGAATACTTGACAGCCGAATCTGCAGCCAATCCTCTCCAGCCTTGGTCATCGGGCGTCGCATCGGTGTCAAGAAACGGGATCTTGACATTACCCCAGGGATCGTCGGGACCTAGGCGAATATCATCGTGCGCATAAAGGCTTGTGTAGTACGTGGACTTGGTAAAGAGCGAATAGCTGCTAAGGGAGCTCGCCTCGGTGGTATCCCAGTACCTCATTTTCGTCTCCATGGGTGTCGTTTCCTTGTAGAGAACCCGCAAGAGAGCCTGGCCGCCGAGGGGAGAGAAGGCCCACATGATGAAGAGGCCGACAGCGGCCAGGTTGACGATCTGGAGCTCTGCGTGGGTTTCCAAAGTCGATCCCAGTGTCCGGCTGCCCATGAGCTGTTCCAAGGTCTCCAGCGTCGATCCCCTCTCGAGTCTCTGGCGAGCGATCTGGAAAAGTAACCGGCTCGTGATGAAGGCGAATACCATTGGGAACAGGGGGCCGAGAGTGGTGAGGGCGGTCTGGAAGCCGCCATAGCGGTCATCGAGATCCTTTCGATCCAGGGCCGCAACGATGCATACGAAAATCAAGGGGGCTAGGCTGAGAATGACGGAGACGATGTCAGTGAGGAAGAGAGCGAGCCGCTGGCGGTTCATGGGCCGGATAGCCTCGGATTTGGCGATGCTCTCGGAGCCATCGTAGCCCTGGAAGGTAGTCGTCGGCGAGGATACCTGCTGGATGGTGTAGAAGGTACCAGGCTGCTGGGATTTGGACGGATTGAAGTCGTCGCCGTACTGCATCTTGGCTTCCATGGCGGTTTCAGTCGAGAACGGAAGCGAAACTGGCCATCGAGTGATGGTGGCGGGGGAAATCGAGGAGAGGGAAAGGCGGGTCGAGGTTTACCGAGGGGACTCTGGATGTATATGACGATATCCCGAAATGTCCATTCAGTTGCGAGAATTGGGGGCCGTAGCCACCAGGGGGTTGATTGGCTGCAACACATGGCTGTCAAGGCTTGGCTCAAGCATGAATGTTGCGTAGCCGCCAGGAGGATGATCCATAAGACGATGCGGAGTTATGAAGGGGCTGTGATGAGACACGGAGAGAGGTTCCGGTACCTGAGGCCTAGTGAGAGCGCCCGCGTAGTCAAAGTACCTGTACTTTCGCCCCATCATCGGCGACTGCAAGGACCGGGGACGAAGCACCAAGGTCGCATCTGGATGCTGGAAGCAGGGAAAATAAAGGCTTCGAGCCCAGCAATATTGGGGATGGATTAATGGCGGGATAGTAAAGCGAGCGGAAGGATTAGCCTTTTGTCTTGCTCTGATTTGATGTGTCTCGTCCAGCTTGCACTGAAATTCCCTCAACACTGCCCGACGAGCGCCTAATAGCTGCCATCCGCCTGCTGCTCTGATTTAAAAATAGCCCCGTGCGCTGTTCTCAGATAGCGGACTCAGTGGACAATAATAAGCAGGAGACCAGCAATTCCTCCCATGTTTCACCTCTCCCTGCCTATCCCTCCTAGCGCCCATCGCATTGTGCAGGCATTTCCGTTCATCACCCCGCTGGTCGGGCGCTGTATTCCCTTGACGTGTTATCTCTCCAGGTCTTAGTAAGAAATTCCCAGTCAATCGAGGCATTTTGCTCACGCTTTTACCCGATCGCAACTGGAGTAACTGCCATCCAGTCGAGTCCACCTCATTTATTTAATATGCACCCATGGACGGACAAGACAGAAACAAGACAGGCAATATCGGCCCCCAAATGATCAGAGTGGTAGGACACCAATAAAACCACCGTTAGAACGGAATCCTGCCAACTGAGCGGTTTTTGATTCACAACGACCGACCCGCTCGGCTGCTGGTGCCGCTAGTGCAACCCTCTCAAGTGGGTGAAATAAAACATGGCACACCAAAGCTCTTTTCAGGTAAGGCAGGGACCTCATTTTTTATCAAATAAAATAATAAGAGGAGAATAATAAATTATTCTACGATATTTAGCTTGATATTGTATGTATTACTACATTAATTGTTTTAATATTGTGTTAAAATTCAACGCTGGTGTGTCCAAGTGTGCCATGTTTTATGTCAGTCGCTTGCCTCTCCACCGCCAGCGAAGATTGTAATTAACATTCCGCGGCCCCATCCGATCCGATAATCACGCTGTAGATCGGGAAGCCAAGCAAGAGCATGCACAGACTCGATTTTAGACCTGCCATCCTCACCTGCAAAGATCAATGCCCCGGGTGCCAGCCCATGCTGCGCGGTCGCTGTACACTGCGTTGGACGAATAGACGACGCGCCTCGGTGTCTCACTGCTCTGCATGACGTGACGTCAGCCGGAGACGACCAGAGGCTCGAGCACACACAGCACAGCACAAAAGAAAAATCAGCAGAGAGGCGGGGGCTCGTGAGGGGCTTCCTTCACCTCCCGCACCTGAGCTGCCTCCAGTCAGCCCACTCCTACCCCAGTCCCCTCATCGTCAATCCCGCCGCCCAGTCTAGTCTTGTTCGAGGCCAGCTTCTCATAGCAGCCGGGTGACGCTCTTGCGCTCCCACTGTTCAAAGCCAAAATGTCATTGCCCGCCTGTCTCTTCGCCGAGGTGCCACGGCCTGCCGCGGAAGGCCTCATCATCGACGAGTATGTCTTCGATCCCGACGGGGATACTCAGTATATTCTCAAGAACCCCAGCAAACCCGTCACAATCGACATTGGCGGTAGGAAGCGCTTGAATCGTTCTCCCGGCCCTGAGAGTGAAAGCAAACGAGCTAGAACCTTGTCAGGCAAAGCTCCCCAGCCCAACTCTGATAGCTTTTATCGCGAGCCCCCCAACGAGATCCATGCCAAGGTGTCCGGGGCTCATCTGAGGTTGGCAAGCCCCGTCTTCCGCACAATGATAACGGGCAGCTGGTCCCAAACTCCTCTCATACCTACGAACGGGGGCGAAGAGGGCAACCTGCGCCAGCTCACTTCCAGTGAGTGGGACAGCGAGGCAATCTTGATCATGTTCCACATTATGCATGGTCATCATAGCCACGTCCCCAAAACTGTGAGCCTCAAGCTGCTCACTTCCATAGCCACGGTGGTCGATTACTACCAATGCCACGAGATCTTCGAGATCTTCGTCCAGCAATGGATCTCGGCCCTCCAGAGGGAGAATTCTGTTCCACCTCGAAGCGTCTTTGGAGAGGACGTCGTCCGTTGGCTTTCGATTTCCTGGGTGTTCGCTCGCGTCGAAATCTTCAATGTCATGGCTGAGACAATTGTCAGATTTTCCACTCACCCAATCCTTGCGAACGATCTCCCAGTCGGCCCTGCTTTAGGTACTCATCTCCTTCTCATTCATTCACAGCGCTCTCCCAACTGACCCGAATTGCAATAAACAGGCTTGCTCGAGACCAGAAGGCAGGAATTGGTAAGCAAACTGTTCACTTATGTTGGTCGAATTCATAAGGCCTTGTGCATGGGCCAGACGAATTGCACTGTACCTGATTGCGCCTCGATGCTCTTGGGAACTCTGGTCAGCAACCGTCTCGTCCAACTCACACGACCTTCTACTAACGAACAACACGATTTAGGTCAGAGCTACGCAAAAAATCGACCACCTCAAAAACGAGGAAACACGCCCCGCCGATGGCTACTCTCTTTCCAGCGTTATGGAGACTCTCTCGGGCTACCGGAAACCCAACTGGGCTTCTATCCGCCACGACCCCGTTGGAAACCCCATCCCTACGGTCCACAGATGCTCACTTGAGCAATTCCTCGTGAAGCCTCTCAAAAAGATCGAGGCGGAAATTAAACTTCCCGCCTTTGATATCGTTACAAAGGCTGTCGGTACCTCGGCCAGGAATGCAACGTCTAAGATGAGAAACCCTGCCATATCGGGCGAGCCTGTCCGAAGATTTGAGGAACACCCCAAGCCCAAGGTCGCATAAATCGGTCGTTTACAGCTTCATTGATTGGCCAACATACTGCGCCTATTTTTTACAATTTCGGTTCCCTTTTCACGTCTTCCAATTTAATTTAACTTTTTTTTTTTTTCTTTTTTCTCCTAAGTGGAGGATCTACCGCTTTTGATTTATCTGCGGACTCGGGTTATGATTCAAATTTTAGGAATTTGCGGTTTTCTTGCAGCTAACGCCTGGCCGAAGTTTCAACTGGGAAAGGCGTAGGTTTGACGACTAATGACAAGCAAGCTAACAATCAATTTCTTCTTTGAACTACCTGCCCTTGTGTCGCTGGCGAGAGGTATGCAAACATAATGAGGGGAGTTAGTATTAGCGTTCCCCAATGAATCAATTTTGTTAAGACTAAAGACCGTTCATTTTGTGCATGCATTTCCGTATTCATTGTGTTGAGATATGGGTCAAGCATCCTGTGATGTTCCGGTTGTTTTCAATTTTATACTCGAACTCTCTTCCGCGCATGCGTTTCAAAAAAGCGAGACTCGACAAGCTGAGAGTATAAATTTTCCATTCTTCTACAGCGAAATACAAGTAAGAAGACGCATAACGATGGATCCGGGTGTTGAAGCATGTTTCTGAGATTAGTAGTCGGCTTAAATTGTCTCCCGGGGTCTAGGGTAAGTTGCAAGAAAAGAGCATACAAGCCGAGACCCATACCTCTGAGAAATTGGCCAATGGCGATGGCGCGCATCAGCCAGACCGGCTGACTAATTAAACCGGCTCCTTGATTGAACTCGGCTCCGGAACCAAGTCCGAGTATCAGATCTTGCGTACCATGTATTATTCGTAAACACGTATGAGAACACCGTCCAATTGAGATTCCCTCATTTTATTCTTTGTTGCCGTTTCCCAAGTTCCCGTTTGTTCGAAATCTTGCTTGCACTAGAAAGCTGAAACAAATACAGGGCATAATACAAAGACACGACATGGTCACTACATGGCACAAATATTGTTTTTAGAGAAACATTCATTATTTGTATAATAGCTGAGACCTTGTTACGCACGGCCAGGTTTATTTTGCTTATTTTGAGTAAAGTTGAGACAGATTTGACGTTGACGTGAAATCAGATCGCAGGTTTCCAATCTTGCCACAACCTCATGTATGTAGAAAAGAGAGTTGATCCTTATATAGTAGTAGGAGTGAAGGGCATAGGGTTGACGAGAGTATCGGCCGACGAACATTAGTGTAGGTAGTGAAACAGCGTGGGTTTGCAGCCCGCTCCATTTGGTTGTTCTTCAACCCGATCAAATCAAGAGACCAGAGTACTTGAATCCAGTTCCTGTGCATTACCTTCTGAATCACGGCGAATCATCGACGTGATACGCGTAGAAAGACGGCCAGGTTCTGGGTATTTGTACGACGGGAGCCCCCTGGGTCTTCTTGACTTTAGGGGAGTAGAACATTCGCAGCTATATCACAGAAACTCAAACGACAGCAACATTTCAGACCTGACCGAGGTAAAGACGCTTGAGAACAACCTTCAGCTACTCTCGGAGATCCAATCATGGCAAATCTAGATCCTCCCCATACCCCTCCACCCGACAGCAATTTGTATAAACTGCGCAAGAAGAATGCCGTGGAGTCCCTGAAGGACGCGGCGGCATCATCCACGAAGCCTGATGCGGAAGAGCCGTCCGAAGAGCCGTCCGAAGAGCCTGACGCAACGGAGTCGCTCACGGAGAGGGATGCAGAGAGGGTTCCGCATGAGGGGAATGTTACGACCCAGCCGTCGATGGAGGAGTCGGATAGGTACCAAGACGAGCTTGATGAGTCAAGTCCCTCCCCTGATTACAATGAGCACATGGACGTCCCCAAGGAGGAGTTTACTTTTGAAGAGCTTACAGGTAAGATGAAGCCATTCAATGGAGGGAGCGTTGAAGAATTTGAGGGTGGGTATAGACTCTATGCCAAGGAACGTTTCCGAATGTAAGTAAAGATGCTAGACCAAGAAAAAAAACCCCCCGAGAACACAAGAGTTCCAGAGTGCTAATAAGTGTTATAGAGTGAGGAAGGATGGTACATTTGGGCCTGGCTGGAGTACACCTGGCCGCACAGATCACAGCCTCCCTCGCCGGTATAGGGAAGATGTCCTTAGGATGGGAGGAGTGCGTGTTTGGAGACACCGAGACACCTAATTTACAGTGCTTTTATCAAAGGTTGAATGTTAATGTTAATGCTTGCTGTGACTGCGGAGCTTAGAATCTGACAGGAGGGTTGAGGGGGGGAGAAGGGGAAGGGGAGGACTGTGAGCACTGGGGGCTTGTCCGGAAAGCTTTTAGCCGACGCGCCACAAGACCTATATTCCTACAGCAAAATCCACCCTCGGAGTGTACGCGTAGCAAACCAGAAGCCACCCAGCTTCTTGCAGGCCGGTAGCCATTCATTATCTATTGCAATTATTTTCTCCTTTCACTTCTTTTCAAATAGTATATTTCACAGCCAGGTATTTCGTCAGATTGTGGCACAAACCTCCGAAATCTCCTACAAGAAGCTAAAGAGATTAAGATCAAGGCTTCTGCGGACGACCCAAGCTCGTACTCGTACAACGCATCGCACCGCGGGCATCATGGTTTTAAACTCGACTCCCGCCTGGGTTGAGCCCATGCCTCCCACCGTATACCGAAAGAGGAAGGACAGATCAATCACCGGAACGAGGAGGTGTGCAGCAGTCTCCTTCGCCAGGATGAGAGGTTAGAAAAGCATTCTGATAGCTTCGCAGGTGATCACAAGGGAAGCCTGCTACTAGGTACCTGAAAGAATGCAACAATAAGGACGTAAGAAGCGGAGTGTCGGCTAACTTTGAACTCGCTGCTAACCGCCACTGAACAGTGGACATCTCTTCTTGTTCCCATCTACCACGCCTCTATCAAGAAGATCTAGCGAGGAATCGAGGCGTAAAGAAATGTAGCAGGGCCGCTGAAGCAAAGCTGAAGCGGTGTATCGAACACCAAGCAGAGATCATGAGAAGCTGGACTTTCGAAATCTTCGAACGAATCTCTCCCACCAAGTCTCCTCTAACAAGAAAGTGTCTCTAAGCATGGAAGGTTCTCCCTACAAGCCTTTCTCTCCTCGACAACAACTCTCTTCTTGAAAGTGAGGTTGAGGCGGCGAAGAGTTCCACGCTGATAGGTTCCCTGGGCGAGAATGACGAGGGGCATGAAGGGAAATAGGATGACCTGGAGGACCTTTCGCGCAAATTCTCCTCCTCGACGATCCGAGAGACAACCCCACAAGCACCGTGGAGCAACCTGGTAAAGCAGCGGAGGCACCAGCAGAATCAGCTGTGGAGGGATGCCTTGGACTACAAGGTTGTTTCTGGCGATGTCGGTCCCAGCCTGTGATTTCTAGATTCCTGCGCCGGTCAGTGGACTTGAGAGGGGAAGGCTGGCCTAACTAGAGAAGGATCGAGACAGGATCTGCAGTTGGGTCAAACCAGCACGAGAAGCAGCCGAAGATGTCGAGCGCGTGATGGGGAAAACTACGAAAGCTATTGGTGGAGCCTATAGTCTCCTGCTGAGAAGAAAGGCAGCCGAGGACCTACTCAGCAAACTGAAGCTGAGGCCAATCTCAACTAATTGTCGCATGGAAGGACCAATATCTTTCAGCTGTAGATCCGGTGAATGGGAAGCATTCTCCCGATTTCAGCGACGTGATGGGAGATATACAACATGGCATGGGTTCCTGATTCCAGAAGGTCCAAGACAAACCTTGGGATGTTCGACCGAGGGCGAGTAGTGGGCATGTTAAACCCCGAATCTCGTCGAGTAAGGGATATATTACACCTATGAGAGAGGGGCGCGAGTGCTGAAGGCGAAAGCTCAAGATGCTGCAGGTGAAGGCCTGCTACATGAGGTGAAGGGTTGCCGCACGAGGTGAAGGGTTACCGCACGAGGTGAAGGATTGCCGCACGAGGTGAAGGGTTACCGCACGAGGTGAAGGGTTGCCGCACGAGGTGAAGGCCTACTACATGATGTGAGAATGCAGGCTGCCAACTGCACCAAAATCAAACAACATTCCACAACAGCTATAAAATGGGGGTCGGATTTGTGTTTGCAATCCATTTGATCAAATAGGACATGGTTTCGGCTAGTTGATTGACCTGTCGTAGCTGCCGTAAAGTCACGGAAAGACGCATCTTTCAAGAAAGGAATCTTCAACAGAAAATATCTCAAGCGGTCAAAAAGCTGTTTTTCTCTGCAATTAACGGAACTAGATAATTATGTGACTCTACCTAATTTGATTACTGAACCCTGCTCCTTTCATTATTACTGCAACCTGCTCATTTCATTATTCCTGCAACATATGGTCGTTGTACAGCTGCAAAAAATCATAGTCAAGCCATCCCTGAAGCTCGACATGTAGAATGTCAATCTGGCTCTCCGCCAATGTAGGGATGAGTGGTACATCACTATCGGATCCCAAATTGTCATAAAAGGACTCTGCTTGGGATCGTGTGGTAGCGATCGGTGTTTGGTCCTGAACCCGTCGAACTAGAAAGGTCAAGTCCTGCAGAACCCTCGCGCAGTCTAGGCCAAAGTTGTTTCCCGAGGCCGCCTCTCTCTCGAATATGTCGATGGCCATTTGAATCTCGTCCTTGTCCTGATCGCTCATTGATGTGTCTGCGAAAGCGAGCTGCTGTAGTAGAACGATGACCGCGGCGTTGAAGACTGCGTGGGCTTCGTGGTGTAGGAGTCTTTGTCTAGGGCTGAGGTCGCGAACCCAGCGGCCAAGACGTATATTGTTTCGAGCAGTTGTGACGATCTGCTTTATGATATTCGCGTGTGGATGATCATCTATGCCCTCCTGTAACGGTTGGGATGAGATGTAGCGATCTGCGACGGTTTTTTTGACCGCAATGAAGAAAATAGGTCGCGTGGTGAGGATGATTTCCTATGTAAGTCAATTAGAATCTTAGGTCTATGAGCATCCCTTACGATACAACAGCATTTGAGCGTACCTGATTATATGCTAGATGTAAGACGCAGCAGGCTCTGTCTTGGCCTAAGTTCTCATAGTCGAGACGCAGCGTCACTTGAAGAGAGGCATTCCACTCCTGTAACATCTCAAGGGCATTCTCGACATGCTGGAGAGTAGTTGCTGCAGACTGGTCTGATGGGGCAATATGGTAAATCTCAAAAGTCACATAACGAGAGATTCGTGCCAGTTTGATATGAGCGATAAGTCCCGCTGGGTCGGGCAGTCCGCTTTAGTCGGCGTAAGTTAGTAAGAAAAGACATCAGATATCAGGAAAAGACATTGGATGAAGAATCAAAAATGCCGTGGAAAACTTACATTTTGTGTTGTGGTAGCTGGATACGGATGGCTGCATCAGTCACGGACGGAGGTCGACCTAGCCAAGAGGAGAGCCATGTGTCTAAGATGAAAGCCGTCCAGAACATTCTCTTCTTCTCCTCGTCACGGTCCCATGTAGTATGCGCCCCGTACATGATTGCAAGATGCAGCGCCGCGCTTACAGTCATGTATGCAGCGTCACGCCGGTTCATCTCGAGGAAATATAGAGCAGTGAGCAACAAAACAGGCACTTCACTTTCCGAGGAGGCCATCATGTCGAGCGGGTTGCCTAGTAGTGATCGGGCCCTGGAATAGAAAGCGCGGCTGGTTCGATGCCCCTGCTCCTCCCAGCCAGCACCGCTGCCAAGTCTCACGGAGACTGCAAAGAGCATATGGAGGAGGGGGAGCTGCCCTGTCGAGTTGAAGTGGTGCACTTGGTAATAATTTTGCGATATCTCAGGCACATGGCCCCAGTAGAGGATACCGCCGCTGGCAAAGTCGCCGTTCCCATCTTGCAAAAAGTACCGAAACTCGGTGAGGAGGAGTGTCATCTCGGTGCGGGTAGGGAGCCACGATGAGTCGACGGGAAGCAAGCCCAGAGGTCTCGAGTCCGAGGTCTGGTATGACCCGACGCTCGTCAAGAATGATGTGCCGCCATTTAGGGCACCATGCACTACACCCGTGACAAGGGGCTGCAGAGTCACCATGAACTCTTTGACGTGGTTCAGGAAGTTTGCTCCTGAAGACTCTCCAAAGTACCGGGCCGTCCCGTCCGCGTCGTGAAGCAGACGTCCTTCATCCGGTGTCAAGACCCCGGGCTCGAGCGTGGAGGGGCCGTTGCCGGAAGCGACCAGCGGCCCAAACCGCCGCGGAGGCGGGTTTCCTGTGGTTTGGACCAGCTCCACAAGCCGCCTTGGGTCGGGCGGCTGAGGCTGGCTCCCTGCCTCCTGGTCAGATCTGGCCTGGAGTAGGGCATCCAGCTCGGCCCGGGGAATTGACACCATCTCGGCGGCATCTGGGTAGACACATGTCCGCGAGCTGCGGACACACTGCGAGCATGGTCGCTCGCCGGAGCACTTGATGCGCCGCGAATTGCAGCTATTGCATCTGGAAACGCAAGTGTAAGCCATGAACCTTTCTCGGGCCTTGATTGCACACTCACGCAACGGCAACACGTTTGCGGCTCTCGGGCGCCACCCGTCGCCGGCGATTCCTGGTGACCACTCGCTGGTCACGAGCCGGAGCTCCGTCTTCATCCATGGTGATGCCTTGGATGATGAAGATGGCTCGGAAAAGTTGGCTCCAAGTGGGCAAGGCTACTACTTATATCGAAATCTCTTTTACACATATACAGGTATCCGGATCCCCAAATAATTCTACATTAGGACTAAGTCCAAATTGTTCGGACCCGCAGCTGTGGCTCCGGCGTCATTACGTGGGACAACTAGGTTAACTCGAACAGTATTTCTTTAATTATCATGTCAGGCTGGAATGCTCTCGGCTACGAGAGATCTATGCGGCTACCACCAAGAGTGGCGGCTTTGAGCAGCGGCTACACTATAGGCGACGGCCTCGACAGTTGCGCCAGGGCTACAGTATCACTCGTCTCAACAGCACATCAGACACCAAGGTCAAGTTTAAGGAGATCACGTCTTGAAGGTACATAGCCAGGTCAGCATAGTAGTAGGTAGTATTGTAGACAGGAGTTATGCGTGCGTTGGTGGGCTGGAGTTAATATCTACCGCCTTTGCTAATCGAGCAAGCTCCCCCCAGGAATTTTCTACAGCCCATAAATGAATGTTCTCTTGCGATCGGCGTATCTCGTGCTATCAATCCGCTCGCTGGTAATCTCTTCGGGCGTCATTTGCGACAAGATTCTCCTCTTGCGGCGGTTAACGGCAGCGAGCGTGAAGCGGTAGCTGATATATCCCAGAAGCGAGACGATGGCGATGCCCAGAGTGATGAAGAACGAGACTCGGTACGAAGGCCCGTACTTTGCGTCGTACACCTGGGAGCCTATAACGCCGGCAAGGTTACCAAATCCGTTGATGCCCAGAATGATGGTCCTCTTTCCAGGCTCTATTAGGTTTTATAGCATATTAGAACACGATCCGTTAAAATGTAGTAAGGACTTAGAATCGAGGGGGCTTACCTGGTGTGTTCCCACTGAGCCATGCGACCGTCAGAGGCGCAGAGACGTAGCAACCGAAGAGCAAGATGCATAAACCTGCATATTTGGCACCATTCGCGTTGACCGTCGCCGCAATGATGAGGCCGATAACTCCAATGCCGATACCGGCGATGATATGGTAGCCTCGCTCCATCCTATGACTCTGCATGAGTATGTTGTCAACGTTGTGGGTGTGAATATCATGAGGAACTAACCTTTTGTCAGAACTCCAGGCAAAAAGGAACAGCCCAACAGCGCCGCAAACGTATGGGGGAATCGTCATCTACGCCATAAGGTCAACGAGATTGTTACAAAGGCGTCATAGTCCGGTGTCTGCTTACCAGGTTGGCCTCGATGCTCGAGTACCCCAAGCCCTGCACAACCAAGGGCATAAACACGCTGAAGGCTTGTGTGGGCACACTGGCGCAGATGTTGAAGACGAGGACGAACCACAGCTTCCAGTCCTTAAGAGCCTCGACGATGTCTCGCCTTGTGAGTCGGTCCTCCTCAAGACCGTCCTCGCCGTATTCGTGGCGGATGTACAGGGCTGTGTCTCGCTGCATACGCTCGGTAGCAAACTTACGCTCCTCGGCAGTAAGAAACCACGCGGATCCTGGACCGGCGGGGAGCATAAACCAGGCTATTATAGCGACGGCGCAGGTCAAGACGCCCTCGATGATGAATAGGTACTGCCAGTTGTGGAGGGAACCGGACTTGAGGTGAAAAATGCCAAAGGCTGCAAAGATGGTCAGTTAGACTATTCGCACTACATGAGATTTGGTGCATCCACTCACAAATAGCACCGGCAAATGCACCTGCGATCGCATATTGCCCATAAAAGATGGCTATCCGGATGGCAAGGTCGAACCTGGTATAGAAGAAGGAGAGGTACGACACGCATGTGGGATAAAAGCCAGCCTCGAAGACTCCGATTACGAGCCGAATCGCGATGAGTGCGCCTAGTGATGGGAAATTACTGGTGTTAAACTCAAGTTTCATAGAATCGGCTCAAGGCAGGGGCAGATACTAACCACGACCCTTGATGAAGGCTTGCCCAATGGTGACGGCGCCCCAGGAAAACTACAATGGCTTCGCCAGCATCATGTCAGGGTTAAACGGGTGTTAGTGGAAATGGGTAGGCATACCGTCATGAAGGGAATCCAATGTTTTGGCCCGACGATGCGACCGAGTGCAGCAGACGGGGGCTGGAATAACACAAAGGTGATGAAGAAAAGAGACACGGCGAGGTTGAGGTCAGATGGTGCAGCTCCAATATCTTTAGTGAAACCTTTGTGTAGAATCCATGTCAGCCTGGGCTGTTGAGATTGGGCAGTGACATACTGACCTTGGGTCTCTGCATTGCCAATGTTGCCTTTGTCGAGCCCGTTGAAGAGGTAAAGCAGAGAGAGCATGGGCAGCATCGCAAGATCCATCTTGCGGTTGATACGACGGCTGAGAAGTGCCTCCTCTGGAGTCATGTCATCCACAAGACCGGCAGGAACATTTTCCTTGGTCGCGAGCTGCTGCTCAATCTCTTCATTGACGATTTTGGCATCATCAACGTCGTGATGCTGCTTGGGAAGAGCCACGGATTGAGCCATGACATTTGCTGAGTCTTGAAATGTCGGTCAGAGGGATGAAAGATGAAGAGTGCAACATTGAGAATGCTACGGTGACTGCAGATCCCTTTATATACATCGAAGGACTGATCAGTGATGAAGCGACAAGGTCTAGCATGAACCCTGATTCGTGTTTATCCGAGGGTAGAATTCAAACACGGGTCAATGACCCGTGAGTGGGTGCGTGACCCGCCAATGGTTGAGAGGAGATCAGCACTAGAGCAGCATGCACTAGAGGCAAGTGATTGGACCAGAAGACGACGACCCTGAGCTCACCCCCACGGGGCCCCGGTGATTGCCCTCCCGAGAGCTAAGCATCAACGCGGGTAAGTGTCCGGGTAAGGACCCGTGCGAAAGGAGAAAGGATGTCCTGGCACCAAATCCAATGTTAAATATGAGCCCGGGCCAGGCATCGTCCCAGCAGCAAGATCAGCTCATACAACTAGTAGATGCTCTTGGCATTTTGACCTCTCGGTAGACAGATCCAGAGCCAGCCATGAGCAAGCCATTACATCTCTCCGGGCAGGACTATGCCAGCCCCTTTTCATTCGACCTTGGCAAGGCAAAGCTCGACAAGACAGTGGATGTCGGAAACAACGGTGTCTCCGCATCGACTGACCAGTATGGAAGGGTATGTCATCTTGAATGACGGCCGATTTGGTCACTATTAACGATGGGCTTCGCAGGTTCTTCAACTCAGTACTTACCACCCAATACACGGCATTATCGTCGCCGCACCGTACTCTCAGTTCGACAAGACCCGGTACCACGACCCTCAATATGTTCGCCAATACCGAACCAAGATGCTTCAAATGTTGTCAAATGACGAGGAAGGATTCGGAATCGTCGTTCAAGATTTGAACCTCACCTTTGGACTGCAACACCTATCGATGAGTGCGGCAAGATCAAGTTGCACCACCAAAAGGGGTATCTGCGTTACAACCACGATGCATGTCGACGATGAAGGAAACTTTGCTCAAACTATTGTACTTCGAAATCCAACAACGGCCCCTATATCTCTCGACTATCTGATCAATCTTCGGCTCAGTGTGCACCGGGCTTCCTACGGTCAACTGACAGAAGGAGGACCTTTGGTCCCCCCCGACTGCAAAAATCAGCTTCACCTAGACGATGACACCACTTTTACGGTTTCAAACCCTCTACTAGGTGGTTGCCTTTTGGGTAGTCTGACTTTAGACGACAAACCCCACGTCTTGCCAGGAATTCAAGAGTCGGTTTCTACAGGCATCCTGTCCGATGCCGTCAGCCCAGTGCAGACGATAACAATCGAACCGGAGTCACAGGTCACTCTCAGTTCACAATTTACCTTGTTTGTGAGCCTTCCAGACAAGGACCCTGATGTCCCGTCGAGAACTGGTTCCAGGGGAAAACAGTGCTTGCCCTCAGAATGGAGAGACGCCAGTCGCTGTAGCACGTACATAGTCAGACGCAATGTCGACTATATACTGGGTAATTGCGTCGTGCCCATGCCTGACGATGTCGTCGGCATCATCACAGACCACGTTGCATTGCCATTGGGCTGGAACAGAGATAACTAGTGAGTAAATGTCGAAGCAACACATATGTGCTCCTCAAGTGTTAACCAGATGATCCAGTTGGCAATGGCGGCTGTTGCTGAATGTGCATCAGCACCTTGACAAACTTGTAGAGCCTACCCAACACGGCGTCTATAAAAGCAAAATCGAGCGGGTACTAAAAGGCCATCTTAAATGGGCACATGAGGTGGCCGAGCGACCGCACACCTTCTGGCACCGGTCATATGTGATTACCGGCAAGCCCAAAGACGGTCCGACGTTCCAGCTAGATCAGCAATGCTACCCTCTTCTCGAGCTATGCGATTATTCGGACGCATTTCCCGACGATAAATCATTTTTGGCAGACCTGGTGCTCGGCGCGGCAGTGCGTGAGGTACTGTCTTCCATTGTATCAAGGCGAGATGCGTCCAGTGGTCTCTTCCCCACGGATGAGACACCCGGAGACGACGCGGTTGACCACCCGTTCCACTTCTCAAGTCATGTCCTGCTATGGTACACCATCCACCGGATTGCGAAGCTGTTCCTAGAGTTCGGAGCTCCAAAGGGGTTTTCATACCAAGGCGTATTGGAAATGGCCGCATCGATCCGTCACGCGACACTGAAGCATTTCATCCAATACAAAGAGGAAGATGAAGATTCGGAAGGGGTTCAGATGATAGCCTATCTGGTAGACGGTCTCGGGACCAAGACGTTCTACCACGATGCAAATGACATCCCCACCATCTTCGCCGTGCGATGGGGGTTCCTCACCTCCGAAGCCGAGATCAAAGCGTGGCACAACACCATGTCATTCGCCCTGTCGCCTCGGAATCGGCTGGGCTACGCTGCCGGCGGTGACTTTTCCGGGCTTGGGAGCGTGCACTCCAAGGGTCCGTGGCCATTGGGGTATTTCCAGGAGCTTCTCTATGCGCACATGGCGGGAGACGATACCGGCAGAGCCGATGCCATCAAACGAATCGCCGGTTCGATGCAGTGGGATGGGACTTTTGGCGAGGCAGTCAACCCCGAGACTGGGGCAGTGACGAGTAAGGCGTGGTTTAGCTGGCCTGGCGCCATGATCGGTGCCATGATCGTCGAGGAGGGAGTGTGCTTCTAATGGTCTGGGTCAAGACATGATCAAGGTTGTCCCCTGTCTCTTGTCAGGCTGGTTGATTTCAAGGTAGTTGTGCTGAATCAGAGCTAGCTGCCTATCCTTTACTATCTCTCACATAAGAAGGAGGAGGAATTACAATAGAACCGGAAATAAGAAAGCCAGAAACCTTTTGAAAAAAGAGAAACGAAATCTAGCAACACCCATAAACTGTCCAAGTCACGCAAGGATCATCAGAGAGAATCCGACGCAATATCCAACTGGGCTATCACTCCGCTAGGTGGGACCCCTTCCACTATTCTTTTCACTCAACCATTAAGCGTCCATCATTTTCCCGTAATTTTCAATTGCTGCTTGTCTAGGCTCCGGTCGCTCTTCTCCGCTTGCTTGTGCTTGGCTGGGTATCAGCGGCTCTCTTCTTCGACCAGGTCTGTCTCGGCTCAGACACCACCTCCATACCCACTTGGGAACAAGTCATTGAACAATCGGTCATTTCAATGTAAGTCATTTCAATGTAAGTCTGGTTTGTTTCACTGCTATCGGGATCTTCATTTTCCTCGTTACCAGATATTGTGGGTGGGGCTGGGATACCGCCACCAACACCGGACTCGTGAAGGGCTTGGAGTGCAGATTCGATCTTTTGCAGACGCCTGTTCGTGCCCCAATCAACGATATGTTGAATGTAGGTATCGAGAATTGCTCTGCTTGAAGTGTCGTACAGGAGGAAGCCTCTGACAAAGTACGTGGTGAAATCTCCTTCGCTTTTAGAATATGTCGCGAACAGTCTAGCTTCGGTGCCATTGCTAGCAACGCTGAAAACCACTGGGTCCAAAGCCTCCGCCTCTTCAACAAGGTTGTTTTCGTACAGAGTGGACTGCAGCTTGTTCAGAATGTTGAGAAACGTTGATGCGCCCCCCATGCATTGGTTGGTTGCTACCCAGAGGCCACCTAGACTTGACTGGCCATCGCCTTTGAGCTCCATTTCCAGGAATGCAAACTTGGCGATGTTTGTGTCAGAATTCCAAAGTAAGCCCTGAAGATCATCTCCAAAATGTCCGTAGCTGTATCCCAGATAAAGATCGGGTTTGGGGGTGACGATTCTATGCTGACCGAGTCTGTTGGGCACGCGTAAGGGGTCAAGCAACTTGTTACCCACGATTTCCAGACGCGATCTATCAATTCGATCTGCGATCAGTGACTGAAACAAGTGCTTCACTCGATCTTCATCAACCCCATTGATGGCCATGGCTCTGGTCTCGGCAGTGTCCACACATCCATTAATTGTAACAGACTCAACTGGCAGCACGTCCTGAAGTAGAGCCTGAATATGTGGGGGGGGCTCATCATGAGCGCGGAGCATCCTGATTCCATTGCTCCGCAATCGTTCACGGTAGGCTCCATAGCGCACTCCGTCTTTGGCGGTCCGAACGGTGGTGGGCAAGCGAGTATCAGCCATGGCTGATGTTTCTTTAATGCTGAGGCAACGCAGAACCAGGGGAATCCGACAGGTTCGGCTGACTGGCAGGTCATCAAGCCACTTCAACAGACGGGCATATGACTTTGCAGAAAGATATCGGGATGGGGGGAAAGTTTCCATGTTTGGTGTCCTTGTTATTTGGTCTGGAGGGCCTGTAGCCAGCTGTTCACACTGCGTCTTAGTCACAACTGGATCAAGCATAATGCGGCATAAGGCGTACACGTTGGCGGTCCAGAGTGCTTCTCTCGGTCATCTCAGACTGCTGCACTTTGGCGTTTGAGCCTTCTGTTGCAACTTGTTAGTTGTGAACTGGTATTACTGACGATCGTATGCTCACCGTAGGTGGATGCGCGCTTGGCTTGTTGAACAGCCACCACTCCTGGTCTGTATCTTGAACCCGGCATGAGGGGAAATAAACGGGAGGGAGAAATATGACGGGAAGAGGGCGCAGAGAGGAGAATTGGTTATGAAAATTTTCTTGTGTAATGTGATATGTCAGCGAGAGCAGTCGTTACAGTGCGAGGTGATGACCAGGTTCCCATCATTAACTGTTTTCGCAAAGATTTTCAGCCTCAGTTGATTCAATGAAAACCAGACCCTCACGCGCCTTTCGTTCATTGGAATACGAACAAATTGCCTTCAATTTGTAAAAAGAGGCCCGTAGGAGTCGGTGCGCAGGGCTCGGAGGGCAATCCAAGCCGCGACCGATGCCTCTTTTGATGGAGAATTAAAATAGTGGAAATATTCACAATATAACAGGTGATGATAAGACAGAGAGAAACGCTTGGCAAAGTCTATATTTGCGTGTGGTAGACGCGTAGGTGTGGGCAGAAGTGTGGTGAGGGGCTCTGTAGGCACGGAGCCGGAAGGTTGGCCGCGTTTTACCTCGTGACGATTTGGCGAGCTCGTTATCCGAGTACCAATAGGTTATAAATTATCAACAGCAGCAAAACCGCTCCGAGAGCCAAGTTACGTGGTAGCGAGTGGGCGCACCGTTCGGCGTTGCCAGAGCGTCATCGATCTATCCTAATCGTCAAGTGTCTCTTACATTACTAACCATGTAACTTCTTCACTGCAACACAAGTTTTCCAAACCAAAATTTACCCTGAAGGAAGGCTGAAATAATACAATTTGTACAATATAACTATTGCGATTAGCCGCTGGGATACAAGAAAGTAGCAACAAGGTCAAACAAAGTATTGATGCTACGAACCTGTACGAGACAATCGCCCTCCATGCATCATTGTATGTTGCAAAACTTAGTGCTTTCCTCCAGCGAATGACACAAGGAGTAGGAAAAAGGAACCCCCAAGTTGACACTAGGGGCTTGAGCTACATTGTCTCACTTGCCAACACAAAGAAACTGCACAAGTGCGGGCGCGGTTGGCCATCTACCCTTCCTTCGCTCTCGTCCCACGATCTAGTCTTCTTCTCCGGACCTCCTACCGATGTCCCGACAGGTTTGAGCAGTTTTCAACCAAATGCGGAGCGCCTTTTTCGAACCGAGGCCAGTTGGCGACATTAGCCTATAAAAGAGCGTACAGTGGGGGGAATCAGCGAGGGAGCATTGGATCTCGGACTTTCGTCTCCCCTTGGAGCCCTTCTCTCCCACTATTCGTATATATTGAGCTTTGAAGTATTTAAATCAACAAATATTTGGATTTCAATTACATCTTTTCTCCGGCTCAATGCGGGATTGGAGGCACCCGGTGCCGGTAACCATGGTCAAACCCATGAATCGATATCACCAGCCCCATCCGCTCCATCTCCTCAAACTTGGCCTCCATCTCGACGCCATTCAAGACCTGCCCATCATGCGGGTCGATGAAGATCAGATTCTCCGGGCCGCAAGGCCAGTAGTGATCCGTCGTGGCCCCGTACCATTCCCGCATCCCATCCTTGCAGACAATATGCACCTCCTTCAGGTTGACGAAATGGCGGAGCTCGCTCGCCCCTTCCTGGTAAAACCACTCCTCCGTGATCTTGCGCACCAGCTTCAGCCGCTTCACGCTCGGTGCGACCTGGAGGAATTTGGCCAGCCCGCTGCGCCCGAAGTAGATGAGGTCGATGTCCAGGTTCAGCCAGACGTACTGTTTCTCGTCACCGGTGAGGTCGGATAGCTCGGACATGGACCGTTGGTATAGTCCCAGGTTCCGGGCTTCTTGGCATGTTTGCAGGGGAGCCGGCACGGGCGTCGCGTTGACGAGGTACTGCACGTATTGTCTGTCTGCGGGCTCGTCCTTGACTTGTGGCTCGAGGTCTTTGTAGAAGCCGCCTACTCGTATTTCAACGGTGCGAGGTTCGACCGTCATCCTCCATATCTGGATGCGGAGTTCAATTGGGAGGCGGGGGAATGGGTGGAAGGTGGACATGTTGCCCGAGAGTCGAGTGTATAAGTGGCAGGTCAAGGTCAGGCCGGTCACCCTCTTGCTCTGATGCCGATGAGAGGTAGACGAGAGAGTTATTTGGAAAGCTCAGGCACGCATGAATACGTGATGTAGATGTGTTTTATCCAAGACGAGTCTGCTGACGAAGGAGAAACGCCATTGGTGTTTGTAAGCCCTTGAAACAGTCTAGTGGATCATTATCCCACGCCCAGGCAGATAAATTGCTGCCTGAACTAATATTCATCGTTGTTAAGGCAACCTTGAGAGCTTCCAGTAAAATGATTCGTTCTATACATTCGGAAATACATATCGCCAAAGCGTGTGCCAACCTCCTACCAAATCTCGAGCTCTAGGAGCCACATAATCCCGGTCGTAGCTACCAGCTGTTGTGGACCGCTCAGAGCGAGAGCAAGCGACGAGCAACGCGATCCAAGGCCTCCTCTATGGTCCCGACGGAGACCGCGCCTTCAACCTCCGGGGCCCCGTCCAGTCTCAACACGGGCCGCTTGAACTGGATACCCATCGCCATCTCGGAAAGCGTACCCATGCCGCCCCCCACGGCAATCAGAGCAACACTCGCCCTCGCGATGACAGCGTTCCGCGCCACGCCGAGGCCAGTCGCGATGGGGATGGCACAAAAGGGGTTCGCGGCATCCCACTCTCCGTCGGGCAGTATCCCCACGGGCAGCCCGCCGTGGGCAGCGTGACCCTCGCAGGCCGCTTCCATCACCCCGCCCTTGCCACCGCAGATGAGCTGCATCCCGTGGTCGGCCATGGCCGCGCCCAGCTGGCGGGCGAGTTCCCGCTGCTTGTTCGTCGGTGTCCGGCCGCCGATGACGCCCACGGGGACTCTCCGCAGGGTCTTGTGTTTTGCAAGGTGCCGCAGGGCCTCGAGCGGGGTGACTTCTGAGCCGCCCAGCTTGGGCGTCTTGGGGGTTGACCATTCTAGACGGGAGGAGTTGAAGACTTTGCCGCCGCGGTGCAAGACTTTGTTCTCTTTGTCCCAACGAAGCGTCATGGCGAATGCTTTCTCTTTTTTTAAGTAGAAATAAAGAGTGTCGACTGATGCTTATAAGGTATGTCTGTAAGTTTTGCGTTGGAAGTCTTGGCTGGGCAGCTCTGTAGGCATTTGGTTCCATCATTGGACTTTATACAAGCTGCGTTCTCCCCTCTTTCCGTTAATATTGGTTGCCTTCCTTGAGCGTATCATCGTGTGGTAAGGCGTTATGGCGCGTGGCTGTGTTTGGGGCAGTGATATTTCGGCCCGGGTGGAGTGGCTACATTGTGTGTGATTGTATCTGGTAAACCCCTGATGTCGCATCAGAATCTTATGGGCTGACAGAGGGCACTGGGGCAGGCAGACTGCTTAGGCAGCGAAGTTGCTTATGAGAGATGATTAACTGTGTTCCTCGAACTGGAATATCTTGACAATTGATCAATTTCTTAAGAATTCTTGAGGATTGTCCCAAGTCCTTTTGTTCGTACTTTGAAGCGTGCTAGCGGCAGAGTACGAGCCCATACAACCCCTGTGGTGTTTTGCAAGATTGAAACAATCAGCCTACTTCCGTCATTCGCAATGGTGAGTGGAAGAGAAAAATCAAACGCCGGGTATCATCGCCCTGCCAAGGCGATATGCCAATAGCCGCAACTCGTAACTCGTGACTTCATATCAAATCAATTGATACGCAAGCATCACCACTCACTCAGCCTGTCCAACTGGATTAGAGATGATCCATCCCAACAAGGTGATGAACCTAAGCCAGTTGTTCTTGATCCCGTCCTCGAAGCTCATGATGGGTGTCATGCGGATCTCGATGTGAGACTTGCCAATATCAACATTGCCCTGAACTACACGGAACAATCGCCACGAACATGAAATAAGCGTAACCTAATAGGAGGCATTAGTCAAGGCCGCGGCAGGTTATCCTATTGTTTTTTTTTGGCGGGCGAGCTTACAGAGACGGGCTGATGGGGTAAATGCCGGTAGTGCGAGGCGTAGATCACTGGAAGTGAGACGATGGTGGTCATCTCGCCAACGGAGACCTCGCCTTCGACGAGGCGAGGCTCACTCGCAACAAAGCAGAACATGTGAGGAACTGACGGATCCCCAACAACCTCATTTTTCTCATTCTTCGTAGTGTAGCGCCAGATTTCTTGTGATTCCCAGCCATGCTTGAACTGGCGGAGTGGTCGATAATTGTTCCTAGGAGAACAGTGCGTGTTAGTGACTTCGTCTGAACTCTTGATAAAAGCTTGGAGGCCCTTACATGAATGGCTTCCACGGGGTCATACTCAGGAGACCAGGTTGCTTCCCGTCTCCCAGTCCCACAGTGGTCAGGTAGCGTCTGATGATGTGGTATAAATGCTGAGCCTCGCCAATGTCGGAGTTCCACGAGCAACTCTTGAAGTCAGTAAGATCTCCACCCCCATCCCACGGCTGTGTCAAGCGGAGACACTTCTCGATCTTGTACGGGGGGGTTGGGTTCAGGACCTGTTTTCCATGGGAAGGCCTTCCGGTGGCGAAGTCAAGATCATAAACCTCTATTCCGTATTTGCGGAGCAGGTCTTGGCTGATAAAAGGGTCTCCAGCGTTGGTCAGGGGAGTGGTCTTGCCCTTTAAAAACTCGCAGAGCTTCTCATGGCGCCTCTCTTCTTCGAAAGGACGAGCAAGAATCGGTATGTCAAGTTGCTCCCAATCTATCGGGGCCACTGAGACCAGGAACTCAGCTGGAGCGGGCAGCTGCATTTTGGTGGACAGCTTCTTGTTTTCCAAAGGGATGCTTGATATTGTATAGGTCAGTAAGGGAACTTGGAAGAAGTGAAGATTGGACGGCTTTAAAGTGAAATTACCAGAAAAGTGAGAAAAGGAGAGGTGAGAGTGATCTGACAGTGTTAGGAAATAGGTTTAAAGCACAGGTACCGTGCACCAATACCTCCCACCCTGCAGCCCTCGACCCTTCGTCACAGACGACCATGGCTGTTAATCACAATATGGGTGACATCATCATTTCAGTAACATGGGCTAACAAAGATTACATTGGAGATTTTAAGTGCATCAACTACGCCGTTGGATCTGAAGAAACCAAAAGATCACAATACTTCGTAAAGATGTCCTTGCTTTGAACCAAAACCCAATTTATATTGTTTGGCTAGAACTTATTAAAAAAAATGACAAAGGTCATACGTCTAAGGTCGAGTAGTTGCTTTGGAGAATCAGGTTACGTTAACAAGAACGTCTACAGAGTGCTATTTTCGCAACTTGGCATTAAATCTACCGTTGTACCTATACATTAATTGCCCAAGAACAAGATCGCTGTGACCACTGGCACTCACTTAGAAACGACGTTCGAAGGCCATTCCCCTTCTTAAGGCAATCCAAGGCCTTCTCGGCATCCGTCTTCCAATTCTTGGCTTAACCAATTTCTTCTGATGTTTCTTGTCTCCGGTAGCGGCACGCAAAACTTACAGGATGGGCCAGACGAGCACTGCTCTTGCCCCCAAGTTCCCTGCCGCCTTTCAACCCCAACCGCGGAAGCGCCCTATGGTGCACTGATTGACCTACAGTGCATTGATTGACCTATATTGCACTAGTCGACGTATGGTGCACTGGTTAGCCGTTCGTCCGCCAAGCCCTGCTCGAAAGCCAATGCCACAGGTCTTAGCCGTGGAAGTGCGGTAAGAGACGACAAACACGTGCCGAGATGTTTTACTTCCAGACTAGGTCCCCCTTCTACGCAATGGAAGCTCCTAGTTTCCTATCCCATGAGCATGCAGATATCCGGGATTCTCGGTGCAGCCATCCACGAACGACAAGGAAATCAGCTCGGTACCCATAGCCCCTCCCTACGGCAACCTTCCTGGGCGGGGTTCTCATCGTCTATTCGACGAGCCGCCATGGAATTGGTGTCGTCGGTGTCGAAGACAATAATTTCAATAGACGCGGACACCTCCTTGCGAATGTTGGTAGCGATGGCGTTGATTATTTAGTCCAAACCTGGATGAAGAATTGTTAGCTTAATTTATATAGTATGTGAGCGGGATCGATATGAGCTGTACCGATGAAGTTATGTGATGCCTGTAATATTTTTTCTGTTGATAATATTGCAGTCTATAGAACTTTGGCTCCCAGAGAGGAGCGAGGGCTTTGGAAGGCTGAGGAGATGAGTTCGGTATATGACTAACGCAATGATAGTCTCGACTAAACTGGAGTCCGTAACATCGATTCAACCGGGAATGAAGTATGTTTGGGAATGAAGTATGTTTGGGAATGGAAGTTGCTGGAGATTTGAGCGAGTTTCCAAGGCTATGTCTGGTAGAGCCTCTGGGAACTGGCTTACGGTCCTAGGCTATCGTCCATAGAGAACAAACCCAAGCGGCCTTGAAGGCGCCAATGTTGACCACGACCTCCAGAACGAGAGAAGCGAGCTCACTGACCGAAGTCTTTTTGCCACCCTCGGCGATTAGCCCGTGTCAGTCGGTCAGTAGGATCGGCAAACGAATATTGAAGGGTATCGTCATGGGGTGAGCATACGCCACAAGGTTTGCGCCTATCCTCAGCAACCACAGGCACCGCTAGTGAGTAGAGGGTGTCGGTGGCTTTCGTTTACAGTTAGTAATGGCGATCATCTAGAGAAGCAAGTTCCAGTGTCCCCCAGTTACACCTTGTCCTGAATGTCTATTTTTGTGAAGCCGCACCCTCGGGGACAAAAGGTAGCCGGCCGGTCATTGCCTTAGCCCGCAACAACATGGCGGCTTCCAGCTCACGTCTATCCGTGGGTAGTCTGGATGGGTGTACGTTTTCCTTCAGGAACAAGTCGTTCATGTACTCCCTCTCCCGGCCTTGGGCACACTCATACGGAAGGGTCATCATCGAAACGGCCCTGAACCCGAACGTCTTGAAGATTTGCACTCGGAACGGAATGAACTTCCACATCTCAACGCACTCCTTGCGGTAGGTGGCGTATACCTCGTCCGCGAAAGGCAGGTCGTACAGCACGCTCAGGTCATAGCGGATCCGTGCCATGCCCACCACCAGCACCGAAATAAGGTTGAGGCATTCTCCAAAGCGATCGGGTTTGAGCTTGTAGTACGTAGGAAGGAAGAAATCTGGGTCCGTGGCTTCCACCTCACTGATCTCCCCCATTCCAAATGCCTGCTCGAGGAGCGGGTTGAGAGCGTTGCGCGCGCGCTCAGTGTCTCCGGCCAGGGCGTTGACGATTTTGATCGCCAGATCCCGCATTTGGGGCGAGGACGAGTCTCGGTTGATTCGCAGGACCTTTGAGAGTAGTCTGGGGGCTTTGGTGAAATATTCCATCAATACTTGGATCAATGGGCCTGCATATGGTTGGAGGGCGGGAGCGAAGAAGCGCAAACAGGCCTCCGCGATCGCCTCCCTGTAGGGCGACGTATCCCATATCGGTGCTACTCCGTTACCTAGAGCATGAAACACCTACGGCGAGAAGGACCTGATCAGCTATCTTCTTGGTTAAGACTTGTAGGGAGCGTACCATGTCCTCGAGAGCTTGAAACAATATCTCCGAGTGGAAATCGTGATCAGCCTTGGGCAGACCCCATTTGGCAACGAATGCAACAATTGCTTCGGCATGACTGCGTTTGAACGGGTTCCATGCAGGATTGAAAACAGACTCTGACCGGCTGATGAGCGCGATGGCCGCAAATGTCTCCAGATCTCCGGCTTGCTTCTCTTCCAGTGTGCGCCGTAGCGTCCGCAGAGACTTGCCATAGTCTTTCAGAATTGCCACGTCCATAGATGTAGAGTCGCCTCTTTGAAGGCATGCATAGGTAGAACAAAACAAACTGATGGCATCTCTAAGGCACGGGCTATGGGAGACACGAGCAGGCATGTGCTGCAGCAGAGTGAAAATTCCGGCAAGATGTTTGTCACCTTGCAGCGAGTTGACCAGCCGTGACCCTACGCGGTCTTCAGGAGTGGACGTCACCCGCGCAGGGACTGAGAGGAGCTTGAATTTTCGGTAGCTGGAATGTGCGTCTGAGGCGGGAAGATAGATGCCACGGTTATTGACTGGCCTAGACTCGAGGATCGTTGTGCGTGCCGGACGTGCAGCGGCATTTGATGATGCGGACAGTGGCTCTGCCCGCGTCTTTGGGGTGGTTGCCAGGGCCTTGTCCCCCTTTTCATTGCCTAGATGAGTGCTCCCATCGACGAACTTGATCAAATTCGGCGGGCCGGGGCATTTGATTCCTCTCCTTAAACATTTTCCGCATGTCGGCCACGTTTGATCGCACTGTCCCATGTCAATACAATGCAACGACGCGCCAGATCCCTGCGCGGGGTGAGTTTCAGGGGTTCAACTACCTTGGTCCTTCGGTTCTTGCAGTTCTGACATGCGAGAGACCTGACAACTCCAACCATCGTGGGGATCGGCTCTCGACTCCTAGGCGGAAGCAGAATAAGAGCGAGCGCGGGATGAGCAGCGAGCCGCGTTGTGGTTACGTTCAATTGCTAGCTCGAAAACATTGGTACTTGGATACGTAGATGGGCGGGATTGGGATTAATAAAATAAGTAAATTTACTGCCAATGCCATGCTTTTTAGCGCGTTTGGGCCGGCCGATTTAGTGACTGCCACGGCCTCTGTAGCAAAATGGATGAAATGAATTGAATCCATCAATAATAAGCGATCGGTGGAGCTAGAGAACCTCCTTTGATACGGCTTAGGATTACTCAGCATTTGCCGGGAGAAAGAACATACAAATGACATTGGGAAAAGTAGAACAAGCAAATACCAAGTCTCGAAGAGTGCATCAGATATTTATCAGCCTTATCGGCCAAAGAAATATCTGGAAGTTAACTTAAGGAGGTAGGAAATAGAGGTACTACTTGAAGGGTTGCAAGCCGGCATCGCCGTGGCCCCGATCTGGTTGATGGCCAGCATAACGCTGAAATTCATTTTCCAGGTGATGAGACATCTTACACACGAGCGAGTCTCCCGCGCAAGCGTCGTGTGATTGCTATTCAATTTCAGATCACTAACGCCGGGTTTTTTTTTTTTTTTTGGTATACCTCCCGCATATGGTGACCCACAAATGTGAGAACATGCCCCACACAAGCCAGCACTTTGAAGCAGTAAATTCTAAAGCAAAAGAAATTAAAAACACAATCTAGTAGAGCATTCAAAATAGAATAGGTGCATCCGGTTTATTTTCACTAGTTACTTTAATAAATTAGTGCAAACCAAGTTTGACCATGATGAGCTACCGCATACTGCCGCCATTTTTGGTCTCTAATTTTAGTGGGCCATCCTTCGATTGTTCACCCATTTGGCCCGCGGGTGCTCTCCAATGGACTGGAAGAGTGCCATCATCTGTCGCTGCGACATCAAAAACGGCCCTGTTATCTCATTTGATTAGCCGTCTTGGTGCTCCGATTTTTCATTCTTTCTGCCAGTACATAATATCGCTACTTCTGGGTACGTTGTTCCACTGGCATGAGTAGTGCTTGCCAAGGTGCGAAGCATTGAATTTGTCACGTGAGCATACTCGTCCAGCACCTCAGTTGTTGAAGCTGAGGGCGGTGCAGGGCGACAAAACCGCAGTCATGCTCGAAAACAGCTTGTTTTCACTTCAGAATTTTGCAGCGACAATCTGGGAAAATGAGGAGCTGAAAATTTCTGAGAGTATCTGAAGGCTTAGATTTGCCAAAACGCCATTCTTTTTCCCAATTTACCGAATATTGCCAGGACAGTTGGTCGAGCTAAACGGGGCAATTTCTTCAGTGTTGGCCCCGTTCAATATCCCACTATCCCTCCAAGTGGGTTGGAGCAAGATGAGATACTAAACCACCACTGGAGTACACTCTCACCCTTACACTAAGTATTCATATTAAGATTTACCAACTAACTAGGGATTTTCTAAGCTCAAAAAAGGACAAAAACTCTCTAAAGGCTGAAAATTACCTATGTAACTCTTTTATTATAAAAAATATAATTATTTTACTGCTCGGTGTCTCGTCCTTTTTTCAACCCACTTGCCCTCCTCCTGCAGGGCGTCGGGGCAAGAAGGGGAATTTTGACATCGTGGTGATTACCTAACGTACCTGGTTCACGTGATTTATATGCTTCCCCTACCACATGATCGTATTAGCTCAGCTTCCAGAGGCGCAGGGTGACAAAAACCTTCAGTCGTGCTCAACATGAGTTGATATTGGCTACAGGCTCTTAAATATCCCACCCAAACACTTTGCTGGTCTACAGACTCCGAGAAACGCTTGAGGACAGCTCTACGCTTATTAAAAACCGGCAGCACCGCGAAACTTTGGTGTGACTGGAACATTACCTAAGCAAGCCATAGTGAGGAATGTGGAGCATCACGTGAGCACATCCGTCAACCATCTCAGTTGAAGGAGGTGAGGGCGGTGCATGATGACAAAAGCCTGGTCAAGGCTAGGCTTGAATGAATTTCAAAGCCTCTCGACGTGGGATTGGACAAGGCAGTCATTCAATCGCTGCATTTCAATGTAAAAGAGGGATGAAGTTTGCTTTTTCCGATTTTTAACAGAAATAAACCACTATCGGCACCGTTCCGAGCGCAATCCAGTCGCGTGCATTAAGGCTTGATCGCGTGTTTTTGTCCAGCGAGCGTTGTTTGATACAAATGGGAAGAACTTGCGCGCGCGCAAATAGGAGGGCTTGCGCAAATGGGAGGGGCTTGCACAAATGTGAGGGGCTGCACAATCTTGCCAAGTGGGTGACATAGGAAATGGCACTCCGTTGGGTCACGCTTAATAATAAACAAAAAACTACTTGATCTGTTGTCCTTCATAGGTAGCTAGCTATGAAATTACTCAATAAGAATGAAGTAAATGTGGTTTGACTAGCATACAGCTGTATTAAGCAAAGCAAAGCAATTGATTGAAGCAACGAGTGATGATTATTGTGGACGAAAGCTAACTATCTGTTCTGTTCGACGGAAGGTTGAATTAGTAGGCTTGGTGGTCGGATCCACCCGACCACCCGATAACTGACAATCGATAAGCTGATAAAAATGAAGTCAAGAACATAAAGATGTAGATATTATACTTATTTCGAAATCCATGTGTTTACTAATCTAGGCGTTTATTTGGGGGTGCCATTTCCTCTGTCACTCACTTGCTTGTATCTCCTCACCCTCTAGCAAGTCGCAGATGCGAAGAAACTCCTTGAACCTGGGCAGCACCACCCTACCCTCACTAAAAAGCTCGTCGGGCCCATCAGTGTCTGCTAACCCGGCGTCCCTGTTCTTCCTTAGACGTTCCTTCAACAGCGGCATAATGCACTTCTTCCCTGCTTTGCGGAAATGTGCCTCCCGCTTGTCTTGGCGGCTGAATTCAGCCTTGCATCCCCATTCTGTGCCATCATCGAGTACCCCAAAGCAGATGCGCTTCTCTCCCTCATGTTGGTCCTCGTGGCGTTTGCGATCTCCTTGCCGCACAAAAAAACTATCACACTTCCCGCATTTAAATTCCTTCTGCCCAGCATGACTTCTCTCATGGTTCTTGAGGTTGTGACCTCTGGTGAATCCTTTGCCGCATATGCGACATGTCAAGCCCGGAGGGTGGTCGTTGCTGCTTGTGGCCTGTGGCAGCTGAGGAAGAGGGGGAAATTCTGTCTCTTCTATCATGTCTATGGCGTGAAATTCGAAGAGGTGCTTTTTAAGCTTGGCCTGAGTGTCATAGCCGAACGTAGCGTGAGGGCAATTCAACACTATACACAAAAAAGGTAAATCGTGTTTGGAGGTATGCCGCCGGCGCTCCTCAAAAGTACTGAACCCTTCATGGTAGTAATAGCAACTCACGCGGGTACACTTGAACAATTTGTCCCCATAGTACTGGCGGAGTGATTTCTCGCAAGCACTCCCTGGAATTACTGACGATGAGCTTGAGGCTTCAAGAACGTTCCGTATAGAAGCGATGATTTCCCAGAGATCGAGGGCTTCGTCTGTGCATGGCGATTGACCTCCCATACCAATTTGCTTCAGCGACCAAGCAACCGCTTGCACAGCCTGAGAGGAATTGGCATCAACGAGTAGCTTGGCAAGGGCCTGTTGAAGAGGTTTTGGTACTGCAATCTTTTTTGAATTTGGAGATTCGTGAATGTCCGTAAAGGTCTCTAGGGTCTCCCCAAGCTCCCTTAGTTCTTGGTTCTCAGCTTCTGAACTCTTCTTTGGAATCCCTGCTTGAAGATGAAAAGCCCAACAAGCAGAAGAATAATCAAGGAAGGCATAAACGCCATTCAGAAGCTCTGTGCTTATTTCATCTTGACTCATACTGGCGCTAACTTGGGGCATACTTAGAAACCCCATACTTAATATGGCCAGAGAGCGATGGACTTGTAATACCTGGACATATTCTGATTGAATGAGATATCTGATAGGGGAATTTAGTTGCCTGTATATTGATTTATCCAAGTGCGTGTGAACTTACTCGCGTGCTGTGCTGTGTACCAAATCCACCATCCCATTTGGTCGCATCTCGATGAAAGCCGCAAATAGGCTCTTTGGAGTTTCCAGTAATTGTTGCTCTATGATGGTTATTTCTGCATCTAGATTGATGCATATGGCACCTTGTATCTCACGCCACCGAAGGGGCCTGGGTGAGCACACAATCCACCCAAGCACTTTTCGAATCTCATTCTGCATGGGCCTTGATCGAAATTCTAGCATACGCTGCATGATTCTGTCGTATCTACGTGAAATAATAAGCAAAAGTATAAGTAGGCGGTCCTATATTAAGAAGCTACTCACGCTTCATTTAACCGAACTGGAAATTTGGATGGATCAAGTTCCTTTACCAAGCTCTCCCGAGACGGCTGATCTTCAAGATATTGAAGCATTAACTTAGCAAACAAAAACATCCCTGTGGTCAAGTCCATTAGTTCTCGGCTGCCAATTAGTAGAGATATGGCCTACCTTGTGACCTTGCGCTGACGATATTCGCAATGTGTAGGCCTGGGGTCCTGAGTTCCCCAAACTTCTCTTCAATCCTTTTATGCCACACCGTGGCAAAGTCTTTGATATCTGCCTTGCTGTCGACAGAAGATATTGTTATTTTTGGAAGCTGATTAAACCATTTGCGTGAAACACCATCGTCTTGGCTGACGAAGAGACATCTGAAGTTCTTTTGCTCATTTGCGGGAAGTGCATCACTTCTCGCCTGGAACCAGCATGCGATTTCTTTTCGCTGTTGATTTTCGCACTCGTCAATTCCATCCAATACAAGGAATATCGTGCGATTCTTTGCGCAATTGTTGATTAAGATTTCTAAGAGGTCTTTGGCCAATTCTGGTGATGAGAGGACACTGTCGCTACTCATGGCTGCCTTCTCATAGATATATGACAGTAAATCTGGCGTTTTTGGTAGTAGTTGAATTAAAAGTGACCGCAATATAGCGAGGAATGAATTCCTGGACTTGTCGCCGTACTTGCAGAAGAAATATGCGATCGCTATGTCTTTGTTTTTGGCCTTCGATATTAATTCGTCGATTACGACCGACGCCAGGATAGTTTTGCCTAAAGGGGTATGCCTTAGTCTTATGTTATCATCGCCAGTCTTCTAGTGATCAGACCTACCAGCCCCTGGGATACCTGTCAACCATATCAAGGGTGTATCGCAATAGTTGAGGTCAAGCCAGCGTTGGAAACAAGGATTACCGAACAGCCAACGACCAGACCCAGGGCAAAGGCTCCGTACTTGGCGGTGGCAATCCTGCTCCCCCTCGTTACTAAACCCAGAAAGCCAGCTCTTCACGCTTGATCGATGGGCTTCCTCCTGAGCCTTCTCCGTTAAGGCGAGCTGATCATCAGCCTTTTGCTGGACAGCCCGGATTTCCTGGAATTCCATGATGCTTGCCCGGCTCTCTATCAACTGTCTGTGCCTGCTCATATTTCCTGCAAAATGCTTGACCTTTTTTTCGAAGCCTCTCCACGTAGCTGCGAATACCTTCATCCAAACTGGAGGGAGTTGGGTTAGCGTGTGCCAGGCTGGGAACGTTTGCGGAGGACATGCATGATTTTCTGAAAAAGCGCAAGGCTTCGCGATGAAACTCGAGTATGTCGGTGTAAATTAGGCCAAGAATCTCCATCATGTGGGTGTTTGAGGCGAAGATTTCAAAGTCCGTGAGGAGAGGAATCTGTTCACCGATATCTTGGTACGCATCTAGCACTGCGTTGAAGGCATCTGTATACATATTGGCCGTCTATTGTCACATCATTAGGATATGCCTCGAACAAACCGTGCATTCGCTTACCAAAAGAATGAACTTCATTGGCCCCTAGATTTCCGTTAGTAACTGCACGCTCGCATGGCAGATGGTGTGGCTCACCCAGATGAATGCGACCATGTTCGAGATATTGAGGAATGTTTCAACGACCTGGCCATATCTCTCCATGCTCTTCAGGAAAGGATCGAGCCGCTTCATGTATTTCATAGCTCGCTTCTCCTGTTGCTCTTTTTGGAGCTTCAGGATGACCTGGTGCAAGGTCCCAAGGTCGGTTGACTTGAAGTCATTTTCCTCTTCCTGGCTCAGATGCTTGATAAATTCATCTTGTGCCCTGCGGAAAATTGATGCTGCCATCTTTGCTGATTGGTAACCACGGTTTGGGGCCGATGTATTGCCCTGATGAACACTTATCAACAGACCAAGTACTGGTTCGCATTTGGAGTGTTGAGGCAGGGCCTAATCTGCCTTGTGAGGCAGTGCTCCAATGCAGGCGACCAAGTGGCGGCCAATGGAAGAAAGATAAGGTAACGTAAGACGTTAACAGGCTCAAGGGTGGAGAACAATTAGTAGGAAGACCTGGCTGACCGCATCGCATCCAAAGGGATCTTTTCTGACAAGTTGACGACATAACATTTATAGCCCGTGCCATCTTTAGTTGCAGGTTTGCCGCGCCGCCTTTTAGACCGAGCGCATTTTGAAATTATGCTCGGGCAGTCTGCGCCCAAGAGACTAAGCGATGGGAATGTCGGAGAGCATATCCAGCTCAAAAGGTCAAAGAACGATGCTCTTCTGTTCTCAAACTCAGGGCGCAACACTCCGAAAGGTGTGTTGTTTGATAGCCAGTACGCCGACTCGAACAAAATCAACCAGTTACAGATTGGCCATACCCCTGAGACTCATCTGCGAGATCTGTCACCTTCCGGAGTCGATGAGAATATATGCTACGGAATGGTAAGCTCTGGAATCGTTTGTGAAATGATATGGTCTTCTAATGTTGTAGATCTGCGACATCACTACACAAATTTGCAGTGTGCCGGATCACCAAGGGTTGACCCTTCGACAAACTGGCACATCCGAATCAAACCTGGTCTCATTCTCTCTTAACCTAAAGGAGGACCATAGCGAAATCGTGTCTGAAGACGGGAAACCAATCGCTCAATTGAACACCAAGACACACACGATTCTCCAACAGGTATCGGCAGGGGTGAAGATTGCCTTCACGGCGCTGTTCACGGCGGAAACACTTACGATGAAATTGTCTGAAGCGGCGACTCATACTCGGATGAAGCCAGGTGATGTTAATTGCACCGTCGATGTCCTCATATGTGGTACCCGAGGCGTCGCAAAGCATGTCGCAGGCCAGCTCGGAAAATACAGGCTATTTCTCCAACACCCATATCCCCACGTAACGGATCTTGCCTACGAAAACCCTCAGTATCTCCATATCGACGGGGCATCTCTCCTCATGGGGTCGATTTTGCCTCCCCTATCTGCTGCGGTGATGGAAGCTGAAGACGACAAATCAGACCTGGGCGAGATAGGAGCAGCCAAGAACAGCCAACCAGACCCGTGGTCTGTTCTAGATGAACTGTCCGCACCGGAAAACCTGCCCCAAGTCGAGGCAGATGAGAGAATAGTAACTGAACTATTGAGGTGCGTCTGGCTATGAATTTTTCTGCCCATTGCATCCTCCTTAACACGAGTTGACAGTCACCAAAAAGAGGGTGTCGCATTTATCACAAGCCGAGAAAATCCGGAATCGTTCAATCTGAACACCCTTTGGAAACTAGACTTTGGAAGCTCTGCTGCGGAGAACATCAGGTACCTCCTGGCCTATTTTTGTTCTTGTGAACATCTTTGACCGAATTTTAGATACCGTCACCGCATTACTGGGGCGATCCGCTCATCTCCCGAAAACTTCTGCGGTGGCCTCCTTGCCGACGATATGGGTCTTGGAAAGACGTTGATGATGATAGCTTCAATCGTTGCGACGTCAAAAGCTGCAGATACGCACGCAATTCCCCAACTCTCCCAAAGAAACCTGGATCTGCCACTAGGAGGGCCAATGCCAGTCAAATCCACGCTGGTTTTAGTGCCATCTTTATGTAAGCGAGAGCTTTCCAATGTGATGTGTACAGAGAGCTGACAATGTAGTGCTTGTGGACACTTGGATCAAACAGCTTGAACAGTGAGGCTTGATTTCCCGAGAACGTTGCTTCGGGCTAATACTGGTGTAGGCATGTGAGACCAGGTACACTCAGTGTCTATAAATATCATGGGCAGCAAAGACGGCTTGATTCATCCTCGCCCTTGCCATATGACGTGGTGGTATCGACATACGCGACTGTAGCATCTGACCATAATCGTGGCGGTGGGATGCTTAGCCGATTCAGGTGGCATAGGCTTATTCTTGACGAAGGTTCATATCGAGACCGATACTTTCGATAATTCAGCTAACTCTCCCCCAGCTCACGTCATCCGGAACTGGTCAACGAAGCAGTTCAACGCGGTCAATAGCTTGTCAACCAATATTCGCTGGTGCATGACGGGAACGCCAATCCAAAATACACTCGACGACTTGGGGTCTTTGATAAAGTTTCTTCGGGTGCCTCAATTTTCTGACCCGATCGTTTTTCGAAAGCATATATCCGGAATGAAGAGAATCGGCAAAGGCCACGCGAAGCCAAACGTAGCCAATCTCAGACTTCTCCTGTTGTCAATGTGTCTCCGCCGCAAGCAGTCCGTCATATCCTTGCCGGGGGTCACGGAAGTCAAGCACGAAGTGGAGTTTTCTGAAAGAGAAAAATCCGCTCACAAGGCTATTCTGATAGCCTGTAAAAAGTCGGTCATAGCCTCAGCAAATCAACCAAGCGAGAAGAAATCAGCCAAAGCTACATTGCAAGGCATCCTTCGGATGAGAATGTTCTGTAATGTGGGCTTTGAGATAGGGGGCAGTAGTGTAGGTGACATGTCAGAGCCTGACCAAGTTTTGAGTCTGCTACAGCAATCGGGTGATGCAAAGTGCTATTCATGCGCGGCGGATATCCACGATCTTTCCGAGAATGCGAGAATCAGCCATTGCTACTCTGCTGTGTGCGGAGAATGCGCCCCTGATCTCCTCAGCGATGTTCCACAGGGAGGCGTTGATAGGAATTGCCCTTTGTGTAAGAAAAAATGCGATGGAAATATTTTCTTAGACTCTCCTAGCACACCGGAGAGTTGTAGACACGATGGGTTGCCGTTGCCTGGTCTTGAAAGATCATGGCCATCGAAGCTGCTCGCCTTGCTTCAGGATCTGAAGGACAATTTGGAGAAAGAAAAGAGGTAAGACCAAACTCATCACCCTAGATGTGATACTTGGCTGACAGAGCGACCAGCATCGTCTTTTCTTTCTGGCGCCAGAGTCTTGACGTGGTTGGCCGCCTCCTAGCCGAACATAACATTGCGTATTGTCGAGTGGATGGATTTCTCAAACCAGCCCATCGAAAGAAGGTCTTGGAAAAATTTTGCTCCGACGATTCCCCCAGAGTCCTCCTGATGACACTTGGAACAGGCGCAGTTGGGTAAGTACACGGCAAAATCGATTCTTGGATATCTTTTCTTACGCGTTGCAGTTTGAACGATTTATCCATCGCCAGCCGTGTCCATTTTCTTGAGCCGCAATGGAATCCATCCATCGAGAGCCAAGCGATAGGTCGTGTCTTGCGGCTTGGGCAAGAGAAGGAAGTGTGTATTGTCCGATATATTGTGAAAGGCTCTATTGAAAAGGTGAGCGATCCTAGCCTCTGTTCAATGATATATCTTTAGAAGCCTAACAACCAAACTCAGAGCGTCGAAGATCGCCAGATCACCAAGATTCGACTCGCACAAGTTGGAGAGATGCATTCTGCGGGGACTTGGTCTGAGGTAGGGCTGGCTCTCATTCGCGAGCAGCTTGACCAGATTAGTGAGAAATAGGAATCACGTAACGTTTGCCAAACTGAAGATAAATTAAGCCATCCTTGGAACCCCTATTGCTGGGGTGGCACCTGCCAATCAAACTCCAAAGACTCATGCAAACCCGCCTCTTCCAGCCCTATGACGCTCTCACCAGCAGAATCTCACTCGTGGCATCATTAGCGTACGGATCTCTGTTCAATTAAATTTAAGCTTCCGTAGTAAGCATGATCTGGTGCCTGGACGCTAAGCAGCATGGCGTTTCAGCCCCAGCCACGGCTGATCTACTCGAACGGTCTGAGCAGCGATGATTGGTTCAATGACCCGAAAGCACTCCCAATAGCTGAACGGGCGGCTGTCCCTGAGAGAGTTGATTGGGTTTGATCTTGGTGACGGCTTCTGCGGTGAGAGTCTAGATCTTGAGGATGGGGAAAATCATGAGAGTAAGCCGTTAAAGGGTAGAGACTATTTGAAGAGAGAGATTACCAGCCAAAAATGATTCGAAATTTGCTGCATCCCAAGGTTCTCTCTGCTTGAACAAGCCCAATTCACCCATCATGAGTTTGTTTCATAAGCTCGCCTGCTATGCGGCAGTGTTGCTGTTCTGGGTCTCATTTTCTGAGGCGGCAAGCCTCGTTCTCCCGCGAAATGACACAGACGACCAACTCCCCTACCCCGGCACGGGAAGTCAAGTCACTCCGGAAGACCTGAATGTATTCCCTGTAATTTCTGACAAGGAACTGGGCGAGATATTCTCAGAGCGTATTGCATACCAGTACCAGGATCTGGATCTGGCCAGCGTGAACACGTCCTCCCAAGACCTCGCCGCCCGCCAGGCCAACACTCGTCCCCGTATGGTCGACTGGCGACTAAGATGGGGTGTCTCCTGGCTCACAACCATCCAAGACCAAAACCCATGCAATAACTGCTGGATCTTTGTCGCCACCGCGCTCGTGGAGTCAATGACCCGGATCGAGCATGGCATCTGGGCCAAGCGCTCCGAGGGCGATCTTCGCGACGGCCACCTCACGGATCTGCCCCTTGCAAACAGGCCTAACGACTACTGCGCGCAGTCGGGAGATTACGTCAAAGCTCTGAATTGGGTTCAGCAGAAGGGCCTTGCCGATCCTGGCTGCTGGGCCTGGAGTCCTACCAATACCCGGCCAACTGGATACCGGCCCTGCGTGGACCGCTCTGGACGCACTGTCAAGATACCTCAAGGCGTCGTCAGCCTTGGAACTGACTTGGAGAAGCAAAAGAACTGGATCGACAAGGTTGGCCCGCTGGCTGTCGTGTATGACCTTGTTCAAGCCTTCGAAGGCCTCAAGGGGGATACTGTATTCGTTGCTCCCGCCAGCCCACATCCCGGCTCGAAGCCAACTGGCCAGCATGTGCCGCTCATTGTAGGCTACGATGACGACAGAGGTGCCTGGCTAGTGAGGAATAGCTGGGGATCTTGGTGGGGGAATGGCGGCTACGGATGGATCAAGTACGACCAAATGAACGAGAACAGCTACACCAAGTTCGGTGTTCAGTATACTGACCCTGACCCGTGGAGTCTCCGACGGCTGCACAATGGGAACATGATTATAACCGGCCGCTCGGGCGTCAACCACAAGAACTTCGAGCTGGCCGTGTGCAGAGGGAACGGTCATGGTGTTCACTGGATGCGAGCCGGTGGAGAGAACAATGACTTCTCATGGAAGACTATTGCCAATATCTGGCAGCCGGGTGATGCTTCCTTGAGGTGTGTGGGGCAACCGGCCATCACCTCCTCCTTCAATCGAAATATTGATCTTCTCTACTGGTCTGCTGGCAATAACATTGTACGTAAGTACTATTATCAGAATACCAAGACCTGGAGTCAAAAGGAGGTTTTTGGAAATGGAAGGATCGGTGGTTATCCCTCTCTGGTTACGTATCATGGCGCATTTGTTTGCGTTGTGCGTCATCAGGATGGATCTCTCTGGCATTATGAGACAAACGGGGGATTCTGGAGAGCGAATAATGCCGTCGTGACGAAGGGAGTCCGAATGTCGGGTCCGGCTCTTGTCCATGCCAACGTTGGCAAATTCGGGCATTACTACACCGTAGCTGTTATGGACGATTCTAGTATCAAGCTCTTTTGGCTTGATAATGATACTCCCTCAGCTCAATGGCAACCTGGCGAGTCTTTTGGGCTGCTGATAGGGTGGACTCCCCCTGTCATGATCCAGACTAATTATGCCACCTCCACGGAGCATGGCATCGGTGACTTCGAGGTGTTTACTGTTCTTGGCGGACGTGTGATTCGGTACCGCCGTGACAACTCTGACCTGAGAGCGGGTCAAGTACCTAAGAACGGGGTTGATAGAGAACAGAGGTGGGAGTTGGTGGAAAACTTTAACAGCCCGGACGGCAAGGTCAAGCATGTCTGGAGCGCTATGCAAGGTCCGTTTGGACAACAGTTGGAGGTGGTCGTGGAGCTCGAGGACGGTAGGATGCAGACATTGTTTAGAGAGTGGGCATGTAACTGCTGGAAGTTGGCCATGGCCCCTGGCGCGTCGATTCCGATCTCTTAGACGATAACGTGATTGAGGAAAGTATTTGGCGGTCGGTTATTGCGGCTGGAGACTCAAATTAGCAGGCGAAAATGCTGGGTCCTAGTACTGTTTTGGAATGACGTGCCTCTCAAACTCTTGTTTTAGACTCTTTGATGTTAGCAATTTGGATTTTTCCAAAGTACCTTTTTCTCTCACCCCAGCGATAAGTAAGGATGATGCCCCTGTTAGCATTGATTGAATCGTCCGACGGATGATGGACTTATGCGGCCACTTGGGATGAGATGACTGACCTGAGTGAAGCAAGTTTGCTGAAGCATCGTTGAGGTACCTAGAGTTAAAGTTGGTGATTGATGTCTAGGGTAGTCACGTGGCTTGGCTAGTAAATTGTGTGGCTCAGCCGTTAACTAAGCCGGTCCCGACTGCCAGAAATTATCCCCGCTGGCCTCACTTCGTATCCTGACCAATATTTTCTTGCCTGTGTGCCTCGCCATCGCCCGGTGCTTTCCTCATCCATCCCACCTTACACCCGCACCTTGACCAGGAGAATCATGCGACCCCAGCATCGTGGGTGGCTGCAACCAATTGTCAAGGGCTCCGAATCAGCAGTCGCGTTTATTTGCTTGGCGCGGCTAAGCCCAAGGGGGAAGGTCGTCCCTGGTTTCGCCCGTGCAATTAACCTTGGTGGGACCGCCCAGGCTCGAGCCCTGCCGCTTTCTCCGACCTCCCAACATGGACCAGCCATTGACTCCGTTGAGTAATTTAAGGGCATAGGCGAGCCTGCACAGCCCTGCAAGGCTGAATTGCCAGGTGAGGCCAAGGCCTGCAGCGCCTCTTGGATCCCTTGGCATAGACCTTCCAGAAGGGCTGGACAGGCACCTGATGCTATTCTCACCCTTGGCTCTAGCCATGCCAATCCTAGATAGGATTTTGCCAAGATCAATGCTTCCCAGGTTTTATTCGCCCCAGAGTCTTCCCCCATGGTGCTTCAAGTGACTCATTATATAACATATCTCGCCGGGAATAAATAAGCTGGGCATTCCTCCTCTAATAGAGTAGAATGATATGACCTCGCGCACTTACTTGCGATCCTAGAGTCTTTTTCAAAACGACGACAATCCGTCAATGCCTAACCACAACTTTCATTGTTCCGACAGCCACAAGATCACGATGCTTTCCTCTGCTTTCCTCCTTCTTCTGTCCGCCAGCCTTTCTACGGCTTTGGAAATCAACGCACTCATCGGAGTCTGCCCCGTAACGCCCCTGTTCGAAGCAGAACTTCTCCCCCGTGCCAACATCGACCTGAAGTGTGTGGCCTCTGTTGTGGAAAAGACTTTCCCCACCGAAATTCCCGACGCCCAGTTCGCCAGTTGGGTTCTTACCAAGTCGCCCGAGATGCCTGCCTGCACTGTCACCGTTCCCGCCAGCTTCTCCTCAGAGTATCTGAGCTACGACCAGGTCATCTCCACCTTTGCCAGCACCATCACCTCCGCAATCCACAACGTCAAGTACACCTGTGGCGACCCTTTCACTGTTAGCTTCACCGACCGCTACTGCGCCTCTTCACGCACTGTCCTCTTCACCAGCCGAAACAAGACCGACACGACTACCCTGCCTAAGATGACTGACACTGGCCCAATCGTCCTCGGTGCTGCCCAACACGACGCCGTGCCTCGAGCCTTGGGTATTTTGGCGATTGGAACTGTATTAGTCGCGCTGGCTCTTTAAGATGGTGGCCGATGCTTCCTCTACGACATATATTTGGGTGTTGCTCATGAGCGTTTTTGGGAGAATCTGTTGATATGATATCCTTTGTATATGATTAATGTATATTCAGCATAGACTTGGAGTACGGAAGCAAACATATTTGTGCCATTAATCGATTATGATTTACAGAAAAGATGTGTTGGGTTACTTTCACGCATTTAAATTGCCGGATAAGAGTGTCCAATGTCAGCTTTAAGATACGCTGCGTCGCAGGGCTCAGAGGGAGATCTTTCCGATTCTGTGGGTGATTTCATTCCAGAGAGAGCAAGGAAACAACCCAAGTATTGTGCAATTACAATGTCCCAGAAGGTGATGACGCCGAATGTGATGGTGGTGGGATCCGACATTTTTAAATGAGTGTCGATCGATGAAGAGAGAAGAAAGCCAGAATCGAACTAACAGCCCAAGTTTCTGCTTCAGTACTCCGAGTGTTTGTTTATTTCCATCCGCTCTTGCTACTTAGCTAAAGTTTCTATCCGTACCTAGTTATTAAATTCTGGACAACAGTAGTCTAGTACAGTAATCCCGCGAATCTATCTTCTTCCAATAGATTATTGGAAACTTTGACCTATATATGGCTCCCATATAAGTTAAACCTAGTTTTGTTCTGGTCTTTCCCATTGAAATGGTGTATGGGTAAGTCTTTGCATATCACTGCCTACAGAAAGTAATAATTCAACACCATTAATCGTTATTTTTGCTGGCATAAACATTGCTTGGTTCTGGTTGCAGCTGTAATGGCTAGACGGAGCCAATATCCGGGCCCTCAGACGGTTCACTACCTCTTTGAGAAAGCACCGACCGCAGCGATTGCATTCAATGAGCGAGATTGCAACGGCCTATTCTTCATCAAGGACGGCCCACACGTCTGATATGTGCCGCGAAGATCGTACCTCGTGACGACGAGGATACAACGGGAGGGAGTAACCCGGACATTCTGGTCGATCTGACAAATGACAGCAAACAATTTTAACCGAAAGGCTTGCTTTGCCCAGAAGATCGGATTCAGATTGTTTAGACGTAATAGCATTATAACTCTTGGGAATATAAACACATCTACTCCAGAGAGTAGTACGCCTCATGGGACTCACCTTGGGAGTCGAGTAGTTGAGTTTCGCTTGACAAACTTGCAAGACAGGACCGATGGCAGAGAACTTAGCGCACGAGTATAGCAAGTACACAAAGAAAGAATTCCCACACATCGAAGTCAAGAACTACACGGAGGAATAGAAAGGGGCAACTTACCAAACACATCACAGATGAGGCATTTGAAATGATCAAGGTCGACAAAGAGCAGAATCCGCAGGCCTGGAACGCACTGACAAATATGGGGGAGACGCTCGAACGAACTCGCTGTGATCGCAGCAATCGACATATTGGACGAGACAAATCCCGGAGTCACCTATCCAAAGTCACACACATCCAAATATTCGCAGGACTGGAATAGCTTCTCCCCATAAAGCGAATAATCATCACTATTGCAAACGACTCATGGGTCTATATACAGCAAATTCTACCCGCTAATAGCTGGCTCAGTCTGCAACATTTCGGACTATCTCGCTTCCCTGTTAAGCAGGCTGAGCTGGTTGACCTGTTGAGCAAGTTACCTGGGAGTCTCTGCTCGATTGAACTTGGTATCTTAGTATTCATCCCTGAATGTGACAGTTGTGCCGGCCCTCTTGACGCTATACGCTACAAGATCCGCTGGCGCGACCACCCCAAAGCCCTCAGGCATCGGCTGGTGATACTCCTACCCATTAGCCTCTCGGCGCCCATAGGCATGGAGAACCGGTTAGATTCCGAAATAGAGGACTTTTTATATCATGGGGGAAAGAACCTGTTCCGTGGATCTCGGGGGGCGCGACGACGTCAACTTTGGTGTGGGAGTTGAGATGAACGCTCTCAACCCATGCTTCAAGGCGCCTCGCCTCATACGCTGGAAGGAGGAGATGAAAGAATTGATTTCTCATGAAGATGAATTCAACCAGCTTGCAACGAAAGTACGGCAAGACTTGCAGCACGCCTGGGCTTCCATCATCTGCGCATACATAGTGGCCTTGAGTATAGAGCCCTTCAAATTAAAAACAAGAACAATTTCTATCTTACAGCACCCTGGGCTACTGAATTGTACAAACAAATATATGATTTGACATTTGGCTGAAATGTTTTACCTCGCCATTGATTTGTGGTGTACGCAGGTTTAAACATGTGGTGCAAACTTACATCGCTCCGAAGCGGCCAGCACAGACAAGAATAGACAGGCATCTACTATTTGCTTGAAATACGCTTGAAACCACTAACTTTTCTCCTCGCCATTCTACGAGCGCCGAGTCTAGGTGTTAGTATCCGATCATTTTCCAATCATTATTACCCCCTAACTCACACTGCCTAATTTGCGAGAATTACAAGATGGGAAGGAACTATATTCTTAGCCACAGCTTGATAATGGTCTCAGGCACTCTGAAATCAACCCAAAAGGGATCTTCTTATCATATTCGATGGGGGGGATATCGCCTGTCCGGGATCAACATTTAAAGATAGCAAGGCTGACGGATTGGATTGACCTACTTGATTCCCGAGAAGTATCAATCTGTGTGGCCTCTAGTAAATCTTTGAAGTTTGTTACAGGGAGATACCCTGCGATACTGTGAGGTGGAATCCATCCCGCAACCATGACATGGTGCTTCGCGGCATACTTAGTTTTAATCACACCCGTGCCACTGAAGCCGAGGTCATCCGTGGTGCTGCCAAACGGTATACCAAGTTTTTGTAAAACACGCAAATCAATGACCATAATTTTCTGGTCTTTAAAACCCCTTTTGCCGGCCAAATTTCAGATACGTAGTGGCGATGTGGTAAGCGATATGTAGTAGTCAGTCGGTTTATGGTTAAATCCACGGATGTGGTTTTTGGCGCCCTCTGTTGTTGGATCTTGTCCAACGTCAAACTCTTGCCAGTTTCCACAGCGGATGTCTCCTTCAGGGTGGAGGCGAGCGCGGCTCTCATGATCGAAGAACCTAAAACCGATATGGCTTGTGGGCGGAGAATCGGATAAATCTATAATAATTATTAGTTCAAGCATTTTTCAGGGGAGTTGTTATTACCTACCCGAGGTTAATTTAACAATGAAGTCGTTCAACGTTTTCCAAATTGCTTCTGTGGTGATCCGATTATCCTCCAAGCGTCGCTCCAAAATTTGCAGTTGATTCTCTAATGATAACTCCTGAAATTGCAGTTGAACATGTTCTTCCAGAGTAGAAGTCGGACTCAAGACGAACTAGTGTAGTGGCATGTGTCCGTGTCGTCAAATACTAGAGATACATTGTCGCCCACAAGCGAGTGTCAATCTCTTGTCTAACTTTCATATTTAGTTTGTCCAGAAGATCATTAGCCGTATTTTGCTTATCCGTGTTGTATCGTCCATGACGAAAACTTTCATCGCTTTCACTACTGTTAACAAATGAACCTGTCTCACAAGGGTGTGGATGATACTACCATAGTCTAGACTTCCCAAGGGAAGACATCGTGGTACAAAGTAATATCCTTGCTTGACGGGTCGAGTTGGGTGATGGTGGTAATGGGCGAGCCTGAAGCAATGGATGAATGCACTGTGCAGGGTAGCAAAGGAGGGGAATGCGTCAGTTAAGTTGTAACAGTCGGGGGTGTGTGGTCAGTAGCCAAACTGTGCAACAGCCTTAGTCAACTAATTCAATACATACGATGGCGACGCTAATTTTGTTTGTTAAGTTGCCTCATCGGTCGTCTGTTGTGGTTCGTCTCTTGTTTCACTCGTTTCTTCACTTTTGCATTCCTTGTTACATTCCAGCATAGTACGTGTTCTCAGACACTACATCATAAGCAAGCAGATAAGTAAGCACCAAAGTCAGTAGTTTCCCCTCGGACAGCGGGTAGCCTTCTGTCAACTCTGTCGAAGTGAGATTCAAGAATACCGATGAGCAATTCACAGATACCCCCATGCGATCATATTTTGTTACATGAAATTACCCGCTAGGTTTTGGCTAGAACTGTTCATAGTCTGGCCTGTAAGCTCCTAGTATCAGCAATAGTGCTTTGCACAATCCTCGCTACTTCCCATGCGATTCCATAGCTGAAGGTATATCCACCTGCATGCTGGCCGTACGCGTGAATCACTTTCTGCCCCCCAACTGTTTCGGCTTCGACTCTCACTCCACCGTCCTTGCGAAATCTTGCAGGATACCAGCTAGCATGATCTCGTACGAAGCCGGCCTTCTTCAGATCGGTCGAAGGGAACACGTCAGGTTGGTTCTCATGTGCGCGGTCAAGGATCTAGGAAACTGGGTGTTAGTACTGGAAGACAGCCACCAAGGTTTCAGCTGGCCTACCATTTGCCTCTTATCATCATAAGCATTGACATCGTCAGACCCTGGCTCGATGACGCCTCCGACATACACTTCACCATCCAAATGGGAGAACGCCGTGGTGTAATAGTTATCTCCTCGTCGGACATAGCCCTCGCGGTATGTCGGGTGCTTGAAGATGGCGGATTGGAGACGAACGGGCTGGACCTTCGAATCTTTGACATCAGCAAGTGTTCTGACACCCAGACCGGCAGCATTGATGAGTATGTCGTGACCCAACCCTTCCAGCTCCTTCAGTGATCCAACGCAGACTCGCTTAAACTGCACGCCCCGTTGCTCGAGCCTATCCCGCATCCACGGCAGAAAGACGGGCGGTGTGATGACGACGGTCTCATACGTCATGCCATATTTTGACGCCTCAGGCATTTCGCCTTTAGACAACCACCGGAAGCCTGGCACTTTGCCTTGATACCAAACCTGGTCAGGAGACCCCGTGTCCATGATTTCCCGCATTCGAATCTTCCGAACGCTGGATTCCGGATGTCGCTCTGCCAGCTGACGAAGGCCAGCTAACCCGTCCAACTGCAGCTTTTGCTCATATTCGTTTGTATCATGGGTACCGAGCCAGACTGCCGCTGCCCAGGGACTTGCCCAGTCCTTGCTCGGAGCATCTCCAGGGAGGTGCTGACCCACGATCGTGATCTCGCAGTCTTTAGGCAACTGACTAGCAATCGTCATGCCAGTGACACTGGAAGCATTCCCTCGATTAGCAAAATGGATTCCTTCATTCACGCTGTCAGAAACTAAACCTACCCGGCGCCTAGGATTGTGATTTTCGTCATGGTCCGTGGATTGGCAGCTACCAAGACTCGGTAAAATAACACGCAATGTTTGCGAGTTGAGTATAGCCTCCCTGATGTTCAAGACGAACATCCAAAACCTTCCCAATCTAATAAATAACCGGCACCGAGATCAGGTGGTTGGATCTCTCAACCCAGTCCTCCCCACTACTCTTGTCCTCGCTAAATCGACTAAACAGGCAAGACCACCACGCAAATCCCGGAGCGTCCACCTCGGCCACAGATCCGATGGGTAGCTAGTTAGCACTGAGAAGGCGGAAGACTAGCCTAATGGACACGACCAGACCGTAGAATCAATGGCCTCGGGTTCTATCTACGAACTTCGTGTTATTGCGGCAACGTTCTCGATTCTGCTAGCATGACGGACTCGTCATTATAAGGGGCCAGCTTATACTTTACCTACTTAGAGAGACAAGCGCCAAGCCCCTTGCAATGCGATCTTCCGAAGGTCGGGGCTGTCTAGATCCGTGGCGTCTTGTTTGTGCCTACTTCCCCCCTCGAATCATGATCCAACCCACACCCTGATTTCTTGCGCATCTCATGTATTGAGCTACCCCGCAGATAACCGAGTACTAGTTACTATTCAAAACTGGCTGGATCCCCCACCCCCGAGGCGGTAAACCCACGGAAGTCAGTTTGGGAGATTGGCAATACCCGAGTTGTATTGTGATGCCTGTTTGGGACGGAACGCGAAGGCCCACAGCTCTAGCCAGCTAACATGCATCAACGGCAGAGTGCATTTCCTTTGTCAGTTAAGTAATCGTGGATTTAAAGAGCCAGCTGTTCCATTGAGGTTCAAAGCACTGATAATTTACACACTTCGCCATATCTTCACAACAGTACCCTCGCTCCATCAAGATCAAGTAAGCATCTGATTCTGTCCTCAAGAATAATTGAATTCAATACTAAGATAGTATCAAAATTACAGCATCTTCTTAGAAAATCATCATCATGGGCAAGGCTATTCACGGCGCCTGGAACTCATTCAAGTGGGAACCTTTCCCGGAGTATGACGGAAAGAAGTCAGTGGTTTACCGCTCCGCCGATGGCAAGATTGTTGCCGGTGCCGCCCACGAGAAGGGAAAAGCCACCCTCGTCTACCCCTGTGACGAGTTCTTCTTCGTGACAGAAGGTTGGATCAAGTGCGAGCCCGAGGGTCAAGAGGCGTTCACGGCCACCAAGGGAGACGTAGTTTATTTTGAGCGTGGCACCAAGGTCAACTTTGAATTTAGCGAGGACTTTTACAACGTTGCCATTTTCATCTCGACGGATGGCGAGAAAGTTAGCCTGGTGTAAGGTCATGGCGATGGAATTTAATAGAAAAATGTAAAATCCTCATCATCATCACCTACGTTTCTCGGATGGAGACATCACACAAGGGGATTTCTTCAATGATCGGACTGTTTGTTCGTTTACTTCAAATTAAGTGGCATTATCATCTCCTCGCTCGTTCTTAAATTACCGTTTCCGTCTCCGCTAAGGAGCTATCTTGATCATCATAGAACCAACGCGGATGAGGAGATAAAAGGGGTCTATCAACTCCAAACACTGGAATCGAGTTAGAGGCCACAAAAAGGTGAAGTATCTACATCGGAAACGTATTCATTGTGTTGAGTTGTCGGGCTCTGGCAGCTTCCATTGCTGTTGAACTTTATTCTCTTTCTCTTAGGTATCTACATCAGAAGAATTCTGGGCATAGTATAACATAAACTATCCAGAAATCCATCCTATCAACCATTTGATAGCCATAATCTGAATCCTGTATCACATGGCATATTTCCTGAAAAATCCTTCCAAAGTCAGGGGCTCTACGGCCTCACTACTCTTTCCCCTAGCTTGAGAAGCCGCTGCTTTGAGCTTTTTCGCATCCTCATGCTGGGTGGGAATTCCATTGAAGAAATTCCCCTTAATAGCGTGCATCAAATCAAAGAGACCGTTGACCTCCTTTGTCTTGAACTTGTCAGGGGCTTGCAGGGATTCGACCTCTCGGTAGCGTGCTTTCTTGCCAGTGACTACAACAGTAACGGCATTAGAGTCTAGCAATGCACGTTTTCATAAACAAGTCGCTGGTATATCTTACCTCGCTCAAAGATGTCGGTCATATTCGAGAAACTGGAAGACTCGGATACACCGTGTATATACTTCCCATTCCAAGCCTCAGGATCAAGGAAGACACCATGCACAAAGTCACCATAGTCGTCTGCTGCAGCAAGAAACGGCACAGACTCAGGGTCATTTCCCATTCGAGGAGTAGCCCAAGTTAGGTAGCCATCGGCGTCCTTAATCATAGCGAAACCGCCGAACGAAGCGGTGTACTTGGGGTCGAAGGCATTCTCAAGAAACCACCCAGCGCTGAGGATGGAGACGGTTTTGAACTTGCCGCACTGGAGAGCGTACTTGGAAATCGCCGCCTTGTCTACAGGGAGCTATCAGCAAGCGTTCCTACTCTTATGTACACGGCAGAGTATACATACCATCAAATGCTACCAACGGAACAGAGCCATTAGTCAACTCAGTCGCAGCTGGCAACGAGGCGTGAATAACATGGCCAATCCCTGCTGCTGCTGCGGCATCAAGAAGAATCTTGCCCATTTCTAACTCTGAAGGCCCGATCTGCTGCTTGAAGTTCTACAAAATGCAGGTTAACATAGCCATGGCCATTATGGCACTGGAACAGAATGGTTACGTACAGGGGCGTCCGAGTCAATGTTGACAAAGAGACCCCAGCATCCTGCAAACGCCGTGGCTAATTCCTCGGGTTTCCAAGCATCTGCTTGCGCCAGTTCAATGCCGGCATTTGCTATTCTTTGTGCTTTGGGACCTGAGGCATCTCGAGTGATGACACGGACATGGAATGAAGTGTTATCATGGAGTGAGAATGCGACGGAACTCCCAAGATTTCCTTGTATGTGGCCGGTTAGTCAGTTACTCCTTCAATAGGTACTATGTTATGGGACAAGAGAGGGCCAGTGGTAGCTCACCGGTACCACCAATTACGGCGATCTTCTTTGGAGAGTCGGAAGAAGCCATCATAAGGGTGCGCTATGCTATATTGTTTGATATCAATCGGAAGTCACACCTTACTAACTGCGACAAACCAGGGTGGTAAATAAAAAACCAGCCGTCTACCCGTCTAGATCATAAATAGCCCGACGCTGTGTTGAGATATTCTCCATGGCACCCAGCGTGGAGGTCCGGCAGCGCTCCCGTGGCAGAATTGCCAAGTTGGGATACAAGCCGATGAGATCAAATCGTAGCGCAAAACCAGCAGTTGGTTTGCGCCTTCCTCCGGTGAGATGGGATCGACCCCGCTGTTTGTTAGTGACGTGGGTGGTGCCTTCCCCTTTGGGCGTTTTGACGAGCTCTTCGCGAGATGCCTATTTTAGTGAGTAGCCGCACAGTGTGAAGCTCTACCATCCTCCCATTAACACGATCAAGCGGACATCATCCAGGCGTGGAAACCCTCAGAAACTACATATCATCGAGCCCGGAATCCATCCGGCGTACTACATTATGATCGCGAGAGCTCGTCCAACGTCTTCTTGTTGTCAACTGACACGCTCCTTTGCAACCCTTCTCTCGCCATGCTTCTCTCTCCAGCCGTCCTCGTCCTGGGCATCTCGCTATCGGCCGCCCTCCTCCTTTACAAGCTCATCATCTACCCCGCCTTTATTTCGCCGCTGAGCAAGATCCCAGCGCCTCATTGGTCATGCCACATTGCTCCCTTCTGGCTCTGGTGGGCCAAGTACTTCCACCATGAAAACCGTCTTGTTCACGAGAATCACTTGGCTAGAGGCGAGGCTCTGCGCTTGTCTCCGGGACTTCTGAGCCTCAACGGGTTTGAAAGAGCGCTGAAGCCTGTGTATCTGGGCGGTTTCCCCAAAACCGAGTTCTACTTTCGAGGCTTCGCCATCTACGGGTATGTACATTATTATTCCCCATCTCTTCCACCGACAGCCCGCTAACATCACGGATTGTGCAGGACCGAGAACATCTTCACCTTCGAGGATAACGCAGCTCACTCCTCACGCAAGCGCATCATATCCAACACCTTCTCCAAATCGTTCGTCCTCAGTTCCCCTACCGCCCAGGGCTCGCTCAAAGATGTCCTCTTCGGCCGCCTGCTACCCATCCTCCACAACGCGGCGCAGACCGGGAAACCCGTGGAGGTGCTTGAGTTGAGCTACTCCTACTCGATGGACTCCTTCGTCCAGTGGCAATTCGGCAGGCGCTTCGGCAGCAATCTCGTGGAGAATCTTGACGAACGACGCCTCTACCTCGACGGATTCTTCGCGGCGGCACCTTATACCTTCTGGCAATACGAGTTCCCACTGGTGAACAGCTTGTTAAAATCGATTGGCATGATCCCGGCCAAGGTCGACACGGGTTTTCAAGACATTGAGGATTGGAATATAGAAAAATGCGACCGCGCATACCAGCTCCTCAAATCTGGCGAGAAGCTCTCGGAAGAGGACACGCCTGTTGTGTTTTCGCAAGCGGCCAAGATGATGAGCAGCATGAAGCCTAGTGACACCGAAGAGGGCTATGCCAACCGCCTCGCGATCGCAAGCGACATGTTTGCGCACAATTCGGCCGCGCACGAGACCAGTGGGAACACCCTGGCGTATGCCTACTACGAGCTCTCACGCCACCCCGAGGTCCAGAAGAAGCTCAGGGAAGAGCTTCTCACGCTCGACCCCCCTTTGAAGTTCCCCCAGGCGCCAGGCGAGTTTTCCCTGCCTGCCGCCAAGGACGTGGATTCATTGCCCTATCTCGAGGCCGTCATCATGGAGACCCTTCGTCTCTACCCATCTGTCCCCGGCGGTCAGCCCCGACTCGTGCCCAGGCAGTGCAGCCTGGGAGGCCACGACAACATCCCCGCCGGCACGATTGTTCAGTGCTACGCCTACGCTCTTCACCGAACCCCCGAGGTCTTCCCCGAACCAGAGAGATGGAATCCCGACCGGTGGGTCAATGCCAGCAAGGAGCAGTTGAGCGAGATGCGCCGCTACTTCTGGGCCTTTGGCAGCGGTGGCCGCATGTGCATAGGGAGCAACTTCGCATGGTTTTGTAAGTTTTGCATCGAACTTCTCGCGCTTCTATGCCGATGACTGACCATCCTTGCAGCGATGAAGCACAATGTCGGGAGTGTTTACAGCAATTTCACCACGGCGATCCACGACCATGGAGATATGACTTTGATTGATGCTTATCTGGCTGGTCCCAAGGGACATAGGCTCGAGATCAAGTTTGAAAGAGTTCAAGAGTAGATCATGATGCCAAGAGGTAAACGGGCGGGCAACAGCGCAATCCGTGAGAAAGTAAGCAAAATAAATCGGTACAAAGAAATAAAATAAAAAACATACACAATTCCCAATAGGTTCCCAAGGATAAGAGGTGCCGCCGTGATCCCAAGAAATAGTCATCTAATACACAGTTTACCTAGCGAGAGTTCGAGTAGCTTGACTCACAAGAAGAAACCATAATGGATGATGCCAGACCGGACATCTCAACACAATGAATACGCTTGTAAGTCCATATACCGCCACTTGACCAAACATGATCCATCCATTATCCAAGCATGATATGCCAATTGTGCTCAACCATGAGGGAGAGCCAAGAAACCACGATTCCGATATCCCGGAGAGACCAAATCTCTTCCAGGAGCTGAATGGCCGCCAGGTTAGCGGGCAGGTGATTGAGCGAGTAAATCGCCCGGAATCGCTTTCTAACCAAGTCCCGCTCGATACCGTCCTCGGCCGTCAGCTCCGATCCTGCAGTCAAGAGAGGAATTCCCTGCAAGTTGGTGCAAGGATGGCTGTCAGGGACCTGCGTCAAGCTGGTAACTGTTTGCAAGGCAATGCTGTGTATCTGAGCCTCCAGCTCCTTTTCCATGCTATCCTCGGCGGTGGGCTCCAGAGATACAAACTCTGGGTCAAACTCAAGCCATTCAGTGGGAAACCCCAGGGTGGGGGAGTCGTTGTTGCTCGCATGCGATCGATAGCAAACAACATATAGGTTTAGCAAACCATGGCTTCGGTAAGCCTCGGAAAGATGCGAAAGTTCGGGGGTGTTGTTGCTAGGCTCCCATGCGAGGAGTTGCTCCTCGAGGGTTGCTTCGAGCACCGTATCTCTGACACCTGTGTCCACCACGGTTCGGCAGTATCGCCCAATATACGCGTTCAGGTAGGCCATCTCAGCAGAATATCCAAGGATAGGGTGGTATTTGTCGCCCAATTCTTGAACTGCAGAGAATATTTCAGCCGTGTTGAGAGGCTGCTGCTGTTCGGGCTCGATCAGAAAACAGCATGCCATCTCCCAATACAGGTACGCACCAATGGCGAAGTGCATCTGCTCCGTGCGCTCCTCGGCTGGAATCAATAGTATGAAGTCGATCAGCTGTCGGCCACCGACAAAATGAGCCTGCGCCTGCCGAAGGCATTCCAGGTCAATAAATGGCCCAGCAGTCCAAAAATACGACAGCCCTAGGAGGAAGACGGTCAGGAAACAAGACGTAAGATCCTTTTTGGTCTGCTCCAGCTCCTGCCGAATGAGCCGCAGTGCAAGAGCTCTCTCTTCCAAGCACTTGTTCAATTTGGACTTGTCAAAGAAGGCCTGATGAGCAGAGCCTATGCTTTGCGCGGCATGAATCATGGCTGGTATCTGGCCGGAGCCTTCCAGGAGAGGGAACGAGAATGGGTTGTTGTCGGGGTCGAGCGCCATTATCTGGCTGGCCTTTTCGAGCCAGTATCTCAGCAGCTTTTGGTCCATTTGGGTTATGGGCTCCGCGGCCGCTTCGTTGAGGGAGATCATGGATGTTTTGTCCTTTTTGGCCTTTAGCCAGGGCGTCTCGGGCTGCCACAATCTCGAGCGCGTCTGTGATTCGCATACGTCTCCGCGTCGTTGGCAGCGGAGGCAAACAGGAAAGGTCTCGTCGCATTTCACCCGGCGGCGTCGGCATTCGCGACAGCTTAGGCGACTTCGGTGTTTGCGCGTGTCGTCGCAAGAAGATTGCGTGAAGGATAATGGTGTAGCCATAGGAGTTTCTAGTCGAGATTCCGCCGAACACGACTGTGAGGCCGGTTCAACGGATGCCACTGGGGCGAACCGTACCTTGAACCTGCTAACCATGGCAGTGGCAGTGCTGGATTGGATCTTATGTTGTCTCTAGTAATCGGTTCTAGCCTGTGACGCGACGAATATTCGCAAGAATGGAGGAGAGATGATAGGACGTATGTCGAGACGATGGTGAAGAATTTTGTAGCATGCCCATATCACACATCAGGGAATGATTGGAATGATGTGGATTAGCTGCGGCCGTTGGAGACGAGATAAAGGCCTCTAGGAAGAATGACTCGGAGAACTCACTAGGATAGAACTGAGTCGCTATCTTATCACAAGACCTCTTTCCCCAACTTCATCGTATCGGCGCTCCACCACCTAACTACTAAACCAGGTAGCTACAGCCTACTCCGCACGCGCCAAGTCGCCTAGATCGTGAACGGAAATCTTGCATTTATTGGGGACAAAACCTGGGGAATCGGCCGTCACTTTACGTAACAAGAAGAGGAGAGACACCGATGAGATCCCAGGTTCCCCGCGTTGTGGCCATCCGAGGCATCCTCTTCTCGAGGCTACCTCTAGAGCCTGAACCAGTGGACGACTCGCATGAGTAATTGGCGCTAGAAAAGCATGTCGACTCAGATCCGGCCAATTGCAGTGGTGGAGGGCTTGATAGCCAGACCTACTCCAATTCTCCATCTTGCAAACGGCATCAATCAAACGTCCTGAATGACCGATTGAAGCAGCCTGATAAGAACAGCCACGACAGGTACTGGCCGTCTCGTAGGTGGGCCAGGTGATAAGCTGGAAGCCTCTCCTGAGAAACAAATCAAGGCTAACTCACAGACCCGCAGGAGTGCATCGGCAGCCCGGCCAGAACGAGTCCTTCCAAGTGACATGCATCAATCGCTGGAACCAACCCACTCATGTTCGTTTAACAATCCTGGACTGAGTCGTGGTAACGTTCCCAATTGCCCAAATGGCCTTAGAGCACGCGTCTATCCGCTGGCTACAGGGAGTGAAGCCCCGCCATACTCCCTGGAAAATGCCAAGACTTTCCTCATTCGGCTGATTAGCGACGGGCGACCCACCATTAGCTCATCGCCGTCTTATCGCAGGCTGACGGTGTATCGAGACTGCTCCATAGCCAAACCTCATTTCTTCCACGAAGAGGGGCTGCCATCAACTATCACATGTGAACATGAGAAAGCCTAAAGGGGAAGCCTTTAGGAGAACGTATTCCATTGGCGATAGGTGGTCAAAGTGGGTAGGTTCCAGCTTTAGCCGTCCAATTATCAACCTACATGCAGGTACCCTACACCTACATTGACGCCTCTCAGCTACTTGTTCATAGATTTTCCTCGAGAAACACAATCATATTAAGACAAAGCACTCATTAGGTGATTACCGTCAATTTTCATTTGAACTTCTTTATCCTTAAGTTAAGAAGAAATATTCTCAATTGAATTAATGACCTATTCTTGTATCTGATACATGATCATTAAGAAACGGGCTAAGAAACGATGCGGCTCCTGAGGATGATCTTTAAGCAGCGGTATTATCCTTCCTCCACTTTCCAGAAGAAAAGAGTTGCCTAGCTTTGGTGAAGATTCCCAGACCGTCATCATGTGGGAGAGTCTCTTCATACTCCAAGACCTCTGGACGGAGCCACACCAGATCCACGTCACTCGACCTGATGACGAACTTGGCCCGCTTGATCAGAGTCCAGCCAAGATAGGAGACGGCCGCAATAATGAGCATCACATAGTTTGTCATGAAGAAATCAATTGAAAACTTCCCAGGCAGGAACATCGTGTATCCGGAGCAGAGAGCGATGACGATCAGGGCAACCAAGACGAACCAGGTCGAGTATGGCTGGAACAATCCGCGGTACGGCAGGGAGCTGCGGTCGAGGCCTTGGACTTTGCACGCCTTATAGAACCGGAGGTAGGTGAAGCACATCACCGCGAAGTTGACGTAGGCACCACTGGTGAGCAGGTTTACGAACCAGTCGATGACCACTGCAGACGAGTTGGAAAGCCCCAGAAGCGACAGGCAGGGGAACAGCATGGTGACCAAGAGGCAGTAGATTGGGACACCATTCTTGGTACAATGGCTAAAGAAGCGGGGGACCTGGCCTTCGAGAGACAGACTGTAAAGGTTTCGAGTCGCACAATACACATAGGTATTACCAGCCGAAAAGATACTGGTGAATAAGAGAGCGTTGACAAGATGAGGCAACACGCTGACGTTGAGCTCTTTCATCGCGATGACATATGGCGAGGCAGCAGCTGTACCGGAGCCTTCACCCGTGCCGGCCGCAAGAGCTGCCAGGGTTGGGTGGTTGGACGGAACCAGAATCCCGACGCACAAGGCTCCTCCGATAAAGAAGAAGGCGAATCGGTAGTAGATGGTCTTGTACGCCTTCTTGATGTCTCGAGTGGGCCGGCGAGCTTCTCCAGAGACCATGGAGATGTATTCAGGACCAACAATGATCAGAGAGGCATAGAACAAGGCGGAGAGGAAGCCCTGGAACTGGCTCAAGGAGCTTTGGTCACCTTTAGTGGAAAACGGCCCTGGGTTTTGCCAATTGCGGAACCCGAAAGCATCCTTTTTGGGGTTGCCGCCCGCCATGGTGATGAAGGTAAAGCAGAAAAGAATGAGGAATAACAGGACTTTGCCACTAGATAGCCAAAACTCGGCTTCTCCATAGTACTTCACTGCTGACACGTTGATCACGCTAGGGTACACATCAGGCACAACTCACGATGGAAGTTCAGGAATCAAGGCTCTTACAAGTAGGCAACAATGGCGCATGCACATACGGCGCCGATGGGGATGTCGTCACGCCAGTAGCTCAAGACGATGTTGAGAGCTGTGATTTCAAAGGGGATAGTCAAGGCTTCGTAGAGGTAGAAGTTGACGCCCGCCATGAACCCGAAGCCCTCGCCGACCCAGTGCTTCGCTAGACGGACGAACCCGCCGCTGATGGGCATGTATGTGCCCATCTCCGCCATCGCGTTATTCACAAGCGCCAAGAGGCAGCAGTAGATCGTGAAGGCGAGCAGTAAGCCCGCAGGCCCGGCCGAGTATAGAGCTGAACCGATGCTCACGAAGAGGGCGGTTCCGATCGATCCTCCGATGGCGAAAAGCTGGATCTGTCGACTTCCGATCTTTCGATGGAGACCCTCTTGATGGTGAGATGCTTCGGAATGGGCGACATCTTCGTCAGGCGCTGGCAAGGCAACCTTCTTCTCATCGAGTGATGCCGACATAGTTGAGTCCGGAGGTGGATGTGCTGTTCTGATTCTGCGTGGATGAAGTCAAAAGGGATGTAAATATAAAGTAATTTGATGTAGATGCGAGAAAGTGATGAACCCCTTTGGTATTTATAGTGCCCACATCTCAAGTTGATCCAGGCCCATCCTTGTGCTATCATCTAAAGTTTCCTGGGGTTCACTCGCCTCGTCTATTGACCAACAAGGGAGTCATCGTCTACTGACCGAAAAGGGGAGGTGGGTACATGGATGTTATCTGGGCGAGGCTAATGAATTTGGGGAGAAGTAGTTAAAGGAGTGGAGAATCCTGGACTTTCATGATGGACTACAGGTTCTAGACTAAATACCCTGGATTTATTATGATGTACTGCTGGGGAATAATATGCTATTAGATTAATGGACCATACCTAATCATCGACAGGTGATGAGTAGAGTGCAATACCTAGGTTAACAATCTTCTGGTGCGTTACCCTGTGTTGGTCGAGGCTCGAGCTTGGGCTTATTCACCAGAGACTGGATGACATCGACGTGCGCCTGAACGGGGATCATGCCGGCCACTGTATGAAAAATAGAGTCTGGGGCCATAAGGCTTTGCGAGATTGTATTGAGCTTTAAAGGCGGTCTAGATGTATACTATCTATCTTAGAGCGCTGCACGAGTCATCTAGAACAGAGATTTTAGGCGTGTGATGATCTGGTGAGCATAGATACATGTAGGTAGGCCGGCATCAAACCGGAAAGCACAACCCCCAAAAACATGGACTGCAGCTGCTAGAGGATGCACCTCGGGGCAGGTCGGGGTAGAATACGGAGTTGATGACATTCGACGTAGTACACATCTGCGACTGAGTTCTGTTGCTGTTTCCCGAATCTGAAAGCAAAAAGGAGCCTTTGCGTACATCAAAAGGTTACCAGGACATCTTTACTGTCTAGAAAGAGCTTTGTCGGTTATCGTCATCGATATAGAGGATATGATTGAGGATCCAGTCTTGATCATTCGCATACGGATCGCGATAATGCGTTTCCCTGCCGTTGACGGTGAGGGGATAGATCCACGCGCACCCGGCAGTACCATCTGGGGAGAAAAGAGCGAGGTTGTTGCGCAGAATCTCTTGCACATGGTCTAAATGTTGATCGTCACCAATGATCTGACCGTAATGATGCAAAGCCACAGCATCCAGTGTGCTCCAATGATGAGGAAATGTGTCCCCCCAGTGGCGGTCTTTGCCAAACCAGTAACCGTCCCAATGTCGGATGCCGACTCGATGCACGAGGTGGTCTGGTTGACGTCCTTGGAACCGGAGCAAAGTGGTTAGTTGCAACTCACCAGCCTCAAGCCATGTCTCATTGCCCGTCACACGGTTCAGCTCGAGCATGATGATCGCGGCAGGCGCAACAATAGACTGTTCAAAGTTGACCTCAAAAGGCGGGTAGTCGAGCCCGCGGCCCAGAATTACCTCGCCGTGGCGGACAAACAACTCCCGCGCACGATCGTAGCGAGCAGTGTTGTTCCTTTGTTTGAAGAAGCGGAGCGACTCCAGGATGGGAAGCCCAATAGCATACAAGTCTTTTCCGCCTTCCCGGTAGAAACTCTCTAGACTCAACATGAACCACTCTACAGGAGTCTTGCCAGCCGACGTGATTTCGAAGGGAAGCCGGGCAGCGGCGATGTGGAACTGGAGCACCCACGGCCAGTTGTAGAGGCGCTTGCGACTCGTGCCCGAACCTACCGGGCGATCGTACACGTCGCCATTCTCGGACTGCAGCTTGAGGGTGACAAACTCATAGTACTTCTCAAACGATGACCTGACTTCGGTGTTGTTGGGGTGTAAGAGCAGAAAGCGTGCAATGGTGATGCCCATACCGAGACGCTCCCGTCCTGTGGTCCTGTCCGTTCCCTTGTCCCAGAAGGCAATGGATTGAGCCTGGTTGTCGTATACAGCATATGCGCCCGTGTTGGGATTGTCTGTGCCATCGTTGACCTGCTGCTTCTGGATAATGAAATTGACTCGGGAGCTTATAATATCATCCACAGGCGGGACCACATTCACGTATGCGGTTGAGTTGGCTGTTGTGCTATCCATCAGTTGCGTCGTGACTTGCAAAGCCTGACGTCCGAGGGTTTTGGCTGTATAATTGTATGTACACTCGTCTGGCGAATCGCAAGAGACCGGACTACCGTTAATGAGCGATGTCGAGCTCACACCGCCCGTCAAACGAATTTCTGCCTTTTCTCCTAGTACCAGCGTATGTTGAGAGATTTCAAATCGAACAAATTGCTTTGAAAGTTGCTGACTCTGTTTGAAAAAATCATCCCAGTCGCTATGCCAAAAGAGTGCCCACTCAACGCTTGAGGACTCGCCAGGTTGGAGGACCGGAAGAGCTGGGTGCAGCTGAAACACGCCGCGGGTGTTGGACAGGGTGATGATATCACGAGACTCGATGCTGTATCCGACGAGAGAACCCTCCGTAAGGACGAGACCCAGGTTGCGACCGTGCCCGCCCATTTGCTCCAGCTTGACCCAAGCATTCGAACCTCCATTCGCCCAGACGTGGGCGAAACTCCGATGGTTCAGCGAGTCGGACGTGTTTGTGTAGTGATCGTTGAATGGGGTGTAAATGGCAAGGGCGGCTTTGCTGCGAGTAGCGAGGTCGAGAGCCTCATCACCGTTGTTCCGAAATGTGTAGCGCTCGGTGAAAGTTGACGAATTTGAGTCCAGTGTTCGCCGAACCGTAATGTCCAAGGGTCCAGCGTTGTAGATGGCCTTGTATGAGCCATCCTGGCCTGTCTTGAGATCGGGCTCTGTCCAGTAGAATCTATGCAGATAGGCGGCGCCCAGATCGGCAAAGCCCAAGCCCCAACGGCTTCCAAGCGGCTGCCAGGGAGCATTGCTGTGCGAGCTGATCCAGTCTATAGATGAATTCCCTTGAGCGTCTCGTAAACTGGTCACCGCGCCAGTGATGTCATCAATGTCGATTTGGAACTGTGTGTTCTGCAAAGAATATGCATTGACAAGTAGTAGACCTGTAAGATTCACAAGTCTCGAAATCTTCATCTTTATGGCTTGGAAAATTGTCTTCTCAGGCCTTGTCCTCTGGGCGATGTTATATCTATCTTCAAGTCAGACGGTTCAAGAAGCTTTTAGGCTTCCGCATACTACATGTATCTAACAAAATTTAAGGATCACATCCGATATAACTTAATCCATGTTGCAAACACCCAGATCGACCGAAGCCGTGCTCACTGCTCCGAGTGAATTCTGCCGACAAACACCATCCAATGAGGATGAGGTACGGCTCGGTGCAAATTAGAGCGAAATAGGAGCGTAGCATTCAGCTGTGAGGACGGGTATTCTCGATGGTCCAACCCCAGCTCTCCACGACCCAACTTCGGCTCAAAATGCGGGGGGAGATCGGCACTGGTCTTCATGTCGGGGTATCAATAATGCCAAAAGGCCCAGCTGTAAATTGGAGGAATGCCGGTGTTGGATTCACAACTCTCTTCATAACAAGTCGAGTATACCTTGCAATGGATAATGGAATGACTAGATCGTCTCTACTTCGTTGTTGGTTCGCGACCATACCGACGAACACTGGTCTACGATATCGCTTGGTAGCGAGAGAGCGGCCAAGTCTGCCAAATGATAAACCGTCGGATCTCAATTGGATCTCAATAGTGAACAATATGTGAAGAGTATTGGATAAGATTAACAGAACTAAGATCATTGCGAGGGTGACCAGGCTTGTTCCGTGTACAGTCGATCAGACGACATAAGCAGAGTATGTAACATACTTGACGGCACTGCTTATTCAAACAGCCATTTCCTTCATCCAATTGAGGGAAGCAATGGAAAAGGACACTGCAAGCTCGGATATTTTTATCCCTACGAACATGACATCTGGAAACAAGAACCTCCTCAATTTTCCAATGAATATTGTCGTCTGAACTTAGCATTGGATACGGCCGTCTGTTGCTTTGAGAAGAGGACTGGTTTGAGCTTAGCAAGGCGAACGCTTAGGCCCCCCGGATTATTGTTTTGGAACTCGATCCAAAAGTGTGCAGGTTTGCCATTGCGGCGGCGCCGACGGGAGGGATATGTTTACAGGTAGCTACGCGGAGAGATTATGGCAGGATTCAGCCGCCACAAAGTTAGAGGGTGGAATTCGAGGAGGCAGGGAGTAGTGAAGTGCCACATCTCTCTCCGGTGTGTTTGATCGGTGTCTACGGTATGAAGATCAAGTCCGAGGTGGCGATGGGAGGCAGTGCTGATTCAGATCTGGCCTTAATCAATTGTACCTTGACACCTCAACACCCCGGCTGAGGAATTTACCTCAAGGAGAGGGTGTGGGGTGTGGTGTGAGCCTATTCATATTCGTGCGCGCTTCTGGTTTAGATCGCTTCTTGTCGAATTGATCTGCTTTGAGCCACGTGTGGCTTTGATTAAACCATGAAAAGATTTAACACCAGCTTCATAGTGCTCGGCGGCGTTGGTAAGATTCTCCCCTGAAACTTGAACAAGTCGGAGGGATCGCGCAGTATGGAAACGACCAGAAGCGAGCTGAAAGCTTGTAGATAGATGGCGCCATTTCTCATCTCATCCACCAGGCGGCCGCCCGGTTTTTTTCATAGCTTCAAGTGTTGAGGAATATGCAAACAAATAGTTAGACGGACTGACCGCGACGACATAAGCCCTCGATGCCGATGAAAACAAATTCAAAACTGGATAGCTTACTGCCACGCAGTTGATAAGCCCAGAGGATAGTACGGAGGTTACTTATCAGAGTTAGATCTTGCAAAGTCCTGTTCCCGTTGTTGAGAAACCAAAAGTACCAAGAATACGCCCGCGAGGGCGAGCGAATACATGTAGATATAGGCGCCAACAGCCAAACTCAGGGCATAGAGGAGACACATTGACATTTAGACTCCCCGTGGCTTATGTTAATATGGACTGGGTTGGCGAGTGTCTAGAACTCGACGAGCGGAGGGGTGGGGAGGGGGGTAAAGGGGTCGAGTTTGGTGAACACTCCCCGTGAGTTGTCCTCTACTCGCCCGGCGCACCTCCGCTCGGTCTCTCCTACTCGCTATGAATTAGGACTTTGGTTTTTGATACGGATTAGGTGGCTGACAGGCTGTCGTTGGGCAGATTAGGCTGTGCCCATATTTATACTCAAATAGGCACCATGAGGAGGGAATCCCCACTGAGACCAGGGATAGTTGCGATTGGAGGACAGGGATCGGAGTTCCAATTTGGCTACCGGCCGAATGGTTTCATAGGTCTATGAACGGCATGTGCCTGGACTTTGGTTTGGAGGCTGCTAGGACGATGGATAGGACCAACATGGGCAGTTACAGACAGAATCTTTCGACCCCCACGCCACCAACAAGCACCCTTCGCAATGAGTAAACCTGTGTTAGGTTAGGATCTTTGGTATTCCAGCCCTACTTCGAGTTGCGAAAAGGCGGGCAGCCAAATCCCTGCTAGGCCGGCAGTGCTGTCTGAGTCCCACCCCTCTACCTTCGAGCATGGACAGGGGAGCGAAGAGGGCCAGGTACCAAGTGTCCGGGAAGTGATATTGATCCGAAATTAAACTGGTGATGTATGATTCACAGCCAACTACTGATCCGTTGGCGTTTCTTGATATAAACACCTGTCAAGACGGCCATTTCTGCATAGGACCAAAGGACTTTGATGAGAGGACTGACGAAGCGAGGATATAAGACTTCGCAAAGGCTTTAAACTAAGATGCCTGGCATTCCCACATCCAAAGCATGCCAGCGATGCAAAGCCAGAAAAATCAAGGTATGGAACCTCACTCGTTCCCCTATAATTCACTTGTCATTGCACCTTATTCGATATTGAAACCGACGCTGGCATTGATTAATGATTTGCATAGTGTGATCAGAATTGGCCCACCTGTACACCTTGCGAGCTCAAGAATTTTGAGTGCCCGGGAGCTTCGTCCCTAATAAAATTCGTTGACGCTGGTCCACAGAGTCACCGTCGGGTTCCTTCTCGCATGGCTTCTCCAACCCACACGAGCTCATCCGGCGGCGGAAGCCCTGCTGAGAAAGAGGAAGGCTCAATGTCGTCTGAGAAGGGGAGTTACACCGTCATGCGTCCATCTTCCCCTTCTGTTCCTCGAACCAAACCGACCACTGTTGCAGACCGCGTTGCAAGCCGTTTAGTCGCCCAGTTAGAGTCGTGCCCAGAATTGGTCAAGGTATTTCAGATGGGGTATCTCAAGTATCTCCCTCCCTTGTTGTCACGGAGCGCATGTCTTCGCGATACAGTGTCAATGTTCTGCACCGCTTGGGCGGGATATCGCCGGCGACAGCCGGTGGGAGACTTCATGTCCATGGAGGCCTATGGAAAGGCATTACGAAGTTTGCGCCGATGCTTAGATGGCGACAAAACATGCAGTATGGAGACGCTGGCAGCCATTACGCTTCTTGAACGATCGGAGGCTCTTTTTGATCGAGAGAGAAAACCGTTCCAGATATCGCACACGGAAGGAATCCTGTGGCTGATTCAACGCCAAGGACCGCCGAACCAGGAGGACAAGCTATATTCGGGTCTCATATTCGATAACATGGCAGGTTTGGTACGATAGGAGATAAAGAACAACATCCCCCAAATTCGATCACTAGACAACTAACAGGTGAGATAGATCACCTACTGGTTTGCGAAAGACGAGCACAATTTCTTAGTTGACTCACCGTGGAGAGAAGCAATAGAGGATACAGCAGCCGAGTTTCTGGAGCCAGCAATCAAGCAATCCGCCATGGCAGCCGTCAGTTTCACAAGCACATTGTACGCGCGTTGGCCTCGATATCTCAGAAGCGCACAAACTATCTATACTGATCCCATCCCCAGTCAGGAGCTACAGATATTTACCATAGCATTCATTGACGAACTGAACGAAGCCGAGGTTGAGGCCCGTTTCATATTTGAGGACGTCATGTCTAATGCCTTTGAACTAGGAGAGATCCGACAACTACCAGACTCGGCGGCTATTACAGGCCAAAGTTATCATTTAACAGCCGTTTTCTTTGGACAGTCGCTCTTGGAGCTACTCTCGCTACGGCTGGCTCTACTCCGGATGCTCTACGAGCTGACCGTGCTTAGAGACCCAGCTCAGGCGCTGGTATATGGGGCGGAGTACCGGGCACTGTGCCTCGAAACGTGGAAATTTATCCCATTTGTGTATGGGTTGGATCCCCTGATTGCAACATGGTCATTTACACCGTTCACACTAGCGTTTGAGGGGGCGGAAGGGTTCGAAAGAGAATACCTCATGAAGATGATCATCGAGGTGGACAGTTACAGGCAGAGCTTCCCTCGAGACCATGAGCTTCTGGCATCGACCTTGGTGCATCATGCGATGATGCTGACAGGAAGGTTGCCAATGGCTCTAAATTGATGGCATGCAGGGGTCGCGCGCGGATGGTGGAAATGACGATACCTGCACCCACGGAGGAGGTGGTGCGCAATATGCTTCTCAGCGGTATGGAGACAACAAAGATACCTAGACACAGAAATCTACTCACGTATGGGGAAATGGCAAATTAGCGTTTGTTGTTCTTTTTCACAATCAATTACTCATGAAGCTCTAATTCGGCATAAAAAAAAAAGCATGTGCTCAACAAACTCAGCCTATGAGAGTCCTGGCTGCGATATCGTAGGATACCAACGCAAGGGACTTCGGGGAGGGGTGGATACTGGAAAAGGACTTTGGTAGCCCAGCAAACTACGGGGCATTTTTATCTGGAATGGGCAAGATAGCCCTCGACACTGCAACAGAACTAAAGTTCCCGCGTGGCTTCAGCTCAGGGCAGGGGCAGACAGGCCTTCCGAAGGAAACCCTTGAGCAGGTACTGTACCTTGGGTTGAGTTGAGGCTGGAAGTTGCGGCCTGAGCCACCGCCAGCTTGGGGGCCAAAAGCGGTGCGCGAGGGACCTCCGGCGGAGTCTGTGGCTGCCCTTGGTGACTTGGGCCGCTGAAATATAGTGGAAGCACCCGCTGCATGGAGCGCCTCAGCAGCGCCGTGGTGCTGTAGTTCAGCTGCCACTCCTCTGAAGCCACCCTGATCCGCCGTCCGCAAGTCATCCATGTTGAAAACGGCAGAAGGGTTGTCAAAACCCACCCCCTTGCATCAACCACCAGCCCGAGACACAGCGGACTCGGCCAACAAACAAGAGCGAAGAGCGAATCGAATCGCGAAGACCGATCCATGCAATCTTACACACACGCACATACGCGTCGGCCGATCCCCCAAGCATTCAACGAGACGGATGAGTGGAGTGTTCACACCAGAGCGAGGGCAACTGACGAGCAGATGCATGCAGTCATCAACGGTAGTTCTGATCAGATTAGTTGCGTCACGCCAGTCAAGGGGCAACATTGGCTACGGGCCATACAAACCCCCCTGGCACCCGAGATTCAATGAAGCCATTTCCCCGCACCGTCGACGAACCGAGACCTCGTCCGATCGGGCTATGCCACCATGCGCTGCAAAGCTTTAGGAGGCGGCCGCCGTTGTCTCAGCCGTTTCCTCGCCCAAGACCTCGCCAAACATCCCCTCAAAATTGATTTGCCCCTTCATGCATCGCAGTCACCCAGATCAGAGATTTGGCTTCGGATTCATTGCAAAGTACTGCTGTGGCGAGCAGCGCCGAGCCTCCAACCCACGCTTCGATGTAGGAGTTTTATCCAACAGCCTTGCCAAGGGCGATCACCCTACAGCCGGTACTTCCTTTATTACATGCACGACTGTGAATCCTCTGCATAAGGCCAACGCCACCTTGCACAATCAAGGCCTCAGAGAGGCGGCCGTCTCTACATTCTTGCACCCCATCCTGCTTACTCTGAAGCTGAGTTCTTGTTCCCCCCTGCATCAGCGACCACACACTTTACACCTCTATGTACAAACTCTACACCCCGCCCGATGGGCTGACTGCAGACTGGGAAGACAAACTAGGAAGCTGCTCCCTCCTCTCCGTTCTAAACGATTCGTCCTACAGCGGCCGCCGACGCTCCTGCAAGCAGCTTAAACTACCTGAGAATGTGAGTACCAATCGTCTGTGCCAGGTGCATATACCGCCATGACTGCTGTGTTCTTGGCAGATATGTGCCGTCAATCAACATAAGGCGTTATTGGACGAGGCCAGCTGCAAGGTGCCTTCTCAACAATCTGCCATTGTAGAAATCTCTTGGCCCCATCAATCAGTCATCACGCTATGCCAGGGATGCTATTCAAAACACAAAGATCTCCACCTCAGCAACTCATTTGAGAAGGAACCGCCACAAGGAAGAGTGTAACTTACAAGAAACCGATCTCTTGATGACCCCGGGACCGAAGCAACGACCTTCACGGCGCAGGGGCTGGTTTGGTCTCTAAAGTCATGGGAAACAGCCATCATGGAAGTCGGCACCTTGACATAAAACCACATGTCAAAATTGAGGAAACAGACTTATCACCCATCATAAAGGGGCGATATTCAGCATAGTGACAGGCAAAGGGAGGTTTTGATATATTCGAATCATGAAAGAGGTGGCCAACACAAACCCTGTATCAAGCGCTGTCTCCCGAGGGTACCTCGTACTAAGGCACCTCTTACAGGCAAGCTTTACCAATTCATTCATTTATGAATCGCCTCAAATCATCTACCACGGCCCCCGTATCGGCCACAATAATCCCTACAACGATGATTCGGTGAAAAACCTATTATAGTGATAGCGTACAGCCCCCGCCCGTCTAGATAATCTAGGACTTCGGAGAGAGATTCTTGCTCAGCATGTCAGCTTGGCAGGGGCAACAACGGCCGCACGCTCCTGGTTCTGGAACTTTGCCAAGGTCAGTCTTGAAATAGAGATAGTTGTTTGCTTCCTTGTGCTGCGCTCAGTATCTTTCCTAACAAGGAAATTTAGCAATTGCCGGTCCGTCTACTGACATGCTCCTCTGTATTACTCAGGTTGGTTCTTCGGTCCATGTACCTTACCCAGCTGAACTTCGCAGCCTGGAATGGAACCTCTGTAATCGAACACACACCCTGATCCAATGATTGAAGACATTGCTTTAACTAGATAAGCAGGTCTGACAAAGTGGCCGAGACACACCAAGAAGTAAGTAGTACTGATCTCCATGGCACGGCTCCTCCGCGGACGTTGGTGTAGTCGTCTCTACTGCCCAAATACCTGCCTGAAGAGCGCAGGGTCGGCCTCAGACTTCCATGCTGCCTGCCTTAGATCCATGCAACGATGGTATGATTTTGGCCTTGTAAGGCGTTTTGGCATAGTATCAAAAACATACATCCTGGGCAGTGGCTGATGCCTCGTCATCCTTAGAGGAAGTCCCAATATGGGCCAGACGAGAGTGGAGTGTCAGTGAGTTAACAATGAGGATGGCATGATCTAACGTTTGGCGCGCAGATAACCACAAACAAGCTCTTCATTATCATAGCCTAGCCAGACACCAACGTATCAAAGAGTCGCATACGGCCTGGGGTTTCTCAGAGTCAGGATTGCTAAGATTTAGGGATTTGTGCTCTGCTCTGAGTCATGAGCCCATCCCTTGCCGGTCGCGGCAGCCTCTCAGCTAAGGCGAGAGCTTGAGAATAGCTCGCTAACAACCACTAGATTAACCAAACCATATTTAACATCTTGTTCAAGTCTAGATATACGGAACTATTACGAACAACTATACTACAACATCTTTATCTAGACCATCACAACGAGCAGGCCCGCTTCTGAGAGGTTCGAGGGGGTGCCATACCATTCAGCTACCTGGTTCTTTATTTTTTAAACAGACCAGAGACGAGACCCGCTAGCTGTTTGACTGTGACATGCAATATCAAGCACCACCTCCTTCAGGGTCAGCAGTCGTGTTTGTTTTCGCAGCCAGGAAGAAGCACTTCAACCTACGCGGTTGTGTTATCAGCGACGGTTGAGAGGGAGGGTCGTGTACCTGAAAACTCTCCCCCCGGACTGGGGCGTCGACTATCTGTTCTCAAGTCTCGCCTGATTGTCTCGTGTCAAGGTGGGAAGGCAATATTTCTTTCGTCTCGCGGGTAATTCCTCTTGGAATTGAATCCACGGCCCCTCTAAGCTAGGAAGACCCAAACTTTGCTAATATCATAATAGCGACGTGTACAAGTATGAGTCTCAACGTATGGTCCAGGCCCGTCCGATAGCTCCCCAGTATGGTGTTGTGGTGACGTCGCAGCTCTGCAAATCAATTCAGGGCGATCATGGAACGCCGCCGGCTTCGCCAATTTCGATATGATGGAGTTTGGAAGGCAACTTGAGATTATTAAGAATCTGTTATCTATTAATACACAGACCGGCGCCCTATTTATTATATTCAACCCTATCCTGTGCGTTGAATGATTATTAATGATAAGTCGATCCTTATTATTAAACGCAAGACTGTTGACTAATTAACTGATATTTAGGCAGCATAACGCTGTAATGCTTAGCTAACCCGAAGGCAATTCCCGCGGATGAATGAGGGACGGAGTTATGCTTGACCTTAATGCACAAACTCATCGGCAGCTTCAGAGCATAAATGTACTTGGGCTGGGGAGCGAAATACGGGCTCCTCTCCAGCCGACGCGAGCAGCGTTTCAACCAAACAAACATCCCTACCAATATATGAACCTAGACCAAGCGAAATAGGGAAGCTTGGTCATTCAGAAAAATCAAATTTAGTAGCTGTTTACTTGATGTATTGCTCAATCTACCTACCTCAGGCAGTACCTGCCTTGCTCTCAAAACATGGCCGTCCTTCTGTATTGCTTATTCTACCTACTCTGAAAACAGAGCGGTCTTTTCAGAAAGGCTGAGACCAGTATCCACTTGTCTCAGTTCAGGCCGAAGGAGCCATTGATGCATGTCTTATTACGTATCCAGGCTCGACGAGGTAATAGGTCGATAAGAGGCCACACTGCAATCTATCACACCGAAGCTGCATGTTGGTTGGTCTGACTGCTCTTTCAGCTCGTCATCAAATATGCAACCCCCGCACTTCGCAAGACTTACCGTCTTTTATCTCTTCCAATGAACATCCCGCCTCGCAAAAGCTGATAGCTCTACCCGAAAATTGTCGGCTAGCTGTGCCTGAGAGTCCTGCCTTCCTGCCCAACCAAGAGCCGTGTCACATTGCCCACCTTTGCACGTCTCAGATAGCTCCTTCTATTTCACCGATCCCCTCCGTCATCCCTCTTTCCCATTCTCTGATCCTTTTGTCAGGCCCCAGTACTTGACTCCATCTATTCATCCAGCCCACAGCACTACTTCTTTCTGTCTAATCGTCATCTTCCCAACTCCAAATCTAAACCCCACCATCCGGCATCATGACCAAAACAGCAGCTACCAACATCTCCGAGGTTGAGTCCTTCTTCCTCACGGCCATGGATGCATTGGCCGCTGATGTCGTCTTCGACAGCGTCGATGGTGACCAGACCTTCCACCAGGTCCAGCTCGACCTATTGGGAATCCGTTTCATGCGGTGCAGCCGCATCATGGGGCTCGCCCATCAAGAGGTGCCATATATCCAGGGATGCCTGAGCAACAAAGACCTAGTCACGGTCTATCAGCGCATGTTCGAATTCAAGGCGGCCCTCGATCGGAGCGGCACCTTTGTCCCTGCCGACACCAGGGCAGCCCATGTCGATCCCGACCCAGACTCGCTCAGGGGTTGGCTGTCCAACTTCCAGCGCGACTACCGGCGGAGATTCAACGCGGAGCATCCGCATTTGATTTTGAAGTGGGTGCCAAAAACCCACGACCACATCCAGACGATGCTTAGCAGTTTCAACGATGCAATCGTCTCTCTTGAACAGCTCGTTGGACATGACATTATGTCTCTCGCTAGGCAGGACGCCGTTGAACTCGCGAAAGCACCATGCCAAGCTCATCTGATGGAGGTTGCGAGTGGCACGGATCCCATGCTATTCGAACTTTTGCAGGAGGAGCAGAAGAAGAAGCACCAGCAGCTGGAGCAAAAGGGCCCGCAGGATCAGGATCACAACGGACAGCATGACTCGGCCCAGCACCAGCAGCTGGAGCAAAAGGGCCCGCAGGATCAGGATCACAACGGGCAGCATGACTCGGCCCAGCACCAGGAACAGCTACAGCGAGAGTATGACGTACTGCAGACAAAGCTGGCCGGAATACGGTGTGAACAGACCGAGAGGAATGAAAGCCGTTGTCTGGCCCCGACCGTGCTGGAGATAAAACAGGCTACGACAGATCAAGACCTTCGTCTGCGGTTGGCCCGGATGGAAAGAGAGCAAGCTGCGGCCAATCAACACTATCTTCTGCGGCTGGACAAGCTACAAAGAGAGCAACGCGCAACGGATCAAGCTTATCATCACAAGCGGGACATCCTGCAAAAGAATCAGGCCACGAGTGAGCTCGTCTATCCTCAACAGGAGGCTAAACTACAGAGCGATCAGGCAATAAGAGACCAGGACCGTTTTCAACAGATGACCGCGATAGACAGTGTGTATAGCCAGCGAAAGGCCGACCTGCAGAGAAAGCTTGGAGAGCGAAAGTCGGAGCTACGGAGAGAGCTTGGCCAGCGAAAGTCTGAGCTCCAGAAAATGCTGGTCGATGCGGATTTGCTCTTTGTTCAGAAGAGCATGGAGCTGCGAACTCAGTGTCATCGGGAAAAGGAGAAGCTGTGGGAGGAGTATAACTTGCAGCTGCAGAAATATTCTAGTGATGCACTCGCGTTGCAGCACATTCATACCATGGACAGGAACCGTTATTCTCACAGGCTGGCCGAGTTGAAGAGCAGGTATGCCGTCCAGAGAAAGGAAAATTCTAACTGGCGACTCCGGTGGAAGAAGCAGCATATCTTGCAGCAGGAAGATTATTCTCGGCAGATAATCAGGATGCGGAGGGAGTATACCCTGAAGCACCACCAGCTAGAACAACAGTATGCCAAAGGAAGCCTTGATCATTTGCAATGGCAGGCCGAGAAGCAGCAGGAGCTGGAGGAGCTGGAGGATCAACTGCAGCGAATTCAGCAGCAAATGCCGCTGGAGATGACGCGAGAGCAGGACGATGGAGCCAGTGCTATCAACAATCCAACCTCCAACCCATCCTACGTGTACCGTTCGCTCGCAGACTGGAAGGCCAGACAGGCTGTCGCAGCCGACACACCCAGCAAGGCCACTACGGCCGATGCACCAAGTACACCAACAACAACCAGTTCAGTCACCATCCCTAGTAGCGCACCCGAAGCACCCAGCAGGTCCAACGGGCCCATTGTGCCTATATATTATCAGTGGCCAAGTAAGTCTCGCACTTTTCTCTCCAGCAATGTAAACAGGTGGTAACATCACTACAGCCGACGACCCGAGCGTCCTCATTGGGCAGGAATTCGGGACTGAGCTCCGTAATCGTGTCATCGACAACTCACTCATCATGTTAAGGCCTGACGCTTGAAGGTGAGAAAGGGATCGGTAATCGAAGTCGGCACCAAGACCGACCCCTGCTCTCAGACCCGTTTGTGGGACATGATGCTGCCTCTGGAATTTCTCGTTTTTGCTATTTCTTGATTCATTTTGTTATCTCTCGTTCCTTCGTGTCTGCCAACGTTCTGATGGATTGCTTGATATTATTTTACGCCGGCTATAGCAGCTCTTGCCTCCTTTGTTCCTACGAGAGGTATCTAGCTAGGGTTAGCAATTTAGCACATCTCGACTAAAATTGACGGACTTCTTTCTGTGTTAGCTCGCTTCCCTACCTTCCCAGTAACAATCCCTTTGTAGGCACAAGTCCCCGGACGCTCATTGGAGTGTGACATACCACCTCGTCATGGAACCAATTCAGTTGATCAGTGAGATGAGAGATTTCTGAATTTGCTAGAGAAAGGGGCACACATCTACAAATTAAAATTAGCTAAGTACAGATCGACTAACCCTTCAGTAAAACGGTCCAAACTCATTCCCATAGAACCCCGGGCCCGCCTGCCCCTGAGAATAATCAATATCCGGCAACGCCTGCCAGTCAGACCCCAAGACGTCGAAGGCACTCTCCAGACTCTGATCCGCCTCCGTCTCTTCTGTCCGGTGTGGCGACCCAACCGGCTCGACCGCTCGGGTACTGGGCGTGCCAAGAGCTTCCTCCAGGCGGCGGACGAAGCCGGGCGTCTCCAGCACCGTGCCGGCCTGAGCGTGAACCCGCTGGCGGACGTCCCACGCCTTGACCACGAGTTTTGCTTGCTGAGCAAAGGGCCGCTGAGTCACGTCGAGGAGCTGGTCTTCGAAGCTGTACACGGTCTCCACGAAGCCCCAGCCGCGGTCCGTGAGAGTGCCGATGGGGCGCTGGCAGAGCTGCGCGGTGAGGAAGGCCAAGACGTCGAGGCGGAAATGGTGCTTGACGAACCAGACGAACCCGGTCTGGATCGAGACTTCGTATATGTTCCGCAGGACGTCGCCGCCTATCATCACCGTCTTGAACAGGTTGTCCTTCTTGTTGAAGATCTCCGTGCCCCATTCCGGCTGCTGCCTCATGGGGATCGTCATCTCCCGCATCTTTGCGACCAAGGTCGGGCGCAGGGCCAGGGAGAAGACGTGTATGTTGCCGGCGTACGCGTCTATGTGCCGCTCCTCCAGCTCGTTGAGGGAATTCTCGAGCCTTTCGACGAGCTGTTTGTTCCGCTGCGTTAGCGGGAGCAGCAAGAGGTCGTCATCGTCCCACGGATTGGTAGACTCTCGGTCGTAAAGCGACTCGGCGTCAGTTAAAAACTTGGCGAGGTGGTAGCTGTAGAGGCAGAATCCCATCTCGGTAGGTCCCTCTCTGGGGTAGATGGGCTCCGAAGAGCCGGGGAAGAGGTCGACGTCGTTGACGTTCTGCGGCATCTTGGTGTCCCAGTTCTTGAGGAGCATCGAGTGGCTCAGACCGGAGACGAGGGCGTTCTTGCTGTCCTGCAGCACGATCTGCCACCATATCCGCCGGCGCATCTCTGTCTCGTAGGGGGTCAGGCCTAGTGTCTCTCCGTCGCGGTGGTAGCCCATCTTTTGTGCGAGACGGACTATAAGCCCGCCGAGAATCCAAGTTGCGTGGCTGTTGTAGGTGTTTTCAAGTGAGAACTAGATTGAAAGTTTGTTAGCAAAAGACATCAGTCCAACTAGCCAGTAGAAGAGGCCTCTTACAAAATACAGTAACAAAGTTTGAAGCACCACCATGTCGTAATTATTGAGGAAATCGAGCTTGGCAAGCGCAGTCTTTGTACCGACGTGAAGTCTTCGGAGGTAATCGTCCCGGGAACTTCCCAGAATCTCCAACGCTTCGTCCTTGGTCAACGAAAGAACGGACATGGCAAAAATAGCAAATAAAAGTGCTTGGCTGCGCAGAGGAATGCTGTTGAAATCTGTCGACGCCGACATGACCTGCGACTGCACCGTGGGAACGTGAATGACTTTGACAATTGGGTTTACTCGGGCGACGAATATCTGCCAGAGCTTGAAGGTATGGATTGGCTCAGGCCGGAGATCCTCGACGCTCCGGGTGGGGAAGGCTTCCGAGAAGAGTACATCATCATTGGCCGACGACTCGGACCCGAAAACGCTGCTCTCGCCGGGCTCATCGGTCTCAATAAGCTCTTTGATGGCGTGGATCTAGATGGCAAGCCGTCAATTGGGTTTGAAACACAACCTTAGGAGTCAGGCGGGACTCTCACTTCCTCATGAATATTAACCCAGGCCTGGCTGTCCATGAACTGGACCTTGCCCTTGTCATTAACCATTTTGCCGCCCGTTGACTTTGGCTTGACGCGTGTCTGCGACTCTTCGACCGGGACAGGCTCCGATGCGCTTTCGTCCGTCCCTCTGGGCTGGGGGGATTGATTCATTGGAGAGTTTGTGGAACTTGTCTCTTGCTTCTGCTGCTTAAGGAGCTCCTCGCACCGGGCAAGGCGCTCCAGGAGCTCTTGCTGAGGGCGCCGGCGGGTACGGGTTGTTATTCGCGTCCCCTCGATGCACTCGACCTGAGCCTATTTCGAAATAGTTAGATGGGCATACAACGAAGGCGGCGCACCGAGCAGTTAGGAGAGGCCTCGATGAATAGACAGTACACCCCAGAGCTGCATGTGAGACAGGGCTTGTCGTCTCAAACTGGCAGGGCATACCATACCTTGACGCAGTGCGCGCAAGGCCGCGTTATCGGGTCGCATTTGATCTTGCGTTGCTTGCACAAAACACATGAGCTCAACCGGGGAGCCCGGGAAGGGTTCATCTTGAACTAGTGAGGCTCTTGGAATGCTCCAGCGCAGCCCTACTAGTGTTACGGGGTTAAGGTCAGGATGGAGGACAGGTAAGCATACGACAAACGTGTTATGTGCAAGTGCGGTGCGAGTCCCGGAAACGCTGGGATGATCCGGAGGTGCAGGGTAACCCAGTCCAACAAGCTGACTAACATGTCCCACTCTCGCTGGATCATCACGGCCTCCCCCAATCATTGATAAAAATACCATCTAATAAATTCGTGCATGGGTGTTTTGTGACGACAGAAGATCAATTTTGTTAAATTTTCTCTCAATGGACACAAAGCTCCCCTGTTTTCGCTTTCCTCATTGAAATCGTAACCGTTTTGAACTTCCTACCTGGTTCTCCACCGTAACTGCTAGCCTGTCTCCAGTCCTTTCCATTAGGATGTCACTCGTGCCTCAACAACTTGGAAGAGAAAAAATCTTACGTTATGGATAGAAGGCTCCAGTAATTATCTTCAAATTTTTCAATGAAAATTAAAACTCAAGATCGCGTCGTCGATAATGTCGAGGGAGTTCACGAAGGACCAAGTCTTCGCCAAAGAGCCCTTCTCCATCCGACATTTGGCCCAAGAGGTTTGCATGAACTAACTTTTTGGTGAGAGGTGGTGCTGAAAAAGAAAGATATTTCCATAGTATGCCAATGACTGCAAGTAATAACAAAGACAAGATCAATGCACGGGTCTTCATGGAACAGATATGTATAAGCCTGCTCAAAGACCTTTGTTCTTTCTTGGTGTACTAAGCATGAATACCAGATACTTTTGAGACTAGGGGCATCGATGATGTTTTCCATCAGAAGAGACTTGAAGTGTTTGTTGTCGAGCAAATCGCAGTTCTCCATGTGGATGGTGCGAAGAGTTCTGGCCGTTTAACCTTTGAACATGTCGACAGAGTGTCCATGACTAGAGATGAACATTGAGAACTTAAGTGCTGTAGCTTGGATGAGCTTCTCAACAACGTAGTGACAATAGGACCATTGGACCCGATCGAGAGGGGATTGATTTCTTGGAAGCAGACACGGCTGCGGCCACGTAAGAGCTATCCGATTCAAACAGCTCGCCGGTATCAGTAAATGCACCATTACACAATGGTAGAGTGTTTAGAGAGTCGCTTATGCCCAATTCAACATGAATGAGATGCCTCGGAATTTGTCGAAGAGATAGTTGATGGCTTTATGATCAAAGAGTAGTTGAATAACTCGCTACTTCCCTAATTCTTCGACATGCTACAGGGTAGGTGGCACTTCGTTTTACCTAGACGGGGCCAACAGTTTACAGACGAGGCCGAAGCTCGATCAACCTTTATAGCTGTCTCGGAGCAACATTTGGACTGAGCCTCATTGTACATTTGAGCTTGAATTTGAGCAGACGTTGGTCACAAGAGCCATATTAATCTTGGGGCGTGCCGCGTGACTCGCATCATCTGTAATGGCGGTCGCTGGGTCCAGATGGACCACTCTCCCCTTTCAATTGGACCTCACAGGTCAGTGAGCACTGGACCCCTAAACCGACGGTGGATTTTCGTTTTATGAATCAACGACTTGTCTTGGCAAAAAAGTGAACTCGAGACGAAGAGGTTAGCCTTGACCGGATCTCGTCATGATTGGGAGAAGACCGACCACATCACGCCACTAGCGCACCAGCGATCAACGAGAAAGAAGCATGGTTATCCTAACCCGGCAATTAAACGGATCTAAATTTACGTCAGGGCGTTGCCTGAAGAGAACCAAGCGAGATACACGTGGGTGCTGCTAGGCCCTTGTAGGTTTGGTTAACTCATGGTTTGATGTCACTAAGCCACTTAGAATCCAAAGAAAAGAGTTCCTGAGATTACTGAATGCGAGTCATAATCCCAGAGTCGGCACAAATCCCGGCACTCGGAAAATGGGAGCCGGCAGATCAATCTGTGGCTCACATGGGTTCAATGTTGGGGGAGATCGGTCGAGATACTTGGCAATTCCTGATCCAAAAATCGCGGGTGTGTTTGGTCATCTTCAAGGTTAGGTACAAAGTGAAAACTCATCAACCGATGAAACAAGACTCGCCACGACTCACGGAGGCGATTTTAGGCAGATCGAGGGACAAACGCCACGAGTCTGCCCGACATGAGGATAACCGCCACTTGCTGAGCTAGCTTCTCGCTGCTGTCTCTTTTCGACTTGGTGGAAGATACCTTTGTCAATCTCGAGGGTCACTCTCACCTTTTGATTGGCACTTATTCGGTCCGTTGGCCGGTAAAGCTTGGCATGCCCCTGGCATTAGTGGCAGTTCGCAGAAAAGCGTTGATCCCATGGGGTGATTTGCAGGAGCTAACACATCCCAAGCGTGGTGAACTAACTCTAGTGAGCGAGCTTACACATTCCCCCATACCTGGAATGACCTAGATTTTATGCAGTGCCTGGGGGTAGAGTGCCGCTAGAAACCGACTACATGGTCTGGGGCTCCGGGGAGGTTGTAAGTACATGTACATGTCACAGAGAGGCCTAAAGTAGTTGAAGACGAATTCCGGTCCCCTGAATGTTTCTTGAGCCTCTAAACCTTTCACAGTTTGACAAGAATGATCGTCTAGACGCCGCCATTACTAGAGGGCTAGGCAGGATCCTCCATTAATTTAGTATCCCGCTAACAACCAAGGCACTCGCTTCCAGATGGAATCATTCATTGAGTCAGATGGATGAATTGGGAAATAATAGATTTGTCAGGCAATTCTCAGAACTAGCACGATGCCATATACCGGAACGATTCCCCCACCCACCCCAATGTGAAACATTGCCCTCTCATGCCACCTTCTGCTGCCTTTGCGCCTCTCAACCTGGCTTTCCTATTTCACCGCTCAGAGGCAGATACTCCATAACTCCTCAGGAAAGCTACAGAACCATGGAGTCTCAAACCACCTTGCACTGGGGTGTACTTGGTTTTACGTTTGGCCTCGCGACGATCTCCATCGGTCTACGCTTCGGAAGTCGATATCTCACACGAGCCAAATTCTGGTGGGACGACGCATTTGCCATTCTTGGCTACGTGAGTAGTTTTGACTGCCACCTGAGTTCGAAACATGCAGTGGCTGACTTGTCATGATCCTAGATTGTTGATGTTGTCTGGTTCATATGTTTGGCCATCTGTAAGCATTCCCGATCAGTAAGCTTCGATCATCTCTTTAGACAATTCTCACAATTTCCTCTAGGGTTACGCAACGGCCTCGGACAACACATCGAAAACGTTAAAGACGCAGGGAGCATCGAGGACATCTTGCGTATCAACAAACTTTTTCTGTTTATTATCGAATTGTTCTACGCATATGGATTGTTCTTTGGCAAGGTCTCTATCCTGGCCTTCTACTGGCGAATGTTTGGCATCAGCAATATCAAAGTTCCTATCCAGGTCCTGTTGGGATGTTCCGTCATATGGATCGTTATCAGGGTATGTTTCTTGTCCCACCACCAGCCAGACCCGATGAACATGCGCCTGTACCTTGGTTGCGACATGTGTTAATCTTGCCACAGACCTTCATGGGAACATTCCAATGCACTCCTGTCCAGGCATTCTGGGACTCAAATGCTGGGGGATATTGCGTCATCGACTCCTCGAAATTCTTCTTCGGAACGACCCTTGTTCACGCATTGATCGACATGGCGATATTGACTCTACCTGTCATTCAAATCATTAAGCTCAACCTCCCTCTGATGCAGAAGATTGCGGTCACCTTGATGTTCTTGTTCGGCCTGTTGTAAGTAGAGTCTCCATTGTCCACGCTAAGCAAATCTTCAACACAGCAAACTAACCGTACTATGCGTGCCTCTATAGCATCTGCATCGCCGCAATTGCCCTGATTGTCAAAGCCGTCTCTTTTGATGGTGCAGCATTAGACTTCACGTGGAATATAAGTGAGATTATACTGTGGGCGGGTGTCGAGGTCAATTTGACGACTGTTTCTGGTATGATTGCCTTTTTTTACAGTAATCTTCCCTCTGCTGACAAGTAGTAGCGTGCCTCCCGACTTTCCGACCTGCATTGAACTTCATCTTCCGACAGAAGCTCCCCGGCAGCTCAGCTGGTGCCAACAGCGGCACGTACGGCACCTATGGAGGAAACTCCCACGCCCACTCTCGACGTGGCAGATCAACAAAGAACATGACTGCTATCGTGAGTCAGGCAGATGATGAGGGATCGACATACCAGCTGGCGGAGACAAACCGACCGGATCGGAGCTCATCTAGAGAGGGTTACGAAGATACTTATCGACGATTCGGTGTTGCTACTGCGATCTCAGGAGACCCCGAGTCTCAGAAACATGGCGGCTCCGCACATGGCGAGGATGGAATACACGTCAGGAACGAGACCGTCATCAGCGTTTCTACAGTTCGCCCCGACTCGGATGAGGATAAACAAGGGCGTTACGGGCTGAATAAGACCGATTCGCCTTGAAGATCTACAACTTAGTGGCAGCAGCATTTGAACGGAGCCTTATAGTAATTTCCAGTCTGCTGCCAAATTAATACTCTCAATACGAGACTTAATACAGAGACCTCGACTAAATAGAGCGATGATCTGGGAAGGGCGGCTTTGGTATGAAGCGTTGTCAGCAGATTTGGCCAACTCTTGCTGGTCTGGCCCAACTGCACGAGGCGTCATTACCCTATGAATGAACAACATTATTGTATGCAGAAATATGAGAAATAATAGATATCTGCCTAATTAATATTCTTGGTTAGTAAAATCTTGAATTTGTTAAAATCGCGCCAGGTTCATCAGCCAGTGGCGGTTCATGGTGGCCGTCATATCGAGGTCAGCACTACCTTGATTGCCACCCAATCATATTATTCCGCTGACTGACAAGCTGCAGCAAGCAGCAAGGCAACCAACATGTTTTCAAGGTTCTGGCAACGACTGTTTGTGGTATAAAGTTTGTTTAATCATAAGCACTGTCACTTGACCGTTCCTGTTTATTTCTTTACCCCTCGCTGATTGTTTAGAAATCTCCAAGCGTCGTAGCACACCATCGTTTTTGCACGCACAACGACTATAATCACACTGAGGATCATGTCAGACGAGAAACAAGACAAATTACAGGCCTTCCACAAGGCTCTGCTCTCGAGCCGGCGCATCATTGCTCTCTGTGGTGCAGGCCTCTCTGCTCCTTCCGGACTTGAGACTTACCGCGGTCCAGGGGGACTGTGGAAGAAATATGACGTCAACAAGCTGTCCACCACGACTGCATTTCGCGATGATCCGTCTTTCGTCTGGCTTCTGTACGCCAACCGAAGACACACCGCCTTGAAGGCCGAGCCGAACAACGCCCACCGAGCATTAGCTACTCTCGCCCAAGAGCGGCCTGAATTCCTTTGCATGACGCAAAATGTTGATGGTAAGCCTGTGCCGCTTCAAGTCCTTGTCAATGGCCCCAAGCTGACCAGCCCGGAGATCTCTCACGCAGGGCTAATCACCCGCTTGATCGCCTACTGACTCTCCATGGCTCGCTCTTCAATCTGAAGTGCACGATCTGTGACTGGGTCCAGAAAGACAACTTCGACGATCCCATATGCCCGGCTCTCGCTCCCGCATCTACCGATCACCCCGATGGGATCCTCCCCCTAATGGACCCGGAGAATCCAATCGACAGGATAGAAAAGAAGGATCTACCGAAATGCCCCCAGTGCCCGCTCGGCCTGCAGCGCCCCGACGTTGTTTGGTTCGGCGAGAAGCTGGACATCAATCTTGTTCGTAGGGCAGACAACTTTGTCGACCAAGAACCTTTGGTGAGTTGAAGCTAAGTCTCTTTCTTCTCGATGCTTGAACTCTTGGTTTACTCTTACTACAAAGGATATGATGCTCGTGATTGGCACCTCCGCCCTTGTCTGGCCAGCCGCCGGCTACATCGGAAGAGCACGAGGACAGGGAGCTCGCATCGTTACGATCGACCTTGCCGCCGAGGACCCGGAACAGGTGGCTAAACTTGAGCCCGGCGACTTGGCGTTTGCGGGGGACGCTGCGGAGTTGCTGCCTTTGTTACTTGAGCCCGTTATTGGGAAGATGCAGGCTGACGGAACATTTGTGAAGGAGTAACTCGCATGGTCCAATATGGCTATGATTTCTCACATTTCGCGTTCTAGATATGTAAACAAGCATCCTCCTTCAATAAATACTCGATCGACTATGTACTGGTATCTCCTAGAGGAACTTGGGCAACAGCCAGGAAGGGGAAACATGGAGTTTGCGTTAGACAAAAGTTTTCGTCGGTCCCTTACTTTTTATACATGATGAGGACCTCTTCATATATCTTAAGATAGTTGGCCTATCACAGTGCAACAGTTCCGAGTGTGACAAGCTCACGGGATGCGGCGGTGTTTATTTAAGAAAAAACCAACCTGCTACCACCGGCTAGAGTTATGATCTTTATGAGTTCACTGGTAACTGGTCAATCTGTTAATATCCATATGGATACTAGCAAGAGTGTCGGTGCAAGATAATACAGCTAGAGGCGAGTGACAGCCTCACGGGAACTGGGAGACGGAGGGACTACAGGCAGGGGCATCCGGCTCAATGATCTGAGAACCGTAATTGACTCTGCATCTGATCTGGAAGTGAGCCGTAAATGGAAGCCTGAGGAAATTAAAGACCGTCCACGGCTGTCATTGGCCAGAGCAGTGCCATTTTCTGATTTCCTGATCCCGCGGCACTGATCGTGCGCAATCAGTAGCTCTGCCTGAGGCACCAAGTTCGTCTATAAAACCCCTCGACGCCGCCCGTCTTTGAACTCTTTCTTCCTTTCTTCTTTACACTTACCCTTCTTCTAACCCCCCAGCTCAAGAATTGGGGGGTTTGGTAGAGTATCGCCTGCATTGCACTTAGTGGAGTGATCTCTATGCATGGCCCTTCGGGGTCGCGCGAGGAATAATTTTTGATGTACACCCCTGTTTTTTCATTATGTTCACAGCTTTATGCTGGGTCATGAAGAAGAATAATTTCAACAATGCTCTCATGAGGTGAGTCTGATGCCCGAAGATTCGTAGTGGTTGGGAGATGGTTTGTGATCCCCGAGGTCAAACAAAGGCCCTTGAGAGGCGGAAAGGCTCAGCATACCAACAAGTTTGTCTCTACATTTGAATGGAACTGAAGCTTTACGATCCGGGGATAGAGAGCTAGGTATAGCCCCTCGTGGAGTAATTTTTTCTGGTTAGCACATCCCGTCTTCCAGCTGAGATCACCAAGTGTTCACTCCGAAATTGGAAGCATGCTTCGTACCATCCCTGAGCGTATGGAGCCGGTAATCGTAATAGATCTTTCTTTTGGAGAAGAGAATTGGATCAAGGCAAAATCAAGGCGAAGCTGGAATGGAAAATCCCCTAATGACTTTAGTGAAGTGAGCTGGGAGGGCAGAGCTTGGAAGTGTGCCTTGGCGGTGATTCAAAACATCTCCTCAATTCGCCACATGTCCAAGACTACAGAAATTATTCGAACCCAGGACTTTTCGTGAACGCAGCCTTGGCCGTTTACTTTATCATGTTTAAATCCTCCAGGAGGATATTTCGTGGGACACGGGCCAGAGACGCGTCTTGCTAGCTGCAGAATCATCGCTGGGGATAAACACACCAGCAGACCCTCGTCCCCGATGTCTCCCTCAACATCATCTTAGACCTCCCCATTTCCACCTCACATTCTTTCCTACAGAAATCACGTGCACAATTCGCTTGACTCATGTAAACTACAAGCCAGCCTAGTGTAGCAGAGTATTGTACCCCCGTTGCACACCCTACTTGTACCGTTGAAGCAAGCCACGACCAGAAAAACCAGAGCAGGACCATAACAACACTGTGTCGTAGGAAGCAAAGAATTGGCGAGTGGTTTCTTTATTCACTGTGAATTTATGCGTACGAACACTAACAGGTGAGCAGGTTTGGTTAAATCCCCGGACGTCTCGCGAGCGATCCATCCTTGGCCGGTGCCGATACTTTTTTCACTCCGCCATCACCTCTCCCGAACGCCGATACCGACCACATTCACCTCATTATAGACCCCACAGACATTCTAATATATCCCTAGCGAGGAAAGAAACTTCATCTTTTGGTGCGTAGACACATGACCTGGATACTTGGAGACGACTTAGCAAGTCTACGGAGTGAAGGGGGCGACTGTCTGCAGCCATGGTGATACGCCAACACGTCTTTCTCGTAATGAATTCAGGCAGCGAAGGCTATATGGGGTCCAAAGATAGGGGGAGTGTCCTTAGATGCTACCAGTAACCTTCTCCCACTATTCCAAGGCCAATGACTGTTCGTAGATTGTTTGTTGGTTCCTAGAGGATACCTCACCCCCCTCCTCGCCCCTCTCCTCACCTGGGCAAACACATTTCACGTCCACTTTGAGCCAATGCCCCGCCTCCGTTCTCCCACCTCTCTTTTAGGTCCCTCACATCTTTCGAGCTCTCTAACTTCCTTCATTTCAACTTCTTCATCCTCACACCTTGAACCTTGACCAACTCGGACGACTGGCACGAGCAACCAACACATCGAGATCGTGGCTACGCCATCACTTCCCACCATCCGGTACTGACACAAGGATCATACAACCAACTTTTGGTACTAAGACTTAGTTCCCAAGAAAGCAAGGCAAGTTTACGCCATGGAGCAATATCTTCATACCCATATCCCAGAAAACTTCTCCAAGTTTGCAGACTTCTCTGAAAGTTGCAGACAAGGCTGGAACAAATAACTTGGCCACGCAAATACATCAAGGCCATGGGTCTAACTTCAGCAAAGAATACTAACGAGCCATCAGATTCTTCCTAGTCGAAACCGGGCATACAAAGACCAAGAGAACACCGGCACACGAACAAAGAACCTCCTCTATTATAAACCCACTCAGGAATATTTCGACTAGAAAGGAAACAACCAACTTTCAACATGCTCTCTGAGTTTGCTGAGCTCTGGCAAGCGTTAGTTCACCGAAATTCTCATTTTGCCGCGCCAGATGGCTAACAGGAACTCCCTCTCCAGCATGAAAGGCGAACCCTCCGCCGCACCAGAGGCTGACCCTCGCTCCATCGACGAGGAAGAACTCCAGGGGGACGTCGATCGGCTTCGCTGGAAGTTGGACATCGCTATCGAGTCCGCGGACCACCATGAAGAGACGCGGGAGACTATCAGGGAAACTTTCAATGATCGGTGGGCCACAGCCACAACCGAGTGGAAGCATTCCAAGGCGGGCCAGGCTTTCTTGAAGTCATGGAGGGTCGGTCATGATAAGGCAACCAAGGATCACGAAGCTGCCCAGCGCAAACAGACGAAGCTTGAGACTCAGCTTCATGCGGCTAAGCTGAAGCTCATGCGTTTCCAGGAGGAGTAAACAAGCGAGAAGACAGTGGCTGGATTAGCAATAGGCCACAATGCGCAACTTCCAGGCCGTGCAGAAGGGAAGATTGGAAACTGCTAATTAATGAAGGACTCACAACATACGACGGCGCTTCAGATTGAAATAAGATGAAAACAGTTTGCCTCAACCCTGTCAAAGAAGGATATTCAGGACAGCTATCAAGTAGGATCGTTTCTAATCATATTGTCTCAATTGAAACTAGAACTTAATGACAACTACCAAGTGTACTACTAGCTCTTGAACAAAGACAGTATGATGAAAAATCAGTAACTAAAACACCTTTGAACACTAAAATGCCCAAATACTTTTTCATGAAAATTGTCTTAACACATTAGCAATAACATCAAATTTGGCTTGTTCCGCCAGCATCAAGGGTGTCTTCCCATCCTTGTTGGACTTGATTGTGCAATCGATCGCAAAGTGCCGTAACAGCAACCTAACCAGAGAAACACTCTCACACAAGACAGCAAGATGGACTGCTGTCAACCCGTCCTCGTTCATAATGTTGGGATTTATACCAGGATGCTCGAGCAGACACCGCGCGATGTCCAGTGCCTTTTTGTTCACCGCGACGTGCAGCGGAGTCCACCCCTGAACATCTTGCTTGTTGATATACTTGTCCCCTCCCTTCTCCAAAATATGCTTCACAGTCTCGGAAGATTCTCCCAACGACGCCCACCATAGCGCCGTCCTGCCTTCCCCGTCAGATGCGCCCACGTCGGTCCTCGGGTCCGCGAGCATCATCTTGACCCCTTCCAGGTTGCTTGTCTCTGCAGCCAGTTTCAGTGGACGTTCCACGACGTTGTAACTCGTCCGTGGAAAGTCGATGGCGAGTTTATAGCTCGACACTCTCTGTTCCTCACGTCTAACATGAAGTCTCACATAGCCCTCCATTTCCGGCGCATAGTTTGGGTCGAGCTCAGGCTGGCGCAGGAGCTTCTGCACCAGGTCAAAGTCGCCTCTGGACATGGCCTGCCCCAGAAGTGAGAGCCTGTTATCGCCCGTGACATTGACATCAATGTCTTTCCGAGCCAGCAGGAGATCAACTATGGGCGAATGACAGGCCTCAGCTGCGTAAACGAGCGGGAAGCCGTAGTAGTAATCGCTCTTTGGCTTGCCTTGGTTTGGGTCCACGCGTTCGTGCCTGAGAAGCTCTTGAACAATCTCTGCATTACCACGGCGGACGGCTAGCCACAGGGGGGTGCTAAAGTCTTCCTCCTCGCAGACGAGGTTAGGATCAATGTCGGGTCTCTCGAGCAGCAGCGCGACCAAATCGACCTCACCGCCGTTAATGGCATTTCCGAGGGGAGTCACGCCCAGAGATTGCGCGTTTGGGTCTAGACGGGGACATTGTAAAAGGGCTTGTGCAATGGCCTTGCCTGGACTCATTGTGGCACTGCCTAGGGCAGTGACGCCGCCACATCGAGCGTTGACATCGACGCCAGGATGAGCTATCAGCTCCTCGACAACTCTCGTGGTGCCGGAGCTGACGGCTTCCAATAACGGGGTCGGATCTAGAGGCTTCCCTTTGGCATTTACATCCAGACCTTCCCGCTTGAGAAGCATGCGGACGACTGACAACTTCCCTCTCCCGGCTGCCTCGCAGAGAATAGTCCGGGTCTTTCGCAGTGTCACGTTGGGGCTGATCTTGTAGCGGTCGAGGAGCATCGAGACAATGTCGGCTCGGTCGTGTATGACTGCCGTATACAGGGAGCGTTTTGCAGTCTTACTATTCGTTTGTTGCACTAGAAGGGCCAAAAGGAGGTCTAGCAGTTCCACATGACAGTTCTGCACGGCTGCTTCCAACGGTGAACCGTACTCTCCACAGGCGGAGTCGGGATCTAATATGGGTCGCGGTTTGGCTTTCCACACTTTAACATTGTCGAGCCAGCCAGAAGAATTCTTCTCGCGCTTTTGCTGTTCGTCAGTAGCCCATTGGCATAGGACCCGGACAACCTCCATATGACCATATGCGCTTGCGGCGGCGAGACACTGGTTCAGGTAGGGCAATTCGTCTTCTCTGATAATGGAAAATATATATCGGAAGGACTCGACATGCCCTATGCGTGCTGTGTGTCTAATGAGAGTCGCATATTCACCAGGTGCATGGACATCAGCACCGCATTTAACCAACACCCGAAGTGTCTCAACGTGGTTATTGGCTACAGCGTTGTAAACGGGATGCCCAAAGTGAGAGTGACGATAATTAGGGTCAGCTCCAGCGTCAAGTATGGACGCAACCGCCGTGTTGTTCCCCTGGTAGGCAGCAATATGCAAAACACCATGATTCATCTGCACAATCTTTGCTCCGTCCGGGCCCTTTGGACGCGATTGAGTCAACAGATGGCGGGCGATGCTGATTCCCAGTCCCGGCAATGCCAGTTGCTTGCCAGATTTGTAGCAGATGAAGTTCTCAAGCACCCACTTGGCCCCGAGATGCTCGGTGATGGCGCCACAAACATCCTCCAACCACTTGTCGACGCTGATGCTGTTGTCGGGGTCCCAGTCGCTCTGGGCCTTCATGAATTTCGCCCACTGGCTGACATGGCGGACTGCGGGGACCTCGCTATCCGGGTCCATGTTCACTTGATGAAGTAGCAGCCATTTCACTGCGCTCTTGCTCTTAGGCGCATTCCCATGCCAGCTGAGCCGGCCGAGGTCTATTTTTTGGATGGCGGTTCGTGAGACAATGGTTTCGAATAGACCTTTTAGTTACCCAGGAAGATCGTTAGAACCGCAGTGACGTATCGGGGGGGAAGGGATTAGGAACTGCTGGGTTACTCACGGCAAACGCGCCGAAGGATGAGGCATGCATCACGAGCCCCCGCGGAGGTGTACCAATCACCAGGGATCAGATTGTCAAGAATAGCCGTCAAGAGCTCCACGGGAAGGATCTGGAGCGACATTCTGGAGTCGAGCCGTCCAGCTGCACAATATAGCGCGCGTGCGTCTACTTATTGGCAAGGGAGGAGAGATGTGTAGGAAGAAGGAAGAAATGAACAGGAACAGTTCAGGTCCAGGCTGATTGAATGGTGCGGGGTCCTTCTGGCTTGGCGCAAATCAGCCCCAGAATGGCTCATCCAGCCACATCACATAGGCGTTTTCAGCTTGGTAGATTCACAAAATGCACCGCCGCCAGCGGAAAATTAGCGCTTTGCGGCCAGTAATAAAAGTGGTCAAATTCTGGATAATGCAATCTCTTGCAGTGTCCAACCCAACAGGATCTTGTAGTAAAGGCCTAACCGCAACTGCCCTACAACTGCGCTTCGCTGCAACCAGCACAGGCCTGATACTCAACAAAGAGTCCAAACAAAATAAAAATAATAAACTCGGCGCATTATGTTTATTTAGAGAAATAAAGGCCAAAATGATCGGGAAATTACAGCTCCGAAATCCACCTGGCTCGAGCAGAACATGCAGCACGAATGGAGGGAACCATCCAATGATCAATGACTCCTTGCCTGGACCTTTTTTTTTTTTTTTTTTTTTTTTGTCTCTGAAGCTCAGGCCTGTTTGGATGCTTGAAAAGGAATGCCAAGGGCCAAGCCCGCTAAAAACCTGCTAAGAGGCATTAGCTCAGCGGCCCGGGCACTGGACGTTAGTGGATGCTAGTGCTGAGATTAGGGAACCAGCATGCACATTTAGCTTCGATTGGCCGGCTTCCCGATCGCCCCCATTGCCTGAATACGAGCCCACCCACACAAATGTTCAAGACAAGGGCTCAGTCCTGCGTCAACATGCAGCGGAGGATACACGAGGCTGTTAAAGTCGCCTGGCGAAGTGGATTCCTAGCTTGGCTCTTGATGGCTTCTTGCCCAAGCTACAATCATTAAAACAGCTCAATTTTTGGCACGTCAAGTCTGTTGGACAATGGACCCTGTGGGGGGAGAGTCATTGGGCAGGAGCACTGGAGTCAATGCGTGTAGGGTGGGAAGGAGGTGGGGTCAATGTGGATCAGCAGCATCACCGTCAATAGTTGTTACCAACCAGGCTGGAGTCTCAACTGCTCAAACACGGACAGGACATGCCACAGCGAAAAAGAACAAAAGAAGAAAAAAACAGGCGAGGACCCACCAGTGGCCAGTTGGCAATTCGCCTTAATTCTGCTACGAACCTAACCCGTATTGTATACGAAGCTCGAGCTGTGGCATTCCCAAATGGACCAGTATCTCATTGCCCGCTTGTTGACTGAGGTGACTTTATTTTGGACTATAGCACATAGACACAATACATACGGCCATAATGTGCAGGCGATATTTTGGCATGCTAAAGCTGTTTCTACTTGTTGTCGCTACCGGGTGAAGATCCGTCAGGGCTTGCAGCAAGTGTTGCAAGATGTCTGTTCAATTATCTCGTAGCACCATGCCTTCGTTACGATGGCAAGGGATCACTTTCTGTATACCTGGAAACCACCTTGGGACGCTGGGTACTCTCCAATCATGGCCTCAATCTCGCAAGGAAAACGGCCAGGGCTCCCACACCAGGCTTGTGACGTTGAGCAGCTACGCAATTGGATCGTCAAGTTCCAAAGAGCCGGTGGGCATCTAGTGCAAGGCAGGGGGCGGGAGGTGGGGATGGATCTACGGTGCTAAGGCATTGATGATCCTGCATTTCCCCACACGACATACAAGGGCATGGGACCTCAGAGCTATGAAAGGTTCTTGTATTGAGACCTAAAATCAATCTGTTACTTGAGGGCTTGCCCCATTATCTCAACAACCTATCAGCCGAGGATGAGATACATCCTTAGATGAGAGAAGATGATTCTACAACAACAGACAAGGTACGTTTTATCTTTCCTGAAGAACATACCACTAACATGCTCCCTGCTCGAGCCCATCTGTCATCTTGACCTGGCTAGCATCTCATTTCCACCGTGATACGAATACATGTTCACCCACCCTCTAACATTATCCTTATTCGTGCTTGCTTGATTCCCCGCAGACTCCTCGAGATGTTCACTTTGAGAAAGGGATATCTTTGGGGGCCCTAGCTCCTGATCCATCTCCGACAGTGATTCGAGTCTCTAGCTCATCCACACCAGCGGTTTCTGCTTCAGCGATCGATGACGAGTCATCTGGTTTGCTCGGTTCGGATGCGTTGCCGAGAATGGCGCGGGCTCAGCTGACTCGGCGGCAATGATGTACGGGGGTATGGCGTTGATGACTTGAGCTGCGATCTCAGGGGCAAAATCATGATCTCCCTCCCAATCCTCCATCGTCTTTCCGTCGTAGAAATGCCCAGTCAGATGCTCTGCACGACTCTCCCACGAATCCAATTGGCCATCACAGAATCCGCATCGCGATTTTACGTCTGGCAGCTCCAGCTTCCACGTTTCCAGCCACGGGGGGGGCTCAACCTTGTGGATCGCCCTGAGGTGCCCTTTGAGGTTATCCTTGCGGGCGTAGACGTGCTCCTTGTTGCACCTTCGGCTCTCGTGCTCCTTGAAATGTGCTTCTGTCGGGTTGTCAAAGCCACAGTAGGAACAAATTGGCGTGCCATCGATGTCTGATGCTGTCAAAAGGCCAAACGGCGTGCACTTCCATCCGCCAAGAAGCAGATGCCGCGACGTCTCATGCCGTGTCCAATCATGCTTGGTGGTGAAGACGTCGCAGCAGAACGTGCAGGGAAACTTGTCTATCTCGGGGTTTCCGGCCCTTTTAGGCCCGCTACGCTTTGGACGAGCAGTAGCCGACTTTTTGCCCCGGGCGCGAGCTGGGAGCCGACCTAGCCCACTCGTGAAGCTGGTCGTGAAGCCTGCCTTGGGGGCCGCCTGGTGCTGGCCGTGCAGACTATTGGCCACATTGTGCTCGGTATTACCCAAGACGGTTGCAATTGGACTTGATGCAGCGCTTTCGGAATTCTGGGACGAAGTGTACCATCGTGCCAGATCTGCTCGCCAATCCATATCGTGAGTGACGGCGGATGGCGCATTGAATGGTGGGGGGATTGCTGGGCTTGGCTCCGGAATCATGGGCAGAGGCTGCTCCACAAAGTATTGACTACTTTGCTGGTAAACGCCGCCCAGTTGTTGTTGAGGAAAGGACGTGTTGTGGAAACTGTTGGGCGCGTCCTGGGATGGAGGCCATGCATGTGTTTCCTCGTTGAGATGAGGGAGTTCGGCGGGAATGTACCACTCATCTTCGAGGAGTGGCCAAAAGAATTGTGGCTCTGGGTATGTCTTTGGTTGCTGTTGCCACACCGACTGATCAGCGGTTTGGCTGGCGTCGCCTTCTGATGAAATGAAGTATTCGTCGATGGGAGAGCCGAAAAGGCTCGGCAAAGATGAGCACGAGAGGCTGCGGCTGCTGAGCTCTCCTTCCTGCTCAAGGCTTGGAGTGGGCTCTATGCCTGATGGATCCATGCTTGAGTTTTTTTTCTCAGACAAAGTAAATTGAATGCACGACAACGCCGCGATGGGAATGGCTTCTGTGAGTAGGTGAGCCGACAGAAAGATGGAGGAGGAGGACGACGAGGCTGGAGGATCGGGACCAGATGCAATGCCCCCCACAGTATGTGCATATTTTGATAGTTGCATACTGCATATGCAACTATCCACCATCGCCCGAAATGATCAGATAGCAAGTAAACGCCCGGCCATAGACCCTTCTAGGTAGCTATTGAAAGAGGAAAAAATCATTGCTAAATTCTTCTATCAAAAATCTGGTCTTTCTTTGCACTTTGTTTGTTCTTGTATACAGTGGGAACCTCGAATTTCCTCGGGAAGGTGCGCACGACTATCATCTCAACGAGCAGCTTTCAAATTTCGCGAACTTGCGATGATACAAGACACTTCCACAGCTAATACAACTTCGATTTACTTTCTGAATCTCATCACAGGCGGGGCACCTCACAAGCTGCGGCACACCGTCGCTTACGTACCGCCTTTCTCGATATGGACAGACGTTCATTTCGAGCAAACCAGAAGCGAATCCTCGCTTTCGTCTGACCCGCGACATGTGTGTCTGTGTGGATATCTGCCAGGGCCTCTTCTTCGGTCGACGCCCTTGCTTTCTGGGATCATCCGATGGGAACAATTAATCAAATTTGAGAGTAAGCCCATCAAACTATGCAAAAACCTCGAGCTCAAGGTGGAAATGCTAACCTTTGATATGTACGCCGGCGAGCTAGAGCTGAGAAAAGACTGCATCGTCCCTCACACTTGTGCCCTCCACAACGGCGCGTCAATAGTTCAACATTTCATCGCTGTCACCACTGGCTTGGCTAAGCGGTTTCGCCGCAACAGATCGTCGAGGGCCATCGAATCTAAGTTCAATACACTATAGGCGTCATGTTATGGGCTCCGCCCTGCACTCCAATAGTGGCTGGAGGACTTGGTCAGAGAAGGTCCGCTGGATCACGTCGAATTCGAATACCTCTCGGACTCAGCCCGCGGTCATGTTAGTTGGCAACCATGTTGTTCGAAGTTTGAATCTCAATCCCATCCGCCGCTTATAGTGTCTTAGGGTTCTCCTTGTATCACCTCTGTGGTCTTCTCACATCTTCTCACCCTCTCCTAGACGAGTAGTGGCCAACAACTAGAGGCGCTTTGGTGTTCATTTCAGGCGCAGGCCTTTGGAGGAGTATTGGAGTACTTGCGCAGGTCAATTCGCCAAACAGCAGGGCTTGTCTACTAAAGTTTCGACTTGCCTTTCAGGTACGCTGTGCTACCCATCCTCTCCCAAACCTCGACCTATCCTCACCAGCCTTTGCAGAACGCCAGCGTGCAAAAGATGTGTTGATGGGTGAATCATCTCAAAAGGCGTGTGCACAGGGCTCAGAGAGTCAACCTCGGCCGGTGCCGATGTCCTTCCTTCGCCTGAGAAAGACTCCGCCAGCAATATAACTTTCCTTGTCATGAACGGCTTTACTTCGCCGGTTGACAAGTCGGCACCCTTCGAGATTCGTAACTATATAAGACGAACGTCTATACTTGTGGCTTCGGAGCTGAGAACGGGTCAATTTAGTGTTGAGGCTGTTAAACTCTATCGCTGAAGCGGGCCGCGGTGTCAATACAGAGGACAAGGAGGGCAAGAGTTGCTTTAAGACTGCACACCATGATCTTGATATTACAAAATTACTAATCAATCGAGTTTTCTATCATCATAAGTGCTATCCGATCGGGCTTATCGAGCGCAAAAGTTTTGACGTTCTAGAGATGCTACCGTCCGGTGGGGTTGATGCTCATAGTCGTCGGCCAAGAACTGAAGGACGCCTGGACACTTATACAGTGAAAAAGATGAGGACCTCTCAGGAACTAGGGAAGGAATTCCTTCCACTATTTCAGACTGACCTCGTTTTGGGTGGAGTCAAGATTTCAACAGAAACACAGCAGAGCTAGAGACCGGGTTTCGGATCGTCGAAATCCTTCTTGAACATGGCTCCGAAAGTTGCGCCACCTATGATATTCCGGATCCTTTCTCGATAAACTACGGGCCTGAAGGCGTCAGAAGTCATCCGGTTTTCCCAGATCTGCGCCTTGGTACAGTCTTACACGAGTTGATAGCTCAGGGGAAACTGATAGACCAAATTCTCAAGAACGCACCTTGTTGCATGCTGCGTGTCATGCAAGGTGCAGCGAGGATAGAACAACTGTTATCATATAGCAATGAGACCAGGGACCGCAACATGGCTAGCTTTTTGCCAAGCTTCTGTCCTTGGGCACAACCCTGGAGGAACCAAACAGCGGAGGTAGAAACGTCCTCCATCACCTGCTTGGCAGTAGCAGAGAGATCAGAGATAACGACTATGATCTCTTTAAAAAGCCAATGAACTTTGCTACCGAGAAGGAACCCCCTCTAATGGACCAAGAGGACATATCTAGGAACACGCCATTCCACTTCTCGGCTGTGAGGGCGGGCGTCAAGCGAAGCCCGACGATTGCGGAACTGTTCCATGTATGCAGTGAAGATCGCCGAACAGTGAAAAGGCAGGAGAAAATCCATTGCATCATTTAGCGAGCTTTCTCGCCTTGGATCTTGTTTGTCTCCTTTCCAAGAAACTGGTCCGGAGAGGCGTCGACATCAGCCGGTGAAATGAAAAAGGCGTGACTCCTATCTTCATCTTTGTTGCAAGCAGTTTCTTAGAACTTGTATCTGGTGAGTAAAGAAGTGAACAAGAAGAAACAATAGCGTGTAGTGCTGTCAGATTACTTAAAGAGCATGATTCAGATGTGTCGGTGAGGTATTTCAGGGGTTGGGATGCTCATATGGCAGGAGGGGAAGCGCGTACGGGTTCAATCCTCTTATGCCTAAGGGGTTGGATGTTCTACTAGAAGATGGTGATCGATGGCAGTTCAAGCCAGTTCATATTCTAAGTAGATTAATCTCACCCTTACCTTTATCATGAAGTATTCCTTTTCTCGTTGTAGTTGGTTCCCACCTTCGAGAGATAGCATCTGTTTACCGGGCATAACGTCCTCGAGCAAGAGAGGACAGGAAGACACCGCCCCTCGATCTCGAGTCCCTCAACTAGGCGACTACTCGAGCTCACCATCATGGCTCTCTGATTGGGGGCGAATGTTATCAGCCGCCTCGCAGTCCATAACCAAGCACGAAGGACATTTTTCCCAAGTCACATAGACACCAGGCAGTTTCGGTAAATTTACACATGAAAGGCGTAAGATTAATAAGTTCTCTGAGCTAATTCCCTGCGCCCGGCATCAATTTGATCGATCTCAATACCTATTTAACGATCAATTGCCCCGTTCCCACATTACCATAACCTTCCGTTGCAAGGTTCAATAACGATATCACTCCAAAAAGAATCACAGAAACGAAGAAAACAAATAGAATGTGATACACCCTGTAAGTCCATCCCAAAAGAGTACACAGGGCCCTTGAAAGCTTAGTCCAATGATTCCCGTGATCTCATCTGGCTAGACAAGGTGAAAAAGATTTCTTGGTACAGTCACAAACGGTTGCCGTGCAAAAAGAAGCACGATAATTGAATACGCAGAGGTGTCAAAACCCTGTCAAAATCTTTGAAGCCTGTCGGGGGCACTCCGACGATGTCCTGCCGATGTCAATGTCACACAGTATTTGGAGTTTGTTCGGCTTCCAGATGCCAGGTAATCACTGGGCAATTTGGAGAGTTCGTGGAGTCTTGGCAGTACCGGTGCGCTTGGGGATGGTTTTGGTTATGCCTCTCTTCGCGCGGTGTCCAGCTTCGTCGAGGAGATAGTCCTGGATGAGGTCCGAATCACACTCGGAGCGGTGAAGTATCTCGTTCTTAAGGTAGTACACGTCATCACGCCCCTCGGTCTTGGTTGGAATCAAGTAGTAGTGGTTCTTGGGCTCAAGCTCCCGTGCGAGGATTTCGAGGCTATCAGCTTCATCATTATTCTTGGGTCGACACTTAGTAGCGGCGAGTCTATTTCGGTGGAGGCGGATGCTCTCCTCATCCTCAGATGGGTAGTCTTCCTTCTGTGACGTGTCGGCCTTCTGGAGGGTAAGCTCAAAGCGGAAAACGGTGGGCATTGGGGGTTTAGTATCGGCGGCGTACGCTCCCTGGGAAGCAGAATCCAGGCTCTGATATTCAGTTGGGATGCCAATAAGAGTCGGAGTCGACCCGTTGCTTGTCTTGCTAGGCCATTGGGCCACCGTGCGCGGGGAAAATGGTGTCGAATCAACCAAAACAGTTTCGTCCGTATGAGCCTGTGTGACCGGCTCGCCAGTGATGATGATAGGGGCCATCATCTCTGGGACAATTGGCATTTGCGTGGAGATCACGAGTTGTTGAGGGGGGGCCAAAGAGTTGGCGATGGACATCATGGTCGCGGTAGGGGAATCAGAAAGGTATTGTTTGTTTTTTTTGCTGTTTTCTCAAAGTCGGGTTAGAATCCGATGCTGTGTGGAAACGCATTGACTAGTTTGCCTTACAAAGTCTTGCACAGGTTATGGCCGAACGATGCTTAAATCAAAAGGAGGCGGTGTTTGTCAACAGTGGCAAACGTGAGGCTCTGGGCTATTCGAAGGAGTTCCAAGATGTGTTTGTAGAGAAGTAGGTAGAGAACGGGGGTTTGGGAGGGGCTTGTGAAGTTGAAAGCTCCACTGGTGCACCTGGGCTGCTGCTCAACTGCACCCAGCTGGTCCTGCCCGGGCTTTGGTAGCAGATGCTGGCCCTGTATCGGCAGGTCCCGCTGCTGGGCTGGACGCTGTAAGGTAAACCGAGGCCCTGGCTGTTGCTGTCGTTAGCCTGCAAACCACGGAAAGTCCAAGCAAATGTCATCCAGTATCTGCATCTCGCCTCCTGTAAATGTGTCCCGAGTCTCGGCAGCTTTGAGGCTAAGAAGGATCGACTGTGCCTCATGGAGCATCGGAACGGCCTTCCGTTCATGTAAAACCAAGAGAGCTACAACAATCAATGCTCATTCCTGCAGGGAGGTAGTGACTTCTCGGGCATTTTTTTCACAATTCTTTCTGGATTTGACTTCAACGGGCAGCTTCGAGCATCAAGGCAAGACGAGTGGGAATTTAGAGCTGGATGGAAGATGTGGGACGGGCTACGATGTGGAATTTGATATTGTTATCCCAACCTCTGGATTCAAGTCTTCAGATTCATCATACAGCTAGCTATCTAGGTATTTGCCAGTATAGGGGTAGGATACTTGCTATCTGGGCTGAGAGAAACCCTTCCAACTCGCTGTCAGGCCCCTGATTAACAAGACCTACGTTCGTTGCATTGGCCGAAGCAAACAACGGCGAGTGGAAGGAGTTGTTGGATACAGCCTTGATGCAATTTGTCAATAATCGTCTTCAGGGGGGTTCCGGTCTATCCTCTTCTCAAATGGGACTGTCGTCCGTGGTCTTATAGTCTACCATCACAAACGGCTGCAGCGTATAGGCGCGATCACAAGGCGTTCCCCCCAAGGTATCTGAGTCGTAGTTGCACACACGCCAATTATCCCTATCACTGTCACAAGGCTCGTGCTTACTGTGGGCTCGAAAGTGATCGGACTTTGCATCGGAACCTATTTACTCTAATCATTAGACCTTGTTTGGTTGGGAATGAGAGTATCCTCCCCTGAGGTAGCCAATGAGCTGTACAATGCAGAGATTCTCGTATACGTACTTGCACACTTTGTTTCCACTCAACAGCCCTGCAGTAAGCTGCTAAGTAGGTAGATCATGAACTTTCCTGTAAGCTTCCTTACTGAGGAATCCCGGAGGGTGCATTAAACGGTCGTGGAGCAGGGCATAGCGGCACGAATATGCTCTGCCACTTGGATTTAGGCTTCTAAACGCAAACAGCCTTCTTCCAACGAGTGGTCCATACGTGCTCCCATCGGTTCGAATATATCGTCGCCACCGTGGGGTCTGTTCGATGCTGACCCATCTTCACGGAGGTGCTGTAGGTGTTTCGTTTCTGTGGTCGGGTCGAATCAGCGGCACACAGGGCGTCACTACTTAGGGAACATTCGAAGTGCCTTGTTTCTATACATAAATGTTTAATAATAAAACCAACTAAGATTGTCTGTCGTTCTCATAATCTTACCGGGACAGTATGAGGAAGTTGTGCAGGTCACCATTGGAAAGAGTTTTATCAATGAGGAAGTAGATGGACCTCAGCTGGAGGGTCCAAAATGCCAAGGCGGTCAAAAACCATGGTTGAAGCTATAGGGTGTTGACGTTGAAACATGGCTACCAGCCTGGCCCAAAAGTGAACAGGACGCAGGCGTGGAATTCAGGATAGTTGCTCGTTAACCACGTGATAGGCCATTATTTCCTTTTGGATCGGGCTCACTTGGCTTGCCTAACTGCCATCACCAGAACAGAAAAGAACAGAATCGGTCCATCAGTATATCTACATGCCGGGCTCTACGAGGAAGTACGGAGTAGACAAAGAGTAGTTTAAAAAGCAACCGTCCATTAACTTTAGATCAGTTGGGTACCCTTGCGTGCCACCCTCATACATAGATGAAGTCTTTACTGCTTGAGATAGTTGGCTACCTAGGTAGTTCAATACAGTTGGAAGGCATTTACCTGGGTACATGAAGTGTACGCGATTCCAAACTGGGTGTTGGATGCGAGTGGCAAGCTGCGGGGTGAATGCGGAACCAAGACGTGATCAGGCACATGATAGAGTTCCTTTGTGTGGCTGTTGACTGGAGGAAGGACGGCACTCATGTACCTGCGTATTAGGATGTCCTAAGCGAAGTTCCGTCATATGACTGTTATGGATGCCTGAGAAAAAGGGCTGCAATGCCGCCGGCTGTCAGGCAGCAGTGTCAAGTGGAAAGTGCTCACCTTCGCACATCCCAAGTGAGCCAGCTCAACTTGCTCCTGAACCAAATCTTACGCAAAACAGAAGGAACCTTCGAGGTGGCAAATCCATCACGGCTTGTCACCTCATCTCCTCGACTCCCATCACCCTCTCTACCCCCCCCTCTTCTCCCTTCCCATTCTCCTCTCCTCTTCTTCTTTTCCCCGTAACATCTTTTGTTCAGCATCGTCGCAACATCATCATTAAACCACCTTGCCCGAAAACCTCGTCTTCCTGCTTGCTGTGTGCTTGCTCAAGGAGTGCACCCATCCATCGTTTTGGTGTAAGTTCTTCCGGGCTGTTGTGGCAAGCATCTTTCTCTTCTTCACCTCAAGAGTTTTTTTCTGCTTTTATATGTTTCTCTGCGTATTATCCTGTGTTCTTCTACCGTGTGATTCACCATCCAAGATACACTCGAGTTTCCTTTTTCACAAACATTTCTCGTTTCTTGCATTTCCTTCATCACTCTCCCAAGTTGCACTACATGGTATTTACGCCTATTCGACTTCTGAATCTCGCCCTTTCCGGCCCTTGAATTCACACGTTGCAGCCTCCGGGCTCACCTCTCTAATCTCTCAAATTCTTCTTTCCTCCTGGAACTCATCCCTGTGATCCTTGATTTCGTCGTGTTATCTGACAAGTTCTATAAACTAACACCTGTTTCATACACATACAGCAAACATTTTGCAGCTCGTGTGTTTTCACCATGCCTACCACAATGAAGTTTACACGTATCAATTACGTGGCGGTGGAAGAAGACATAAAACCTGGTCCACCGAAAAGATTCAACTCTCGTTTCTGTGACGAAAAGCTGCTCCCGCCACTGGAGAAGCCAAACGAAAGACCCTACGGCATGCAGAGATGGTTGCCTACAATCCTTGAGAGCCGTGACATGGACCCCTCTTCGGTCCAATACGTCCGACTGTCCCGCCGGCAAGGGCACATTCTCCTGGAAGCATCTGGAATCGCTATGCTCACCGGGCAGTTCAACAGGGCCACCGTTGAGAAAATTCGGGAAGAGATCTATCCCGCCTTCAGTGAACTCTCCATTCCCGCTCAAGGACTCTTTGTCAGGCTCGAATTTTCGTCGCCAAAGGACGCAACGTGCTAGCTGCACGACGGCGACAGACCCCAAGCCATGGTGCTTTCGCCCATGGATGTCTGCTTACGCCTAGCCTCCTCTCAGACGGCAATGAGCGAGATAAGAAAGACTCTCTTGTCCGGTTCTCTCAATGTGAAACTTACCTTCCTTCCTTTCAATCCTCGCATCCGCGGCGATCGCCAATACCGCGTCTACTGCCAGCCTGACACCGGAAGAGTTACTGCAATCAGTCAGTATGAGTGGCATAAAAAGTGGCGGTTTGGGGATCTTTCTCATGAGGAACAAAACGCGTGCGTGGAGGAGATCTGGAAAGGCATTTGGAAGATTCACCAGACCATCACCGGCCGTTTGGACATCAAGACAGAGATGGATGCGCTAATGTTGAAGCAAGGGTTCACGTTCGATGTCTACTACGATGAAGAATCCCGAAAAGTCTCGCTCATCGACCTTGGTGTCTTTGGGGCCAATGGTGCCCGTGGATCCTGCTTGTTCGAGTGGGTTCATGATTTTGGTCTTCTCTACGGAATGCGACACTCGGTTGAGTTTCGGGCCACCTATTGATTGAAGACTGGAGCTCACTCCATTCAATGGTAGACCTTGCTGGATTTCCAGCAAGCGTTTTGAAGTCGAGGATTTTGGAACGCGGATTCTGTTTGTAATCCGCCCAGAGAAAGGGTAGCAGGTGCACAGCCTTACTGGACCTACTCATCACAAGTCTACCTTTTCAATTTTACTGTTTCGTTGAAGGAAAACCTAAGGCAAGGGTCACAAAGAAACGCAAAAAGTATTCTCATAAACCTCATAGCTAGGCCCAACACGACCTACTGGTATCCAATGCAAATCATTTGAATTACAAGCATGTTTCCAACACTTGTGGGTATCAAATCTCCCTATCCCCTCCATGATCCTCGGAAGAGATGTTTCATCAGAGCATCCTTGGGGATGGTTCCGTCATTTGTGCTCTGTGAATGTCGTTGGCCCATCCCGAACCCATTGATACTTAGGACTAGGATATCACCATACAATTTCGGCTCCATCATGAATGACAGGTCCTTCAACTCCTTTAGTGTGGGCTCGTACTCCTGGAGTTGCTCGAAAACCACGTCCGTCCAGGCAGCCGGGCCAGTCGAGTTCATGACCTCGAAGCTGGTCGGGTTGAGTTTGTTGACCGGCACTTGGTACGCGCTCGAGTATCGTTCCACCGCTTCTAGGACGTGGCTAACCATCTTTTGGAAAACAGGATGTCCCGGCGCCGCGGCGATCGTCCACTGGCAGAACTGGAGCCAGTGTGGAATCTCGGCCCACGGGCCCCCGTCGCGGCGGTCGAACTCGATGCCGACAATCAGTCCCACCTGGCCTTTGAGGTAAGCAGGTATCCATTCGTCGATCGGCTTTATGTCGATGGTGTCGGTATCGGTGTATACTCCTCCTTCGACGTCCAAGATAAGGTAGCGCAAGAGATCAGATTTCATGCCGAGGTTCTGGAGTCCTTGGTATGTCTCGACGATGGCGGGTTTATCGGCGAAGTGCTGGCTCACGAATTCGTTTGCTCCCTGTTCTCCCACTAGCTTGCTATAACATTCCATATCAGCCGACCGCAACCAAGAAGGGAAGGTGAGTGCGATGTCTCTGTTCCAGAGTTAGGGCGGGTAAGGTTAACAAGATATCCATGATAGCTACCTGGGAACGCTGAACTCTCTCGAACATGCTTTGCTAACGTCAGTCTAGTAGCAGTAGCAAAGAAGCGTGAGTGGCGTCCGTCAGATCAGCTACCAGGTCTATTCTTGGAACCTCATCCTACCCGTATACACGAAAGCAGCTAGTGCAGCCCTATCAATGTGCCATCTGGCAGCTAGTCCAGTGGCGAAAAAAGAACTGCCGAAGGGCCGTTCATCGAGAGACGTTTGATATCCGTTCAGGGAGACTCACTATGCGTAATCTGGATTCATAATCAACCAGGAGGGTGTGTCTTCAAGCACCTTCGGGTCAGGCGTCTGTTTCTTGCCCTTGGTGGCTCTCGGCAGCATGATTTGCCATAGCTTCCGTGGGATCTCAACGTGGCTGTGAGGTTCTGCTGTGGGCTTCTTGTCAGGAACGCTGGTCGGCTCGGGCGGTGGTGTTGTTAACGGTAACGCAGGTCCATCCGCCTTATCTTGACTGCCAAGCTGAGGGCTTGGTGGTGGCACGACGCTGCGCTGCGCAAACCCATGGTACATCCAGAGCATCAAGAACAGAATAGCGACAGCGGCCACCGTCCTGTACCGCCGCTGCGTGAAGACGGGCAGGACCTGCGCCGACAGAGACTTGGCCCGGTCTGGTTGTTGCGACTCCATGGTTTGGTATACGAGGGAGCGATGCAAAATGGCGCGTGTGGCATGTCGCAGGACCAACGAGTTAGGCGAGGTCGTATTATTATAATTGCGGAATCGCCTCGTCTTCCCTCTTCCTTGCTAGGCCGAGAAGGCTGAACGGGCGCCAAGCCACGGCGGATTGTGCGGTGATGATCGGGGAAATTAGCACTACCAAATGGGCAATGAGAGCGATCGAAAGGTCTTTCTGTCTGACGGAAGCCGCAGCACGATGTCGGCATACATCCACAGTCCTGTCATCTCTCCCCCGCTCTTTGTGCCATCCCTTGAGGCTTTGACGCATCCGAGTGCAGGGGTTCAGAACAAACAAAGTCGCAGCGATGGCCCACGCGCCTTGTCACGGACCAACAGGGCAGAGTAGGGCGCAGCAGGGAAGTAAGGGAAGTGGGAAAGGTTGACGGGGTTGTAAACGAGCGCTGCAATAACCTGACCCATATCGCCAGGGGGTCAGGCACGTCTATTGGCCGGGTCGTTTGATCCTGCGGCAGCTAGAAGCCTCCCAGAAGTCTGATGGGCACCACCAACCGAAGCTGAAACGGACAGACTTCCTCCCGGGGGATCCGTTGGAAGTTTATCTATCCTACGCTTATTCAATCGGCAGTTTGACCGGCAGGCAAATGGAACGTTATTTTGTATTCTAGAGGAAAACAGTCTTTTTTTTGTCCAACATTACAAAGACCAAGTGCGCTTACTCACACGTGGAGGCTTGTAATTACCTGATGACATCACTGCTGTTGGCCTCAACCAACCAATCTCCAGTCCAGCGACGCATCTCTTAACCACTGTTGCAATTCTCTCCCCTGCCGCGAGATGGCACACGCTGCTCATCTGACTTAAGCCAATATTGAGAAAAGAAAGCGATGTAAATTTTGGTTGTAATTCATTGCGATACATAAAAAACTTATTTGATATGATACGATACATCATCTTCTCAAAGACGTAATCCTTCCGTACACATCGCGGCTGTAGGGTAGGTAAGCAAATACTTGGTGTGTCAACAAAACCGCGACACAAACGATCGAAGTTGAACACATTTATTAAAAGAATGATCTGGGCTATGAAGACTTTGTTTAAATTCTTGATGTTTGAATTCCTGAAACTCTATGAGATTTCTACAAACGAATCGATTATCGTCCCATCTAGTAATCTAGTGACAGAAAGAGGAGGGCCCTGCATCATCCAATAATCTAGAAATGGCTTCTGTATATAACTGGGACCCCTTCAACTCCCAAAGACACCTCCTAGCTCATGCCCAGGCCGGGTTCTTTCTCCTGTTAAAACTTGCTGTTAGGCTGATCTAATATTTCGTTGTCATTTCTCGAGACCTTCCCCACCCATGCGGCCTGGATACCATGATCTAAGGTAAATTCACATATATATAAGTTCATAGCGAGATGATCTTAGGAGAGATGTAAGAGAGTCCTCTCGTGCTGATGCTTGGGCAATCCCTATTCAATCAAACGAACATGGAGGTCGGAATGGGGCTCTCCAATGACCTGCGAGCCTCGTCTCGAATGGCCAAGGGCAAGAAGCCAGGTGCAGTGCGATCAGTGTGACTAGAGAAATAGAGTAAGCTAATCTATGGATGTCAAAATCGAAAACTCGAACCTTGTAGCAGGTCATGGTTGAGGATTTGCTTCAAAGGCGTTGCCGGTGGAAGCGGGTAGCGGTCTTGGTGTGGTTATGGTATGTTGGTTTCATGGATAGATGTGAGATTGCGAGTAGGTGCAGTCTCTTGGGTGAGTTGATTCCCGCTTGCTCGAAACCAAGGAGTTGCACAAGTTGGATCCAGACAAAGACTTATTCTCAGGGTTGTTCACATCTCCTGCGTTCCGTGATTATTAGGGCGATTTAATATGCAAGTTAAAGAACCTTGAAATGAAGATCAGCTATTTCTATTCATCCTTTCCTAAATAGCCATAGTTTCAATGCGAAAAATTGCAATTCTAGGAAGCAATATTCGTTCCCCAAAAGACATCTCCATCCACGGAAAGGTCCTGGGTACCAATCACTCTTGGTTGCTTGAGTGAAAGGCTCGGTAGTTCCAAAAATGAGCGTTCAAGAAAGTTCACAACGATCGATGGGCTGTAACGCACAACCACTAGTACATGTTTCCCATTCGTACCTCCTCGCATTGCCGGAGGATCATCACTAATGATGGATACGGTATGTTGAATTGAGCTGTGAAATGAATGGAAAAGATATATGTGAGCCTGACGTAGGGCTCAGCATAATGGGTTTCCGCGGGTGATGTGACGAGCGTTGCGTATTAGGCTGCGAAGTGAACAGCGGATGTAAGGTGATAGCGAGTACGATCGCGTCGGTGGATCGTGGCTTTAGGTGTACCATAACAAGTGATGTGTATTGAACGATTTTTTTTTTCGACGAGCCCTATGAATGATACTTAATTATCATTTATGTTTAACATAGGGAATGGTGGTCGGATCGGCCACGGGGTTGAGGCCATGCAACGTGGATGTCGGGCTTTTTGGCACGGCACGGTGAATCTTTGGTAACCTTTGCACATGGCGAGAATATGAATTGAGCTTTTGTAATAGTTGTGTGTGTGTATAAGCAGATAGGTTGTTTGGTAGAAGGGGGGTTGTGTTCCCTGAGAGGCGAATGGCGGCTTCTTATATCGGGGGCTGGTACAACAACACTAGGGTTTGAGCTCGCAGTCTGTCTTTGTCCTGTAGCTGAGAAATATTCGATGAAAAGAGAAGAGCGCGTGAACTTATCTCTGCGTCAGGAGGACTTTTTCGTTGAGCTTCATTGGCTAGTGGCTTTCGTGGTCGGCTTCTGCTGTTTTCTGAACCGTTAACAAGGGTTGAGATTAGACTTTTCTCGAGCCATCAACAATCCAAGGTTTATTTTGCCCTACCAATCTGGGCCCACGGGAATCCTGAATATACTGGGCGAGAAAGTTGCTGAACTTGGTGTTGGTATTGGTATTGTTCTTCGATTTGGCGTCACACTAGAATTGAACGGGGCGTCCACGTGCAGTAGCTGACATCCATTGTTCTCTTGGAGGATAGCGACTGAATGATGTTCGAATGGCCTTGGCAACCATTATCTTTCGAATGAATGGCTTCGTATTGTTGTCGGAATAGTGCATCATTAAGGCCGCGGTCTTGTCAGCGGTCGCGATGTCGGGAGAAGGTGCGATGATGTGGAGGGCTGCTGGGAAATTGCTAAATTTAGATCGCAGCCAATGCCTTACCTCACCGACTTGGTGCTGATTGCGGGGTCGCACCTGCCCAGAGGACGGACTCGGGTTTCAGCTGGTCAGAGAGCCCCTCCTTGTGTTAGTACTTGGACGCAGATATGAATGAATTCATAATCCTCTTTCCTCGATCGCTCGGCTCAAAGATACACCATATCGCGACTTATACATTGATTTATCAATCTCGCACTCGCCAGACACGATGCCCGCCCTCGCCCTGGATCGCTTGTGTCAGATCGACCCGTAAGGGAGGGCTGACTAAGTTGAAGCGCTATCGACAAATGTCATGCAGCGCCAATGATCCATCCGAAGCACCAAATCCTTCGCAACGCCGACTAAGAATCAGTACCTCAAGCCCCCACAGGTGAGGGATCCTTACTGTACGATCTGCTATTTTTGCCTACAGCGCTGACACTCGTGGTGCGCAATTGTGGACAGGGCTGTGCTATCAGCAGCAGAGCCCGTCAAAGTTCTGTCACCGCCACACCACCGCCGTCATTTCTGCCACGTCCCTAAAATCAATTTCCTCACTCAACAACATCTTTCCGACCACCGACCGCGTGTTTGGGACACCTGCTCATCATCGAGTGGCTCCAAACTCTGGCTTGATTGGTACATTTCTGTTTCTGCCATTACTGCCGGCCGCCATGGTCAACCTGATTGAAGCCGCGGGGAGCGGCAAGATTGAGCGAGTCAGGAAGCTGCTCAATCAGAATGCCAGGATTGAGGCCCAAGACGAGGAAGGGTACACCGCGCTGGCCAGGGCAGCAAACGGGCAACTGCGTACTGCCACACTGCTTTTGGACAAGGGCGCCAAAGTGAACGGGGGCAAATTCCCACCTCTGCTTGAGGCTGCCGCCGAGGGCCACCTTGAGATTGTCAAGCTTCTGATCGAGAAGGGAGCCGACGTCAACCGCTGCGAGGAAGACGCCGACGAAGAGATCAGCCCAGTCATCGCAGCGGCGAGCAACGGCCATCTTGACATTGTCCGCCTTCTGCTGGACAACGGCGCCGATGTCGAGGCCTCTGGTGAAGATGAACAGACACTGCTGCACACAGCTGCCGACGATGACGACATGCCGCTTGCTGAGCTGCTCTTGGAGAAAGGGGCCAGCTTGAGAGCCCTGGACTCCGAGGGCAACACTCCTCTTGCCTTGGCCGCGAAAACAGGCAGCGTCGAACTGGTCAACCTTTTTCTGAACAAGGGAGCCGATGAAGAGGCCCGTGAGCGGAGAGCATGGTCGCCCCTCCATTCCGCTGCCGACGAGGGCCACCTTGACATTGTCAAGATCCTTGTCGAGCGCGGTTGGGATCCTGACGGCACCGTCAACGATGAAGCGACGCCACTCAACACGGCCATTTTGGCTGGGGAATTCGCCGTCGTCAAGTATCTGATTGAAAAGGGCGCTGACATCGAAGCCACATCCGAGGGCCACTCACCGCTGCATTATGCAGCCAAAGAAAATGAACTCCGCATCACCAAGTTTCTTGTGGAGAACGGTGCGGAAATCGAGACAACCGACCCGACTGGAAGTACCGCCCTTCACTGCGCTGTCGACAGTGATGCGATCAAAACCGTCAGGTATCTACTCAAGAACGGTGCCGACATCTCAGCTAGAGATAGTGATGGACGTGGTCCGCTGCATCTCGCGGCGATTCAGGGATCCACCAGCGTTGCCAAGGTTCTAATCAGAGCCGGCGCAGATATTGAGGAGGTTGATGATACGGAGTGGACGCCACTCGGGCATGCTGCTGATAGCGGAAGCCTCGACATTGTTAAGCTTCTTATCCAGAATGGTGCCGACATTGAAGGGCGTTCAGGGGAAGGCTGGACGGCCTTGACTGCTGCGGCGTCGTCCGGGTATATCGATGTCGTCCACTACCTTCTTGAGCAAGGCGCAGATATTGAGTCAGCGACTGATGAGAACTTTACCTCGTTGGCTCAGGCTGCGCACGCAGGCTTTGTCACCATCGGCAAGATGTTGGTGGATCGGGGTGCCAACGTCGAGGCCGCCTCCAAGGATGCAAGTACCGCTCTCCATCTGTCAGCTGAGAACGGCTATTTCAACTTAACAAAGATTCTTGTGGAGAACGGCGCTAAAGTCGATGCCAGGGATCGTGAAGGCATGACACCTCTGCACTACGCTGCCGAGAACGGCCGCTTGAAGACAGTCAAGCTCCTGGTCGCCAAGGGTGCTGAACTGGACGCCGTTAGCAAGGATGGATACAGCCCTCTCTCGTCTGCTGCGGAAAACGGGCATCTCAAGACAACTACATTTCTCCAGGAGCAAGGAGCGAAGCTCACTGCCGTCTCAGAAAGCAATAAAATCACTCCCCTGCAATGCGCTGCTCGTTCCGGCGAGGTTGAGGTTGTCCAGTTCCTTGTCTCTAAGGGAGCTGATGTGAATCTCCCCGGCGAATTCGACATGACACCTCTGCACGAAGCTGCGGACTATGACAACCTGGAAGTCCTCACTTATCTCCTTGAGAAGAATGCGAACCCTGATATTCCCAGCATGTCTGGAGCTACACCTCTGTGTGCGGCTGCCCTTAGCGGAAGTATTGAAATCGCGAGAGTGCTTCGTCGGCGACTGGATGCCCAGCCCCTTCCATCTGACAACTACAACCGTTCCCCCCTCTTCTTTGCTGCCTCCCGTGGCCACCTCGGCATGGTGAAGATGTTCTTGAAGGGAAACCATAAGTTGCTTCGGTCCAAGGACGTCTACGGGTCGACGGCCGTGTGCTCAGCGATGAGAAATGGGCATGAAGAGGTTGTTCAGTACCTTCTGCCCTATTTCATGCCGTCCATGAACTCTCCAGACTTCCTCGGCAAGACGTTCAAGTGGTGGCTCACCGAGGTGGGAACGCCCGGAATGCGCAAGCTGTACAAGCAGGCGCGGGCTGGGGCCAACAAGATCAGAAAAGGCGGCGAACGTGACCAAGACGATGAGGATGAGTACGAAGACCACATCTGGCGATACTGCGACGTCTGCATGGCCACTCTTTCGGAAAAGGACCCTTACTTCAGCTGTGACATCTGTGACGGTGGGAGCTTTGTTATGTGTTCAAGCTGCACCAAGTACGAGGCTCATTGCAGGGTCGCATCGCACAAGATGCTCTCCAAGCATCCAGTTGCCAAGGATGATGACGACGAGGAAGAGGAGGACGAAGCCCCGACAGAGGGAAAGAAGAAGAAGCGTAGCAGCGGGAAAAGGGCAGAGGAGGAGGGAGAGGAGTCCGAATAGTCAGCCATTCATAGAGTAGCATGGCCTCGTACCCATCACACAAATATACGTAGTCCGGCAATCGTTGCTTTATGGGATTTTGGATATCACTATATTGGATCTAGCTGCCTTGATATAATCCACTCCCCTTTCTTGTGTGCAGAGACGTGTTTGCCCTGCTCAGGTCGGCGGCTCACGTCAACAGCCGTTGGCAACGCTCGGCCTACGCTACCTGCCAACTCAACTCAACTCACCCCCCCATCGCACCTCCCTCACTACCTTACACCTCACCCTCACCCTCACCTTCGCCTTCCAACTTGACTTTCCATCCCAAAGCAACACAATAAGTCCAAGCCACCTTCCTCTTGACTCTCCATCCTTCCATCCTAAACCAACACAATAAGTCTCAACCACCTTCCTCTCGATTCTCCAACATTAAGCAACACAATAAGTCCCAACCACCTTCCTCTTCACTTCAATCATGCCAGGCAAAAGAAAGAACAGAAACTTCTCACGGCCATCTCGCCAGGCTCCGAGATTCTTCCCTTCTCGGAGCGCCTTCAACACACCAAACCAAGGTGCAGCATCCCAAAACGAAGTTGCAGCACCCCAAGTTCAAGTTGAGGCATCCCAAAGCCAAGTTGCAGAACCCAAAAGCCAAGTTGAAGTGCCACCAACCGAAGCCGCGATGCCACCAACCCAAGTCGCAGCATCCGCCGACGCCGAGCGAGAGCGTCTCAACCTCAAGATGAAGGACAACGCGTGGGCCAGAGCCCTCCTCACGTCCCAGATCAAGCAGACGCAGCGCGACATCATGCGTACCAAACTGCTGGGCACCTACGAGAGTAAGCATTCCCCAAACCAGCATACAAAAAGCGAGGGGGGGTTAAATTTCACTAACCAATCTCAGAGGCCACTGGCGACTTGCTCTCCGAGTTCATTCTCAAGCTGCACAAGAGAGACCGGGAACTGGAGCAGCTGGAGGCTGAGATGAAGAAGCTCGGTCCTGAGGAGGGAGCGAAGGCTGCGAACCCGCGAAAGTAGGGCCCAATCTGCTCGTTCTTGCGAGGTGGAATTTCGAGAACACCGCACTGCGAAGTATTGTTCCGAGTGATCGATCTCGTTATTCTAAAATGGTCCTACGGGAGATCTTTGGTGGTTATTAAGAGAGTACCTGGGGTTATCTGGGGAGCCTGGAGGAGAAAAAGCTCGGGTAGTGTGAGTGTGCGGTCGTTGCACCTACCACGAGCATAGAGGATTAGCATGCAGCTCCAGATAGCCCAGAAGAATTAATCACGACTTGAACAAGTGCAAGCCAGTCACGGGTTTACCACTGTGACGCGGATACCATTTAATTGCGTGTGTTGAGGCGATGAGTCGAGACAAACGAGTCACAGTGTGCCTGGATTATAAGTCGCGTGAAACCGCTCGACGTATCTGGGGAAGAGTGTTACTGCCCGGACACGCTGATAACTTGATCAAGCCCCAACTCACTATTCTAGATGAGCATAGTGCTGTCAGACAAGAAGTTATACAGATGTGATGCTGCATTAAGGCACGAGAAACGACTCAGAGCAGTGCGTGACAAAGGGTTGAGGATTGAGGTTTTTCATTTCGTCTACAGTTGGAACTCTGTGAATGACCCAACTCTACTCCCCTATTCTCGTTAACTCCCATCGCAATTTGGAATGTTGTGATCCTAAGTATGTAGTGAGCTACGATTGATCACATACAGGAGAATCATATTTCTTTGGCTCCATCCTCGACCTTTCCTCTTTTCCCTGGCATCAATTTCCAGCCAGCACTGAAAAGGCAGCCAGGCTACTACCTCTCAGAAACGCCGAGTTGAAGATAAAATGGTTTCTATTTTCTCGATCTTTACCCAATGGGGTCCCGGCAAGACCAAATATGAAGAGAAAATTCCATCTCACCCCCGGGATGATCAGGGCAACACCGCTCTCCACCGAGCGGCGATGAAAGGGCTCAGAGCCGCAGCAATCCTCGAGATAGAAAGCGGCGCCGACATCAACGCGACAAACAACGACGGCGACACCCCTCTGCACCTCGCAGCGCGAGGAAGGTACGGGAAGATCGCATCCCTCCTGGTGAGGATCGGGGCCCGCACCGACGTCAGCAACAACGACGGGGACACCCCCCTCCACCTGGTGGCTGCGACGGGGCACGTCGGCATCGCCGTGCTCCTGGCGGACAAGGCGGGGGTTGAGAGGACGAACAAACGGGGCGACACTCCTCTGCACGTCGCCGCGCGGACGGTGCAGGACCGCATGTACACGTTCCTGCTGAGCCGCGGCGGCAAGTGGGATGTGAAGAATGGAGATGGGGAGACTCCTCGGAGACTCTACGGTTTCTGAGCGAGCTTACTCGGGGGGGCTTGGTAGCAGATGACGGTTCGGAATCGGATGGATGGGACGAAGACTACTCTTTCGGGACTCTGTCCAAGGTATGGGAGGAGGTCAGGTTCCGGTAACTGTTCACGTGGATTAGCAATTGCAGAACTAGTAGATGAATATCTATCCCGAGGGAGAGAAGAATCGATCGGATTCACGCGGGTGCAAAGTGTCGAGTGGTCCCTATGTGAATGTTCCGTCCAAGTTGTTCTACTCGATGGTCGCTCGAGAGGGTTGCGATTTCTGTCTTTGCAGGCATTTGGGCAAATATACAAATCAAAAGCTAATCGTCAAGGTACGTAACTATTTGCACTTGGCCATGGAGTCATCCCAACTCGTGAATGAGGGAAGCTGGTGTTGAGCCGACACCGAGATGTTCAATTCCAAACCTAGGTAAGCGCTGAAGACCACTGGGGGCGGCGGTATGGTTCAGCGCATATTCCTGCGACCTTAGTTGCTTCCATTGTGTCAGTAGGTGCCTGGGCCGCTAATTGCTGGCAAGAACGCCCTGCGCTGGACTTGGACTTGGGAAGTGCTTTCCATCCATTGGATGCCCTGTTCGATCAGCCACTGATTCCACTGGTAGAGCAGTTAGTGCGCTGGAAACATCGCTGGTTGGGTTCTGGAGGACACCTGAAGGTTCTGCCAATTGACATGTGGCTGCACCGGGCAGTGGCTTCCGTCTGTTCAAGCAGCCCGTCTTGCTTCCACTTGTTTGCGGATTCAACGTCACGCAGATGCTTCAATTGCCCTTGCATTTCTCGATCCGCCGACGAAGGAATCTTTGTTCTAACATACACTTTACCGCAAGACAAGTACGTATCCCACACCTTCAAGAAGCAAAAAAAACCATGGTCCGTTATTTGATACTAATCACGTACTTCTGCTCTGGGTGCTCGTCGCTCGAGATCGCCCTTATGCATGCCAAACTCGCCATTTCGGCGCCTTTGTCCCGAACAATAGAGCTCATTTCTTCGTAGAAATTCCTCCCTCTCGCGTGGCGGGGATTATTCTCGAAACTAAATTGACCAAGCCGAGTATAGCGACCGAGAACACCTGGCACCGCTCTCAGCACCAAGCCCTCGATCACTCTCTCCTTTTTCCAGCATTCGCCATCGGGGGTATAGATGAAGTCCTCCTCTGCCTCTACCTCTAAGTTGGCTGCTTTTTCTGTAAGTATTTTTGTCTCATTCACTTCGTCTTCAGATGTCGCTGCCTCTATGATAGACCTGGGTTTGTCTCGCCTGTCACTATCTGGAATTTGTACGGTTCCGCTTCCAGAGAAGCCGTTGAATAGGGGAAGGAGGATGACCTCTTCCTGTTTGCCCTGCATTTCCACGTCTAAGCAATCCAGATCCACCGAAAAGGTGCGCGATTCGAGGTCAGGGAGGATGACATGTGGGAACTCTTTCGACCCAAGCCGCTCCGAGCTCGTTTGCCACCACGAATGGCGGTATTCTTCTATACCGGTGCGATCCAGTCTAGCACGAACGAGTGAGGCACATGCCAGAGTGATCTCGCCGTCCAAGACTCCACCGAATGGGTTGTCGCTAACAGTTTTGGTCCAACCATCCAAAAGCCGGGCTTGGGGCTTCATTTCCTCGCCTGCACTTGTATTTATGGATTCGCCTTGGATAGAGGCCCATGACCAGGTGGGTGCACGCCAGCTTGGTCTTTCGGACAGCTGAGACAGGCAGACCCATGCGAGCATACTCACAATATCGCTTTTCCAGAAACCCGCGAGATATTGATCTCCATTGATTGCGCTCTGGCGTGCCGCAACACCGGACAACGCAGGCAGCCGGTCGGATTCGAGTGTCAGGTTCGTCCTGGAGTAGATGTTGAGTATCTCGGGCCAGTCCCATTCCCGATTCTCGGGACGAACGAGTCGACGTGCTATTGACATGTAAGGCAACCCTTCCGGGACGAATTGGGATTTTGCCGTGCTCTGGCATTCCCAGAAGATGCCATGATCACCAATATGCAACGTTCGACGCGACAACAGCTTTTCTTGAAACGCCCAGCCTCGACTTCCAAGGTGGGTTCTTATTACCGCCTCCTCGTACGCGTGCGGGGAGGAAAAGTCTTGCACCCTGCCAATTTCGTTTGTCTGAATGCGTGCAACGAACCCGCCGCTGTATTCAGGCGTCGTCGTGGGGAAGAATCCCTGGAATGCGTCTGATGCAGAAGACGCGGAGAATGTCACTTGGGAGCCCCCATAGATACAATCCATGCGTCCAGACTCTTTCAGCCAATCTTCATGATTTTCGGCATCTTGGATGATGCAAAGAGCGTCGATCCAGATAAACGAGAGACCCAGCGCTCTTGCCAGGCGAATTGCGTCTTGGAATGTCTTTGGCAGGCTCTCGAACGGTATCTTGTGGAGATATAACGAGAATGTTTCTTTCGTGAGTTTGGTGAAAGGAACACTACCCCAGGAGTAACTGAGGGTGGCATACTCTGGGGTTTCTTCCCATGATTCTGCTTCAACCAGTCTCACGGAATCATCAGAAATGCGAATGAGTCGGCGCGGCCCATCATATTTCCTCAAAGGGCGACAGCCTTCATGAGACTCCCTACACTCAGAGATCCAGGACTTGGCAAGTTCAACGGGGTCCATCACTTCTTCCCAAACGTTTGCTTTATAGGGCATCAGCAACATTCAGGATGCTTTCTAGGAAGATAGATAGCCAGCTTACAAGTTATCGGCAATGTGAATGAGTAGGCTTGCACCGGATCAGCGGAAGGCATGTTGCAGTGGGTGGCCTCTGCGCCTGGAAGGTTTAGCCATATAAACTGAGCATCGCTCGATTCACCCCAGTTCTGAATGGTGAGCGAACACCGCCCGGGGCGGTCGAGAGCTGCCAGCCTGGCTTCAATCCTCCTGAAGCGATACCAGTGATTGGACACAGTCAGGCGCGACCAGAGGAATGCACACATCTTGCATCCACACCGTGAGGAAGCTTCGATTTCCTCCGTACTGTAACTTTGTCCCACAGTGTACTCCCAGTCAATGTCACTGTTTAGTGCCGGCCAGTGGCTGAGTAGATACCCGCATCGAGAGCAATACCCCTTGGAGACATCGCAGCTTTTCATCAGCTGCTGCACCCTGGTCTCGATGGAATCGGCGTCAACTTCATCTGGATCGAAGCGTTTTACGGGGTCAAAAAAGTCGTCCCACGGGTAGTCGTTCATCCACGGCATTGGCGCCATGGGTCCAGGAGAATCAGATCTATCCGAGTCGCTTGCGCTGGCAGGGCTATTCTCAGTGTTCTCCATGATGATACTACCCAGCACTTGATACCGAATGCAACAAGGGGTTGATTGGAAATACAGTTCGGGATTGGAAAGCGTACAGAATAGAGATTAACAAATCGCGGCCTTGTGAGGCCACTTGTTGTTCGTGCAGCCAACAAGTGACCCTTAAATCGCCCTCTCACACACGTGATCATTACCCTTGCCAGTGAGCTTGAGATGGGACTTTTGAATGGGTTTCATGGGTAACTAAGGCCATCTCCACTTCTCTGTGTTTCTTTGAGGAACTCCGTTGTATATCTCTTCCTTATCATCGTAGTCTTTAGCTCACTCGACCTAAATGTCCTTCCAATTTCGTTACTTCCGAGCTGATCAATAGACTCGCCATGGGACAACTTTGAAACTTAGGAACCAATCAATACCTGTGATGATGTGAACATTGGTCACAGGTGTAAAACAGAAAACTCACAACGACATCCACTGCCACTTTCTGAAAAATCTTCACATAAGAGGATACAAGTAGTTGTAGCAGTAATCAGTGAGAGAGCTATGCGGGATGCAGCTGCTGAAAAGAAAAGAGGGGGGATACCCGATTACCAGGAAATCGACAAATTGATAGAGGGTATAAGTAAATCGGGATTATGAACATCGTAAAAACGAAATTTCACGAGTCACTGGCTTCCCCAAATAGGGGAATCCCAGTTTACTCCTCGCCAGAGACAGGGACAAAATTCGTTGCAAGATGCGGAGTGTTCATTCTGTTCGGCCACCTTGGTCTTCTCATTCTTGCTCCAAAGATCGAGCTTCGTCTTGACAATGTGATCAAAGTCATCATCGCCGTCACCAGCACATTGAGTCATATACTCCTCCAGTGTGGATATAGCTCTGGGCATATCATCCATCCGATAGTAATACTGGGCCAGGACATGCCTTGCATCCTTCCAAGTCATGGACAGCTCGGCATCAAGGGGGGCCTTGCTCTGACATCGGAGCTGCTTGATCTGTCGATCAATTTCCATTGCAACTCTCTCCAACTCGGGCTCCCAAACAGGATGTGACTGAAGAATGAACAGGTATTGTCCCATTATGTCGAGGGTGGTGGAAGAATTCGCACCGTTTCTCCTTATAGATTCCTCGACCAAGTCTTTCGTTTCGGCCAGTGTCTTCTTCTGCTGTATTGAGCACTGTTTGTCAACATAGTTGACGAAGTAGCCGCGCAGTGACAGGAGTGTGAGTTTGCTCAGGCTCAAGGAGGATCCCGTTTCGTCAAGGCAGCGACGATACGCCTCCCTAAGACCATCTTGGAGGTGGGTAATGTCTGATCCGGCAGTTCCCACCAAGGAAGGTAGGAGCTGTAGGATATGTTGAAATGGTTCATCCCAGCCATGTATGCGGGCCAGCCCAATAGTTCGCAATAGCATTTCTATGGCGGCCTGTGGTTGTTTGGCCTTGAGAAGGCGAAATACGCATGTCCAGATAGTTGGCAGTGCGAAGAGACCACATTCCTCCATGACAGGATCCAGCGCGTTGAAGATGTCTCCAATCCCGGACCTCCAGGTGGCGGAACGGTATGCAGGAGAATTCTTGGCAAAGCCGACCACCTTCACGAACAAATCATCGTACTCGTCCTCCAGAACTCGGAAAGGATTATCAACTTTCCATCTTCGTTCAATGTCCCACCTGGAATGATAAACTTTGCTCACGTTGGTGAGGAGATCGTCCATGATCAATTTGACAGGAATACTGTCGCGCGGAATCAAGGCAGGACGTAACGGCCACATATCGTTTTGGAAACTGAGTCGTCTGGATGGCGCGTAGCGGAGCGAATTCGAAGGCCTCGAGATGGAAAAGGTGGGCGCCTGTTTGTCTTTTGCTTGCCGAGGCTTGTACTTTGACCATCCCCATTCAACGAAGCGTCTCTTGTACATTGCTGGACTATTGAGACAGTGGGTTAGTATCAACATGCGGCGCCGATAGACTGGCGATCTTTGGGAACTCACCTGGCTGTAAACCGGTATTTGGCCTTCATCAGCTTGATCAATCTGGGAAGAGGCAGGTTTTTTAGGATGTAGTGTGTCCACATATTCGCTTTGTTCGCCTCCCACTGCTCTGGAGGCGGCGCCGTACGTGTCGTCAATTCTGTAGTCGGTGGTGATCCTTCGAGTGGCTTCAAACCTCCAAATGTCGGCAATTCAGGCGACTCGAGAAGCCCGGGCGGTGCGCATTCGTCCCCTTGATGCACGCTCTGCGAGGAAGGATCGAATTGAGACAACGTCTCTGCCGCTGAAAACTTGCGATGATTCGGGCGGCCGTAATCATCTCGCAAGGTGTTGACGAGGTCGGGGTTGAGACTGTAACGGATCAGGGGGTCCCTCTGCATCTCCTGCGGCTCTGGGATGAAGAAAATATTGGGATCCAAGTTGTCTCCTTGTGAGTGGGACACCAACAGCGGGTGCGATGCGTGTTGTGTGCCAAGGCCTGGAAACAAATTCGTGTTAATTAAAGCTTGTGGAAGGAGCAAGCGAGTGTCCTTGCCGCTTCGACGGTCAGTTCTGAAGTCTCACCTAGATGAAGGTCATACTCATCACCATCATTGACATGATCAATTTGGAGAGCACCGGCATCTCCGTACTGGAAGGATGACGCAGCCCAGAGCCGCGATGGCTTGGATATTGGATGCTGTGAGCAGTGTATGAAGTTTTCCATGGGGAATGAACAATGGCAGAGGTGATGGGCACCCCCTTTTTTGTTTTGCAAATGGTAAAATTAAGTATAAGTAGTCTGAGTATTTGTTTGGCAGGTATATCCACTCATGTCCCGAAGGAGAGAAATACAGAGGAAGAGTAGAAGGCAGACGCGGGGGAATGTCCAGCTTTTATCATCAGTTCGCGTCTTGTACGATGATACATCTCTTAGCTGCCGAAGGAAAGTGTGGTGCATTGAAAGGACCATGCAGGCCGTACGTTTCGTCGAGCACGTACCTATTCACAACAAGGGGATAAATGTTGATGTGGCACACCGATGCTGTAAAGCCAATAGCGAGCTGTAACTACGCACAACTGCGGGCCTCGTAGCTGCAAGATACTTTCGAGCGCGCCCAAACAGCCCGTCGATCGTCATAGGTCCAGAGCCTCTGTTCGAATCTCCATTTGGAATAATTGCTCGGCGTGTGGGTGGTCTGCTACCCAAATGAGATCTACCTCTGGGGAAACCCATTCTTAGCCCTTGTTAGCTGTCTCTATTGTGTCATTTGCATCGCTTAGTTCCGTCTTATTCCGGCGGCAACGGCACAATCCCTCAAGTGTTACATGAGCCCGAGCCGAAATCCGGCACTTGCTGACTGTAGTAGTCGTATCGTATTGGCTTAGAAGGACTCAAAGACAGCACGGGTATCGCGATTCAGCGGGAAGGTAAGACGTAAACTGTTTTTGAAACATGTATGAAGAAACATCAGAGAATTGAAAAAGTACCATCATCTTGCTGTACCTAATCTATCGCGTCTTGAGACGTGGCAGTATCTAAGCGTTCCCCGCCCTTTCCAGGGTCTTCGCACAATTGTGTGCACAGTTGTGCGATAACCGAGGATGTCATACACATCGGCGGGTGAAGTTGCAAGGTTGATATGATGCTAACCGTCAAGCTGCCTCCCCGTGTAACACTGACTGACGTGGGCGGCACAGCTGCGCATCCGGAATGGGATCTCCCGCCCTTTGTCTCCGCCAAGACCACTGACACTGCAGCAGCTTCAGACTTCTTGGAACTACTTTCAAATCAGCCCTCTGCGTTTGACTATGGCTCTAGAGTCTTCATCGGTAAGCCATTTGAGAGTTCACGACGGAGAGGAGCGTGCAAGAGATCTGCATTACTGTTGGTGTGCGTCTTTCCCAGATCAGTATCGTAGGAAACGCTTCCACCATTCCCGGTATTTCCCGTCTCAATGTGCCGCCTTCAAATTTGATTCGATACCAGGAGCTGCATCTCGGACCTGGTCTTCCCATAATATTGCCAATCAGGATCTGTGTAACCCCAAGTGACTCAACCATACCTTGACTGACTGCATCCACTTCCCCAGATACTACCCTGGCACCCCAAACATGTTTGGGTATCTTATTCCCCCTCCTCATGCCGCCATCCTCCTTCTTGTCGGGAACATAGTATGCAAGTTTTCCCGGTGCATGGTCCAACGGTTCGGCCCTTTTGCCTTAAGGCTAAGCGAATCGAGTCGCCTCCATATTTGACCGACAATAAGACTCCAGATTGGTTATACCCCATTCCCATCTCGAGAAAGATTGTTTCAGGTCACCATCCTTCCCTAAAGATTTATGGCAAGACAGAGCTCTCAATCTTCTTCCCACGGAAAGTGACCGAGCTATGAGTTGACCGAGCTATTTGTCATCAAGAACAGACAACCTGATTGTTTTGGGCCTCACCGGGAACCCCTACAGACCGGTTTCCTGTCTCGCCTAATCCGGCACTAGGTAACACATCGATGTTACATGGCAAGTTCAACTGTAAGAATATGACCTACACAGTTTGATCCTTCAGCTCCCCAACAGATACATTGTACCCAACACTGTCCAGGGGGTCGGTTAACCAGCAGGATCAACCAAAATCCTTCCATTTACAGGAGTATGTACTCAAGAATGAGAGCCACTTGTCTTCATACGATATACAATGCGCTCCTTCTGTCTAGTTCTATTTCTCGAATATCTCAGTGACAGTGTATCAAGTTTCTTCCCACGACCAAGTTAATATGAACCATCTCCCACGTATGTCCTAGCCGCCAGAGTCCATGAGTAGCCTTCAGTAAAGCAAGCTGGAATTATTCGTACATCAAAGTGACTTTGGATCCAGACTCCCCATACACAGTAGTGATAAGCTTAGCTAGTGAGTCTCTCCCGATACCGATAATGTCCAGACCATGGATCAAAGGGGCACACCGGCCCCTCCCTTTTCCGAAATTCACTTGACATCGGCCTATCCTTTCCCTAAAACGAATGCAGTCTCTAGATTGAGCACAAATCATATGTCAAATACAGATCTCGCGAGTGTTCCGTAGTGGTCTCCAGGTAAGTCGGGCATCCATGTCGCTTTCACCACCCACACCCACTTGTATTGTTGGGTCCAGTCGAATTGGCCAAGTTATTTCAAGAACCACGAGCGAAGGAAGGGCGCAGGAGTCTACGGCCAGTCATTGTGTTGAGATGTCGGGTCTGGCATCTTCATTGCTGTGTTTAACTTTGTACTTGAAGTCCGAGTCTACGGCGGGGAGTTCACATCTTCGGAGTTGAAGTAGTATATGGTAGATAACAACCAAAAGATTGTACACGCGGTACCATATACTAAGACACCAGCACTCTGAGATATGCTCTTGGCCAAATTCTTCCTCGAGTTGTTTTGAGCCGGGAGTGCCAGAATGCTTCCACCGAGCCGGAACTAATACGAACGAGAAGTCTCGCGCGACTTAAAGCCTCATTTCCCAAATAATTCAAGAAGAAAATCCATCTTCTCAACTATAGGTTTATCATGTAGATACAAATTTCAATCACAAAATCGCCAAGAAACAAAGAATGTGCGTTCTCCCGGTGCATATAACTCGTCCAAGAAGACCCAGAACCACAAGCCGCTCTTTCTGATCAGCTAGCACAATGCACAACCGTCCAGTAGAATCACAGGGCTTAATTTGACCATATGCTTGCTTGTGGCCTCTGCTTGTACAACGGTGTTTTACCAGCCTCTCCGTGCAACCGCCTGTGAAGTGAACTTCAGATAGCAAGCGCTGTACCAAACATCAGTTGCTTAACAAACATTATTTTGCCAGTGAATCAACGATGGTGTAAGTCACTTCACGTCCTATATCAAGCAATATGGCCCCCAGTTTCTTCCCATGATGTGCCATCCCTTTTCTTCCTCCCCAAAATAAAATCGGTCACAAGCAAGCTTCTGTATTCATCCAAAACTCAAGCAAAAAACCAAAGAATCGCACGCTACACTCCGGAACTTCGCATCAGAGCATTCACAATGCTGGACCTAGACGCTTTCGATCGTATCTGCCGCTTCAAAGACGCCGAGAAGCCGGCGCCGATGCAAGAACCTCCCGCAGGGGAACTCGAACAATCAACCAAGATCGAGAACTACGAGATCTTCGAGCTCGTCCAGAACGCTCTGAAGCATGAATTGAAGCGAGAAGTGGCAGAAGAGCCCGAGCTGGTGTGGCACGGAGACGGAATGGACAAGGAAAGAATGCAGGAGGAGCTCCGCCGCGCCATACACCTCGACCGAGTGGAGGACTTCTCACCGGAAAGAGAAGATATCCCAGATTGCGACCTCTTGATGGACGAACTGGACCAGCAGATGGAGGAGATCGCCCTTCGTCGATTTAGGCCGGAAAAGGAGCCGGCATGGGATCGTGTGGCAATGACAGCTGCCGCCCTTATTGTTTGCATCTCGATCTCGAGAGAGCTTTCATATTGGTGGTGAATTGTTATCACCTGAAACTATCCCCTTACTCGCTTGTATGGCAAGGTTTAGGAGATTGATATGGGAAACTCTTTGGAAGGAGGGATGAAAGGGGGGGCCAGAACCGGAGCGGCACTTTCCATCCTAATAACTGCAAGCTAAGGACTGCGAGAGAAGGCCAGTCGATATCATTTTCTTCATCCGATATTGCTCAACAGAACAAAAGACACAATCTACATCGTTGTCCAGAAAAGACACAATCTACATCGTTGTCCAGCTTAGTCTTAGTTCCATGTAATAACACTTGAAATCTACTTCAAAATTATGACAATCACTACTACCGAAAGGTTCAATCCGTGCCATGCGCAGAGCAGACTATAGCCGCTCTCCCCATTTAGCCCTAGCAGAGACGTCTACCTTTGTTCTCTATGTAAAGCGGCACGTGCCTTGGCTATCGCTGCTACCGCCGAGGCAGCAAGCCGTCCCTTAGCCACACGCTGGACGACTTAGCCTCAAGGCAAAGGAGGCCTGGAAGAGCTGCGAAGATACAACGGTCTTGAAACAATGTTAAATCTGAGGGAGAGTAGCCGTAGCTACGGACGGTAAGGGTATCTATCATTCATTCATTCATTCATTCATAAGGAGATCAATCTGAACTAAAGCCAATACATAACACACACCCAGAAAATAAGTGATAGCCATACTATGATACTTCAACCTTCCACAAGAAACGTCTCCACGAGCAAAGAACACAACAAACTCCCCCTTGAGTCGTAACCTGCGAGTCTCAAAGGCAACATGTCTTCAGCGAACACATCAGGTGGCCATGATCCTACCTTACCAGTAATGGGTCCGAGACACCCACGGCAGGGTAAGACATGTTACTTGCGTTGTGGGGAGTCGGGGGCAGAGGCTCTGAGGTATCAGGTAGTGGTTGGGGCCAGCGACCAGCTTTGTCCCATCGCCCCGTGAGCCAACCTCCTTAGTCTTTTACGAGCTCCAGAGCCATATCCCTGGGGGCATGGTACAGCTTGACCACCACATCGTACAGCTCGCAGCGTGCATCGGCGTAGGGAGGATGGAGCTCCTTAAGGAAGTCTTCCTCGCTTGTCTGGTCAAAGTGCCTCATGTTGGCTGAGAGAGTTTCGCCATTGGCCAGCCACGGGTAATCCTGGCCAGCTTGTTGCTTCTCCGGTCGCATCCGCCTCTCCTTGTCCCATCGCCATAGAGCATAGCCGTGACCGCCAGCGAGGACGAGATAGTCGTTGCCGGCATGGACCTGAAACGGGCCATCACCGAAGGCGCGCTGTGTTGAAACAGGGTTGAGTGTTTCTACATCGTCGTCACCAGACAGCGTGGCTATGGGAAGGCCGTTCTCCATACGGCCCCTGATGGTTTCGATGACAGGCGTCAATCCTGAGCCGAGAAGTTTGATAACCATGTTGAACAGCTCCCCGTTCCACACTTGGATGTGATCAAACGTGCCCTGATCAGTGACTCCACGGCCTTTGCGCAATATAGTTCTGACATTAACAGCCCAAGAGTCTTTGAAGCCATAGTAACGATTCTCGTCGAATGATTCGGTGCAGACGTTGAACGTGAGAGCCCGCACGCAGTCCTTGTCCCATGACGGTTGCACGCACTCACACATGCCCTCGTTGTCGTGCTCACTCGTGTAGTTGACGAGGAAGAAGAGACCAACGAGGAACAGGCCATCGGGGCTTGTCTTGCTGAAGCGGCGCGAGAAGCAAACGCCAAGCGGGTCTGTTTGCCCTCCAAAACAGTGGTTCGAGGGACCAGGATTGGGTATCGGATGAGAGATGGAGTGTCTATAACCTTTCGTTGGAACCCAACGGCTGCCGTCCGTTTCGTAATTGTATTTGACGACGACAGTGGTGAACAGATTCTCGCTGACTAGAAAGATATTAGCTGACCTGTTCGTCGAGGGACTTGTTGTTACGAGAAGATCAGCGGATGGGAATTGCATACCATTTACACCGCTAAAGAAATACACCCAGACCAAGAAGATAGTGTTGGGATCGAGAGGGTGGAACAAGACACCCGCCACGGAGGAATATAAGTTGTCAGAGCCTGGGGGTCGCGTGTTGAACGTCGGAATGTCCAAGGGAAGTTCGACTAGTCCCTTGGTCCAAGTCCACAGCATAGCAGTCTTGGAGTGGAAGGTAACGACGAACATCTCATCGTAGGCGAAGCACTCGTCGATACGTGCGGGGAGCGTGACATTGCGCCAAACCTTGAGCTCGAAATGGTAGACATGGCTGTATTATGACCAATTGGTTAGCGAGGGCGCTTTTGGAACCGCCGGTGCTCGGTCTGGTCAGAGTGTAGGAACATGAGGGCGAGGAAGGGAGCGCAGCGCAAGAGGAGGACAAAGCAAGGAGTATGGCAAATACCTACATTGTTCGAAGCCTGGATGCCGCAGGGACTGGATGGCCTGCCATGGCTGCAAGAGAGGGCCCTGGGAGCGACGACATGACGATGATTCTTCCGGTCAAGGCCTCCACCTTCATGAGCCTGCGGGTAACGCGAGGGTCGGCGTTGAGGGCCAGCTTCATCCGGGTTCCCTGGGCTAGGTCATCGATCAGGAGGTAGTTCTTGTGAGCTAATAGGACAAGCTTGCCATCGGCGCAGACGGTTTCGTAGGTTGGGTGTCGCAGGTACTTGCCCCTGGGCCCGATGTCGCCGCTGGGGTTGTCTCGTATGGGGGAGGAAATGTTGGTGGCGGCAGTGTGGGCTTCAATATCCCATGGGACGAACATCTTGCCGCAGGCGTCTGCTCTTTTGCGGCTGTATAGGCGGGCGACGTTGGAGAACTCTTGAATATTGGTGCCGGCGGCAACGGCCTTCTCTGTGCTGATACCTGGGAAGTATATGCGGCAGAGGATCACGAGAAGCTCGGGCTGGGTCAAGATTCGATTCCACTCCCTGGACACGAGCCTCATGGCCAGGAAGTCTCGCATGGTGAGGTAGGGAAGGATGAGGTAGATGCAGTCCAAGGAGAGATCGGTGAATTTGGCCAAGGCGGTGGGAGTGCCGCGGAGCTCTGCTATTCTTTGGCGAAGATATATGATGTCCCAGTCGCTTAGAAGAGGAATCAGAGCATCGACGATTTCTCGGCCTGAACGGGTGCCGCCCTCGCTGAGGGACCGGCGGGCCTCGTTCAGCCACGCCATGGACACTGACGAGGTCCGACTACCGGGAATAGTGGATGGGGACGAGTAAATAAAGGTTCACCGAAGATGCAGGAAGGCGAATTGGGATTGGAAACGAATTGATTGATTCTCTCTCTGACAGTATGGGGGAGCGCCAGCGCAAGCTCAGCGACGGGGAAGGGACAGGGGAACGACCAACTGGCCGAAAAATCAATCGACGATCAATCAATCGGTTGTGTTAGCGACGGGAGGAGGAATAAGCATGCTGCTAGGGCGAGAAAAATAGGGCCAACACAGCAGCGCTTCAATAAGAACAACGGGATATGTTCAAGCGGGCAGATGATACAAGATGAGGCGGGGAGCAGGGTCTGCGATGCAATGACGGCAAGAGGCGAGAGGGACAAGGAGACGGGGGAAATGCAGGTGGAAAGGAGAGAGCAGGCGAGCGGCAATTGATTAATGCCTGAAGCGTGACGGGTGCAGAGGGATGGATGCAGGTGCTGCAGAGGGACGCACACTCGACTCGTTGTGCAACCAACCTGCTTCTGCCGCTGCTCCTGCGGTATGCACCGAACGGAGAGAGACAAGTACCAGCTGCAACACACTGTACTGTACTTGAGGTGACAATGGGCGAGGGAGGTGTGTGCGCAGGTCTCATCCTCGCATTTGCACTTTGGGCTGACGGGCAGCGGTGGGCATCTGTTTGGCTGCAGGTTGGGCACACCAGATGGACAATACAAGCCACGTCTTGGGTGAACAATACAGCTGACTTTGGTATTACCCTTTCTGCCGTCTCAGCTCATGACGCTTCCGCCGAGCCCTGTGGTCGAACGGCGGACTTGGAAGGGGGGTTGCGTACAGCGGGATGGAGGAGAGAATGGGCTCTCTTCCCTCCCAACAAAGCACCAGGATTCAAGGGCTCAACGGACTCAACGGCCATGGATGGATGGATCACGGCTGTCCAATCACCTTGCTCAATAACTGCTCTCCACAGTTTCCACACCACCAGTCCGCACAAATAAGCGCTAAGCCAGCCGGAACGCACATCTCCCAGTTTGATTTCTCCGCAGATCTCGGCGAGAGCCTAACTAATATGCCATTAGGTCTGGGAAGTCTCTGTCTGGGGCATTGCATGCATGTCTTTCATAGAGCGGACGGAACATTATCTACAAGTGAGGCGAAGGAGACAACGACAGAAGAGGGGAAACATGGTCACATCGAACATGCATGTCCAATCACATATACCCTGGTCCGCCGCCCTGCGATAATCACGCCAACATTATCGGGACCGTCTCTCGCATCCCTCCACGACAAGGCCAAAAGGGAAGCAAAATGTAAACACCCGATAGCGCGGGATAAGCACTACCCAAGGCCACACAAGCCCCTCTGTCCTGCTTCAGTTGAGCTGAAAGCGGGACTGAGACAGCACGTCTCAGAAATTGGACAGCCCAAGTCTTCCAGTCGCTGTGAAAGAAGAAATTCTCGGAAATACAAGGAGATGCCTTGCTGTCTTTCGGAAGTAGTCCTTGAGTAATAGTACACGTTTACATCATCTACCCCACAGGGTTTGGTTTTATTCCAATAGCCATTGAGGCTGTGAAGTAATCAAATCTGAGAAATGAGAAATGCCACCGGGCTCATTGCCAAAGAAGTCACGCTTCCGTGTCCCATCATTGTCAAGGCAGAAACCGACACGGGGGGTGTCAGTCACCTGCACCCCGTGTATCACTATGATGAGGAGATCCCACACGGCTTCAGCACATTTCATAATTCCTCCGATAAACATAGATGCTTCAATTCGACACTTCAGATCGGGAATGCTGAGAAAGCCGCTGACGAGGTCGACGGCGGCCGTGAAGCGCAAGCCACTGAGGAGCTATTGGTTGGTCAATGCAATCAAACTACATGTAAAAAGCCTACGTATGCCACGTTTCATTTTCTATCAATGGCACCGAAGCAGTGGCCTTAAATATAGCAGTGACTTCACATTAGCAGCGGTAATGATTGAGAAGGGAAGCTGAGGCATGTCTGCTCTTCTATTCACCAAATTTTGTGTTAATAGCTTAGCATTGAGCTAGCCGAACACAGGTGGTAGGCCTCAAGAAATAGCAATATGGCGCTTGCTGCGAATTTATTGCCCACTGCCAGTCAGACCGAGAAACTAAGTTAATGTCCAGCTCTGTAGTTTGCCAAATCTTGGCCGATCTTGCGTCCTCGCTTGGCGCAGGCAAGAGTAGATGGTCGATGAGGCTGCAGGATGCTTTTGGAGTGGTGGTGACAGAGGGCGAGGAGGTTCGTACATAGCACACCAAGGGCAAAACATGTCCAACCCCAGATCAACTCACCTCCGAGCATAGCTAAGCGACACTGCTACCTGCGAACATGCCAATGATATCGTGAGCTGCTTTTCTGACAAGGCTACATTCAAGTTTAGCGAGCGGGTGCCTAAACTCCCCGCACGCAGCCCAGATCGCAAGGTCAGCCGTAGTGCGCCCCTCTTTGATTCCCAGCCAAAGTCGCTCCCCCCCCTGGAAGCTCCTTGCAATTACTACTAGATGGATGAGCAACGTTGATATTATGAGCAAATCTAAGGTCTCTGATGGGTGTTGGTTGTCGGACCTTATTCAATACTCTGTAGTCAAATTCCAGCAGCCTTCATCGTTTATATTTGCGAGCACGGTCGTCAATACGGTCGCCCTCACGGGTCTCGGTCAGCCTGATATCAATGACCCAAAGGGCAGAGCCGAGTTCAAGGTCTAGCAGGATTCCGGCCCGCTCCCAGAATCCTTCACTAGCTACCCGCGTTCCGAGAGGGGGCCAATCTGTCTAGTGTAGTAGGGTAAGTGGGCTCGCGTTGTTACATGTGCCAACCAGCGTCCTTCATCGCGACCAACAACATCACGGCCTTACCTGAGCGGCTACCCATTGACTCCCATGACATCTAGTCTCTGCACAGACATGCAAGCACGACGCTTCGTTCTCCGACACCCCATTCAGAATTCATTAAGATGGGGTGACGAGGCCTGTCGCCTGAAACGGTACATGCTGGCAGATCAACATGACCGGAGCGCTGAACAAGTAATCTATACTTAACGTACATGACGAGTTTGCGTCGCATCCAAGCGTGCGAGCTGGCATTGTCGCATCAATTCAACACCGCCCCAGATTCGGCAGTCTTGATGAACTGCTAAGCTTGTCTAGCTTGTCTGGTCAACGTCATTCCTGGTCGCTGCTCTCCCTCTTCGGCCCAGCTTAGAGTTCCATCAGCGTTCTGATAAAAGCATTGCCCAATTGTTCCATCCCATTCCCAATACTGCCCCTAGCTCCACTGCTTTGTCCTTGGTTTGTGCTATGTCTCCCGCTCTTTTGGCGCGTCTACGTTATTTTGCGCGTCTTGATATCACTCGTGCTGCTCGTGCTCGTACTGCTAGCAGAATCGGCAGACGGTGGCACGCGTGACTTGGCTGCCGCCGAAGCCGTCTTCCGACTCTCTTCCAGAAGGTCGTCCAGGGACTTGCGAATCCCCTCCAGCCGCCCATCCCTGCCCCAGTCGAGGATGTTGCGGACGTACTTGCGGAACTTAACGTAATGCCCGGGATCCTGGAGGAGAAAATTATCGACGTTGGCCATGTAGTAGTCGAGCTCATTTTTCTTCCATGAGATGTACAGTCGCGCCTCAGTACCACTCATTGCGATGCTAAATGCAGCGCTGTCAATCGGACGGATCAAGTCATGCTCGCACTGCATCAGACGATGGTTGAGGTTTTCGGCCATGTTGACACAGGATGCGGCCCCCCCAAGGCATTGGTTTGTCGCGACCCATAGGTTACCAGCCCCAGATGGGCCTTCTCCTGCAAACTCGATGACGAAGAACGGATACATCAGTCCCTGATTATTCGCCACCATCTCCGTCCCCATGGAGATCAGCTGGGCCTGCTGCTGGGAAAAGGCCTTCTGCCGGTTGTATCCATAGAGCATATCTGGCACGGGGGTGCTGACTTTGAGGTCGGATCTTGTGCTGGGGACGGTGTGCTTGGCCATCGGTTGTCTGTCGTTGCGTTTTAAACTGTCTGCTGGTCCCGGCTTAGGGAATATCTTGTCCCTGAAGTAGTCCTCTACCTCAGGCTTCCCAGTGCCCATCCAGAGTTCATTTAACTCTGCATCCTGCCTGACATCCTCTGGTGACGGGCTAGGAGAATCACGATCATGCTTGATGCGCTGCACAATATCGGCAATATGTTCGGGAAATTGCTCGTGGAGGGGCCGGATGTAGATGTGGTTTGCAGCCAGGTTCAGATCTCGGTAAAGGGGGCTTTCGACAAGGCTTCTCCCGGACGGTCCTGAGGACCCGGTGATGTTCGATGGGGCAATCGATCTGCTGTCCGTATCTGCTCGTGAACGAGACCCGGTCGAAGCGGGGGTCAGCAGCACCGCAAAACCATCAGCACCCTGTGTGTAGCCAATCACCGGGGCTGATCTCGCGAGCCCTCTCGGGATGGGGCTGTCGTCCGCAAGCTGAAGATGGCTGTCTGACCGGCAGTGTGTATGTCGGTCGGACCCAACCGATCCGAGCCACTCAAGAACAAAACTGTGCTCCAAATTGGCGCGAGGATCCGGCTGGAAGGGATCGACAAACTTCTCGAGAAAGGAGGCGTATGGGGGCTTCGGTGTTGGTTGTCGGAGGACTGTCGTCTGGTTAAACTATGCCATTAGTAGTTGGTCCCGTCGAGGCGTGCGTTGTAGTACCTCGTCCGCGTGTTGAACCCCTCTGCCCTCAACTCCAGGTTGCTGCGCATTCGTCAATCGGGCCTTCTTCGCAGGCGAGTGGTCAATCTCGTCGAGTTGCCTTTTTGTCGACCTTGCTGGCGCATTCTGATGGAGGTCCGCTCGTAGTGGAGATGGTATGGCGACAGCGTTGAGCAGCTGTTCTTGCAGGCACTTGGAGAGTCTCACACGAGAACGCCTGGGCTGGGCTTTAAAGGCCCCCATTCTTCATGATGGAAATGCTCAAAAGTGCGAAGGAAGGGATCGAAGAGTTGTGTGGTATCAGCGCTTAGGCTGGTCGATGAAGAGGCCTGTTTGCGACGTGCGGAGGTGATCGTGCCATGCTGGGAGGAGTTGTGACCAGCGTAAGATTGAAGTTAGCCGGCAGCAGGAAGATTGGCTGTCAACGGCTGAATGTCTGGGAGCTGTAGGTAGAGGTCCCACTAAAAGTGATGGCACGTGACCTTTCACGACGCGGCAAAAACATTGCGGGCGCTTCGAGATGCCGACCCAAAATGCCAAACCAAAGACCCCTCGTGGTGGCTCATGCTAACGTGAGTCGATTTGCTTGGCCATATGGTCTTGAATCTAGTCATCGTCAGCTAAATCCATAGTCGGGTACGAATGGGGCATACAATGGATAGCTGTTCTGGTCTGGCCAAAATCAGGTATCTTGCCGCTCTCCTGAAATAGAAAGCTGGTAGCAAACAGAAGGGTGGAGAAAAGATAGAACGATGGATAAAATGATGGTGGCGATCAGCTCGGAGGTAGGTTTTATAACCAGTCGTGGGTGCGGGACATTTGGGTGAATGAAAGTAGCAGGAGTTAGAGGGGAGACTGAGGGAGCGCCAGAGAAACATGCCCAAGAGAAAACCACTTAAGGACAGGAAGCCCACTGATCACTTAACAAGTGCGTAAGTGACAGCTCTAGCTCTTCAAGGAATAGGGACTGCCATCCTCAACATGAAGGCGAACATCAGAAAACGTCATGATTATACATTGAAAAGAAACACACCCAAGACCTTCTCGATAACGAGCTAGCTGAGACTTGTGCTCCCGCCTAATCCTCCATAGGACGTCCACGCCCAGATTCATCAGCTAGACTTGAAAGAAGTCCATGCATTTCCCTCTCTGCCCCTTCGCTTGACCAAGCTTTATTTCCAATTAGAACTGAGTCCTCCAGATCAATAAACTTTAAACCCTCTTGAGTAATGATGATGTTGTATTTACATAGATCACCATGAATAAGAAAGGAGTGCAGTTGCCTCAAGGATTGCTGGCAAAGCTCAAGGTCATCTGTAGTAGGATAACGCCCTTCAATCTTCTCAACTAGAAAACCAATAACCCGGTCTGAAGACGATGACTCTGATACATAAGCAAGTAATTTCGGAATCAGTGGGGATCCTGCGAGAGAATGATAAGCTTGAATTTCCTGGACAACCCATTGTATCTCATGTGGGAACCGTGCGATTTTAAGAAATGAAGCCTTTCCGTTATATAGGACTTCAGATGTTCGATATTTTATTTGGCGAAGGACTGGTAGGGCAGAGATGTCATGGATTGGATAATGTTCTAATAAAATATCCTTAGGTACTGAATGGGGTGGTGAAATATCTTTCTCACACCATAAACCCTTCTCATCTAAATGAATATGAAGGGTTACCCAGGATATATCCCTCCATTCATTAAGTTTGCTAAGCGCGGCAATTGCTGAAGGTCCATAGGTTCGGCTGTCTGCTGGGATAATATCCGGGTTCAATATATTGACATAGGCGATTTGATTATTTCTCTTGATTCTATAGAGGATATAATCTGATGCTGATTCAACAGCAAGCATAGTTTCTGTGTTGGCCATAGTGTAATCCGAAATCTAATATTATAAGGAGAATGGAAAGAATGTGAGGATGACAAGAAAAGGAATAAGAGGCCAGACGGCCATTTAAATACTAATAAATTGTGGGGATATGTTACTAATTCTATGTCTTAGTAAATAAGACCTCTGAAACAGTCGCTACAAAGGAACACAGGCGAAGTATTGCCGATATGGTAAACGCAAAAGTGATGAAAATTGATCGTGTGCTGAGTAGAATTATTGAAATACTTGCTGTTGAAGCATATAACTATCATGTTGAAAGTTGATCATTCCTGTCCATTTACCACCACGCTAATGATGAGTGTGTTGAACACATCATTCATCATCTGCTCAACTGGAATCAATGCATCCTTTGCCTATTATGTCACATTAGGGCACTTAACACACCCGTGCGTAGAAACCTTTGCCTCTGTCCTAGCCTTTGGGTTGCACATGCCCTCTTTTCCATTATGTGTGGCACACTTAACAAATTCGCTGTCGACATCATGGCCACACTTGTAATGAATATAGTATTGGGTACAGGTTCCTGGTTTCGACATCCGTCATCGATATTAGCAAAGGGTTAAATAAGTAGGCTAGAGTAATAACGTACAATGTGTGGCTTTTGAATGTCTAAATAGGTATGAATGTGGTTAAGGGTTTAGGATTTATAGTTATCAAGTTGTGAAGAGTTAGGTTGATAAATAGCAATCAGAGAATAAGGGGGCAGTGAGGCTTTTTATAAAGCAAGGATCTCTCTAATAGGTCAGTTCCAATATGCGTGTTGCATACTATGCAATGTGTAAGTGCTTTTTTTTTACAGCATCAACTGGAACGTAGATAAGCCAACATAGACTTAAGCCAGTTTTTGGTATGAATTACCACTATCTAGACGAATTCATATACTACTATCAGGGATGTTAAGTTTATATAAACCTTTATTGCTGTTGTGGGGAAGCTTATGTGCCATCTTTTAATAGGCAAATACTTTGCTCATTATGAATACCTACTTCGATCGATATATTAATGTCATAGGCTAAGTCTAGTTACAAAAGCCATGACTAGGTGCTAATCCTTTAAGACATGCAAAAATACCCGAGAATATCCCAAGCAAGCAAATATAACAGCGTATCATTGTGATGGCTTGGAAATCCATATGGAAAAAGCGGATAGGTGAAGACTACTGGCCGAAGAACGGCAGCTTGACAGCAACCGGGTAACCGCCCGAGCGCAGATAGTATTTCGGCGTCATCGAACTGAGCTCAAGGTCGTTTCTAAGATGGGTTGAGGCTCGCTAGGTTGCGATATATTAGAGCTAGTTGACAGAAGCGGATGATGCAATAATTATGTAGTGGACTTCATTATTAGTAGGGCTCATGGGTAATTTCGGGAAGAGGGCTCACTCATTCTTGAACTCTCATAGGCCTTCAGAATAAAGAGTCCCTGGTTGGAAGTCATCTCCTCCACCATGTCCTTGGTAATCTTGTACGAGCGGAAAAAGAGGTATTCTTTACCAGCTTGAGCACCTTTCCCTTTCAACCGAAAAGCATGATGTAAAAGTGGCTCATAGACCATCAAGTGATCAAGATCCCACTCGTCTGGACTAAATCCATCAAATTCGGAAATTGCTCTCCGGATGAATTCTAAGTATACCATTTGTCCGTAAGGTCGCATAATTTCGGCACTATTCATGGTGGTGCTGGCATCCTGGGAGATGTGCAAAACGCTCCCTGGGCGACGCTGTAAAAGGTGGGCGTAGGGTCTCAATCGGTCCTCGGGGAACTCATCGTTGAGTAAGACAGACCCCAGCGAGATAACATAAAGTATGCCGGGTATTTCTTCTAGGCGCAGATGTGCAGAACACAGATCTTCCTGGTAACCGCGAACTTGAATCCCAGCGTAGCTTTTATATCTTGCGGAAAGTTTATCGACTTGTTGTTTTAAGGCTTTCCGGGAAATATCGACAACAAGGCAAAAGCAATACTTCTTCTGGGCCCTAACCTTATCAAGCAGGATTGCAATTTTTTCAAATGCTCTGTGAGATATTAATAAAATTACTTACTTAGGTTTGTACTTAACTTACCCAGTACCAAGCTCAACCATACTGAACCTTTCTGGCATTTCCCGGATCCTCTCCTCAGAGTATTTAGAGAGTATGTCTTCATCTTCTATGGTCTGATAGTAGATATTTGACTGACTGACCTGATCCCATGTATGGTTTCCTTGAAAAAGACATGTCTTATCTTCAAGTGCCTGTGGAAAGCATGGTTGTTGGGTGGAATTGCCAGTCATGTTGGAAATCGGCTTGAGTGATATCTCGAAGGCCAGTAGTTCAATAGACCAGACTGCTTCAGATAATACACCAGAGAGTTCTCCCTGTGGAACACTTTCTGCCACCACCATCGCTCCTACCTCTCGAAAAAGGCTCAACTTCCTCAGAGCATCTTTCCAGAGCGGTTTCTCTTTCATATTTAGCCATTCAGCGGGGCCAATGAATGCCATTGACGGCTCCAATGGGTCTAATGCCTCTAAGGAACCCTCCTCTGCATCTGGCCCTCGGGTAATAGAAGGACTGATTTCACAATTGAGATGAGGAGCTTGGGGCTTGGTAGCACCAGAAATCTGCTTCAGGTATCTTCCGATCCTCTGGTTGTTTCGCCACACATTGATTCTCTCTGAAAGGTTGATTAGCTCTCTGAGCATCCCTCCAAGTTCCACCGAAGCTGAGTTGTCCTGACACACGTCAAGACAATATTTTGCTTTGGAAACAAATCCTTTTAGTTCTCCCCGCATACACTCATCCGAGAAGTGTGATCCAGCAGGGGCCAGTGTTGTCATTGTAGAAATAGAAATCAATAGTCAGTTAAAGGAGTAGTGTACGGATGAAGACCGATCTCAGATGAGGGGAATCAACCTTCTTATACAATCAGAATGAAAGGTGGAGTGCTGAGCAGCAAGGAGCACTTCGATTGTTCAATTTAGCATTCATGTGGCGACATTCAAATAAGAGCCCAATTTCCGATTAGGTAGTGAACAAAAGACGAATAAGTTTAATTACCCAACAACAGAATTCATGCCGCCCGTGCTTATGAGGTCTCATATTTATCCTCAGCTGGTATGTTCTCACTATAGTATCCGTTGTCTACATGGTCCTTGCCATGAGCAACACAAGCCAAGCATACCCCACCACCATGAACACTGGTGTGAGGTGTCCACCTACGATCCTCTAACTGTGCTTCCGAATTCCGATACTCAGTCTCAAGCTTTTATATTATTAGCCTAGACCTATATTAACGCAAGTTTCCCATAGATTAGCCAACAGATATACACTTCATCCCTCTCGGCCAAGGCAAGAATAACATCGAGCTCCCACTGTGGCCATATCTTACTTTGCAAAAGGGCCATCTTCATTTCATTATCAACTTCCCTGTAGAGCTGCCGAAAAGCTGTCCATCTATTTGTAGAGCACTCTAAGACACGACGAAACAATGATATGACTTCCATCTCTGAATCCCCCATGTGTTCGTGTCCCGACTGACAAGCGCTTCCGCTTCCGCATTATAGCGTAGATTATGATTATGCCACTTCAAGGAGAAAGCCAGATAGCAGAGGATAAAACAGCTTTGTACATCGTGCTCGGCTTCCTGTAATAATGTTAGCCAAGCTTCCCACATTCGGTATAGGGAACACACCATAATATCTCTGATCACCATTGTCTAATTAACTGTGGCCAGAAGATTGTTGTCCTTCGCGAGTTGCTGGATGTATCAATCGAATCCAGTGCACTTATTAATCCATAACTTCTTCATGATTCCCGCAGTAAGTAGAGGTCGTTTTTTTCGCTTAGCTTCACGTATCCCATGCTTGCGCTCCTGTCCTTCAATCGGTGAGTCAACTAGTTCCCAGGCGTCGGCAAGCGACAGCATCTCAACATCGCTTCCGGCACGTAGCCACTTAGCACATTGTTGGCTTATGGCAATAATATACCGGTAAGATTTTGGGTTCTTGTCCATCACATGTGTTCGAGGGGAGTCCTTGAATTGCGACCAAATGCCATATTGTAGCTCGGTAACGGGGATAAGCATCGTTTGCGTCTGATTCATTGAATGGATTTGGTTCATATATCTATAGACTGTAAGCTAATTATCCTTGTGCCCGAACATGCAATATATCATCTGATCGATTTTGTCTCCTACTCGATTGTTTAAGGTGCCAAAATATTCTCAACATCTACCGGAATCATGGATGGTGTTCGGTTCCGAGTCCGGCGAACATAAAGACTTGCAATACCAACAAGGGCCAGTGCAAATCATAATGCCAACCATTTTGAGAGGCTAGTAAAAAAAAATGAAAGGCAGTTGATGAGGAATGGAACTACTCGCAGGCAAAGGTTGATGCCAGGAGATACAGCAACCCTAGTGTTAGGGATATGGCTCCATTATATATTTCATGCTTACTCTGTATAGAAGTAGCAATAGCTACCATACCGTCTTTTCGTCTGGTGGGAACACAAAGCCTGAAAGCAGACCTTAGGCATAATGAAAAGTGATAGCTCAAGGGGAAGTAAGAAGACTATCAGGTAGGAGCTCACAATCAATAGGATAAGCCTGATAGTGGCATGGAATATACAGGAAATTATCAAGCATGTGTGACGCTAGGGGGGGCAATTTATTGTGTACGTACTTGCATTGTAGTCCTTACTGCCGGAGTAGTGCTGCCGAATATGTCCTTCCGTCTGCAAATGCAGCAACCGGAACAGACCATGATGAATGAATAACGCGATGATTAATTCTATGGATAGTTACTCTAATGCCCGGTATTGCCGTGTCACACTGGTAGAGCCCACCAGGGTAGTCTTCCCTGTGGCTCTTGTAGCCTCCTTTCCCACTCCCAGTACCCATTTGCCTACAATTATTAACACGTGTTTTATAAGTATAGAGCCTCCTTACAGATATACCTGAAATATGATTACGAAAATCATAGCGATGATGAAGCAAGATGGAGTAGACCAGAGCGTGATGTTCCGATCTTAGTTTTTCTGTATACCTAGTTACCGCAGCTAAAATTAGCAAGGTAAGTTCAACGGTGGCATTAAATATACAAAAATATAGGAGGCATCGAGGCGCTCCTAAATGATCCCATAAGGTGATAAGATAAAAAAGGTTGAGAAATCAAACGAGGAAGAAAACCGCAGTGGTCTCTCCTAATATTGTTTCGATTGGCTCCATCCAGGGAGGCGGTGGGAAGGCAAGCAGGGCAGGACTGGGCGGACAAGGCGAACCATAAATCGAGTTTGGGAGAGAGAAAGGAGGTGGCGAATGTAACAAAAAATTGCATGTTTGAAATGGGGACTAGCATATATGTATTCCATGCTTGTTCTGACGATAACGTGACTGAAAGTCTGGACACAGAACGAAGCTCATTTAAGTAGGGTGCCAGGACTCGACAGAAAGGGGAAAAGTGAGCAGTCAGCGGTTGAGGACGACAGGCTAATGAAGCTGTAAAAGGAAACCAAGTTCGGCAGCCGAACTTGGTTTCCTTTTACAGCTTAGCCTTCTTTGTCCGCTCTGCATCAGAAGTGTACTTGCCGTTTCAACGTTTTGTACTTTCCACACTTTTACACACTTTTTCTGTTCTTAGATCACATTCATTCCTTTACTTACCATGGGCGCAGAACAAAGCCGCACAGTTGGCCAGAAGCTAATTGACTTCAGCCAGCAGGTAACCGAACCAACAACGGACCGCGATAAGTTAGGCGAAGTGAGTCTCTCGTTCTCCATCTTTATATTATTCCCACTCATACAATCCAGTTAATACATGATGCCTTACAAACCTTACCCACCCAAGTCCAGAAAGACATCAAATCACTCATCAGAGGCCAACGGCAACACAGGGTGAGCGGTAGCACGACGCTCGCTACAACACCTACTGTGACGACGATACCCAGCATAATATTATCTAATCCAAATATCAACCCAGCAGAATTCTTTGATTGCCAATTGAAGTTCACTGGTTTATGCAACTACATTTCTGACATCGGCATCAACTCAGAGTCCAATATTATCCGATTGCGGTTTGCCTTAAAGCAATTTTACTTAACGCTAAGTTCATGGGGCCGTAATATATCAAAACTTGAGCACCAGCTTCGGGAGAAGGGCGACACGCTTCCGGCAAAAAGCACCCGTTCAGATTGGAAGAAAGAAGGTCTGGCCTACAAGAAATTTGTGGATTTTTATGGTCATGGTATTTTATTCGTTCTCCCATTTTCAAGGAAAGAGTCAGTATCCCACACTTATCTAGCATAGCACAGTACTAACATTATCCGGTGGCAGAAGTAGAGATTTCGATTTCAAACAAGTTCAAAACAAGAACAAACTTCAAGCGGCCAAAGACACAGCGTTGTCGTGTGAGGAGACTGGGAAGACATTTTCCAGGTATTTGGCTGAGAAACAATATGCAGACGGCCTCTATAGTGAAACAATCGCCCGTGCAGAGGATGCGGGCTCCGGACAGACATCTGGCCAACCTTCCGTGGATTGTTCTTTGGTCCACTCTCGGCAAGTTCCACATATCACAGCAAGTTCACTCCCGCTCACCTCTGACCAGGGTGGCATTCTCGAGACGGTGAATAGCGCTAGTCAAGCCGAGGTTGCAACACCACCCAGCCAGGGTACTCCATCGCGGTGCCAGGATGACCTTTCTTCAGCATTTGGTCTCTCAGCTTACAACAATAGTCCGACCGAGGCTTCTGGGCTCAGTTGCAGCGAACATGACGAGGGCCTTCCAGCGTCAACCCTCCACCATTACCAAAACGCCAAGTTTGTCAACCCTGAATTATCATGCTCGGGAGCAAAAGGAACTCCCAACGAGGATAACACCACCCCAGAACAAATTACCTCCCCAGAAAGATGTTCTGACAATTTGAACATTGAGGAATGCTACGACACTGAAGCTGAATCAACTCAGATTAATCAACACCATAGAACACTCCAAAACGTGTTGGCGTCAAGGCCTCAGGAGGACAGATGTGAACAGGGAGCTGTCCCTGAGTTATCAAACTCCGGGCTATTGGACTGGGTAGCCATGAATGCTTCCCCCTGCCACGCCTCTATGCACATGAGAGCATCTAGCTCGATGTACTACAACTCATCTAATGCCAACGGTGTGGAGGTTGCGTCTGCTGGCAGCACATCTTCTAGGTGTTTGCCAACAATCACTGGGTCATCAACACCACAGCTTCAGTCTAAGCGATCTGAAGAAGAAAGGAGCTCAAAAAGGCAAAAAACGCAGCATGGGGCGCTTTTACGATTAATTTTGCCTGCTGGGGATGAAACAAGTGAACCTCGCAATGGCTCAAGAACATCACACCACTCTTGTGGTAATCTATCGGAGCACAACATGAACCTAGGTGATTGTGCTATTGAGTCTGCAGAGTATAACCTTGATTATACCCAAGACAAGAACATCCTGACGTTAAGCCTTGATGGTGATCAATGCGTCAGCTCTGTCAACACCAGTCCATTATGCCTCGGAGCAGTCAAGAATACTTCAACCCCTAAACAGAACGCGCCTGATCCTGGGCAAGAGCCACGTCCGGTGGTTTCATCTGATTCAGATGCCGAGGTTTTGGCTAGTGAGCCGACGTCGCAAGCGGCGATCTTGGAGTCAATAACGGCTGCACAGAATCCCCAAGTCTGCATGAGCATACCACCCTTTCAATATGGCCAGCAGATTGTCTCTCTACCCTCTATTAGTCCATCACATACCCTAGCCCGTACTGAACTTGTGCCAAATATGCCTAGCACAATACGCAGTCGCGAGCAGCAAGTCTTACCCCCAGTTCGATTATTACTTGACGCCGTGGATGGACGAACACATGGGGATCAAGAACTTACAATCTCACCCTTACCAGGATTCACTAATATACAATTCAAGGAAACCTCAGATTGTTCCGAAGTGCCTGATTTGCTCAGTAATACCCAGAACAACCTTGACGTCCAGGGATTGGACTTTGGGAGCCCTTGGGTGTCCTCGTTTCGAAGTAGTGAAGAGCTCCAAGTCGAACAAAGTCTCAATTTTCACTGTGTTGCCAATTCACATGCCGAAAATAATGCCGAGCTCAATGGCCTAACCTTGCACCATCAAGAAGGCTATAGCAATCAGCCAGTCTCAACATCGCAAAGGAACCCGAACCCCAACGAAATATCCAATTCAGATGGACACATAGATCACACTCCGACGCCAATGAGCAGCCAAGCATGGGTGAATACCACCTCCGATGAGTTCACGATCCCTGAAGACGATCTATGGAAGTTGGTTGATTATATTACATATAGTTCGGCAGCACCATGGGACTTTAATTAAGAAGCAGGGTTTATTGTAACAACTGGAATAAGACTATAGAAGAAAATCATCTTTTTGCCAACATTACTAGGTTCCTCTTCCCTTCGCAAGTATGTATCACCCATAAGCAGTATAGGCAAGTCTGTAGCCCATTCCCATAATTCCTTATGTCCTTCAGAGCTTATAGAGACGTTGACTTGTTCATTTAGAAGAAGAGCCACAGCCACATACTCCTTGTTAGTTTGGAATCCTGTATCTAATCCGAAAACAGCCGGATCGGGAATTTTAGTGTCGCCAGGTGCTAATCCAGCCTCGGCTAAAATTTCTTTGATTATATTGGCCTCCAAGTCTAATTAGTGTAAGAGCTTCATGTTGGATGTATGCTGCTGACCGTTTGGCTGGCGATTGCATTTGAAAGCTTTTTGCATGCCTCCGAAGTGCCATATTTGTGGAGAGTCTGGTTTCCCTCACTAAGGACTTGGGGAGTAGCAGATTGGACTTCCTCTTGAAGATTTTGAAGGGGCACTCTGGCTCCTTCTGGTAGGGGAAGTTTTCTAAATAGAGAAGGCATTGTGCTCAATAGAATATTGGAGTTGTATGGTGTTAACTTAAGGGCATTACTAGGAGTACGCTCCATAAAATGGATGAATGTGGGGCTCAAAGGAAGGAAGGATCAAAGATAGTCCGCCAGAGACTCAGAGTTAAATTAAATTAATTAGCGATTTGCAGCCAAGTCAGTGACATACGATCTGATAGAGCCTGGGGCCAGCGATCGGGAGCTACCATAACTAATTGAATGAAAGCGGTGAAATTTCCGGCGTCTCACTGTCACCCGTACGATATACTGATTGAGGGAATGAATGGAAACTTGCTTAATAATGTATCAGTAGCCAGTCCGTGTGGAAAGCCCCGCATTGTATGACTCAGCAGCTTGGATGCTCGTCCTGGACTCGTACTTGTGCCCGCCCCAGCGTTTTCGGTTGCTCGTAAACTCCTAATACACCACATGTAATTTTGCTCTCAACCCTCAGGGCAATCTCATGTCGGGATACAACCATGCATGTGGCTTTGTGTATCACGTGACTATTTCAGTGTTGAAAACCAAACAGCTCATTCACATTATAATTACACGCACACGGAACCACACACGAGACGGAACGAGCCATTTCGAGGGAGACAAGCATCGCTGCACAATAGTCGAGAACCACGTTCTTCACGAGGTGGCGGCCACGGGTAGATTGAGGTTGGGACAGCTGGTCGATGTTTGTTCACATTGGCGAAGTGGGGCGGACTACGGATTATTATTTGGAGCGGGCTTCGGCTGCCAACCCCACTAACAGTGCATTGGCTGCTTATGTAACTAGCGGCGATTACCGAATAGGAATTGAACTGCGCCGAACAAAATTACACGCCCAACGGGATGTGGTGGGCAGAGACCCTAATCAGGCCGCATCTTACCTTACGGCACGCCTTTTTTTCTCAGGCCCGAGGATAGCAACAACAGGTTACCCTACGCGAGCGAAAGCAATACGTATCACGCTAACTCCGCGGGCACTCACTTGCGCCATCAATGGCCGCATGATTTGCACTGCGGGGTAGTAGCGATACGGTGTGGGTCGAGTGGGGAAACCTAAAAAATCACTCACTCCAGTATTTATCTAGCCTGCTACTCTTCGAAATCTCCCTCCCAATCTTCCCTCCTAATCTTTCCTCCAAAACTCCTTTCCCAATCTTCCCTCGGTACAAGAACTCCCCCATGGAGGACCCACTCAACCCCTACGTCAGCTCCATTGTCCAGTATTATTCGCGAAGGGTTGGGCGGCGTGGTCCGTATGGAGTAGCCAATGCGTTACAGAAAGCACAGAGCGCTGATGCCAACTCTTTGGACCAAATTTTTTTGAATGGGGGCGACTTGGCTTGGCGTGCTTATTTCGTTGTGAACAAAGACGCAGGTTCGGAACACGGGTATGAAGGCTTAGGGGAGTTGACGCGCTTTCTGGATGAGCTCGGTACACAACCTGTCGGACATCAGCTTGCCTTCGCAAAGCGACTCGACGCTGCAATGCAGAGTGCCCAGCAGCAAGAAGCAGAAAACGATGAGGGCAATATTGTAAGGAAGAGTACCAAGCGTCGTCGTATGTCAATCGTTCATCGACCTAATTCCGTCTCTAATGCCGTCTAGGCACTGCCATCGAGAATGGCACATTACCTCTTCCAACCCCTAATACAACGCCGGACGATGCATCTACAGACTATACCGATCTCGAACCCTCCTCGCAACATGGCAGTGCGATTCGTCAAGATGGCGTGCACGTCGATGCCTCTCTCCAGGCCGTCAAACCTCTCCTTCCTGTCGATTTCTTCCACGCCATCCAAAGAGTACCGCATTCGCAAAAGCCTGGTACATTAGTGGCAGACATAACATTGTTTGTTCAGAAAGGGCAAACGCGGGACAACTTTGGTTGCCAGATGGAAATTGGAATCGTGAAAGAGAAGATAGCGTATTACGCTAGGAAGCTATGCGGCGTGGAGGTAGAAGTGAAGGATGGGGTCAGATACATCCGTTATCCAAGTGGCAGTAAGATCGAACCCGACCCGTCGCTTAAGCTTCGAGCTTGCCAACGAGACATGATCCCGGTCCTGCTTGGCCATGAGATAAATGCCGGCTTCTCAGCCTCTCCTATATACAAACGTGAGGCGGAGGAGGTGCGCGATGATACGGATGGTGTTTCAATAACAATACCAAGCCAAGAAAAGGAAGGGGGTAAGATTGCTGTATTTTTGGGAGACTGGTATGCATTTGAGTTCAGGAACAAACTTGGTTTGCAGTTGAGTCCAAGAACAAACTGATTACACTTCTTTCGCCGGCCCTCCTTCACATAAAACACTGATGCCTTCTCGCAAAAGCGATTCGCCATCCGTCTTTTCTTTTATCTCTCTGATAGGCGTTGATTCTTTCCCAGTCTTGTATACTTTAATCGTACATCCCTTCCAGTATATCGTCTGTCCTCTCCCCCTGAACGCGGCGCTTATAGGGGCATCGGCAAAGAAGTCGTCATCTTTGGTAAGAACCGCCGGTTCAAATGACTAAAACATATCAGACGTGTTTCCATTTTATAGCGAACCGGACATACCATCGTAGCCTGATCTGGTACAGGAAACAACAGCCCACACAGCGGATTGGGGTGACGTCGTTCGTCCTTGAGGTAGCGGTATTTTTGAGCGCTTGTTGTCTAAAGCAGTATACCTTTTTGGAGCAAGGTTATCTAGCCTTTTTATGAGGGAATGTTCGTAAAGTATGGTATGTCGAAATGGGGGAATTAGGCATCGTTTGGACCTTTACTTCGACTCTCGATGTCGAGTGCCTGATGGAAAAAGACCACGAAGTGCGGGACTTGTGGTTCGGCCCAATCAAGAAAATTGCACAACGGGTGAAAGCGAATGTTAGGCACGAATGCCTATGTTGGGCGTGACTCAGGCCGGTAGTGATGGTCCCAATTGATGATGCATTGGCAGCAACAGTCCAGAGAGAATGGGACGGAAGAATGAAAGAGGGAAGGGGGGGAAGCTGAAAGCTGGAAGCTGGATGGGCAGACGGGTTAGTGGGGTCGAGGACCCAGCCTTTGGCAAGGATCGAAGGGGGCCGAGAGGGGTGGAAGTTTGGGGTGGAAGTTTGGATAAGCGGGGAGCAATTTGATTAAGGAACTTTGGGCCGGCTGCAATTCCTATTGAGAAGTGGGGTCTTTCCATCATTGGCCACTATTATAACTGCACGTCAACTTTGGTGTGGACTAGTAGAGCTACATGATGACATTGATAATCGAACCCGCAATAGCAACTATTGGGCCAGTCTCGCACACTGAACTGACAATCACGATGCCACTAGTGTACGTACTTTCATGGGAGGGTTGAAAAGATCCGAGATGTCAAAAATGCCACCTCGTACGACGATTCGAGTCTTTAGAGGCCGTAGACTTAACCGATCAACGCACCGGGTCGTTGTTTGCGCAGATGGTGAGAAGAGCATTCGTATCTCACTTTTGTCTCGGTAACCCTGGGCATGCAGCAGACGAGGAATATGACACTTCGTAGCCCAATTCACTGAGATGTGCTTGACTTAAGTCACACACCGTGTAGTGTTTCTCAAGTAGCAATTCTGAAGAGGCTTCATCGTAACATGACATTGAATCAGGATGCGACCAACATACATGCAATAGAAAAGGAAGCCACGGCCATGTTTCAGCTCACTAGCCATATTAGGAGTGAGTTCGTGGACTGACCACCCCTGACGGTTGGCGCCATCTCACTTGAGATGTTGGCAAACAAGACAGCCTGAGATGAAGACGTCTGCAAGCCCTCTGACATGCATTGGCCCTTAGCGCGATATGAACCATGTCAGAAGTTCCTTCACTCACTCTCGCCACCCCCTGACGGCACCCTTTTAATATAGACCATATGGAGGTGATGGTAGAAATGAAACGAACGAGATTGCCGTTGTTCTATATCCAGGCAGAATTGTCTTGAAAGATAGCCGGCTGGATCAACTAGTCCCTGGGATATGAGAACCGTATGAGCCAGGATATGTTGCGCGGTTAGCCGTATCCATGAGTGAAATCTTGGGGTGAAGTTCGATTGCCCTAAGTGGGAATGATGTTTCCGGAAGTAACAAATGTCAGAAGACAGGGATAAAGCCAATGTGCATGCAATCGAGCGAAGGGTGGCCGCAGCCATGTAGCTACTTCAGCGCAACATTGACCACTGATATATATGCATTTGAGGGATAAGCAAGGTTGTCGAAAGCCCGGTCTACCTGCATGCATCCAAGCCATTTCATTGCTTTCCAACGAGTTCAAAGAAGTACCACCCGACCATGGATTCACACGGGCTAGCTATGCAAGCAAGAACAGCCTTCGAGTATAAAAAGGATAGCTCTTTCCACCACTTCAGCACAACTTCTGGCTACTCTCACACTCTTCAACTATTTACCTATTACAATCGCTCGCAAAGGCCAATCCCTAATCATACGAACCTGTTTGCTCAATCGTCCATAATGGATCAACCCCAGAACCCCAAAGTGGACGGGCTGCCGAAGCAGGAAAGCGACACGCCAAAACAAGAAGACCCAAGCAACCAAACCTCTCAAAATAACGACAAGCAAGATATCGACCTTGTCAATTTTGTATCATATTCAGACGATAAAAGCTCTGGCACGCATCATTATCAATCGTAAGTAGATTGAATCTATTGATTACTCATGATGCTAAGTAATAAGCAGGAAGCAGTAGGCTCTCTGCTTTGCTCTAATCTGGTACAAGGGTTGGCTTGATATTTTCCTTTTTGAGTTACACGCGTCGCATAATTGGGAAATGAGTCGATAGTGTCACATGTTGTTTAGATTGAGAGTTCCGAATCAACAACAAACTTGATACTGATGGAAACTGCGCCATGAGAATCGATATTGTAGCTATACTAGTTGATCTGTGGTATCCCAATACGAAGTTCCAACCTGACCATGAGCCGAGGCAGCTTGGCGTCGCATAGCTCTCTGCGCATCATGTCCATTTCTGATTAAGGCTAGGTGATCTCTCCAGCCAGGAAGGGCATTTCCTACACATATACAGCATTAGGCAACCGAATGAGGACTGTTCTACACCCCCCGTATCCAGCGCTGCCCCAAGCTCAAGACCTGGACTTGAAGTAGCTAGACCAGGCATGGAATAATCCTGTGCACATTAATTCTCCGGATCTGATAGCTCAAGATCCCCCTAGTGTATTTCTCACCCTCCTCTAAAGCAAACCTTTCAGCCACTAGATACTTCTCAGCCAGAAAGAAGATCTCCTACACAACTTCGAGCATCAAGTAAAGTATAAGCCTCCCAAATGTTTCATATATCTCATGCTTATTACAAAGCTTTAGGAACTTAGCTATTGAGAATTAATTCAAGTAGACACTGTATATATCTAAAGGCTTGTTATTATAGAAAGCTTTAGGCAGGGGAAGAAAAGTGGCTAATTGCTAAGCTACACGGCAGAGCCATGCTTTCGGAATGGGCTAAATGGCACTGGAGCAATTCTACGAATGTGAACGAGATGATCTAAACCAAGGCCATTTTTGGCTTCTGTCTTTTCCGGACAAACAGCAGGCATCTAGGCCGAGTTGAATTCGGCCCATCTCCTTGTACATAAAATCAGCATGCAGGATGTTCTCTTCCATTTTACGTTGAGCCGATCAGGCCTCTTCCTACTTGTTTTCAGCGACAGGGCAATAGTACACTAAACCATACCATGTAAGCGAGGGAGGCGCACAGGCCGAGTAATTTTTGGGTTCGGAGCCAGAACCTTAGATCAAAAGGATGGTGAACGGGCTAGAAAAAATGGTATTGGGTGTCATTACCAGTGGTAACTGGTATAGTAGCCTGACTAGCTAAGTTTAGTAGCCTTAAACCTTTGTAGTTCCCAGTTGACATCTGCCAAGAACTCACGGCTATTTAATGAAGTGACGTAACTATCACTGCAACATCCATTATATAGACACTCGAGGTTTAACTCGCGACTGTCTGATCTCTTCCTTTTACCACCCCCATCTTCTCCTTCAGGTGGAAACCCCACTGCATCCGCCGCAGGGCTCTTGCCGGAAGCTAGATCTCGACCTCGCCTCACGAGCTGCTGTTTCTTAGACGGATCACCTGTGAGGTTTAGATCTCCTAAGTCTAGAGTCCCTAGAAGGTCTGTTCTTGTACTAGCTGGTGTCTTGGTACCAGGAGTCATCCGGCTATCTTCGAGCGACGTCATCATATCGATGTATGGAAACTGAGCGGCCATATTCTCGATGCAGCACATGTCGTAATGATGCTGTAACGCCAATGGATCAACGTCCCGAGCCAAAGTTGCTTTCCGGCCATGATATTCCGTGATAACGTCGTATGGAACGAAGGCGCGGATTCTGTGTGTCGTCGGATCGATTGAGAAAAGCCTGGCATCGAACAGCTCGTGGAGATGGGATAGCAAGAGAATACTATTCCTTGACGACCAGGTGCGCAGCCATAATTCGCCAAGTCGCCGTGGGCTAAACATACTGTCCTCATCATCTTGGTCGTCGTCGTCCCTAGGATACAGATGATATTGCTTCTGTTCTACAATATGGCAAGCGTGAAGAGCCGGACCAATATCTGAATTGAAGTACCACGACGCGCCTTTTCCGGACACAGCGCATGCGTTTGCGTTATCAAGACATGATGTTCGGAAACTGTTGGAGTATTTCTTTGCTTTGGCTAGATCCAGGTCCATTTTCGCTGGCATAACCATTTCGCTAACGTCCGTGTCATCCAGGTCGGCTGAAGTATCTTTGTTAGGTGACGCTGAACCAGATCGAGGTCTTTTTGGCGATACAGATCCTCCTCGGCGCCCTTTGAGTGCTGATCGATATGGCATAATGGCATAACGCGAATCTGACGATGCCGTCTTAGGTGGAAGGTATCGCATATTGCGACGCCGGACAGGCTGGGGAAGATATTGGGCGCACTTGGCTGAGGCAAGGTCAGCGACAAAGACATTAAATAGGTATGGCTGACATGTTGCGCTGACCTTGGAGATGGGCATGCAATGATGAATCGTCGGGCAATTGACAGGGCTTGTGGCGGAAGACGCGGAACCTCAACACATTTGGGCGCTTGAGATTAGACGAATCAAGGCTTGGAACAGATACACTCAAATCCCGAACCAATAAAGGAAACGAGTCATGGCAACAGTCGTGATCGAGGGTTTCGAAGGCAATATTTTCCCAGAAGTCGGTGTCGTCTCCACCTTGGAACTCAAAGCAGAGGCTCATTTCGCGAACAACATCTTGAAACGTCAATAACGAACAGCTGGCGGGGCTAAAAACGCCGGCGAAATAGCTATGGCTCTTTCCAGCAAGGAAAACGACATTCCATCCTACGCTACGTCTTGATGGAGTTACCGTAGAGTTGGCCATCTTGATTTTAATGGTTAAGTTGATACGAAACTGTTGACAACCTGGAGTGACGTCCCTCATCATTGGCCTGGCAACCATGGATAAGCCACATCTGATTATGTCATGGTCCCATTTCGCCACATGTCAGCCACAGGTTCTGCTCCGCCTTTCATCTCAAGATATTAGCTGATCAGCCGAGCTCTGGCCTAATAGTCGAAGATATTCAAGTAGTTCCCTCTCTCATCTGATGAAATATTAAAACTAATTGTCGAGGGAATCTTAAACGCCCGGCTGGGGGGGTTTGGTCTAAAATGAGTTTGGGTTGTTCTTCCAGCCCAGGCTCGGCCCGGCGGTCGGGAGGTACGCAGTACATAGTTAGGCACCATATCATTACCCGTGCTTTTACCCATGTGCCCGTACCTGGTCCATGATCTCCAGGCAGCGGGAGTTAATTCCCATTAGGTTCTTAGATTGAGATGTTACTAGAAGCATTTGGCCCCACCGCAGCGCCTCTGTGATAGCTCTCCAAGCGAGCAACGAGCAGGGACGGCGACGTGAGGTTTCTTACAGGAGAGCAAAGAGGGAATGTGCAGACTGTTACATAGCCTCGACACGTGACAGAATTTTACAACCCCGCTGCCATCGGAGGCTGTACTGCCGCCTTTGCCAATCCTACTTCCAGGTGTGTTTCCAGAGTAGTTGCTTCTGAATTCATTCCTTTGCGACTGTACATTCTGGCCGACCGAAGCGCCATCACCGGTTCTATCGCAACCATCAATTCTTATCACTCACAAGGCTCCCGGGGCCAGTATTGCTGGCCATATGGCGACGATACCCCTCGACAGATCGAAACCGGAGAATAACATCGACCGACCGCCGCGCCGCGAAAGCTTCGAGATAGCCATCATTTGTGCCTTGCCTCTCGAGTCCACTGCGGTTTCATACGTTGTCGATGAGTACTTCGATGACCTCGACAACGGCGCACACCCGCACCAGAGAATCGATGGCGACCCGAACCATTACACCACAGGGCGGATTGATAGACACAACGTGGTCATTGTTCTGCTCCCGGGCATGGGCAAAGCATATGCCGCCAGTGCTGCCGCCTACTTGAGATCGAGTTACTGCAATATACGGCTGGCCCTCGTCGTGGGGATCTGCGGCGGCGTACCCGGGCCGAACAAGGATGGTGACGAGGTTCTACTCGGTGATGTGGTCATGTCCAATTCCTTGGTCCAGCATGATCTTGGAAGACAGTACCCAGGCGGTGTCTTCCTACGCAAGAGCAACCTACAAGATAATCTCGGAAGACCGAACAAGAACATTCGCTCCCTGCTGCGGAGTTTCGAGACTCATCGCAGCCGAGACAAGCTCGAACGCCGCACTGCGCACCATCTCCGAGAACTACAAGCAACCTACCAGAAGAAATCGAAACGAAACCGAGGGAAATACATATATCCCGGCGCTGCTGCGGATGAGCTCTTCAAGCCCACCTACCGTCATAGGCACAGGTTCTCAACATGCTGCACCGCAGAGCTTACGTGTAGCAAAGCTCTGGACCAGCCGTGTGACGAGATTGGCTGTGAAGACAACCACTTGGTGGATAGAGAAGGCATTAAAGATAAGCAAACCCTTGAAGAGGAGGATCCATCCAAGGCCCAAGAACCAACCATCCACATCGGCGCCGTAGCCTCGGGCGACACAGTAATGAAATCTGGCGAAGATCGCGATCGGATCGCCAAAGATGATGACATCCTGGCTTTCGAGATGGAGGGCGCCGGTGTGTGGGATGATATGCCATGTATTGTCATCAAAGGTGTCTGCGACTACGCGGACAGCCACAAGCGCAAGCGGTGGCAGGATTTTGCTGCAGCCACCGCTGCTTCTGCTACCAAGGCGCTTCTAGAGACGTTAGGAACAGTAGACAGTGAAGCCAGTCTAGTTTCTCGCCAACCCGAGCCCGCCCTCTTTGAATTATTCCGTCGACAAGCATGCGCTCCACGCTTTTCCTCGATCAACCAATTGAAATCCTTTCTATACGACTTGCAATGTCGACTTCCCACTGATGTAAAGTTCCACTCGGTCGTAGTTATTGATGCCCGTGGCGGATATCTCCCGTTCCACATAGAGACAGTCAACTGCAAGGATGTATGTTAAATTACCTCCTTAACGACTACACACATTGACATTGTACCAGATCTTCGTCGAAATCCTTCGAAACAGATTCAAGGATCTTGGGGTTTCGAAAATTGATCGGGGCGAGTGGTCCCTGGAAGATATGAGCACTGGGGAGATTCTTGACCTTTCACAGCCTTGGCAGGCTATCATCAAACGCGGCCAGTCGTTCAAGATGAGTATGGACTTCCGCCGATGTAATTTACCGACGACCAAATGTCCCTCATGTGGTTTTGAGAATGAAGGTCTTCCAACTGATCACGTCGAATGGTACGAACCACTTCCACCAAAGCGTTTCCTTCCACTTCACGTTGTTGTATGATACAAACCCATTCTTACTTGTGTTTAGTAATGTTTGCACACTAATCTTTCGCCGCATTGAGGATACCCAGGTGATTGAATTAGAGGGCACAGGCTCAGGGCCAAATTCCTCAAGCGCTACCTCAATGGAACGACCACCCACCGCAAAGAGACCAAAACGGCCACTTCCGGAGGAAGATATCAGTCGCTACAAGCATGTCCGTGTCATTGATACGAGATTCAAGATCCGCAAAGCACGCGGTGGTGATGTATCTATTAACTGCGTCATCCTCAGTCATCGCCACCTGGATGATCACGACTCTCTTGCAGAAGAATTAGCCACTCGCTGGGGCCTCCCTGAAGAAGACTGCATGAAAGTTGTAGTCGAGCTCACGGGCTCCAATATCATATACACAGCCCGGGAGAGCATCACCTCATTCGGAAATAATGCTCTTCATAACGATACAATGTGGACAAATATATTGGACAAGAACTCTCCCAAAAATGAAGAGAGAGAATCGATTCTGGGTCCGAGTGACCCAGCCTCAGAGAGCAATTTTAGCTCTCCTACCCATTGCGGCAGTCAATCTGACTATTTTCCTGATAACTCTTCCGAAATACATATCCGGGGTGGTAATACTAGCCAAAGCAATCCCTCCTCTCAGAAAGCAAAGCCTATCAATCATTATGCAAGCCACCAGATGATCAACCTTGTCCACTCCCCTTCAAACCTTCGCACGCCCAATGATCATTTCAACCTAATTTCTTTCCAGGCGGAAGCGAAAAAGCCCCAGTTGAGGGGACGTCCTTCGCTGTGTGACAGACTAGCAAGTCGACCCAGCCGGCTGATCACGGAGAGAATAAGACTGAAGGCTAAACAAGAAGGGTAGCTTTGATGAAATTTTCTGGGTATCATGTGAGAAATTAACACACCATCGGTAGATGAGTTGCCTCGTACATCTTGAAGCATTAACAACGAGTACATGCATCTAATGTATGAGAAGAAGGTGAGGTTGAGGCGCATGAGCGCTGATAGGACGAATAAAGCTCTCCAATTCATCTGTCCTTTCGTACAAAGTGAAGCCCCGCATCAACATGTGTGTGAGTCGAGAAAGGAGTTTTCCATATCAACCTAAGAAGCTATAAGGAAGCATTTTGGGGCCATGCATGATGGGGCCACCATGACAAAGTTGAGTAGAAAACTTTCAAGGATCATCCAAGAATCTTAATATGTTATATAAGGTTCACGCCCACCTTCGCAGATGCAATCAGAAAGTTACCTCGCCCATGGCCTATTTACGAAAAACTCTATCGAGGACAATGAGTGCCTGCTTAGGAGCCCTGATGCCTGGATTCTGGGAAATGGTGAGCTCTATAGAATTTGGTAGATATGTTAATTTCTTCTTCATCTGTGATGAGATCTGGGCCTTGGCCTGGCGACTGAAGGGGGTGGGAGCCTTGACAGGCACCAAGGATCTAGATAGCTTCCGCCATTGATAGACATCTTTCCAAGGACTTTTAGACCTTTTCTCGTGCAACTAACCAAAGAATGCCAAACTCAAATATTAAGACCATAACCTAATCGACAGATAATTATCAACTGAAGTCTAGGATAGGTAAAACTTAAATAAAGTCTTACATGCAGCTTTGTAATGTGTATACCTATATCAACGAGCGAATCATTCCGCCTCAATGAGCTATCATAGCTGTTGAATTGTAGATATTGAATTGAATATCATTGAAATGTGAAAATCAAAGAAATGAAGCCGGCACCTAGAAGCAGAAAGCGAGACTTGGAATTGCGACAGATCCCCTGTTAAATCTGGCACCAAGCATACCAGAACCCAACGATATCCAAAGATTAAATTACAACTCGTTGTTAAACAGATGACCCTTTTCTGTGATTCCAAATTAATCCCATATCCTCTTCTTGCCTCCCACCCAATTACTCATAACATCATGTCTATCCACCCCTCGTCAGTTTGAGAGTCAGGATTCAGATGACAGGCTGGCCCGGGAAGGCGCCGTGTGGATCGTGCTGGATCGCGAGTTGGCTGCTGGGTCAGGCTCCAGGAACCGGACACTCTCGGGTCGTCCAGCAGTCCCGAGTCTCTGGGTATCCGATCGTGTCTTCAATACGGCCCGCTTCATTGCGCGTGCGAATCTGATGAAGGGCTCCCTTGCCTCGATGAGCTGGTGCGCGATGTTCGCAACGACGCCGAGCGCAGGGAATGCGAGCAGCACGGTCATTGGGGCGATTGGGGCGCCCACGACGCCGCTTAAGATGCTGAAGAACACCGCGGAGACCAGGAGCTGGTGTTTTGGAGAAAAACTCATCTTGGAAATGGCGCTGGAGGATTGGCCCGGGTAGTGTTGAGGCGATGTGACGCGGCAAATTGGTGGTTTGGTTTAAAGGAATGTGTAGATGAATTGTGTGAGCCAGCTGGAAGCGAAGAGATGAGAGATGGGACAAGTATGAGGCCAGCTCAAAGAAAGTTTTGTGTGCACGGCAAGGTTTGTTGGGCCGAGGCGAGGGGAAGAAAAGGTTTCCATCCTTGGAGTAGTGGAACGCGCCTAGGTATATAGATGATTCTCGCGATGAGCGTCTTGAGTAGGTTTGCCATGAATTCCCCGAAGTGGTCAACAGCCGATCAGCCATGGCGAATTCTCCTGGATGCGGGAGGTGTAGATGGAACATGTCCCTCTGTGTGCCCGTGTGATGGGACACATTGATCCCTTGTCGCTGTCACGGACAGTCAGTTCAGGGCCATAGTAATCGTTGCCCTTCTAGCAGAGGCGCGACCACTGCCATTTAGGACGGATACTTCAGCGTTGCCATTGGCTTTATTAGCTCGGTGACGGGTACGCTACGCAGATACGCCCATCATGATGAGGGTGTGTTTATTCCCTGCCGTGGCAGACTCGCCGCAAAGACAGACAGAGACAAACAAAGACAAGGCACGGACATCATCACGCAGTTTGAATCAAATGTCATTATCTTTCCTCAACGTACCATCCTCCCAGCTCAAAAATAAGAGAGAATCCCGGCAATCCTGACCCCGAACAAACAACACACGCATGGGCCTCACTCCTTCTTCGCGTCAAGCTCGTTCTTCTTCTTCTCAACAGGAGCCTCTTTGATCTCCCGCTGGCCGCATCGGCATGTTTCCTGGTCCGTCACATCCTCGACACGACGGGTGGTGTTCTGGTCGCCGGAGCGGTGCAGGCGGTTCTGCCCGGGCCCGAAGCGCTGCTCGGTGAACTCGACGGGGTCGTTGTTTTGCTGGTAGGCGGTGCGCACCGTCGTCCCCTCGGGGGTGGTACGGCTTTGCTCGGAGTAGGAGTGCGAGCTCATGTGGCCATTTCGATTGATGTTGGAGGAGACGTTCCAGCTTGTGCTGGCGGAGTAGAAGAAGGGCATCGTGACGATCTCCGTGGGTTGGTTGTAGCGGGCTGTGGCAGCTTCAGTTCGTATGCAGAGGTGATGAACGCTTGTGAGTGCGGGTATGTGTAAGATGGAGAAAAGCGAGGAGGAGATGGGAAGTGCAGGCTCTCTTATATACCTTTTTCCTGGGGTTGGTATGGCAGGCGCGACGTCACTACCTACCTTATGATTGGTCTTGGACGGCTGCTATTCGCCGGGGATCAGAGTAACATCCTGCTAGTATTGATTGCATTGACGAGACATGCATCAGCTGACGACGGACAGTTCACGTGGAGGTGCGTCAAGGACGCATGAAGCCAGATAAAGAGCTTAAATTCTAGTATGTTCTACAGCCACGTCAATTCTCAGGGGCTAAGCTGACCAGTCTCCGGGTCTTGAACCATCAAGCGACGAGGTCGCCGAGGCTAGATGCTTGCATCCAGATGATGGCAACATCTCACTTGCTATGCCACGTCGTCCGTGTGCCAGATAATACCACCCGCCGTACATGATAGACCCTGCGAAGTGATATTAGCCCCCGGGCTCATTGCCACTCGAGTGGGAAAGAAGATCAGTCGTTGCCAGACCTTTTCAGCCTCTGCTCTCCTCGGCGGCATGATACGACTGAGCTTCGACACGTCTCGAGACTACCCATATTGTTATCTCCCAGTCATTTCCAAGATCGGCGATGTAAGGGTCGAGAGTAGTGCTCGAGTTGTCCCCATAACGTCGCACTAAATCTATATCTGCTTCGTGCTTGTTGGTAGCTACCTGTCCCGGACCTCTTGAAATTCGAAGATTCTAGAACTATGAAAGATGTTCCACCAAGGCATATTGAAAGAGGTTAGTCGTCAGCTGAATAGCCAATACTACCTCGACATAGAGAAGGGGACATTCAAGGTTTCTACTACGTCTTCCCTCCTCGACCCCTTTATAATATCGATTAATCATTCCTAGAGCGTTGTTAGTTCAATGCAACGACTTGAGCTGGGGCGCATTTCTATAAGGCAAAGTTCGAAACAAAAGCTGTCTATTAGGGAACATTAGGAGCAGTTTATCTATAATATCTATCTGATTGTCTTTTTAGAATTGACGAACAGGTCCTTAACCATTCCATCAGGTTGTCGGTAGCCTCTGACCCGAGGCAGCAAATCCTTCCATCATTCTATCAGCTTCATATGCCCCCAGTTTGATGAAAAAGAAGTGCTTTCTTCATCCCACGAGATGCTCTAAACATGCTCCGGGCCGGCCTTGCCATCAACCTCTTCGACAGGGTGCTTGTCATCGACAGGTTGCTTAGCATCAGCAGCAGCTAGCATGCGGTACTCTTCTTCTCCAATCTCGCCCAGCCTGCTCGGACCCTTCTTGCCCCCATCCAGGCCGTAAAACTCCTGGAACGACATGATGAGCGGGCGCCACTTGTCAGGGTCAACCCGGTTCTCGTACCCGTCCATGCGGAGGCCATCCAAGACGTGAATACGCACCACGCGCAACTCGATCGAGAGGATGACACCCGCCATCCCGGGCACGTCCGTCCACATCTCATGCGCCGTGGCGAGCTCGCACTCCATTTGCACGGGGCACTCCCTCGCGCGCGACGGGCGGACGACCTGGGAGGCCTGGGGGGTCAAGCCCGAGGAGGCCCACTTGTCGTGGACGAAGGTGTACCCGCGGCTGATCTTGCCAGGGGGCACCGTCTCCGTGCCCGTTGTCTTGGCGAGCCCGTTGACGGCGCCGGTCTGGGTGTCGTCCGGGAGGTTGACGACGCACTGCCCGGTGCGCAGGATGTTCTGCGGGGTCTTGCTCTCGGCAGCCAGGCCAAGGACGCAGCGGTGGCCGAGCCAGAAGACCGAGGTGGTGGGCGCGAGGTTGAAGGTGCCGTCCTCGTTCTCGGAGGAGACGATGGCGACGGGAGTGCCCCAGTAGAGGATGGCGGGATTGATGGTTGAGTGCATGGTGACTGTGTGGTTGAGAAGTTGGGAAAAGATGGCGTGAATTGGCTGTGTTCTTGGGGAGTTGGGAGAGATGATTGATTGTGTTGTTGAGACTTGGAAACAATGATTTTGTTGGTGATTGTTGAATATTTGAGTGCGAGCGCTTTCAATTTTTATAGCATTGTTGACTCCTTTCTCCGCGGAGGCTGCCTGTTGCGGTTGATATGAGGCCTCTGGTGATCCACAATCGTTGCTTCTGACATGAGTGGGATGGTGTTGTCGCGCCACCGCTCGTTCTGCATGGTGCTTTCGACAAAAATGGTTTGGGACACTTTCTTAGCGAAATGTCATGTATCCCAGTCGCCGTATTGCGTATATCTTGACCGTGCTGGGAACATGGCTCGAAATTACTGGCTCACAGCTGAGCCGTGTTTTCCGACAATGGTGGATAAGCAGGTTTGACTCATCCCACTCATGGGAGTTGGATAGATAACAAGGGTGCATTGAAAAAGAGACCATCATTATTTTCAAACACGGATGGGACTGGTAATTGCAAGCTATCGTCGGGGGCGTATTGTTGAGTCTGCGGTGCGTGCATGGACTCGCCACTCGTCACAGGTCATCACTCAGGTACATGCATGCTCTCACGCGGCAGGCAAGCTTCCAAGGTTGACAGACACACGTAGCCGCCACTCCACAGGACTCCCGATTTGCCGAGCAACTCCCTGTCTTCCCTCCCCGACCCCTTTATCATATCGGTCCACCATTCCTGGTCCGTTGTCAGTTCAAGCCATCACATTCATGATATCTTAGAGGTCCGTCCGGAAAGCACTCTAATCAGGAGATGTATTGACTCAAAACATTATTATCGGTATCTAGGCGGACCGTTACCCTCATAACCCGAACTGTCAACAACCTTGTTGGATGGTGGATATAACTCCTCCTTACCAAGCTGCTTTGTTTGCCAGAAGCATTCCAGAAATAAGTCATTTTATCCACCATATGTGGCCCAAAGTTTGACAGACTGGACTACTAGTTCCCGATATTCAAGTATTCAAAGCATTCTTAAGTAACCCAAGCTATCCACCCCCAATCTTTCTAGTCAGCTTTTTCTCTCATGTAGGCGTTTCCCTATTGACTTTTCCCCCTTACCAAGCCTAACCATCCCAGTCCTTCGTTTTTGGTAGATACAGAAATCTGTCTTCTTCTTTGTTTCCCTTCCTCTCAGTCTCTTTTGTTTGCCAGTAGGCGGCGTTTACACATCCGGTAGCGTCATGGCCTTGCCCGCAAAACGATTCGAGGGCACGAACCTCCATGCCATGGGGGGCAGATCGTGAGGCACAGCTCTTCCCTCGTATCTCTCCTTTGCCTTGGTGACCCTTGCCAGCGAGAGACAGCTGGAAAGATGGTAGCCGATCTTGCCCTCTTCCCCTGCCTGTCGCTTCCGCTCCCTCCACATCTCGTCGGTGTCGAGCACGGGGCGGAAAACGCACATGCCAAAGTCGATGTAGTAGACCTTGTACTCCCCGCCGCCCTCGCCGCCCGAGACGACGGTGTTCCGGAGCACCATGTCGGGGTTGATGAACGCATGGTCGATGATCTTGTTGACCTTCTCGATAGCTTGGTCGCAGATGGCCGGCCACTCCGCCTCGGGCACCTTGTCGCCCAGTTCAGCCAGTGGGAAGCCCGGGATGTAGTCGAGCAGGACGCCCTCAACTCCGGCAAACGGGTGGAAGCTCTGGCCGGTCGCGTCAAGGATAGCTAGCTGAACGTCGGCGTGGAAGACCGGGACAGCATCACCCTGGAGATGGACGAGATAGTCATATGCCATCACTTCGCTACTGTTCATCTCTCCGGCGAAGAGCGCGCAGTACGCCTCCTTCTGCGCTGTGCTCCAGGCGGCAGTGACTAAGAAGCGTGCATTTTGGTATAGTGGGAAAAACTCAGGCATGCCGCCCTCATCCAGGAAGTTGAGGAACTGGCTCTCCGTTTCCCGGGTTGCCGGTCCGTGGATGTTCATTTCCTCCCGCAGACGGGGGGAGAAACGACGGTCGTACATCTTGAGGATCAGCCTTTGAGGCGGAGGCTCAAGGGCGAACGGATCTTGAACCGGCTCGACGGGCTCGAGGAGCTCGACGACCATGACCACGGACATTGTGGATGGCTGAAGAGTCTCCACGATCCTGGCCCTTACGTAGCCGCCATTTTCGAGGTTACGAGAAGACTTCTTGCCGACTGACTTGATGTTCAGCTCGAGAATGTTGTTGGTGTAGTATGGGCTATATCATTTGATTAGCTCAAGGGGGTATTGACGGTGGGGATGTGTTCATGTTTTTACCTGGCCAACGGATTTTCCATTTTATCGATGTTGGAGCTTTACGAGGAGCTGGAGGGTGAAGGATACGCTAGGATCGTTGGAGTAGCTGTCTTGTAGGGATTTATAGACAGACTCGACTATCGAGATACCTGCCGCTGAATCTGGCTAAGATACACAAGCTGAAGAGAAAATTAGGACTGGTTTGGGAACATCCCATGGGAAGTTCACTTACGCACTTGTGTTTGTGGTAGTGGAAGGGAGTGAAAATGAAGTGAACCAGGAGTTTATCTCACACAGACATGTGACTGGGCGACAGCACCCGGGTCAGTATGTGGTATGAGATACACGGGGGGGAAAGAACCTGAGAAGAAAGAAGAAGAAATTGTCCGGCTTGTGTGCGGCCGCACAAGATTTTCAGGAAAGACAAAATTTCTGTGAAACAAGGATTGGTGGTGGCACAAAGAGTGGTAGCCCCAGTGCGTTCGCACCGTGTCACTTGTTGTTCTCTTCACAAAAAGAAGCTTAGCGACCCTAACATGAGAATGTGAGAGACAAGTGAATACCTAGTGTATACACAACTCCTAAAGGGGTAGGATTTCGTATGGTCTGATAGAACTCAAATACAATTTGTCAACGCCTCTAGTAAATCATACTACCAGTGCAGGATCCTGCCTGAACAAGAACCGGTGTTATTTAATCACCCAGGTTTGATCGTCAATGTCGAGTTTGAAATCTGCAACACATGGTCATATGTCACCTATCTGGAAGCCGATTGTTTGAGCTTCAGAGAGCGAATCTCTGATGAGGGAATATTGCAGACTACGATATGTGTCTTGCATGGCGGGCGAAGAAGTGATAGGTGAGATAGTAAAGGTATTATTCGATTCGTTCATATGTTCAAATCCCAGGTAATAAGAAAATATATCTGCTCATAAACGCTACCAGAAACCCAAAATACAAGAGACTCGCTTTGTGGCAAGACAAAATCCTCATTCCCAATCCCTGAAAACTGCGAATTACCATGTAATGGACACAGCTTTACCCTCCCAGTCCCGAACAGCTCCTGCATCAACGCTGAGCAGCTTTTCGTAGATCCACCTACCCACGGCGGCCCGTGAGATGGTGTATCCAACTTCCTCCTTCTCCAGCTTACCCTTACTAACATCCTCCAGCCCTTCCCTGACATTGACGCCTTCCTTGTCGCCATCAATCAGCAGACTAGGTCGCACAATCACAAATCGCTCTGTGCTGGCCCTGAGACGCTCTTCCATGACCTTCTTGTCTGCGTGGGGCGTAGCGAGCATCCAGTGGTAAAGAGGGTAAAATGCCAAGGGGTAATCCCGCTTCTGGTCTGAGATGCCGGTGGTGCTAACGATAGCGAGAAGGGGGTTGCCGACAGCATTCCAATCACGGCGAAGAATGGCGAGGGCTTCGAGCAGACCGGCGATGCCCTTCTTGCAGACATCGGGGTCAGTGAACTTGAAGGTCTTGGGATCCATTGTGCCGCCAATGGAGAAGTGGATGGCGTCAACCAGGCGAGAGTCGTCGCCGGGGATGGTCAGGCATTTTGCGACGGCGGTGGGATCGTGTGCGTTGCCCTCGCGGATGATGAGGTTGGGGTTTGAAGCAGCGAGGTCGGCGAGCTTGGCTGGCGAGCGGAGCAGGGCGATGCAGGTATGGCCTTGGGCGAGTGCTGCCTTGAGGGCAAAGCTGCCGCAGCCAGTTGAGGCGCCGAAGAAAGTGATGGTCTTTGACATGGTTGCAATAGAATAATTAGTGGCAGAGTCTAGATGGGTAGGATGTGTTGGGTAACTTGGGTTATTGTGAGTGGTGATGCTCCAAAAAGGACTTCGAACCAGCAAGGGCCAGCTATACTTATAGTCATTTCCAGTCAACCCAGACGATCCAAAAGCCATCATCATGGCGAACATGCCATCAGATCAGCCCCACCCCGGCACCGAGATGAGCATGATGATGGTGGCACTAAACGAGATTTCGGTCGGTGTCGCCCCGCGCTCGCTCGAATTTCGCGTGGGCAGCATCCGAGTGCTCAGATACGATTGGCCGCATGCCGATTCCCCTGTGGGTTTCATCGGCCGGAGATCGATCCTTGCCTCTAACAGCGCAGCCCGAAGCCAAAAAAAGAATCCATCCAGCAATGGGAATGGACTGTGTAAGCTGTGGCCGATCCCTGATCAAGATTAGCTCCCGACGGTTGCTGAGGGCGAAACAAGTTACCAGGAAGCTTTGAGACGCTTCAACCAGACACAAGCGACAGGGGTCGATTGCCATTCTGGGAGCATTTTGCGCCGAGAAAGCGCTCTGGCGATTTCGATCCCGACTTGTTAGTTCCGACGACAACGTGGATCGCCGCACAAGGGCAAGATTGTCCTTGGTCAGCGTACAGTACAAGAAGGCGATAGGCAAAGGTTGATAAGCATACTTCATATTGAAGGTAAGGTACATACTGATAACTCAGCACATACCTACCTACCTACTTATCTACCTACCTATCGAAACTGGTTGCCGCTGCGCCAACGGAAGGTACCGACATATCAGAGATACAAAAGACACTACCCCCAGTCCTCTGAACCAGACTGGAAGGTGCGTCCCTGCCAGAATGCATGTACCTCGGATCACGACCTGCGTCTCGCACCGCCAACCATCTGCTTCCCCCAAACAATCTCCACCAAACCCAACCCAGCCAAACAACAATCTTTTCCTCGTCTCATAGTTCTCTAGAAACGGACATTTTCCCATCATTTCCTTGATTTCGCCCTTTCGCCCTTTCGCCCTTTCGCCCTTACCCCAAATAGTTGGAAAACTATTTGGGGTCATACCTTGCCCTCTGGAGCAATAAAAACAATATCCCAATCCTTGAATCGCCATTTCCCAATATCCATCAGATCAAATTCCCAATCATCCATTCTCCAAGCTCAATTACACACTGTAACAACCCAAAAAACAGATATCCAACCTTTGAGTAAGCGCCCATCCGCTATATCCTTTGTCCCAAGTTCCCAATGTTCCAGCTACGCCGGAGCATTTTGCTTCCAATCAATTTGCTAACCAATAAATCTTTCGAAACATAGATCGCGCCGCTACCTACAGCATCTTCATCACCCGTTCCACGTCTTCTTCTCCATCTTTCTCCCATCCCCATCGACATGTCACATAAGTTGGACCAGCCTTACAGCGTGCGACTGCTGTGCAGGGACGAGAAAAGCCGGAGCTTAGCCAGATCACAAAATGGAATGTTCAAGAAGTTTCTGTCATCGACAGGAGACCACACGACAGTGTCGTAAGGTGCTGGGAAAGGGTCGTCGTCGACTGCGGGATTCATAGCCTGCATCAGCATGGGCTGGGGGCACTTTGGCTCAATATGCCTGACAGCCTTCTCTGCAAAGTGAACTACCTCTTGTGGAATACGAGTCCAAACCTCATATTCGGGAGTCTCGTGCTCGGCTTTGTCAAAACATTGGAGGAAGTTGGCGGGCGATATGCCAATCACATAGCTCATCTCGTACACCAGCTGCAAGGGCACAAATTCGTGCATCACCATTTTCTGGAATATGTGCGCCAGCATGACGGCCTTGAGATAGAAGCTCTTGCCGTAGTAATACACCATCGGCCGCAAGTCATGCCCAATATCCTCTCCACCCCTGCCACTTGCGCACACGCTGGCGAAGATCGTGTCGTCTCTGATCGACTGCAGCCGCGACCGAACCTTGCGAGCAAGAGACCTTGTGTTGCGAAAGTCCGTCGAAATCTTCATCATGTCGACGAACAGCGGCTCGAGCTTCGAGGTATACCCGTGGAGCTTGATATGGTCGTTCATCATGAAGGGACGGTTATCCGTGTCATAGGAGACCGCGGTTGTAGGCCTTCCTACAGCACATAGTGCAAGCGCCTCGTTCCACGGGGCGTGGGCGATGCGGGTGATATCCACCTCGCAACCTTCACGAATCTATGTACAAGAGAAGAAAGGTCAAATGGAGGACTACCAGATGGAGTACTGCGTGGGAGCGGGGATCTTCACTGCACTTACCAGAAGCCCGTGGATCTCATTGGAGACGGCCGTATCCAGGGGGTCGTTGAGGTCAGGTGGTCCCCTCACCAACCAAAGCTCGGCAATCAAGTCCTTGCACGAGCGAGCGTACTCTCGAGCTTTCCCCCCCTGTTTGAAAAGCTTCAAGGTTCGCTCGGTCAAAGTCAAGGCAGCCAAGAGCTCGGGGGTCACGAGCCTATCAGCCAGTCCATATTTGGCAAAGCGAAGCACCATCTCCAACTCCTCTTGAATGCCATGAGAAGCTCGGAAGTACCCGTAACTCTCATCGACATCTTGCAGGCTGTCAGTATAGAACTGGCGCAATGCTAAACAGAAATAATACACCGAGTTGCGCAGAGCGACGCTCTGTTCCAGGCGCCTTGGGATCTCTGGAAGGTAACACATGTGGACACTGGTAAGCCCCGTTCCAAAGGCATACCCAAGCATGCTTACCGCCAGATGATTCCTCAGAAAATCGGCTGCAGTGAGAGAGGGGCTTACAACCAGACGCGGAACGCCTCCTTCGTTTCCAGATGTCTCAGCATGATTGATGACTGAGCCGAAGTCTGGCTGTACTCGGAGTGGCACAGGATGGACCAACGGCAGATTCTTGACACTGGTGCCCTCGCCGTCCGTGGTTCCGCCCAACTGATTATGAGTTGAGTCGGGCGCGAGCAGATGATTGACATCAGAGCTTCCAACGCTCAGCATGTGCGCCTCAACTTGCGTTGGAGAGACGACGAGGATGAGTGGAGCGGTCCAAGAGCTTCCATCGCTCAAGCCACTTCTATCAGATGCATCATGCATCTCATCACTCACATCACCTCCATTATCACCCATGTTCTCAGTCTGGGCGTCATCGGCATCGTATATGCAATCGCTCACGGCATCTTCCATGGCATCACTCGTGGCAGCATTCACCTCATCCGCCAAATCTACCACCTTGCCATCGCGCAGTTCTTCCCACAAATCCTCGATGATGACCTCGCTCCTTTCATCCCACATCTCATCGCCTATGTCATCTTCAAAGCCATCATCGTCGATGTCATCGTCGATGTCATCGCTCATGTCATCGTCCATATTGTCACTCATAGGAGTGTCAGACCGAAAACGTGGCTCGCCAGTGTGTAGAGTCACACTAGAACCTCCATCGCTCATGGGGGTTCCAGAGCGAACTTGTGCATGGTCGTCGAGGACAAGAGTCACACTGGAGCCTCCATCGCTCATGGGAGTTTCAGGCCGGCTCTTGGGTTGCATCTGAGCCGTGAATTGGTGACTAGTGCTATGATCTGCACCATCTGCCAGGAATTCATCAGACTGAACTTGTGCAGGCTGGTTCATGGGAGAAGTAACACCAAAGTCCATATCCTTCCATGGAAAAGCATTCAAAGACGCAGCATTCAAGGTAGAAGCAGCATTCAAGGAAGCAGCATTCACGGTCGAAGCAGCATCCAAGGTCGAAGTAGCATTCAAAGAAGCAGCATTCAAGGTAGAAGCAGCATTCAAGGAAGCAGCATTCAAGATAGAAGCAACATTCAAGGAAGCAACATCCAAGGAGGCAGCATTCAAGGTAGAGGCAGCATCCAAGATCGAAGCAGCATCCAAGGTAGAAGCAGCATTCGAGGTAGAAGCAGTATGCAAGGTAAAAGCAGCCTTCAAGATGGAAGACAGGGGTGGGTGACTGGGATCATTCTCTCCATTTTGCACGAAAGTGCCAGACGAGAGTCGCATAGACTGATTCGCGATGTAAGCTGTGCATAAGCTGTCCCAAATCTCAAAGATATCCGGTCCGTCTTCATCCGTGAATGGATGGTCGTCGTCGGACGTTTCATAAGCCGCGAAGCCATCAACTTGAACTTGTTCGGGCTCATTGACGGGCGGACCACCAATGGTGGTGCTCTCACCACTCACAGTTGCATTCAACTGGGCTTGAGCCACAAGTGGGAGATCTCTACCAGATCTTCCATGGTTCATGAGTCTGCCAAATTGAGCTTGTGTGGGCTCACTCAGGGGCAGAGTGTCGCCAGAGGTTCTACCACTCAGGGGATTGTCAAATCCAGCCTGTGTAGGCTGTGTCAGGGATAGATTGACATCAGACGCCGATTGAACATGTGGTGGCTGGGACATGGATGGAGAGCCAATGCCAGTGTCTTCACCAGGCATGGCGGTGTCAGGGTCTATGGTGTGGGCAGTGTCAGGGTCAATGGTATGGGCAGTGTGGGCGTGCTTGTCATTAGTGGTGCCACGGCTCATGCTAGAGTTCAAGCGTCTCGTCTTCTTCCGCTCCTTACGCCAAAGTTTGCGGATGGCACCAGCAACTGGGGGTCCAAGGGACTTGATGCCCCGCCGACCGCGTCTACGGCGGGATGTATAAATCCCATAACCCTTGTGGAGAATCACATTAGCAGGTTGCTTTTAAGCTTCTTGAAGCCGGTGGTATCCGGATTTGGGTTGGGTGTACGGGGATCGTACCTGAACCTCCCTCACCTTTCCTTTCTGATACATGGAAATTAGGAATGTGGTGGGGTGTCTGGGGTAGCAAAGTCCTCAAGAAGTTGGAGTAGTCGGGAGTGTATGATGCTTGGGATGAAGAGAAGAGAGTTCATCTGGGTTGAGAGAAAAGGCCAGCCGGGTTCAAATACTCGACTGCTCCTGGGACTGGATGGATGGGCTTGAGCCTGAGAAGGGACGTACCATCAAAGGAAAACATACAGGACTGACGAAAGCAGAGCAAGCATCCGGTGGCGCTCGGCCGCTCTGGCTAGTTGCATGCTGACGGCGCTTTGACTTTGGAACTTTTCATTATCCTGCAAAGCTCTGAGACAACAAGCTGGATTGTCACTGGCTGCCAGTAAGAATGGCTTTCGACTAGGAGTTTGGGCCTCTCCCGTGGACAGCAAATGGCGTGATAGTCTGAAGCAAAAAAAAGATCTATCATTTTCCTGGGAGTCTCGATGATGACAGACCGCTCCTCATGCGGCGATCGGGCGTCATGATGCCCACCGACCAAGAGCACAATGGGTAATCAAAGAGTGAGGCTGTCAAGTCCTCCACAGGACAAGGTGGATGGACCGCTGATCTTTCGATAGTGCGAAAAGCAATCTGCAAGTGATTCTCCTCTGGGGGGGATAGCGCCCGCACATGCTGCCTCTGCAGCCAAACAACGATGAAAGAACAATAAGGCTGGTGGAGGGTTTCGTTGCTTTTTCCTTTTCAGCTCGGTTGCTCCTTGTTTTAAATGGCTAGCGGCAACAAACCCCGCGCGATATGCAAGTGACAAATTACGAGGGTGTCCTCCAGTTTCCTCGTGAGATTTCCCCTCTTTACTAGCCGAACCGAAATGGTCAGACGGGCATAAGCATCGGTTTCGTGCGGGTGAAGTGCCACCATCTGGACGATCTAACCAATAGACACCTATTTTTTTTTGTCCTAGGATCGCCTGGCCAGAACCGATCGATCTGCAGATTGAGTTTATTCGGCCAATAAACCCGTGGTTTCTGACCTATTTTCTCCGGCCCGAGAAAGTAAGTTGAGGTGTGGGATCTCTCCACCGCTTTGGCCGTGCTCTCTCACGAGAAAACAGTGGCTTGCTGGAAATATTCTATCACATAGAATATATGACAGAATTTTCCCAACGCTGTGCTGATAGGATACACGTGTCCCTGTTGCCTTTCCCCCCTCCTACGAAAGTTCAGACACACGGCAGGTGGGCTGTGCTGTCTCAGAAGCAAAAGAACACATGTAGTTTCCTCAGAGGCCATTGTACCTCACATCAGGGAGTTATAGTGCAAAGTGACAATTTGCATTATCCCACCCGTACATATCCATGAGGACGCCACCGCAGCCGAATCGTTTCTGCATATTCTCTCATGTCATCATTATCAACGAACCATGCAGCATTGCAGAGGGCTAGTCACCACCACGAGCCTACTTCGGCGAATCGCATCTTCCCTTCGTACACCTCTCCTCCGCCGTGGCGTTTGATAGCCACCCCGTATCCGACCCCCTGTGTCACCCGGTACGGCTATCACTTGCACTGTCTTCAAACTGAAGTGTGTATTAGGTCTTGGGATTGCTTTTTCTTGCTGTGTGAGCAGCCACTTGACTTCCCAGCATGTTTTCACATGCTAGCTGAGGCACTCTCGTCAATGCACCTAAGACATGGCTGCCCGAATTGGAGTCATGGCGGCAGACAGATGCAGCGTCACGATCGGCGGCAGGAAATATTTGCTCAGCGATCGAATGTAACATCGCAGCGGCGGCCGTCGTCGCGGCCGTTGCTGCCTGGTGAGGGGAATCGGATACTGCCCGTGCCGCCCAAGTATTGAACCTTCCAGCAGGTACTTTTTGCGAAGCTGGCGGGGCATACCGACATGTGCATTTTGCGTGAGTATGGTCTGCGGAGTGTACGCTCGGTGGTGGGCTGTGCCCACGTCAAAGTGCATGGTGGCTTGCTGCAACCTCTGCATACGAGTTGACCGGTAGGCCCAGACCGTCGAGCTGCTTGATGCGCCTGACCTTGGCGAGGTGAAAAGGGCCACTTCTTGAAAATTGAAAGGTAGCGGTGAGCTCTCCGTACCCATCAAGGCTGGGAAGTCCTGCAAGTCTTCGGTCGTCAATGAGAATAGGGATTTCCCATCGGCGATCCGCGTAGCACCCACGGAGACGTACCCGTCAAAGCCCATGAGTTCCCAGGCGTGGAGAGGAGGGGAGAGCTGAATACGTAGCAGGAAACGCAATTTCCCGAATACAAAGCCTGTTCTACCTGTATGCGGTCTTGCTTAGGTAGGCTATCCAAATTTCAGGAGCATTGATCAATTCCTCCTCGGCTCTCACAGCTGTAACAAACAATCTGGCTCAGTACAGGCACGTGAAGAACCGGGAAAGCGATTGCAAGTCTAGGTAGAAGAGAGCTATGATTTTGAACTCGATTGGCATATCCTTCATATCGTCAAGCAGTGATGAGTGGTCTACCTAGTTATGAATGCCATCAGTGTCGGTCAAAAGGTCTCCCTCGGGGTTGGCCAGGGCTCCTTTGCAAGCAAATTTTGATTGAAACCGCGTGTGGCCCATTTCCCGTTTGGTGTAGAGGGTGATCCAATGGGTAGCTTTCGAGATCATTTTGAACTGCGTGCGGCCCTTTTTCTGATTTGTGCAAGGGTTGTTGTATTGGGCAGCTTTCACAATAGTTCGGCTGGTAAGGCTCGCACACGCACTTTGAGGACTTGACCGGCGACGAAAGATAATTATTTTTCGCTCGCCCGTCAGTGTATGCCTTCTCACTTGCTGATTCACAACATTATCTGACACAGGCAAGGCATCAAGAGAGGCAGAGACAGCTTGAGGAGGTGGTCGGATATGGCTTCATTCTGTGTGGCTTCATTCTATGTGGCTGGAGCGTGGCTCAAAGGCTGTGGAGGAGTAACTCAATCGTGTTGAGATCTGTGGCTCAACGATGGAGAGAAAGTGGCTGAACAACAGGACAAGCCCTCCCTCACCTCTGGTCCAGAGGACCCTAACCCTGCGATCATGAAGTAGGTAGCTACTACTAGAGAGCTTGTTTGATACATTGAAAAGAGAAAGGAAAAAGCGTCCGCAAACGATGTCAAATGCTCTTGAAGCGACGGCGGGGTATGCGAGTGCCCCCAACGCATTGACTGGCCCTACGCCGAGGCATCAGCTTGTGCCCATTGTATGGGTGGTATGCAGTCCTTCAACCTCCCCGCCTTGCTGATGGCTTAGTAATTACTCCCTGGGTAGAATGCGTTGAGCTCGACGATGATACCAAATGCAGTGGCTTTCCTCGTGCTGACTTTGCGCAGCCAGATTTGGAAAACCTGATTAGCCATGGTGCTGGCAGGAAATATCATGTTTGAGCCGTTATTCAACGGGCGTTTTCAACAGTTCTTCTAGGCTTCCATCTAGTTCCAGTGAAACCCCACCATCCAGCCTTCCAGCGGTGATCCTTGTGGAACAAAAGTGTAGACATTTGCAATTGAGGACAACGGCTGGACCGCCCAGTTCAATTCTGCAGTAAAGACTTTTTTGAGAGAGAGAACACAAAAATAAGAGTCCCACCAGTATAAAGGAAATACCGACAATCCTAATGCGATCCAAATGTGAATGGTTGTTGGCGGGATAGGAAGAAGACGTAGGTCTAGGGTAGCTTTGAGCAGGCTGCTCCTGCTCCTCTGGCTGAAGCTCATGAAAGAAGGTTTCCATAACGTCTTCTAGTGAGACGCCCTGGGGCTACGGCGCTGCGAATTAATCGAGCCTCTTCATGAGGTTTGAACTTAATTTCTTTTTCATCGATGACGAGAAGCTCAATTGACAAACCGGGGATATACCTATTAGCATGATGTCGAGAACCACGCCTCGTAGGAATGGTGATGTGGATTGTCTCTGGCAGTGAATCTCTTGTGCTGGATTTCACTGACGTGGGTGGGGATCCATTTGGCGCATTAAATTGGCTCCTGGTGTTTGCTGGTAGCGTCAATGCTGTAATTGATGGAATCCGCACCCGTACAAAGTTTTACATTAGAGTCCCGCGAGATCAATCCCAATCCCTCCTAAATATCCTCAGGAGGAAAAATAATGCCGATTTTCAGACAAAAAAAGAATTCTCGAAATCCTGCTGCTTCTGGGTTCGAATCGGGCGGCTTCACTTCACATGCTGGCTGGTGGAACCAATAGGCGTGTCCCGCCCCGCATTAAGGAGCTACGTCAGTCACGTGCGAGCCGTTTGTTGTGTTGTCGTTGAGGGGCAGCTACAGCAAAGCGCCAGCCAGCCAGACTGCCGGTGGGGAGAGGGACAAAAGCTGCTACGGGCAGGGGTAAGTATCTCTACCGCCGACCGCTATCTACGTCGTTTTGGTCTGGCTGGACATCCATTCCGCGTCCAACGTCTTGCTCGCCCCCCCAAGCCCCTACCCAGCGTCACCGTTGCTCATCCCCGCTGCCGGCCTCTTTGTCTCCTCTGCCACCGACCAACCCCTGGACCCTACCCGCCTGGCACGAGCTCGCCCGCGAGGCGCCATAGTTGGGCACCGAATCGATCCAGGAGGCGGCCCCCGCTGCCCTCAATCTACACAATGAGCCGCCTTTTGACGACACGGCAGGCTGAGGAGCTGTGCGTACTCTTGGCGACCGCGTTTGCTGCCGCTCGCTGACCTTGTTGGTAGCCACAAGTCCATGATCGCATACCTACTCTCCGCCAAGCTCCCCAATACCGCCGCTGCCTTGAGAGAGGAGATTGGGCTGGAGGAGAGCACGTTCGATGCCGAGACAGCCAAGAAGTATGAGGGTCTTCTGGAGAAGAAATGGACGAGTGTCGTGAGGCTTCAGAAGAAAGTAAGCGACCGACCTGTCCCCTGCGTCAATGTCTCACCTGCTAATGCCTCTTGCTCCATCTAGATTATGGATCTCGAATCCAAGAACGCCGCCCTGCAGACCGAGCTCGATAACGCGACGCCTCTGTCATTTGCTAAGCGTAGCCAGGACCCCAGTGCCTGGCTACCGAGATCGCCTCCCCGATATTCGCTAGAATCTCACCGCGACGCGGTAAACTGTATCGCTTTCCACCCCGCCTTCTCGTCGATTGCCTCCGGCTCGGCCGACTGCACGATCAAAATATGGGATTGGGAGTTCGGCGAGCTGGAAAAGACCATCAAGGGACACACAAAGGCCGTACAGGATCTGGATTTCGGAGGACCCAAGGGCGCTACCCTGCTGGCGTCTTGCGCATCCGACCTGACCATCAAGCTGTGGGATCCCGCCGATGATTACAAGAACATCCGGACGCTTCAAGGCCACGACCACAGCATTAGCACCGTCCGATTCATTCCCTCGGGCACTGGCGGCAGCAACATGCTTGTCAGCGCCAGTGGAGACAACACGCTTAAGATCTGGGACACCACGACAGGCTTCTGTGTCAAGACGCTGACGGGCCACAGCGGCTGGGTGCGTCACGTCGACCCTTCGATCGATGGTCGCTACCTTCTCTCGACAGGAAACGACCGGACGGCGCGCATCTGGGACTTGTCCATGCCAAACCCCGAAAACACGGTGACAATGTTCGGCCACGAGAACGTCATCAAGTGCTGTGCACTTGCGCCCCCCGCCTCGTACAAGCACCTGGCAAACCTAGCCGGATTGAAGAACCCGCCTTCTGCAAGCAGTACCGCCGAGTTCGTTGCCACTGGTTCGCGAGACAAGACGATCAAGCTGTGGGATTCCAGAGGAACGTGCCTCAAGACACTGGTTGGGCATGACAATTGGGTCAGCGCTCTGGTGTTCCATCCTGGAGGAAAGTACTTGCTCTCCGTAGCCGACGACAAGACCTTAAGGTGTTGGGATCTCAGCCAAGAGGGCAAATGCGTCAAGGTTCTAGAGGACACACATGAACAATTCATCACCTGTCTTCGGTGGGTGTCTGGCTCAGTCCGCGGCGATGCCGCAGCGAATGGCGACGGCAAGGCCGGGGATGACAAGAAGGGAGACACGCCTGGCCAGTTCCGCTGCGTCGTTGCGACGGGAGGCATGGATTCGGCCATCAAGATCTTCGCGAACTGAACGACGACCCGCCGGCCTTGGCCACGAACGGTTTCTTCGAGGCGCGACAACGACGAGATCAACAGATACCTCACCCCAAATCATCGATTACAACAATACCCTCTGCTTGAACTTACCTCGGTAACTTCCGCAATCCCCTTTCGTCTTCTCACCACCCCCCGATCTCTTTCAGAATGATACCAAGTCTTGGTGGGATTATACCCCGCTGAGCAATCACCTCGACATGGTACGACAGCTTCTCGGCGTTGATTTTTTGTGTAACAAGGATGATGATGGGCTAGGCCAAGCAGCATGGAGGAATGTAGCCGCGTCTGTGACGGCCCAGTGTAGTACTGTTGGCGGGCGTGCAAAACCGGTGTAAGAAGCATATATCCAGCGGGGAGACATACAAAAAGGGGAGACCACAGCGACATGATTTAATACGTCTGGCGGCAAACGGGACCACATTAGAAACTTCCGCGACGCGACCATGGACGGGGCAGACCGAGTCCCTATTTAGAGTTGGAAATACCAGAAAGAATAGCATTTAGCCGGATTGGTAAATTGTTCACGAACTACAGCGCTCTCTTGGTGTCGTCTCTAATTGATATGAAGGATTGATGATTGACCAAAGGCGCCGTCATCCGCGCAAGGCGCATTCCATGGAGGAGGGCCCTGCGAGGTTTCATGGGTGCATCAACGCGCAGGAAGCGTCGACTGCTTTGATCTAAGTCGCCGTCTAATCGCTACACATCCTCTTGGCGAAACGAGGGCCGCGCAGGTACCTGGAAAGATGCAATCTGCAGGTTAGTAGCCATTGAACGAGATTGATGATTTCCCGACCGCCTTGTTCGTGTCGCTGAGGGATTGACCGTCTCTGGCAAGGCTTCACCAGCATATGCACCATGCCGGGCAACAACCTTTAGACGGACTGATCCCCTGCGCCAATCTCCGTGGAGCTGGCCTCCAAGTTGGCTGTTTATGGATGTACTGGGGCAAGAGTCAAGGGGAATTGATGTGAGTGCTGCCCCGAACCTCCAGTCCTCTTTCCACCTACCGCCTCTACCTGCATGCGCCATGCTGCCATCTGGTCGTGTCACAAACACATGTGAGAGGAGGTCAGGCAAGGCGACCTTGGCGTGAGCGGTCAACACAGGGCCGGGACCCAATCTCCCGCCTCAGGCCTGTTGCATACTGGTGCGATCTGTAGTTGCTGTCGTAGGAAACGAACGGCCATGTCGCAAAGATATATAATCTTCTTCTATTCCCAGGAAGCTACCGGGATTAAAAATCAGGTACTACAACGCGCATTGTCTCCTCGGAGAAGTCAAGATAAGCATTTAATTGCACCAAGGCAGCCATATGGTGAGACTGAGGGCGGGCATGGAGCAAGAGTCTTGCCTGGGCTTTGGTGCACGAGCCACAGCGCCATCATGCCACGTGATCAACCATGGCCGATTCGTGGCTGTATTGTGGAATTGTGGTGCTGTGGCTTGTCGTAGGGAGAACGTGGCGTTGGTCTGGTCATTAGTTACGCCTGCCTTCATGTGCTCTCATTGCAAGAGTGAGCAGTTACCTCATGTGTGTACCCACCCTACCAAGCTGGAGCCTCTAATTAACCCAATCGAAAATTAATTATGCCTTATTCTTCTTTTCCATCATTTCATCCAGAGAATTTCCCTTCTTCTAAAGCTTCACCAGTTGTCCTCAAAGAGAGGCACATCTATAGGGTAGCTCCTAGTCCAGTGCCCCCTGAACCAGGAGACGACCAATTTCTGCCCTACAGCTCAAGGCAACGAACGATCTCGATTGATAGACGCCGGATCCTTTCGGTACTTGATAACCGGCCCGCGCGCGAACCTCCTTGTTCCTGTCCAGCATCCCTGCGAGAGCAGTAACGAATTGCCGCAATGCTCCTGGCTGCCGACCCTGAGGCCTGTCCGCCGACCCTGAGGCCTGTCCGCCGACCCGCACTTCCCTGGATTTTGGGAATTGGCCCGATTGCAAAGGAGGATTGGTCTGGGACCGAACCCTGCCAAGAGATTTATCTCCAGTATCAAGGCCACGAGGAGCTGCCTCTCTGAGGAAGGAGCTGCAATGAGACATCTTCTCCTTCGTCATTGAAATGAGAGGGATGGGGCAAGGAAATGCCCCGCATCCTTTGATGGTGGGCATGTCGCCTTGTTAAATCAATCAGTCGGTGGACGCGATGGGCGTCCAATCATGCGGTAAGTCGATGATCCAAAAGACGAATTTCAGCGACTTGCGTGATAGTTCATCTGATGAGCTATCTGCGCTTAATGGCTATGAAGTTTACACGGAGAATTGACACTGTTACATATTTAGACAGCCGGTGACATTCCAATCCCATGTGCTTCTCCCAGATGCTTCGGATCTGAAACACTGGGCCCTGGCCTCGTGGCATGATTCATTCCTCCTGTCAGCGTGACATTAGCTACCGAGAAAGCGATGCGCATTTTATTTTTGGACGAAGATGGATTACAACGATGATCATGAGCGATTGTTAATCCCATCATCATCTATATATTGGAGATGATGACCTCGTCTAGTCACCTCGTTCAGCGATTGTCTCACACCAGGCATCTGCTATTTTGAGAGCAGAAGAAGCAAAACCAAAGCTGAAATCACATTTACAATGCGCCTCCATATTGCGATCAGCGCCCTCGCGGCCCTCACACCTACGGCGCTGGCCGGCGATGTATTCGCGCACTACATGGTGCGTATGCCAACTGCACTCCCCTCCAATTCAACAGACTATCGCTTACTTGCAGCAAAAATCAATCTAGGCCCAAACATTGAACGGTGACCACGCCGCGCAGGATGTCCAGGCCGCTTTGGCCCTCGGAATCGATGCATTCGTGCTCAATGTCGGCATGCCAAACGCAGACTGGTGCGTGAGCACCGTCGAGCAGCTCTTCGCCGCAGCTTCCGGCACCAACTTCAAGATCCTCTTCAGTCTGGATCTCTACGCCGAGTCCGACCCGTATGCGTTCAGTACCATGATCAACAAGTACTTCTCGCACCCCAACTACTATACGGCTGGACCCAACTCAGCCCCGATGCTCAGTACGTTCCAGCCTGGAGGCTGGGGTTCGGATAAATGGGGGGGTTCTTAGGCTCTCTCAGCTCCAAGCCATATTTTGTGCCGGACTTTGATCAGGCCGAGGGGTACTACGAGAACCCGGAGGCGTTCTGGTACTATTGGAAGGATACTCTGGACGGCTCGTTCTCGTGGGAGCAGGCATGGCCAGCCCAGAGCGACACACAGACCAACGTGACAAGTGAGGTGGATGAGAAGGTGCTCAGCGCCACGCATGCGCAGGGTAAAGTGTACATGATGGGCCTGTCATCGCTGCAGTACAAGCACTACAACCAGGACCACTGGTTCCGCGCTGGAGACGTGGTGCTGCCTGAGCGCATGGCCCAGATCCTCGCTCTGCCCACGAAGCCCGATTATGTGCAGATCCAGACATGGAATGATGCAGGTGAAAGCCACTATATTGGGCCAGTCTGGTCCGAGGGGCTGTTGGAAGAGACGCTTAGGTATGCCAACCAGGAGGAGCATCCACATGGAGGGTGGCAGCCCCTGGTGGCGTCGTTCATCACAGCATTCAAGAACGGAGCGGATGCATCGGGAATGAGACCGACAGAGGGCAGAAATGTTGTTGGCGCTATGTGGCACCACGAGTTCCTTCTGGCCTCCGAGTCGTGCGCGGGAGACTCTCTGGGAGCGCCCAGGGGCTACGGAGCTGCGCAGGACAGAGTCAACTGGGCAGTTGTGCTCGGGGAGGGGGTAAGCGGCTACAGCGTTCAGGTGTGGAGCGGAGGCGAGCTGATTGCCAAGGATGCCCTGAACGCAGGCTTGAACTACAAGTCTGTGGCGGGCGTCAAAGTCGGTGAGCAGGTTGTGCAGGTCGTGGATGCATCTGGAAACGTCATCATTGAGGGAGGGAAGAGCACGAAGGGCGTTAGTCAGGGTCTTCCCAGCTCGGGTATCTGCAACCTCAACTTCCAGGTTGCTCAATTGGCCTGAGCGATTAGCGGCAGGAAAAAAACAACACTTCACTTCGTATTGAGATAGTTATAGAGTTTCAGCATGCAGCCACTGTGCAGGGTGCAGATTCAGCTTGGCGGGATGTACAAAGCACATGCCCAATCCGTTGGGCACTGCATATCGGTGATGGCAATGAGGAGATGAGAGGATCAGCCGGAGAGACATGACGGGACAGAGGTTGCCGAATGCCTCGCTCTCACCCCTGATGCTGATCAACCGCAATCCTTCGATCCTAACCCATGCAACGAAGAGCATTGACCGGGCCTTCGGTGAGACGAGTGTGGTGAGGGCCTAGGGCCTGGGAACGGATGGAATCTGAAGGAGGGGGCCGGAAAAACCTCACCAAGGGAACAGGGCAGACCTGGGAGAGACGAGACACACCGATGCGTGATGGGTGCTACGTGCGGCATGCAGCCAAGCAGAAGCTGACTGTCGGAAGAGGGCTCGAGCACGACCAGTCTCCTTGGCTGCCATCGCTGGTCTTGGTGACGGTGGAAGCTGCAACAGGTGGCTGCGCTATTGGAAACGGCGCAAATAATGATTGCCATCGGGGCTTGGCTGAGCCTATACGAATTAAGCTTGATCCCCCCTACCGCTTCTACCGGACCCCTGAACCACCATTGCCGATCGAGAGTGTGTCAGACTCAGGCAGCCAGTGGCCGAGATCTCGCTGGGAGCTGGCTAGCGGGAGGCCTGAAGGTGGAGAGGACGGAGGGCCAGCTGAAGCTATGGAAATGCGAAAATGTGAGCAAAATTCGAACTGCGACGAATCACAGCGGCTGGAGGCAGAGGAGGGGAAAAAGCGCAGGCCAAGCACAAGCCAAAACGCCACGGGCGCACCACAATTAAATCGCAATACGAGATGCTGCTCGCCAAGCGTATGGCGACAGAACGTGATGGATGATAATATTGCATTGTACCATGTGTGCTTCCGCCTCTCCCCAGGTCTAGAGCTGGCCGATGCAGGTCTTAGACACATAGCGAGCTGCGTGGTGTTTGCCTGCCTGCCTGCGCGCATTCCTCCCCCGCCATTCCGCCAGCCTGAGGAGGGGAGGGGTGATGGAGCGGACAATGAGCTGTGCCTCGTGGCTGGAGGCTGGCGGTGATAGTGGTCATGATTCGGATTACACAAAGTGGTGCAAGCGCAGATGGTGCGACGAGGCGTCGATATTGCAATCCCGTTCCTGACTACTGCAGGGGACCGGAACACTGGTGGCACCCAGCGCAGCACGCCCGAATTCAAAATTTGCTTTCGAAATGCCAGCAGTTAAGCATTGGGACCGCCGTTGTCTACTAACGTTGGTGCAGACGGATGGGCTCTCCTCTCTCGGCAGACGAACTGCACCGTGGGCCAAGATCTGCCTACCTTACCCATCCATCTGGGGGCGCAGGGCAGACGAGTATTAAGCTCGCTGTGTGCTGGCCTGTCGCCATAAGCTATTGCTCTGACTGCATTAAGCTTCATTTAAGCATCACACCAGCTGAGGACCATGGAGCCCGCCACGACGGTCTGGGCTACGCTCGATGCAGTCCGCACAGGGGTCACGGTCACTCCCCGGTCTCCCGCATAAGCTTAACAGAGCTAGTTGATGCTGTGTGCACGCTCAGCTTCAGGTACGCTGGATGAGGAGCGACAGACTAGCCAGTAGCCTGTCCGGTCAGACAATTTCAGCCGTCCCTCCTCTTCGTCCCCGAGCAGATAGTCCGGGCTAGATGGCGGCCATTGACCTGCTAATGGGCACAGCCTGCATTTGTCACACGAAAAATGTGCCCAAGGGCTTGTCCGAGAGCCCAGATGTTAGTTCATACACACCTGGCCCATTGTTCTGCCGCCAGGTTTTTCTTCTTTCACGCACCCCCGCCCCCTGTTGCCGTCCATTCTCTTCCAGCTTCGTGCCAACGTGGTTGGGACAAGACAGCAGGCGGAAAATGGAGGCAGCTAGCCTAGCTCCGGCTTCTGTTGTGTAAATATATACTGATCGATCCTCCCATCGTCGGCCCACGATGGACGTATGATTCATCCCCATTCTTCACCTTCACGTCGGTTACCACTCGTTAGAGCCGTCGTTGGAAGACAGCACCAGACGGAGTGACTCCCTTCAGAGTACTCCATTACACTCGCTTGCAAATTCTCGTTTTCTGATCTTAATTATTAATATCATTCTGCATCATCCCCAACAAGGATCTGATTGATCCATCCCCCATGCGTATCCTTATCGTTGCCGTCGCCGCCCTCGGCCTGATCGGGGGTGGCGAGGCTTCTTCTACTCGCCGGCGATGCGTTCGCTCGACCGGCCTCGCTTCTACCTTACCTCCTTCAACCTCCATCTCAGCCACTGGAACTCCCACCGGCACACCCACATCTGCTGCGACTCCATCCTCGACCGAGATTATCAAGGTCGTCAACCCCGACTTTGCGGATGGAACCAATGAATGGACCATCACCGGTAAAGGTACCTGGGTAGCCAATGAGGGCTACTCCGACGACAACACTCCCAAGGACGGCACCGTCGAGCTCGAGACCGAGGGCGAGGATGACGAGGACGACGACACATCCGTCAATAAGCGACAGGCCATCGTCGGTACAACTCTCTCCACCACTGTTCGACGCCTGACCCCCAACATCGACTACACCGTCAAGTTCTTCTACTGGGTCCTGATTGCCACCCCCGCCAACAGCTGTCGTATCCGTGCCTCCTTCAACGGCGTCAACTTTGCAGATACTCCTCGATTCCCCGCTGCTTTTGGCAACGGCCCCTGGGGTGAGCTCTCCGGCAAGGTGAGATCCACGGGCACCACTGGCACTCTGACCATCTCCGTCGTCTGTGACCGACGTGGTCTGGCTCGCGTCTACATTGACAATGTCTCTGTCACCCGTGTCGCTGCCTCCAGTACCATTGCCAGCACTTCGAGAGCGAGCACCGTCTCGTCCTCGGCCGTCTCTTCTGGTATCTCATCTACTGCCGCCTCTTCGACAGTATCATCTGGTGTTTCATCTACTGCCGCTTCTTCGACAGTCTCGTCTGGTGTTTCGTCCACTGCCTCTTCTTCAGCAGTCTCGTCTGATGTCTCATCAACTGCCGCTTCGTCTTCGGCTGTTTCATCTGGTGTTTCCTCGACTGCTGCTTCCTCTCCCGCATCCTCTGGTGTCTCCTCGACTGCTGCTTCTTCCACCGCTTCCTCTGTTGTTTCGTCTAGTGCCACTTCGCCTGTCTCCTCAACAGTCTCTTCCACTAGTGCCGCATCTACTGATGTATCCTCTACCCCTAGTGCCTCTTCTGGTTCCCAGACTGGAGCTAGTACTACACCTTCTAGCACAGATGCTCAGTCCAGCACTGCTGTGAGCTCCGACGTCAGCTCTACACCCATTGCCTCAACTGAATCTAGCACACCCGTCAGCTCCACTGCCGTCTCCAGCACCGCTTCTGACAGCACTACACCCGTAAGCTCTACCGCTGCCTCCAGCACTGCTTCAGATAGCACGACACCCGTTAGCTCTTCCGATATCTCGAGCACTACTCCCGTCAGCTCTACCGATGTCTCGAGCACTACACCCGCCAGCTCTACCGGTATCTCGAGCACTACACCAGTCAGCTCTACTGATGTCTCGAGCACAACTCCTGTGAGCTCAACCGATGTCTCAAGCACAACTCCTGTGAGCTCTACCGGTGTCTCAAGCACTCCTTCTGAGAGCAGTACCCCAGGTAGCTCCACTGCCGCTTCTACCACACCCAGCAGCAGCTCTGAAAGCACCACTCCTGTTAGCTCTTCTGATGTCTCGAGCACCACCCCCAGCAGTAGTTCCATTGACTCGACTACAACTCCTGCCAGCTCTACTCCTGTCTCAACCAGCAGTGTCGCCAGCAGCACTCCCGAGAGCAGCGCTACTTCCACTCCGGTCTCAAGCACTTCAGCTAGCAGCACTTCCGTCTCCAGCACAGCACTCCAGTCTCCAGCAGCACTCCAGTCTCCAGCAGCACTCCAGTCTCCAGCAGCACTCCAGTCTCCAGCACAACTCCCGTCTCCAGCAGCACCCCTGAGAGTAGCGCTACTTCCACCCCAGTGTCGAGTACTTCAGCCGCCAGCAGCACTCCCGTCTCCAGCACAACTCCCGTCTCCAGCACAACCCCCGTCTCCAGCACAACCCCCGTCTCCAGTAGCACCCCTATCAGCAGCAGTACTCCTGTTTCGAGCACCACCCCCATCTCCAGCACCACCCCTATCTCTAGCAGCACTGTTAGTGCCACATCTGCTCTCCCATCTGCTACCATTGACAGCAAGATCCTTATCATTGCTAAGGATCTTGTCACCGCTAAGCTGGGTAGTCTTGGTCTTCTGGCCTATGGTATACCCTTCGAGAACCTCCTTGTGCCTTCCGCCGGCACTCAGCTGCCTGTCCTGAACTCTTCCCGTACCGTCGGCAACTATGGTGGTATAATTGTTCTCGACTCCGTGTCTTATGAGTATAGCGATGGCTGGCGCAGTGCCATCACTACGGAGCAATGGACGACTATTCACAACTACCAGACTGACTTCAACGTTCGTATGGTCCGGATCAACGAGTACCCTGGCTCTGGCTCTGGCACTCTGCCCATTGGTGGTGGGTGCTGTAACGCTGGTGTCAATCAGCCCGTCTACTTCTCCGATGTCAGCGACTTCGCTACTGCCAATGTCAAGATGTAAGTAGCCCTCTTTTCCTGTGTTGGTATATTATGTTCTAACAAGAGTGTCTCAGCAACGCCGGTGTCACTACCGAGGGTCTTTACCACGTTCCCGCTTCCGTTTCCGACGCCGCTACTACCAAGGTCGTCGCCAAGTTTGGCGCAGGCGGTGGCTTCGTCGATGGCACCGTCGCTGCTGTCATCAACAACTTCAGCGGTCGTGAACAATTCGTCTGGTTCCTGAGCTGGGCCCCTGAGTGGTCTCTGACCTCCAGCTACCTCCAGCATAGCCACATCCACTGGATGACTCGAGGTCTCTTCCTCGGCAAGCGCAAGACTCATGTCCTCGCTCAGATTGACGACGTCATGTTGGCCACTGGCATGTACGAACCCCCTACCGTCGAGACCAAGATCACTGTGGCCGATGTGGAGCATCACGTCGCCTGGCAGAAGAATCTCGCCGCTCGTCTTCCTCCTGGCTCTGACTTCCGACTGGAGATGGCCCACAATGGTAATGGTAACATCATGGACGCCACTCTTGGCGCCGGAGGTGACCTGGTCTGTGTTCCCGAGGAAGCTGTTTACTACGTGTACTTGCCTGATCCTCCCCATGAGGTCAAGAAGCCGATCAACACCGGCGTCGACCAGTGGCCAACTTGGGCCCAACAGTATCAGTGGCAGCCCAACTGCACTCTCAGCTCTCGTGATCCTCTTACCCAGTGGTTCGCCGTCCCTGCCAACCGCGATGAGTTCAGCCACATCTCGCACACGTTTACCCATCTCAACCAGAATAATATCACCTATGCTGATGCGTATCGCGAGATCAAGTTCAATCAGGACTGGTTGAAGCAGATTGGTATTGATCAGGCTCGCTATTATTCTGGCAAGGGTCTTGTACCCCCTCAGATCACTGGCCTCTATAATGCTGATGCCCTGAAGGCCTGGTTGGATGCTGGCCTTGATAACGCTGTCGGTGACAACACCCGTCCTATGACCCGAAACCCTGATAACGCCTACTGGCCTCTGATCACCAATCTTGACCGTAATGGTTATGACGGCGTCACTGTCATCCCTCGCTACGCCACCCGTATCTACTACAACTGCCACACCCACGCATGCAACTTCAAGGAGTGGCAGGATACCTCTGCGGGCACTGGCAACTTTAACGAACTTCTCCGTGTCGAGAAGGAGGCTGTCATGCGTAATCTCCTCGCCCTCCAGTCTGACCCCTATATGTTCCACCAGGCCAACATGTACTACACTGGTGTCGAGAGCATCACCATTGGTGACCAGACCGGCCAGATGTCTCTCGTTACTGCCTGGACTGAGACCGTCCTCCAGGAGCTCATGCGTCTCACCAACTGGCCCGTCATCTCTATGACTCAAGACCTCGTCGCTGAGTACTTCCGTGACCGCAAGGCAGTCGACGACTGCAACCCCCAGCTCGCCTATGGCTACTCTGACGATGGCAAGGCCATCAACAAGGTCATCGTCACCGCCAACGGTAACTCCTGCAGCAGACCCGTTCCAGTCACCCTCCCCTCGGGCTCTGCCTCTGCCTCTGGTGGATCTACCTCCAACGACAAGGTCGGTACTGAGCCCCCCATTGAGTGGGTTACCCTCAACGGCTCTCCCGTCACCCTTACCTTGGCCTCGCCCGTCACTGTCGCTCAGGGTTCGTCGCCTACTGTTACATAAGGGACTTCCCTAACCTTTTGGCGCAATGCTTAACAAGGGAGGGGGAAGGGGGACATTAAAAGCGGTTTTTGTACTACTTTCATGTGACGACTCGTCATCAATGCGATAAGCTTCTATTCAAGTCTGTTTGATATTTACTAGTTATGATTAATCCAATTTTTCAATGAATTGCCCGAGTATTTGCTTTCTCCTGTGTCCCGGTCGATATGTAAAATCTAGTACGTAGCTGTAAGATACCTATACTTATGAGCGCTTCGTGTCGCTCGTCTGCATATCGGCGAACGTTTGGGCCTGCGTCTTCGCTCACTCGCCCGTATGCCATATGACCCCTAACATGACATAGCGGCCGTGACATTCCACGAGAGCCCCAGGCTTTTGACACCGAACAGGTCTAAACCCCTTTGCAAGTCGTGAAGAGTGTACGCAGAAAGATCAGCGTGAAGGTGCGGAGCAAAGCAACCGCTCAGCTGGCAATGCACTTCCTGTGCTCTCCATCTTGTACTGGCCCATACGTTTGAATATGCCTGCGAAAAGACACTGCGTTGTACTTCTTCCGGCAAAGAGCTGACCGCTGCTCCGACTTCTCGCACCCTCTGCAGTGGAAGCCCCATTCCAGCTCGCCCGAAGACTCGTCGTACCATGGCAATCGGACCGCAGCTGCGAAGCGCAGCGGGTTGCCGGCCTTCCCATCAGGAGGTCCCCTGCGCCTGCCAGCTCGTCCCCGGGCAGCCGCGACGTACGCCTCCATCCCCTCCTGGGAGCCGTGTCGCGAGATGCCCGCCTCGCGAGCGGCGTCGTAGTCGACCAGGACCTGCTTGTTCTGCAGCTTCCCCCCCTCTGGCGAGTACCTGCCGCCCAGGGTCAGCAGCCGCGGTAGGGAATTCACGGTGCTGCTGTCGAGCCCGAAGTAGCGGCGTGCCCATTGCCGTCCCAGAGGCAGGAACGACAGGTGCGTCGAGAGGCACAGCAGGCAGAGCCGCCTGTAGGTGACCAGGTAGATGTAGCCGCCAAACTCTTCGCACTGGTCGCACGCGGGCTGGCAGAGCTTGCTGTAGAGCTCGATGCACGTTGCGCGATTGCTCGTGCCGATGATCCTGGCGCCGCGGACTGCGTTTCGGGCGTGCTTGCTGATGACGCCGTAGGTGGGCAGGGAATTGACCAAGGCGAATGAACCGTGGCTCGTGGATTGGAAGCTGATGATTGTGTCGATGTCGAGCTGGTTGAACACGATCTGTAGGCACTCTGGTGTCAGTCGGCCAAGAGTGCCGATGTTCGCCATGCCTTGGCGACAATTGATGGGTAGCAGAGCTTCAACTGACGGCAGGTTTTCGCCCAAAGGGTGATCATCAAACTGTCCCTCATACGCAAGTTCCTTCAGCTGCGCGTCGGACAGATGGGCACTCATACTTGCGGCTAGTTGCTTGTATATCTTTGCTGAAAGCGTTTCTTTGACGACGGTGCCCGCTGCCGAATCCTGGCGCATGTGTGGCGTGTTGAGGCTGGGCACAACTACATCTGGGTAGGTGGCCAGATACGAGTCGGTGACGATCCAAAACATATGAGTGCAACTTTGCACTGATCCGATGGGTATTCATTAGAGAGAAGCGAAAGGAGGGGGAAGTAGATGAGAAAAGGGTAAAAAAATCGACGCCTGCAAGATTCGAACTTGCGCTCCCGAAGGAAATGGCTTAGCAGGCCATCGCGTTAACCACTCCGCCAAAGCGCCGCCGATTGGTAGACAAGACCACAAATTGCGTATATGATTTTACTCTGAACAGTTTTTCGGGTCCGCGTGTTGGACCGAAGCGTGCCTGCGCGCTCTCATCGCCACCATTGTGTGGTAGAAGTGATGAACCGATAATGCAGGGGGACAATGGTGGCGATGAGAGATTGCACCATTGCCAATTGTATGTAGGACATCTCGTGAAAGGGCAATTTGACTGACTTCTATGGAATATCCAGCCCGGATTTAGAGGGGTTGAGCAAAGGCCTGGGCTAAAGAACAGCTGCTAAGAGTCGGGTGAAGCTTGGCAATCTTACAATTCATCTAGAAACAGTGGGGCAATACGCTTGGGGGTTTCTGCGGCAGGTAAAATATTTCTCCGCGTTGTCATTTTTCCAATTCGATTTTCTTCGAGACATGAAGAAGGCAGGCTGATGAGGAGAGTATTGAGCGCAAAGGGATCATATACTCTTCTTTGCTGCATCTTGTCATCAGTCGGCGGCGCTTTGGCGGAGTGGTTAACGCGATGGCCTGCTAAGCCATTTCCTTCGGGAGCGCAAGTTCGAATCTTGCAGGCGTCGATTTTTGCCCCTTCACGATACCGAACCCTCATTTGTTTGGCAGAAGGTTCTTGTTTTTTTGTCACAATCCCACCAACACTCCGATCGTGGCGACCAAGACGCATGCGCAAAGACGTGATATGAATGTCTCCATCTGTAGTGGTGAGAGTCATTCGGGGAGTGCATTGTCATCCGAAATAGCGACCTGACCTCAGTATGGTACCTACTTACTTAAACTACTGACATCCCTGGAATTCACTGGCATCAACAGAGCAAACAGTGTTTCTCCTCTGATATTATTTGGGAAAGTCCTGAATGACTTGCTTCGTGCCCTCCATCTTGGATATCAGTCGAGACTATTTGAATGATGGTAACGCGACGAACTCAGTGATCGGTTGTTGGTAGCTCTTTCCTCATCCCCTCATCGCCCTACTCCTAAACCAGACAGTTACATAAGTACATTGCGGAATCAAGAGAGTGCTTTGGTCCAGTGTTGCCGCTTCCTAAATCCGTCGCAGAAGGACAATACCTAGTGTAAGGTAATGGGCTGAACGTGATTTTCCCTACCCGCCATGGACCGTGGGTTTCCTCGCCTCTTCCAACGTTTGCCCAAAACGCGGCACCCTTCACCATCCCTGCTCCGGGAGGATCTGCACGGCGAGGAGATGCACCCAAAGGGGTGCAGGCCGGCTTACCAACAGCAGTCATGAAACGAATGTTCTACCAACGACTCGATGCTGGTCACGGAATTACTGCTGACGTTTGCGCGTTTGGACGGTAACCATTCTGATTGGCAAGGTGGTACTTAAGCGCTTTTGCAGGCCTCGCGTTTCAGCTGGCTCAGCCCGCTGCGACCTACACAGAGAGGCCTTGCTCAACCACCATCGAGCCATGCGTCTGCGCAAACAAAAGTCAAACTACCCATTCAAATACGGTGGCGGTGCAGGGAAGGATTGGGCTGCTTCTCTGCCGTAACGATGATTGCAAGTAGGCTGTGTAAGCGCCCGTCCAGCAGACTGCTGTTGGCTTGCACCTACATCCTACTTGGCTTGGCAAATGCAGGCGCGAAAAGGTGAGGCTGAGGTGAACAAAAGTGAGGACGGAGTGAGAAAGCGTGGCCGACCACGCAAACTCATCTGCCCACTCAGAACCTGCACTGCAAAACTCCCCTCCGATCGAAGCGAGAGATCTGGTTTTTCTCTCCTACATCCCATCCTTACCCTCCTCACGGGATCCCCCATCACCGAAAACACAACTTCTTAACCCAGCGCCCCTCATCGCGCTGAAAACACTCAAATCAGATTCATTCTTGGAGTCAACTTACTTCTTTACCCCCTTCACATACACGACAAGCCGATCGAAAATGGATGAGAAACATCCCGTCGATGTCAAGTTACCGAATGGCGAGAAGCTCCCTTCGTTCAACTTGGTTGATTCGTTCCTCCTTGAGAAGATTGATCGGCTGTTCGCCTGCAATGCAGGTGACTATGTTGATCTGCCCCAGCTCGTTGTTGTAGGGCAGCAGTCAAGCGGCAAGAGTTCAGTCCTCGAAGGACTGACCGGGCTCCCCTTTCCTCGAGACAGTGGTCTCTGTACTCGATTTGCCACACAGATCACCTTCCGCCGCTCCAATGAATCCAAGATTTCTGCTTCCATCATTCCCTCCGCAGACTGTTCTGACACGCATCGAGAGTGTATGGAGAGCTGGGGCAAAAAAGAGCTCGACATTCTGGATGCCAAGTCGTTCGCCGCCATCATGCGAGAGGTATGTAATCCTTTGACCTGGACCTTAGTTTTTTCCCCCATGTACCAACTCTATCTAGGTTATTGATTTGATGGGAGTGGGACCATCATCCGAACCGGGCTCTCCAGCCTTCTCCAAAGATGTCCTTGTTCTGGAAATTGCAGGCCCTGATCAGGAGCATTTCAGTGTGATTGATGTGCCTGGTACATTCAAGAAGACCACCGAAGGGCAGACCACGACAAGCGATATCGCTCTCGTTTTCCACATGGTCAAAGGGTACATGGAAAACCCAAGGTCTGTGATGCTGACCGTAGTACCATGCACCTCGGATATTGCGAATGAGGATGTGGTGCAGCTGGCAGATGACCTCGATCCCTATGGGAACAGAACACTGGGTGTCTTGACCAAGCCTGACTTGGTAGACGATGGTGCAGAAGGAGGGGTCCTCAATGTGATGAACGGAAAATCGCATAGATTGAAGTTGGGATGGCACCTTGTCCGAAACCTGGGGCAGAGGGAGCTCAAGGTCATGCCAACTTCCCGGGGAAGTCTGGAAGACAAGTTTTTCAAGACCAAGGCTCCATGGAACGCGATCGACAAGGCCAGGGTCGGTGTCGCAGCACTGAGGATACGGCTTCAGAAAATCCTCACCGATCATATTCGACGCGAATTCCCCAAGGTAAGAGGAACCGCCCTACACAATCGAAATTTGAAGATGCTGATAGTAGCAAATAGGTCAAAGCAGATATCAGGAAGAAACTACAGGAAGCTGAGAAGGCGCTTCGTGTGATGGGGCCGAAGCGCCAAACTGCACAGGAGCAAAGCCAGTTTCTGACCGACATCGCATCCGAATTTCAGGATCTCGCCAACTCTGCGTCTCGGGCTCAGTACGTTCAATCCGACTTCTTTGGAGAAGTTGCACGTCGGCGCCTGGCAACTGTAGCCGTCAATAGAGGCGAGATATTTGCCGAGATCATGACCGACATGGGACACGAGTTTGACTTTGCGGACGAGGAGAGCGACGGAGATGACGAAAACGAAGATGACGGAGATGACGAGAACGAAGATGACGAAGATGACGAAGACTGCGACAGTTCGGATGAGGACGGGTGCGTCGCTCCTAGCTTCGACGACGAGTCATTTGGTTCTGGAACCTCCCGCAAGTCTACCAGACTGGTGACAGAGGATGGCGACATTGTAGATTACGTCACAGAGGCAGAGAAAATTGCCTCTCCTCGAAGTGACGACATCCTTGAGTGGCTCACGGGAGTACACCGCAAGAACCGGGGCTTCGAACTTGGATCTTTTGACTGCGCCCTTCTGATCATGACAATGCAGCACCAGGCTAGGAAATGGAAGGCTCTAGCCAAGGGCTACATCAGCGACATGATCGCGATTGTCCACACCCTCGTTTTGGATCTCCTGCACCATGTTGTCCCGGACAAGAACCTTCTGGGCAATCTAGTATCAGTTCTGTCGGAGCATCTTCAAGCCAAGTACCTCCGAGCCATGGAACAGACGGACTTCCTACTCAGAATCGAGCTGGAGGGGACACCGGCTACGTACAACCATGTATTTACCGAGGTTCTGAACAAATGGTACGCACCGAGATGCATCACACTCTTGGCTCATTACTGACAATCATAGCCGCGCCGAGCGAGTGAAGCGCCAGCTGGAATCTCGAGTCATCGAGGATGCAGACCTTGGATCAGTTGTCCGCCTGGATGACATAGTTCAAACACACCCGCTAAGCAACAATGCGCAGGTTGTGCAAGAGATCCATGACATTCTCAAGTCATATTATGAGCTTGCCCGCAAGCGCTTTGTGGACAATGTGCGCATGCAGGCTGCTGATCACTTTCTGGTGACCGGTCCAAACACGCCTCTGAAGCTCTTTTCACCCCGGTTTGTATCGGGTTTGACTCCTTCACAGCTCGATGAGGTCGCAGGTGAGGAGCAAAATGCGAGGAGGCAGAGAGCTAGGCTGGAGAAGGAGATCGGTCTGCTCAAGGAGTGCATGACAATCCTTCGATGATCTTGATGGATGCGAATTTTCTCTCTCGTCTGTAGGCTAGAAGTCTCATAGCAACCCTAAATCTATTCCATAGCTGCGCGACGCTGGGTGACGCTATTGTCTACCTCCTACAGGCTGATTGCCAGCATGCGTTTGAGTGTCTCTAACCACCGAGTTGATACTTTTCGCCACATACTCTATATTCTTTGCATTGAGCCCTGGTATCGTTATGCGGCCATTTGGCACCATGTATATGTGGTACTCGTTCTTCAATTCCTGGCACTGCTGAGGGGAAAGAGGCAGCAGACTGCAGCGGTTAGCATCACGACTCGTGACAAGAGCTCGCCAAGGACGTCCTACCAAAAAAGCCCAGTTCCTTTGGTAATTACACTCCAATCTCCGGGAGTCTGTGATTTTTTCAGTATATAGATTCTATGACTTGATATTGCTGGGCCTCTTAGCCTACCTTGTAAACGTTGCTCAGCAGGTCGAAGAGCTTGGCGCGGAGAGTGTGGAGCCGTTGACGAAGGTCGTTGAGCTCTTCATTCCTGAGAGGCCAAGAGTCAGCACAGCGAGGGCATGAAAGGAGCGCTCCCTTCTTTTACTTACCAGGAAGCTTCTAGACTGGAATCGGAAAGCACATGAGTGACCAGTCGGGCACCAAATGCAGGGGATGACGAGAATTCTGATCGGATCAAGAAGCGAAGCTGGTCATGAATTGCCATGGCGGCTTTCTGCGTTAGGGCGACTGCATGGAGTGCTCCGACTCTCTCGCCGTAGAGGCCAAAGTTCTTGGAGAAGGACTGGCAGACAAGCATCTCGAGGCCCTCCTGCGCGAAGTGGCGGACGCAGTAAATGTCCTTCTCCAAGCCATTTCCTAGGCCTTGGTAGGCAATGTCAAAGAGCGGGATCAGCTGCCGTCTCTTCATGATAGTAGCCAAGTCCCGCCACTGCTCCTCGGAGAAGTCTGCGGCAGTGGGATTATGGCAGCATGCCTGGAGAACGAATATGCTTCCCTGGGGCGCGCTGGAGGCAGCCTCGGTTACGCTCTCCCAATCCACCCCACCGGTCTCGGGAGAATAGTGCTTGTATGATTGGAAGTCAAGTCCGGCAAGCTTCGTCATGGGCTCGTAGTTGCCCCATGCAGGTGTACCGACGTAAACGGTTCTCTTCTTGCCGGGGACCGAGTGCGAGAGGAACATGAGGGCGACGTGGATGGATCCGGTGCCAGATATCGTCTGTACTGATGCGACCTATGGTTCGATATTAGCACACCGGCCCCCTCTGGGTGGACACACCAAATACCTGGCTAGAAGCCACAAGTTGGGAGTTCTTTCCAAATACTAAGGCTGCTGCAAGTTGTAAATATTTGCTGTTTCCCGTCGTAACTTCATACTGTAGATACATTAGCAACCTGTCGATGCATTTGTGGGAATCAGGGACGTACATCATGATCAGGGTTTGAAGTTGCTAGGTACTCTTTGGCCTACTCCATGATTAGCGAAAAAGGGCTGCGGTTTCAAGCAAGACCGCTGGACGGAAAATACATCTCTGAGGGCCTTGAGCTCATGGTAAGCGCCCTTTTCGTTGCGGTAGATGCCGACGCCAAGGTCAACCTTGTTGGGACTGGTATCGCCGTCCGCCTGTACCTTGAGATGGTACATGATATCGGGCGGACCCTGCTGGACGCTGTCAAAGAACATTTTGGGAGGATTGAGAGGCCAAAAACTTGAGAGTTTTGGAACGAGTTACTACGGTTTGTAGAACATATTGTTGCTGAGCAGTGGAGGAAGGAAGGCCTGGGATACATAATGCCACAGGTCCCTCGCTATTCGTTCGCTGTCTGAACGTTCCCCACTTCCAACCAAACGACTTCGGGGGCAGCGACCGAGTTTGAAGTCGCCATTCGGATTAGCGGGTGTTGTTTATCGGCTAATTCCTTCGGTGCCCTTTGTTGGATTCAAACGAATACGGCTAATAATAAGTGGTTAATTGGATCAATAATGTGTGTGTATTCAATGTTGTTGTGGGTGTGTTGTGTTGTTGTCACCCAATAACGGCTCTTCTCGGCCCCTTGTGTATCAATCCGACCGCCTCTCTCCCTTATTCAAATCTCGGGAGGTACCTTGCGCCAGGACGGATCCAACCCCCTTGAACGTTCGGCCCCATCGTTGTGGGTAAGGACCCGGCCGCTTGCGCTGTGCTCGGAGGAGTCGCCCGAAACCACCACTTACAAAACCGCCCCTGAATCACAGTGGGAAGTATTTCACTGAATCCCAATGGGCCCTGATCGAATCAAAAAACCAGTACAAAAGATTGAAAAATGGTATCAAACTTCAACAACAATCTGGAGAGTCGCGTTGCCTCAGGCCAGCTCTGCAGCTCGTTCGGGATCAAGATCTCGTCCAACGCGCAGGTGGTCCAGATGGCAAGAAACGCAGGGTTCGACTCGCTCTTCATTGACCTGGAGCACGGCTGGCTCACATTGGCCGAGGCCAGCAACCTCTGCAGCGTGGGCCATCTTAGCGGCATCACCCCTTTTGTCCGTGTGCCTCACCAGTGCGGCAACGGCTTCGTCCAGCGAGTTTTGGACGGAGGGGCCATGGGCGTTGTCTTCCCACACATCCACAATGCAGGTATGTTTCCCCTACCGATTGAAAAAAAAGAGGCCAATATTCCGCTGGCTGAGGCACACGCTAACCTCTGCATGTGCTAGAGGATGCAAAGGCAGCTGTGAGAATCTGCAAGTACCCCCCTTTTGGGAGTAGGTCCATGATGGGCAACCAGCCCATTTTCGCCACGCAGGGGGTGAGCATAGACGATACGATTAGCTTCTGCAATAAGAGTGGTTCTACTGTATTTGTGATGATCGAAGGCAAGGATGCCGTGGAGGCTGCCAATGAGATCGCTGCGGCCGATGGAGTCGACGTTGTTCTCGTTGGGTCTTCCGATTTGACCGTGGACATGGGAATCGGCGGCCAATTCAACAATCCCATCTATCGACATTCATTGGAGCGCGTGAGTCAAGCATGCAAAGCACATGGCAAGATCTTTGGGGTGGCAGGGGTCTACGATAGCCCTGAGATCCAAGACTGGATCATCAACAAACTTGGGGCTAGGTACATGCTTGTTCAACAGGACACCTCGTTGTTAGTGGCGGGAGCTCGGCAGGCAGTCCAGTCTCTACCAAAAGCTAAGCAGATTTGATAGTAGTATCATTGCTATCTATCCTCTAGGGGGCTAAAGGGACATATCAGCGTTGTAACTCAAAACAGAGAAGGGATGTCAAATCGTGCTATCGTTCAAATAATTCCGCAAATGGCCATTATATAGGCAGCCAATGATAACAGGCCAAAAGACGCCAATGACAGAAGTGTCAAGCAAGTGCCCACGCATTGGTTTGTCAGATGGAATAAACGTAGCTGTCCTCCCAACTGCAAACCCAAACCAGCTCATCCCCCCAAGACAATTCCTTCCAAGTATTTAGCATAGTTGGCGATTCTTGCGGGAAAAAAGCCAACTCGCTAACAAAACACCGAACGTCATCGTGGATAAAGTTCATGAACAGCGCCGGAGACTTCCCAGGCACAGAGATAGGGCTCTCCGCCCAATCCATGCGAAAGCTACCGACGCTTTTCTCCGATGAGTCTTCATAGCGTAGTAGTAACCCAGATATATTGGAGGGTAGTCCCGCTCTTCTTGACCTGCAGACGATTATTTCTGAAAGATTATGCAGACTGGCTGACGACTGAAATAACTCCTTGTCCCGGTGGCGGTCTGGCAGAGGATACGGGAGGATAGGGGGAAGGGGTTTGAAGGGATTGAAATATCGCGAGCGGCTCAGCCCTCTATGCTGTGGCCCAACGACAAATCCACTTGTGCCTCCTTCGAAACGAGGGGATTCCATCCATACTGTATCAGGGGCGAGTCCTGAAAATGTTGATATACAGTCCCATCTCCACGTGTCGTTCCACGTGAGTGTCTCCTCGAGACTTGTTCTTTCTGTGTATGGGCCGACAATCAAGTCCCGTTTTAGGCTTGTTCGAAACTGTAGAGAACCATGGATCAGTATCGTCATTGAGTAGATCGGGGACAGACAGAAGGGGCACTTACTGTCAAGGTAAACTCGTGTCGGGGAGACATGTCTCGATTGAGCAGCATGCTAAGCTCCATGAGACGCTCTCCCTCGACCGTTGGAACATATTCCCAGACGTATTTGTTAGTGTAGCGTGCCACGTCCTCATAAAAAGATAAGCTTTCACCTGGCTGGTGTGCGTGGATATGCACCAGCCCCATCCCTTTCTTTCGCTCACTTTTCCAGCTGGGGATATTGATCCAACAGACCGAGTATCCGGTGCAGCCAGGCTGATTGATGGGAATAGATACCATATTAGTTATTGCTCTAGGGGCGAGAGACGGGTAGAAGAACAATTGGTCAATGTCTCGAGGAGATATAGGTTTAGACCAAAGGCAACTATCAGGAGAGACCGGTCGACCTAAGCCTAACGGATTTTTTCTCCCCGGACCGTAATGAAGTTTGAGTGACTGAATGCTTAATATTAGATCCGTAATCGTACGAAGACTGTTCAGGTGAGGAACTTACATCGGTGGCAAAAGAAATCTTTTCTCCCACCTCCAGCGGCACTACCCGCCACCACGCAGACATCCCGGCTTTGTGTGCAGGGGGCTGTGCTGAGGATATCATCTCTCGAATCCCTAAATGGTCCTCCATGATATACAAGGGATGCTCCAAGGCCATATCGGCCGCTCGGAGAGCCAGCTTGGCTCCAGAGCTTCGTTTGTTTGCGAGCTTTGACACATAAGGGATGCCATCAATTTTGACATGGGTTGCCCACACATCCTTGGCCGTGCTCACTTCAGTGCTGTCGCGAAAAGGCAGACTCAGCATTGAGCAGATGGCAAATTCGGAGACTAAATGGTCGGCAATTGACTTCCAAATTTCCAGAGGTAAAGAAACCCGCGATTTGAAGCGTCTGGAAAGAAGTATGGCTAGTTGACTTCGGATATGAAGCAACCTGCGCTTCTCTTCAGAGACCGGAGGTTCGTAGGTGTATAGGCTCGCGGCAAAGAGCCTACCCATGGGGTTGCCCTTGTTGGGCTGCCATAGGAGCTTCGCCTTCGAAAACATCTCTTTCGCACGCGAGTCAAATGTTTGTTTTTTGCTGCCGATATTGGCCATCTGTTGCTTCTTTGGACTGAAGATTAAGGACAGGTTGGATTTGTTTGCGGCCTTGGTCACGGTAGTGCCTGATAATTGCAAATGGTGATCAAATTGCACGACACTTGCAGATGCTTGGGCCGCATGTACCGCGTCCCTGGGCTCAAGCTTGTTGGCGAAATGGAGACATGAGAGATGACAGCCGGTGCCAAGATGGTGGTCGCCGTCTGCTTTATCTGCGGAGGAGGTGCACACGATGTCTGCCTTTAAAGCGTTATCAATATGCGAGTCATGGTAGGCGTAGAGAAATGGCTTTGAATGTTTGTTATTGAGCGTAACTGTGAGTTTCCAAGGTTAGCAAGTGCTGGGGATCACCAACGAGGAGTTTATCACAACTCACCCACGACAACCTTATCGCCTTCTTGAAACTTGAAGCGACAGAGTCGGCAATGAGGGAAGACACGCAGGGTCTGCATCCCGCGTAGCCTTCCTTCTGCGTAGAGTGACTCCATGTTTTCCTTATTTTCCACTCTTTCTAGAGGAGAAAAGCCGTTCGATGATGACGACGGAGCGGCGGGTGAAATTGAAGGCTGGGCGGCCATCATGACAGGATAAAAGTTGTATTTGTAGCTACACTTTCCCAGACCTCAGAAATAATCGCCCCTTCGGTTTCTCGTTGGAAGCGACAAAGAACTCGTAGTTGTGGTGATGAAAGCATTGTTTTGTTTTGGTTCAACTGGCAAACTTGCTCAGGTGAGGACATTGTGGGAGGACCAGGTGCAGCCAGCTGCCTGGCTCCCTGAGAAGGCACTACCCATCGAACAACTGCCACGCACAGGCCACTCTAGTTCTAAAACTGTTTTTGAAAACACCTGAGCAATTCACAGCCTGCTACCTAGGTGTGAACTACTATTATGTGAATTGTTTGTGAGTCACTCAGGTGATGTGATCCCTCACCGTGTGAGGGAGGGCGAGTTCCAAGATCTGACATCGTAGCAATGCCTATGTACCCACCTATCTATCAGCTCACCCCTCGACTATTCTTTCTATTTTGGTCTCCTGATGTGAGTAGCGGGAGGGTACTTGTTACTTAGTTGCGATCAACAAGCGATCACACCTGGAGGCATTCATGTTGTCCGAGTCATGTACCTCGGATGGTGCCCCCGAAAAGAAGGACTCTGGCCTAGGTATGTAGCTTGGTAGAATTTTTAATAAGCGTGTATCTTCACAAAAAGTGCCCCATACGAATGCGAGTCTACTCAAAATTATGCTGGCCCCCGCTTGACTTCGTACTTGGCATCGTCGAATCTCGCCATATGCGAAAAACATTACGTACTACCAACTCGGCCCCATGGGGTAGAGGCTATCGAAGTATCCACTTGCAAGGAGAGTACTTCGGATGCGTGCCCCGATATCTCGGTGTCCTCTCGTCTCTTATCATCTCGGTGGAGGAAAGTGGTTCGAGAACGCAATAGCGGGCTGCCGACCTGGCACCTGGCAACCTGAAAACATATTTCAACTAGACCGCCTTCCAATAGGTTGTCCAAATGTCATTGTCTCTTCAGCTCAGCCCAACTTCTAGTCACTTGCAGCTGATTTTGACGCAAAATTCTTGCTCTAGCAACAATGATCCAAGCAAACTCCAAGCCAGAGAAAATGGAGGATGGCCTCACACCAACACAGTCTCGTGATGGGGTGGGAGAAGTCTTACCGCAGAACGAGCTCCGCCGAGATTTCAAGCCCCGACAAGTCTTCATGTTCTCTATCGCGTGCGCCATTGGAACCGGACTGGTTATTGGCTCAGGAACTGCACTCTCTCGGGGAGGTCCAGCAAGTCTCTTGATCAGCTACCTTGTCATTGGCACCGTGGTCTTCTTTGTTATGACAGCCCTGGGAGAGATGGCCGCGTTTCTGCCCATGAACAAAGGCTTTGGTGGCTATGCTACTCGAATTGTTGATCCCGCCTTCGGGTACGATTTTCCCTGTACAGCTCACGAGAAGGTAGAGGCTTACACACTTACAGATTTGCTACCGGATGGAACTACTTCTTCAAATATATCATCGCAACCCCTACCAACCTTACTGCTGCTGGCCTTGTCATTCGATACTGGAGGCCTGATCTGAATGTTGGAATCTGGATCGCGGTGTTTGGGTTCGTGATAATCTGTATCAATGTGAGTCTCACTGCCACCTCCTGATCTGATCAGCTAAATTGATAAACCAGATCTTTCACGTCAATGCATTCGGAGAGACAGAGTTTTGGCTCGGAACCATCAAAGTCATAGTCATGTGCATCCTGATATTGACCTGCCTCGTATCTGCTCTCGGCGGCGGACCCAACCACCATCGAACCGGCTTTCAATATTGGAAGGACCCCGGTGCTTTCGCCTCATACCTCGTCAAGGATAGCATGACTGGCAGATTTCTCGGGTGGTGGGCATGCATGTGTCAGGCCTGCTTTGCGTTTACAGGGACTGAGGTCGTGGGCATGACCTTTGGCGAGACGCCCAATCCTCGAAAGAATATTCCGCGAGCGGTCCGGCAGACCTTTTGGAGGATCTCCGTCTTTTATATCCTCGGTGTGGTTGTTCTTGGCATGGCCGTGCCGTATGATAATGAGCAGCTCATTGGCGCAACAAAGCAATCGACCAGCGCAGGTAAGCAGACGAAGCTGGCATAATCATCACAAATTATTCAGTGCTCACAATATCTTAGCCGCTTCGCCATTCGTTGTTGCCGCTACATTAGCTGGCATTAAAGTATTCCCGGATTTCATCAACGCTTCTCTCCTAGTCTTCACCCTCAGCGCGGCCAGCTCAGGTATGTACCTCCATGCCCGTGAACAGCAAGCTGCCATCTTCGGTATCTAACATCCTACCCGTTGTACAGACATATATTGCTCATCCAGATCCCTCTATGGCCTAGCAAAGGATGGCCAAGCCCCTAGGATCTTCGCCAAGACTATGGGCAATGGCAATCCAATTTGGGCGGTGGCCTTCTCAAGCAGCTTCTTCGCCCTCGCGTTCCTCAACGTTAGCAAGTCCTCGGCGTCTGTTTTCCAATATTTCGTCAGCCTCGTTACAATCTTTGCCGTTCTCAACTGGATTGCCATCTTGGTCTCGCACATCTCGTTCCGTAGGGCGCTGAAGGCGCAAAATATCGAACTTGACAGCCTCCCCTATGTCGGACTCTTGCAGCCATATGGTTCATACTTCGCCATATTCATCTCTGTCCTTGTAATAATTTTCAATGGTATGTCTACCTGCCCGCGCCCATTCCCATCTCCATGGAGCTCCTACTGACAGGTGGACGTCAGGCTACGATGCTTTTATCCCGCATTTCCAGGCCGACACATTTGTTTTGAAGTACCTAGGGAGTGTCCTGTTTCTAATAAACATCACCTTCTGGAAACTCTATAAAAAGACGAAGAGAGTCAAGGCTCTCGAGGTGGATATGGTGACGGGCAGACGGGAGTTTGAAGAAACAGAGAGTCCTGCCGATCATGAGTGGAATGAGAGCTTCTGGAAGAAAGCGATCTGTAAGTTGAAGATGGTTAAAGATTGAGATTTATTCAATGCTTTCGTTTTTATCATGTAATGAGGGCTCACACGTGTCCTTGAGCACATGTCACTACTACGAGGTTACCAGACAAAGACGTTTAGCTACTGTCAACTAAGATTTGGATATTTTGAAATAGATAAATATCTTCACTGTTGAGAAATTGACGTGAAAGCCCGGCTAACTTTCTGATAGAGATATTCACTCAGGCTACTGGTCCGGAGGAAATTTCTTACAGTCTGGTGTAGGAATTCAGCACGTTCATGCCGGACCTCAAGTAATCCACCACACCGTGCGTTGATTCGTCGGTGACATTGTTGCAAAATCTCCTATGAATTGTGTAAATCTTCAAGATTCTTGGATTAGTCATCCTCTTCCTCGCACTCGCAAGCCTCATAGAATTGTAGAGGCAACGGTTGGTGTGCATTAACGGGAATTTGTAGAATGCTTGCCATTCTTTGATAATAAAGGGGGCACGCGGTTCAACATGCAAGGTACCTGGGTACCTAAGTATAAATCAAGCAAATCGAGAAGGTACGTTGGGGAAATGGCGGAACGCTCAAGCAAGTCGATGCGTCGCTCCTTCCATTTGCCGGCGATCGGCACTCCTCTTCTTCCACCTTGCCGCAACTTCAAGCCGGTCTCATCTTCCCGCCATGTCCCTCAACCCTCACCTGCAATTGACTAACAGGAACCCCATCGAATTCTGTCAGTCGGATCTTGGGTCTACCACTCAAACAGCTCCTCGTCGCATCAGGCCAGACTCGGAACGTCCCATCGTGGGCAATCTACCCAAGAAAACCCCAGCCAGTGGCTAATCAACGATTCCTCTGCTACGCCTTCCACAACATCAAACTCCCAGCAAGCTCCAGATTTTGAGTCTATCTCTCCTGTAGAGTTGGAAGGCTGACTAGGATATTACAGAGAGCTTCTCGCCCTCGCGAAAACGGAGAGTTCGGCCAGCAAGGTGGCCAACAACCGCCGTAAAAATAGCTTCCTCAACCAACACACCCTGGCACTATTTTCCAAAGCCGCACTGTACATCACTGGCCGAACTCGAGCGCCCCTGCCACATAGAACAAACGAGTGTCCTTCAAAGGCGGCTTCTTGCTTTCAGCCCTCCGAGAACACCTTTAGCGCCGGTGGCTGTCAAAGCGAATAGACCAGCACAAAGAAATCGACGCTTTGTCCATAGGCTTGTTTCTCATCTCTCCCATAGCCCCTGGCAAGATGGGGCTGGCAAAGAAAACGAGATGAGTAAAACGGCATGCTCGCGAACGAGTTGAAAGAATGTGATTCCTACTGAATATTCTACCTGATATCTAGCATCACCACAAGCGCCCACCATGAATCTCCAAGTCTTGAGTGATTCAATTTGTGGCTCACTATTCTCAGTCCTTACTTCTTAGCGAACGAAAACTAGAACTAGGCCTAGTAAGAATGGTATCTGAGGATTGAAATAACATGCTAGCCCTAAAAAGGCTTGTAGTAGGAAATTCTAGCTGAGGGGGTGTGTGGTTTAGGTAAAAGTCTCTTATTCATCCACCAGTCTCAGTCGCGCATGATTAGATGGTCATGGGGTGGGTGCAGGCAGGCATACCGAGATGATTTTATGTATTTCCCCCCTGGCGAGACAATAACAAGCTTATTCGGGTCCTGATTCTCACGGGACTGACTTCACAGATTGGCCAACTGTGAGAAACAGTCACCTCACTTATACAATCCCATCGATTCCTTTGATAATCTCACTATAAATCTGAGCAGTGCTCCTCCAGGGCCAAATAAGATAGCTTGGGGCTACATTGACGTATCGGGGACAGGGTCATGCTTGTGATTTTCTTTTATTCATGACTCACCAGGCTTCCAGGAGCGCAGCAATGTGTCTGCAAATAAGCTTGGCCCCAATCTAGTTCTGGGAAACAGTTCATCATTGTGTTAATGAGGAATTAAATAAAGATAGGGATTCACAAAGCACATATATTGAGCGCCGTGACTAAGAAACCCAGTCACGCCTAGATCTTTGCATCACTGAATCATTATTATATCAACCAAATCAAGGAATTCGGCGCGAAAGCGTAGTGATCTGAGAACACCGCATCACCTGGAGCTCTCATAGACCTGTCATTGTTGGTCCATGTAACATAGATTCACAGTTAGTGTAGCGGACCTCTTCAATGCGAGAACGTTATATATTTGCCAGTCGTTGTGCCTTTGTTCTTCGGTCGACTGTCTGAGATTCAGTCCACCATAGACGATTCAACTCACCAAGCACCCACAGACTAACGCTGACTCAAAGGAAGAGCCCATCTATCGTTGCCGCTTGTCTGAAGATTAATCACGCACAGTGGAAACGACCACCAGAGATATGGCATGTCAGTCAGAACCCCCCTGCGGCTACTCAGTCCGTATATCTTCCGAGGATCCGATGTTCTAACATTCAAGCAGCTCTGATCAAAGTACTGTTTGTCGTGGGCAAGAATGAGAGCCTGAGACGAAAACTACTGCACTTCTGGGACGAGTTGACTTCAACCATTGGTTGGAGAATAACAGGCTATGGGAGTTGGGCCGTGGAAGAGGGTTCCGTGCCACTGCCCGGTCTCATAGTCGTGACAGCCAGAGAAGGTTCCCTGCAATGCTTCCCAGATTCAGCGGAGGCAATTTTGCTCGCCCACGACTTTGTCCGAGTCAAGACGATCACGGGACACCAATCGATAAACGCGCGGTATTTCAAGGCGCCTCAAAGAATTCTTCCTACCGTTAGGCGTTTCGCCCTTCCGAGCCAGGCACTGAACTACCCCAGCATGTTCAAAGTCATCCTTGGTGGGCGATCTACCAACCAGACAGTCTTGCGGGTCAAGTGGCAAGGATTCTGGTACAAGTTTACGGAGACGAGAACTTGGCGGTGGACCAAGTTCACCCAGTTCTCCTTCCACAACAATACGGTCCTGGTCACGACGGCAGAGTCGGAGGTGTCGAACGCTCTATACACGATGGCCCAGGAGATACTGCAAGCTCACGGGTTCAGAGCCAAGCTCCCTGAGACGCAGATGATCCCGGAGTTCCAGTCCCCCGCCGAAATTCCCGATGTCGAAGTGAACGATTTCCTCACTCACCCCAGATCCAGACTCGTCAAGGTCTTATTTGTGGAGAGCACAGGACCGAATGTTCCGCTACCTCGCCCCAGGCTGCGAAAGTTCATGGATAGTTTGGTAGCATCTAAGCCCGGCACCAGAGCCGGATATAACTGGAATTTCTCCCGCGATAATGAGATTCTTTTCTCTGCAGGATCCGACATAACCCGCTTCAACGAACTGGCTCGTCTCCTCCAGATAAATGGCTTCTCTTTTTTGGGACACCAGGAAGATGTCCCAGCATTCCAGGCCCCTCTCATTGTCCCCGAGTTTCGTGCTGTTTAAGTCTATCTTGTTTTATTAGCTCACACGCATCACTCCTCTACCACAGGGGTACCTTCGACTGGTCTCATGATCATGCCGAACTTGTTCGACAGTATCAGTTTGCTGTTCTTGGTGACATTGTTCTTCCGTATTCCTTGATGAATTTCGTTGGCGGTTGATTCCAAGAGGCTTTTTACAATAAGATACCCAGGTTTGCTCGGCGTCTTTCGGTTTGCGCTTTCCGCGATCTAATCCTAGCAACACAATGTAATCGCAGGAAATCAATAATGGGGTACTACTTTATTATAATTCAGTTCTATCTTCTTATCTCTATTCTCATGACAGAAATAACAGAAAATCTTTTCGTTGTCTCATAATTGCTTCTATAGCTTGGCATTGACGCTCTCCTCGCGGCCCTGGAGGTTGGGATGAGGAGTGCGGATCGGACGGGTCACGGCATAGAAAGCCAGGCCGTTGGACTTAGTAGAGAACTGAGGGAATTATATCTATTAGCTTCATGCGTATTATTCGCAGATTGCGAGGATAGGGGAGAGTTTCTGTAGTGGGATCGAGGAGTTGGGGAAACGACGAACCTTGACCTTGGATCCAACGTAGAAGAAGGCAAAGTCTCCAGGGACTAGGTGGTGAGTGATGCCAGTGGCCTCGTCCTATTTCAATTGTTAGTCCAAATCGATGACTTCTGGTAAGGATCCGGGCATTTCTGCTAATGAGATATTTCCAAATAGATAGATGATATCCCATGCTTGCAATAAGGTAGTGAGAATGGAGTGACATACCAAAATATCAATCTGGCCCTGGAGGACATACTTGGTCTCCTCAAAGGTGTAATGAGCGGGGCGAGCAGGTCCAGCAGTGATCTTGTAGAACCCAGAGGTGAAGTGAGATGGCGAGTCCGTCGTCTTGGTGCGGATGGAGTGGAAATCAGCTGTGGTAGCGTTCTCACCCTGGGGAAGGGGAATGAACTCAGAGCCAGCGCCCTTGATGATGGTGAGAGGAACGAGCTTGTCAGACACTGGACATAAGGTTAGAACTTCTCGTCCTCAGGTCGGTTTAGGGGCAAGCAACTTACTTTTTACTAGTTTGGTGTATTTGTAAGATAGACAAGAATATCAATTCGAAGATTAAGTTGGCGGGGCATATCGACTAATATACTTTCCGTCAGGAGCAGATAGCGACATATTCGGTGCATTCTCGGGATGCGTCGCAAAACCCCTTGGCGGTGGTGAAATCGGGACCATTCCCGCCTTTTAGATCGCCATACTGCCAATTAGAGATCATGCCGGCAGCCATTTATTCTAGCCTGCAGGCGGCACGCGTAGGCTAACCCCAGATGGGGAGTAGATCTCCATCCATCCTGAACCAAATTCAGGAGAGCATGTCCCGATACTGATCTTGTTTTGCTCGCGGCAAAACCTCCAAGTCAGGAAGCCGTCACAAAGACAGGGAAAATAGCATCAAAACCCTGCTTGAGGCTTGACAGGATCAATCTTCCCACTTGAGGTATCAAACACGGTTCAAGGCCCATTTCATCTTGGAAACAGGGGCAGCAGGGAGACTACTGCAAGATGCGCCGGCCAGCGATCCGATCAGGTGATCGGCTGCCGTCCGTAGACCATCTTCTCGACCAGAACCAAGTCTTCGGCTGACGAACCGATCAGATGTATGATGGTGCCTTTCCTGAAGTAGCCAAGCTCGAATCAGCTCAAACAAATTCCCCTCTCTGAATTGGTCGGACGTTATTCGGAGTTCGTCTTATCTGTCATCGTAGCATCCCTCTTTGTAAAGTTGGGCGTATAGCTGGCTCTGATGTATGAGACGATGCATGTCGATTCGTAGATTTTACTGTACTCGAAGATCGAGGACTGCGTTGTTCTTGGCCCTTCCTTTGATCTTATTTATCTCGCTTCTATTGCCATCTACCATGTCAGCATCGACCAATATTTCTCGTCGGGCACGTACCCATCGTAATGCCGAAAGTCTCGATTTAAACGCTGAAACGACGCCCGGTTACTAGTAGGCCCAATTAGCAAACATTTGGAGTCCAATCAGCTGCTTGACGAGGAGGAATTAAGCTTTCATACCGGCTCGGGTTGATCTGTGGCAACAGAGCTAACGCAAACGGCTTTGCATCTTGGATATTTGGAAGGTTGAAAACAGAGAAGAATGCAGTGCTCAGGGTGTTCGAGTGTTTGTCTTGTCGAAAGTGCTCGGATGGTATAAGTAAGAATGCAATATCAAGGAGTGCAGGAGTGCTCATGGGAGATCATTTTTTCCGAAACATGTCAAGGAAGGACCGACACTGTTCCAATCGGTCTGGTCTCGTGATCAGCCGGAGGAAGTATGAGTTGGGCAAGTTGGGCGGTGAGAGAACTGAAGGAATTCAGAACAGGGAGCAGGATAGGGGGCTTCCACGGCCTAGAGACCTCGCAACATCGCAGCATAGGGGCCAGATAGGTGCCCAAAGGTGTGTGGATCGCGCGATAACAACTGCTATTGACATCTCTTACGTCATGAGCTAACTTTTCTACTTTATACCTACTGAGATGTATTTCCCAACCGTCTTGTTCCAACTGACACGCAGCCAGAGCCCATCCACACCTCCCGCGGCATTAGGAGAACAATGCACACACCATTTCACGCAGCACTCCTTTGTGCAGCTCCTATGCTGACAAGATACCGAGTTTCCTGCACAACATCCCATCTCAATACTTAAAGAGCGTTTGTTCGGTGCCGATAGCTCGTTTGTTCCTCATCGTGTAATAGAATCGCATCAAGAGACAGCCCACGGAGACCATTAGCAAGAAGCCGGCATTGATCCAGTGGCCCATCGGGTACCCCTTGGCAGCCTCCTCTGCCTTATAGATCCATACACCGACGATTTGGCCCGGCGCGCCCATCGAGATGTTGAGGGCAATTGCCAACCCGATGGACGCTGTCGAGTGCAGATTAGAGGAAAGCCATCCGAGGAGTGGGGGAATACAGGCAAAGGAACCCGAGGCTGCGATAATGAGACATCCATAACGAGCCTATACGTTCTAGTCAGCTGGCCGGCCAAAGTATTGGAAGTATCGCCGCATGGACGACTCACACTATACGCATGCGGGGGGAGCGTGGCAGAAGCAATGAAACCGACCGCACCAAGAAGGGAAAATATGGAGGAATGAAGCGCACGACTAACGATCTGCGTGTTAGCACCTCAATCCAAGAAGAAAGGACTGTTCACATTCGCTTTTCCTTACGCATTGAAGTGGTCGGCCGACCATGAAGCCGCAAGGGTAACAACATATGCACATGCATAAGGAGGGACAGTCATAAGCTGAGCATTCAAGTTTTCAAACTTGAGAGGAGTCAGCAACTGTTAACAACCGCGGCTGGGAAGACGAGTGGTAGCAACTTACACCAAGGCCAGCTGTCAATGATGGTGTGAAGAGAGATAGGCTTGAGAACGGGACGGAAATTCCAAAGTATATCTAGATCAGACGGGTCAGATATGTTCTTTTTCAACTGGGCTGGCAATATCCATACAATGTAATGGCACCACAATCTCCATTCGAGGATTGTTGACTTCGCATCATCCCATGTCATTGCCGCACTACTACCCTTAGAGCCGTGCCCAGAAAGCCTCTGAGCAGCGAGCTCTTTTTCCTCAACAGAGAGCCACGAAGCGGTCTCGGGGTAGTCTGGAAGTGCGAACCACACGAAGAAAGCCGATAGCATCGACGGAAGCCCCTCCAGAATGAAAAGCCACCTCCACCCTGATAGGCCTTGGACTTGATTCATATGGCCTACGCCATAAGCAATAGCTCCGCCGAACGCGCCAGCGAGTGTTGCCGAGGCCAGGATCGCTGCAACTCGAATGGATCTCTCTTCAGGTCGGTACCAGAATGTTAAGTAGTAGACCAGACCAGGGAAGAGGCCTATTGCACGGGAGTTAGATCTAATTTGTCTTTCTGTATAGGCTCAGAGTACATACCTGCTTCAAACACGCCGAGTAGAAATCGCACAACGACAATCCCCGCATAGCTCTGGACACCAGCAAACCCCACCGTGATGGAACCCCATGAGAGCATAAGGAATGCGATCCATCGGCTGGGCCTTACCTTCTTGAGGAAGTAATTTGACGGGACCTCGAATATAGCATAGGCGATGAGGAAAATCATCAGAGCGATGGTATACTGGTAGGCGGTCATGTGGGTGCGGGTAAGCAGGTCATCACCGGTGGTCGAGTTCAGCACCTTGGCATTTCCGATATTGGAACGGTCAAGGTAACATAGCAGGTAGATCGCCGCGGATAGCGGAATGATGCGATAGTCCTGCCGGCGCACCAGTTGCTTGGACTTTGCCTCGCTGATCTCGCCGTTTTGATGGGGGCTCCCAGACTGTCGTACGCATCACGCATTAGTCCGTTTCAAAGCTCGAGGCCAAGTCCAACGTTACCTCGACATCTTCCAATGATTCTATGGGTGCATCGTACCCGGCAACGGCTTCTTTGGCTGACATCGTTGAATTGGCGAGATGGAGAAGTCAACGAAGACAAGCGACGGAGCTGTGGCAAAGAGCAAGAAGGGCGGGACAAGATGGCCACTGCCTGAAGTCTCGGTATACTTTCTTTGGCAGTCGCAGGTTTCCCCGCACGCAGGCCAGACCGACTTTTTTTCTTCTCTGATCATCATTTCCCCTTCTCGACTTAAATTGATAACCCACCGCCCAGCGCACGTTGTCCCAGGGTCACATCCTCCTACACTGATCAGGATGGGGAAAATGCGGAGACTTTAATCAAATAAGTCCTGGTCCAGGTCAATTTGGGACTTTGCCCTGAGCACTAATGATATCCTCCCTAGTCAAGCTGGTTGGTCAACCCTGCGACCGTCTTAATACCGAATCCAGATTCTACTATTCCCCACTGCCATCGCTACGCAACGGTTGAGTGGGAAAATTTTGAAGCGGGGACTGGCCTTGGGATTTTGCTGAAAGGTCACTGGGTTCCTGCTATGACTTTT